GTCAATTTCTTATTGAGACTTAGGTCTGTGCTTTGGCTCTAACGTGACCCGGCTGACCCTTCTCACCTGCACATGGACTATTCGAGTCACTCCCCTCAGGCAGGAGGCCACGACCATCTGGAGCAGAACACTTCTGTCACATTATACTTCTTCCACCTTATGATTTATTGGTCCTCCATAAGAACTGTTGGATTTCTCAATAAAAACAACCTTAAACACAGACCACCATCAGAATTAGAATTATTTTTATTCTCATAGAAAGTAACAGAAAGTCACAAACTAGGAATTTGCATTGGTATATTTGGTATATATTAGTGATACAAAATAAAAATGGATATAAAAGCATGCATACAAAATCTTAATACAACTCTACGATTAAAAACACATATATGTCCAGAGATATGATGTCATAAGGTGTATGGAGGACCAAAACTGTCAAAATTATAAATAAATGAATAAATAAATAAATGTCACATTCTGCCAATAATTATTAAGATAACACAACAAATCATGCGATTTAATAAATACATATTATTATTATACGTTTTTTTGGTTTCAAACAAAATAATAAAGCTTTATTATGTTCCTGTTCGTTCAAAGGTCAAGATTAAAATAAATATATTTTTATTATTTAACTGCTGTTTTGTGCCCAAAGAGATAATAAAATCTCATTTTTTTCTTTACCAATTAATTTATTTTCTTTATATTTTTATTTTTATTGACGTTCTGTTTTATTATTTCACGACACATTATTCCTTTCTCGTGTCATGAAAATTAAATGCAAATTAAGGGGGCGGAGCTACAGAAAGTTAGACCAAAGCAGTCTATCATCAGAGATCGGCTGCATACATACGTTTCCTTGATATCTCTCCATTCCCCACAGTGTGAGGTCTGACCCACAGAGAGGTCTGACCTACAGAGAGGAGGTCTGATCCACACTTTTTGATGGATTAATCCATAAATGTCAATGAGTACCTGCCATTTATGTGCAAAAACCACAATGTGAAAATTATCAGACTGTAACTAAAGACAAATCTTCCAAAAAATGTTTACGGACCACCATCTTGTCTGTGTGCCATAACTGCGAGCCTGCTATTGTGACATTTCAATGAATGATGTGATAATATAAATTTGTATTCATTTTTTTAGGTTCATACAGGATTCAGTTATTTGACATAAATACATAGATATATATTTCTTCTTCATCCCTATAGAGACCTGAAATAGAGTGGGAAGAGTCTATCTTATCTTAAGAAGTAAGACTTATGAACTTCTAAGTACACATACATTCACTTAAAGGCACACCGCGGACTTTGTGACCTAAAGAGTTGACACATATGAGTTATTTTATATGAATACTTGGGCCAATATACAGCGCTTGACACTTGCAATGCTCCGAGCGGGGCTGCCCTCTTGAAATACTGCCCATGTAAGTTTCGAGCAGACGGACCGTCTGCCACCAGGTCACGTGACTTGGAAGAAAGACTTGCTTTACGGCTACAGGCGCTGATATACTCATGGAGCTAAGGCTTTTGCTACTCATTTTTCACCTGCTCGACTCCTGGTCATGGCTGAGGCAAGGAAAAATTTTAAACCTTCGGAGGAGGCTAAAAAGAGGAAACGCGAAAGGGATCGTGCTGTAAGCTGCATGTCTGTATGAGCGCTGCTCTTCACCTGGTTCCTGGATGTCATCGACTGCAAAGATGTCATTCCACGCAGCACGAGCTAGACGCAGAACTCCCTCATCCAGGATATAGAAGTCCATGTGTGGTAGATTACTAATGCAGCGGTCTGGAGGCTGACCACAGCAGAGTCTCTCAATATCTGTAGGCATGTCTCTACAGTTTGAACACACACACCAGTGCATGCTGTCTGAATACACACTCAAAAGACACCGGCTGACTGTTTGTTGACTTTTGCGACAGTGCTGAGTTGCTTGTGGCCACTAGGGGCGCTAAACGTGAAAGTTGCAGGTCTAGCGCCCCTAGTGGCCAAGAGTTACACGGTGTGCCTTTAAGCTGCCTGGTCAGTAAAACAATTATTTCAACAACGACAATTATAAATTATATCATTATCATTAGTCTATCCTCATTCTCGTCACCATCACCATGGCAAAGGAAAGTGAACATTGGTAAGGTAAAGGTGCACATTAATCCCAGTAGGGCACTTCATCCTCTGCATTTTTTGACCCATCCTGTTGTTCAGGAGCAGTGGGAAGCCGTAGTAACAGCGCCCGGGAATCCATCTTGAGATGTTGATGCTCGGCTTGGTCAGGACCACCGGAGCTGGAGGATTTTACCTAGTGGTAAAATCTGCCGGTAGTAGATGATGTCAGGTACTGGCCAAAACTGACTAAGGCAGGTAATGACAGGACACTGTATGACAGTTAAATGTCGGGCTTAAATAAGATAAATATGCGTCAATTGAGCAGTATGAGTTGAGTCGTTGACCGTGTTAGAGCCATGTTTACATGATACTGCCATTAGAGGTCTAGTTGTGACAATGTAGCCCCAGAGACAGTAGAAAATACGCAGTTACAATTTTATATTAAGTGATTGTGGCAAAAAGTCAGCAGGACTCTCAAAAGTTCCCAGAAAGTGTCAGCACATACACTTGTGTAAAACAAAGTCTTTCTTATCTAAATGCTCCTTCATCTTAACATTACTGCTGAAACTAGTTGTGATCTGGCCACTGGACTCCAACATCACACGTCAGTAGAGGGATTTTCTCCAAATTATCTTCATCTTCTCCAGGTTCACGTTCAGTAGTTGAGTTCTGGTGTACAGCCTAAACACATCTCTTTTGGGGGGGTCTAGCAGGTGTTACCTAACAGAAAAAATGAGCTGTATATTAGTTAAACAAAACAATGAAGGATATTAAAAATATCATACTTACACAACAATCATAAACCATAAGTAACACAGGACGGAAATTTTCTCATGTGGGTTGCCCATCAGGAAAATGTTTCCCACATACCTGGAATTGATGAAAAATACATTAGTAATGTAGTTTTAACATTTAACAGTTTTATCTTAAGGTTTTTATTATACTTAATAAGGATGATGTGGGATTTGAACCCAGAACTGTCAACTCGTGACCCCCATGTAATTAATTAATTGATTATTGAAAATTCATATAACGTTCATATAACGAATGCGCTATTATTGTATGTGTGTAAATGCTTATCTAAAAGCATTACTGTGCATTACTATTAACAGTTAGCTAACTTGTAATAATCTGGCAAATTCCAGAACGAGTCTCACAAGCTCCACTTTGCAAATTACTTTTTTAGCAAACGTGTAATCCAATGTAAACAAGAACTAACATGAAGTGAACGCACATATACAGAAAGTGCATTACAGGTCCTGTCAAGAGCAATGTCAGAGCTTTTGTATCTGGCTAACAGGCTAACGAGGCTAACAGGCTAACGAGGCTAACAGGCTAACGAAGCTAGAAAATATAGCAGTTACTTTTTACACTCATGTCATTTATAGACAGCAACCAGTGGTTTTCTCAGATGTAATAATCAAAGCTAAACTTACCACTGCTTTCTTGTTTGGCTTAAAGCCATCTAGGTTTATATTTTTCATCCACTTCAGACACACATCTTGTTCCTGAGCTGGACCAGGAGCTTTCTGCAATCCGTATGGGGGAAGTCAGTATGGTCAGTATGTTGTAAAGGTTTAAGAAGTTCACACACGGTTCTGTTGCAGGCTTGCACAGCCGAACACACAACACGCTCTTCCAGGCATTATAAAAGACAATTCCATGACAGCCACGGGACAAACAGCTTCACGCAGCTAGATGGCACTGCTATAATGGCAGCACTGTTTAGCACGGTTTGGCCTGGTCAGTCTGCAAGAGGCGATTGCTTTCGTCTTGCTGTCTGTGGCCCGCCCCCTTCATTTGCATTTTATTATCAAGACACGAGGAAAGAATGTGTCGTGAAATAATAAAACAGAACATCAATTTTAAAAAAAAAGATGAAGAAAATAAATACATGGGGAAAGAAAAAAATGAGATTTTATTATCTCTTTGGGCACAAAACGGCAGTTAAATTATAAAAATATATTTATTTTAATCTTGACCTTTGAACGAACAGAAAAATAATAAAGATGTATTATTTAGTTTGAAACCAAAAAACGTTGTATAATAATATGTATTTATTAAATCGCATGATTTGTTGTGTTATCTTAATAATTATTGGCAGAATGTGACATTTATTTATTTATTCATTTATTTATAATTTTGACAGTTTTGGTCCTCCATACGTTCTGCATCAAATATGCTGAGAACAAGTGACTTACATGTGTGTCCTTAAAAATGACTGCAATCTGTTTTGAGTAGAAGACAGTGCGTTATTGGCTTAATCCAACCCTGAAATGTGTATTTCAGGTTCATTTGAACTTTGAGATAAATCCCCAAGAACAGGATTTCAGGAATGAAGGTGTGTCAAAGTTAAAGATATGTGAGCGTTAAGGATGGTTTGACTTCCTTGACAAATAATTGTCTAGTACAGTGTTTCCCAACCAGAGGTAAGTGTAAATTATTTATATTTATTAGTATTATTATTATTATTAACTTGCAACTGATAATGCAATTTAATAACTTGCAAATGATAATGCATAGCTTTATAATGGTTTTGTTTAAGGACATTCAAAGACGCTTCACATTGCACTATTCATTCCCGCCATACACGGTGTTGATGAACTACTACTGTAGCCACAGCTGCCCTGGGACAGACTGACAGAAGCGAGGCAACCAGTATGTGCCGATGACCCTTCTGACCTTCTCCAATCATTCATGCACACACCAAACTCATACTATATAAAGCTCACCATTATTTTGAAAATATGTGTTAGTGCTGACAGGTTATAAACTTGAACGTACATTACCCAGAAACCTTGTTGACACTTGGAATTAAAATGTCAGTAAGAAAGCGCGCATATAAAAGTGTAACTTGAGATGTGAGATTTATTACAGTCAGTGTTCTTTAAACATCAGTTGAAGAACTCCGGGGCTGGTTTCTGGAAGGCGTCCTCTGCCGACAGGAGCCAGCAGTCCTCTGCTGTGGGCGTGGCCACTCTGTAGTCCTCAGCTCTGGACCTGCAGCACAGCAGGTGTTCATGTTTAAATAGGGCCCAAGGTTTAACTAAATCTAATCAAAAGGCAATTGGACAGGATGCAATGAGGATCTTGATTATTTATTTTCTTGGCACAGTGGAGAAAAAAGTTGTTTTACTCAAATTAATAACTTAGGTTAAAATCATGAGTTCTAGTGATGACAAATCTAAATACATGAATAGATATAAATTCTCTACCTCTCCCTTTTACTTGAGCTAAAACCTCTTTATACATGTTTTGAAACATGTGTTATTTTTGTATTAGTGAACCCTTGCATTGTGTTCGGGTCTGTGGGAACCCGTTTTTATTTTTTATTAAAAGAAAAATAATTTAATTAATTAATTTTTCCAAATGAGACTCACTGGCTTTGGCTCATTTTCTGTGAAGAACATACAGTGGGGAAAATAAAGTATTTAGTCAGCCACCGATTGTGCAAGTTTTCCCACTTAAAATAATGACAGAGGTCTGTAATTTTCATCATAGGTACACTTCAACTGTGAGAGACAGAATGTGAAAAAAAAATCCAGGAATTCACATTGTAGGATTTTTTAAGAATTTATTTGTTAATTATGGTGGAAAATAAGTATTTGGTCACTTCAAACAAGGAAGATCTCTGGCTCTCACAGACCTGTAACTTCTTCTTTAAGAAGCTCTTCTGTCCTCCTCTCGTTACCTGTATTAATGGCACCTGTTTGAACTCGTTATCTGTATAAAAGACACCTGTCCACAGCTTCAAACAGTCAGACTCCAAACTCCACTATGGCCAAGACCAAAGAGCTGTCAAAGGACACCAGGAAATGATTTGTAGACCTGCACCAGACTGAGAAGAGTGAATCTACAATAGGCAAGCAGCTTGGTGTGAACAAATCAACTGTGGGAGCAATTATCAGCAAATGGAAGACATACAAGACCACTGATAATCTCCCTGGATCTGGGGCTCCACGCAAGATCTCATCCCGTGGGGTCAAAATGATCATGAGAACGGTGATCAAATATCCCAGAACCACACAGGGGGACCTGGTGAATGACCTGCAGATAGCTGGGACCAAAGTAACAAAGGTTACCATCAGTAACACACTACGACGACAGGGAATCAAATCCTGCAGTGCCAGACGTGTCCCCCTGCTGAAGCCAGTGCATGTCCAGGCCCGTCTGAAGTTTGCCAGAGAGCACATGGATGATACAGCAGAGGATTGGGAGAATGTCATGTGGTCAGATGAAACCAAAGTAGAACTGTTTGGTATAAACTCAACTTGTCGTGTTTGGAGGAAGAAGAATACTGAGTTGCATCCCAAGAACATCATACCTACTGTGAAGCATGGGGGTGGAAACGTCAGGCTTTGGGGCTGTTTTTCTGCTAAGGGGAAGGGACGACTGATCCGTGTTAAGGAAAGAATGAATGGGGCCATGTATCGTGAGATTTTGAGCCAAAAAATCCTTCCATCAGTGAGAGCTTTGAAGATGAAACCTGGCTGGGTCTTCCAGCATGACAATGATCCCAAACACACCGCCCGGGCAACGAAGGAGTGGCTCCGTAAGAAGCATTTGAAAGTCCTGGAGTGGCCTTGCCAGTCTCCAGACCTCAACCCCATTGAAAATCTGTGGAGGGAGTTGAAAGTCCGTGTTGCTCTGCGACAGCCCCAAAACATCACTGCTCTTGAGAAGATCTGCATGGAGGAATGGGCCAAAATACCAGCTACTGTGTGTGCAAACCTCGTAAAGACCTATAGTAATTGTTTGACCAAATACTTATTTTCCACCATAACTTACAAATAAATTCTTTAAAAATCCTACAATGTGAATTTTTTTTCACATTCTCTCTCTTACAGTTGAAGTGTATCTATGATGAAAATTACAGACCTCTGTCATTATTTTAGGGGCGACAGTAGCTCAGTTGGTAGAGCATTGGCCTTCAGGCCTGAAGGTTGTGGGTTCAATTCCCACCTATGCACCTTCTCCATCGACTCCCACTGATGACTGCTGTCGTTGTGTCCTTGGGCAAGACACTTAACCCCACTTTGCCCAAAAGCCCCCACTGAAAGATCAAGGCTATGCTCACACTCAGAGAGCAGCCGTCCTCCTGTGGACTCACCACCTGCAGAGGATCAGTGAGGGGCTGGTGCTATGAGACTTGGGTGGCATCTCTGATTGCCACCCCCCTGACCCAGAAATGGATTAAAGGGTAGAAAATGGATGGATGGATGTCATTATTTTAAGTGGGAGAACTTGCACAATCGGTGGCTGACTAAATACTTTTTTCCCCACTGTATATGTACGGTGTGTGGTCACACCGTACACCCCCCTACACATTTCTATTACATAGAAGATGTTCGCGGTCCACTGGACCCGGGGCAAATAGCAGAAAGCCACAGAGAATGCGGAATCCCGTTTGAGTACATACCGCAAACAACAAAGCAGTTGTTTAACTGGTATCCTATGTGCCAAAGAAAGGCAAGAATGTGGTACTCATGAGTACACTGCACAAGGATTGAAGAATCTGTGACCAGGAACATCACAAACCAGTGGCATTATCATGGATGATAATGCCACAAAAGGAGGGGTAGCCCACATGGACAAGTATTAACCATATATATTGTTTATACTGCTTGTAATTGGGATAAGGTAAACATCTGTTCAGTATTTTAACATAAATGTATGATTGTGAAGCATTAAAAGCCACACAATGCAACGGGTCCATCAGACCCACAAACACTGGCTGAGTAACAACAATATGAACACTACACAAGGGTTAAATACACTTTTTATTCATCAGACCCCTTGTTGAACCATGTATTTGTTTATATTGCTGCATAGAAGGTGTAGAAGTCGCAAGTCAATGCATATTTTTCTGGTTTTTTGCGCATATATTGACTTACCTGCTGACGATGATATTTTTTCCTTTAACTTTGACTGTTGACGTTGATCCCATTGTCACTCCTCCTTCATAATGTGCGTTGTTGTAAACTGGAACAACATTAGGGCATAAATGAACAAATCATGTTGGGTTTATGATTAAGCTATAGATGATCAAAGATTGTCAACATTTAAAGATGTTAAAGCTAAAAAGTATTTAGATAGATCTACCTATCTTGTTTTTGTGTGCTCTTACTGTCTGTAATGTGTGATGTAATTAAAAATTTCTCTAAATATAAAGGATCTCTTATATTACCTAAAACTCCCTCAGCCGTGTCGTCTGCTGGCATCTGTTTTAGCACAGGCCACAAGAATTTCCTCCCAGAAATTTCATGGCCCAAAATTACAAAATGAATGTCTCCAACCGATATGTCGACCTCCTTGTCACGAATGATCACCGCCACACTGTCAAAATATTGTATAGGATTATTTATTACAGAAAAAACTAACAAAACACAAAAGAAACACACTTTGGATGGCTTGGAGTAGGAAGTTCTCATAGAACTTTTAATTTACATGTTAATTTAGATTTTATCCATCGACTTGGATTTGCTTGAACGTTTTAACATATTTTTCATTGTCCTATACAAGCCACCGCAGTCATGTAAAAATTTTATTGATAATTTTACCAAGATGCTTTCAGTTGTATGCACAGACTTTGATAGTTTGGTTATTACAGGTGATTTTAATATTCATGTGGATAATATTAATGACAGAAATGCAAAAGAGCTGAGTTCTTTTCTTGAATCCTTTGGTCTCACTCAGCACGTGAGTGGCCCCACCCACAGCAGAGGGCACACTCTGGACCTGTTATTTATTAAGGGGGTGAATATTATAAAAATAGTTGACATTGCTCTTTCGGATCATTTTTGTGTATTTTTTGACATGTGTTTAACAAAAAAACCACCAGAAGGCGCTGCGGTTGTTCGAAGAAGACGCATAAATGAAAATACGGGTGAAATATTTATGGGAGTGATAAACTTTGAGAATGCATCATGTTCTACTGTAGATGAATTGTTTAACTCTGTCACCTCTAGTGTTTTGAATGTTCTGGACACATCGCTCCTGTGAAGGTTAAAATAGTGAAAAATAAGTAGAAGGCGCCGTGGGCTAAAGCAGACTCGGTCAGGGCACAAAAGAGAGAGTGCCCGGAGGGCCGAGCGGAAGTGGCGGAAGTCCAACCTCCAGGTTGATTACGAGATCTTCAAAGATAAGTTGTGCGAGTTTAACCGGGTGCTATGTAGTACGAGAGAAAGGTATTTTTCTGAAATGATTGAAGGCTGCAGTAACAATCTGCGTGTTCTGTTTTCAACAGTTAATAGATTAACAAACCCCCCTGTTCAGCTGCCAGTAGAGCTTACTTCCACCGTAAATGCAATGAGTTTGCACATTTTTTCAATGACAAAGTTCAATGCATCAAAAACTACTACTAAAAAAGAGCAGTCTGGATGCCACCTTAACAACTATCGTCCCATCTCAAATCTGCCATTTATGGGGAAACTCCTGGAAAAAGTTGTCTACCAACAGCTTACTATATTCCTTATAATCAACAACTCATTTGATATGTTTCAGTCCGGCTTTAGACCTCAACACAGCATTGAGGCTGCTCTCGTCAAGGTAACAAACGATACTGAACACTGACGCAGGCAAAGTCTCAATCTTAATCTTGTTAGATCTGAGTGCTGCCTTTGACACTGTCGACCATGAGATCCTCTTACGAGACTGGAGGACTGGGTTGGTGTCGCTGGCACCGCCCTAAGTTGGTTTAGGTCTTACTGTAAGTGTTGTTATATAGGTTTCTTATAAAAGTTTAATTTGCTTTTCTATTTATTTGGTTTAGAATAGTTTTGTAAATTTGTAAATAGTAATATTTTTGTTTTCTCCAAAAGAAAGTATTTGTTATTACACTTTTATACATCGGTTTTATTTTGAAATTTTGTTATCGCGAGAATCTGCGAGAACTGGGGTTTACAAGGGGCACTAGACAGGCAGACGCTCTCTCATGCTCAAAGGCATCAGAGCGAGAGCCACTTTCACAGTGAGAAAGCAACTGTATGAGGTCGTTAAAGACCTCCGACATGACAAGCGGCCACAAGGTAGCTAATTTTAAGTTTAGGTTTTGTTAAGTATACTCAAAGTTGTGTTTAATTGCATATTTTATTTTGTCCTGTTGTTTTCACGGCATTGAAAGAGAATTCTGACACTTGTAAGGTCAATAAATGAGCCCGTACTTGAGAATCCTGCGCAACGTTGTCATTGAGGAGCTACACTTACCTTGAAGACAGGAAGTGCTTTGTGGAGATTGGAAACTGTGTCTCAGATCATATGGCCCTGACCTGTGGAGTACCACAGGGGTCAATCCTGGGACCTCTTCTGTTCAATCTCTACATGCTGCCTTTAGGTCAGTTGATACGCAGAAACGAAGTGTTCTGTCACAACTATGCAGACGACACTCAGATCTATGTCTCTGACTGCAGGAGAACATGGACCAGTGGACTCACTCCGTCACTGTATCCAACAGATCAGTGAGTGGATGCAAAACAACTTCCTTCAGCTAAACGCAGACAAAACTGAAATTATTGTCTTTGGTCCCCAGAAACAAAGAGAGAGTGTCATCTGTCACCTCCAGTCTCTCTCCCTAAAACCTTCAAACAAGGTCAGAAATCTAGGGGTAATACTGGACTCAGACTTAAATTTTAATAGCCACATTAAATCAGTAACATCAGAAGCTTTTTACCACCTAAAAAACATCGCCAGGATCAAAAACATAGTGTCTAAAGCAGACTTGGAGATTCTTATCCATGCATTTGTCTCCAGTAGGTTAGACTACTGCAATGGCCTGCTCACAGGTCTGTCCAAACAGGCTGTAAAACAGCTGCAGTACATTCAAAATGCAGCAGCTCGAGTCCTGACTAGAACCAGGAAGTACGACCACATTAGTCCAGTTCTCAGGTCTCTGCACTGGCTTCCTGTGGCTCAGAGAATAGACTTTAAAACAGCTCTGCTTGTGTACAAGTCTCTCCCTAGCCTCGCTCCAAAATATATTAGTGACATGTTAGTCCCATATGAACCAGCCCGGACTCTGAGGAGCACAGGGACTGGACTCCTGTTAGTGTCCAGAGTCAGATCTAAACATGGGGAGGCTGCTTTTCAGATTCATGCTGCTAAAATCTGGAACAATCTTCCTGAAGATGTGAGACAGGCCTCCTCTCTGACAATGTTTAAGACAAGGTTGAAAACAGTTCTGTTTAGCTGTGCATACAACTGAGGGATTTTATATTTTATATTTTTTATCTTTTTTTTATGTACTGTGATTATTTATGATTTTAATGCTTTCTTATTTTGTTCAGCACTTTGAGTTGCCTTGTGTATGAATTGTGCTATACAAATAAACTTGCCTTGCCTTGCCTTATAATTATACTACACATCATTCCAAGTGCTAATAGGGGTGCAAAGCAGAATAGTAAGTGCAATAAAATTGCATTGGTTTTGTCCTATCTGCATGTGCACATTGTAAATCAGTTTACTCCAATATTGAGTGGGACTAATCTATGACACACACACCAAGCACACACACACACACCAACACACACACACATATATGACCCTTGAGAACGAAACATTTACATATATGGGATATTTAAATTAGTTGGACTACTGTATTATATAAAGATCAGAAATGTTGTTTGGATGTGATGTCACCTGTCGGCTGTGAACTGGGCGGGTGATGTGTAGCGGGTGATTTCTCCAGTTTGATCGTTCATCACAGAGAAGCTCTCAGTGTCCGCCTCAAGCCTCAGGTAACTTTGGACTCTAATGACAATGTGTGTAAAGCCTCCATTGATCTCTGGACTAAGCGCACCGTTTACAGTAAGCTCTAGAGAAAGACAAACACACGAATGTCTTAAGATGGTAAATTCTTGACGTCAGTTGAATTATGATGTGAGACTGACCTCTGCTGGGGATGCGCAGTAACTTCAGGCGGCCGCTGGCGGAGAGATCAAAGCACAGCGGCAGTGACGTATTTGTAGCTGTCATTAAAAACCTTTGCGTGGAGGGAGCTGGGGAGACAGTAGCAGTATTGTGGTTCTCAAAATGAGCTTTGATTGACGGATTCAAAATGGTCCAACAAACTAAAAGATATAATGTATAATTTTGGAATTGTCAATGAAAAACTAATAAACTAAACCTTATAGATCTAGACATGTACAAATTTTCACAAAATTGCGACAAATTAAAATCAATAACAGAAATAAAAGACATAAAACATATGGAAGAAAAATGTCAGAACAATGGTGGGAAGTCAGAAGTAGCCGAACATCTATATGAACGCTGGATCTAGGCTTTCGTGGAAGTCAACATTTTTTTTCCCCCAAGCATTTTATGTATTTTATGTTGAATCTGAAAGCATATTTTCTTTACATATATAAATAAACAAATACAATCTTCTGCAAATTAAACAATTTATATTATTTTGATGCTACAAATAAAAAGATAACACTGGTTTTTGATTCAACTATGAACTATGTTTGAAATCTTATGTTTACACAATGGTCTGGGAAGAGCATATATAGACTTCCTTTATCGTTGGTAAAAAAATAAAAGAGAAATTGCTGATGTATTAATTTGGTTGATTTAAAACAATTATCTTCACCTTTAGTTGTTGTTGGTGTAGTGTCAGGAATCATGGTTGCAGCTATCATCATCATATCGTCCCCTTCCATTAAATTGTCTCCATAATCTGTGACTACAACATATATATACTGTATGTTATTTCTCACAACAAAACATGACAAGTCAGATGATCAAAATCCATGTGACAGTGTTCATTTCTGTCATACATTTAATTTCAATAGGAATGATCATGGGGAAAAAGCAATTCTCCAAACATAAAATAGACAAAAAAAGTTATAGTCAAAAGACAAACATAAGAATGCCAGAATGAACCTAGAACAAATATTCATACCAGGCTGATGGGGAAAATTGCCCCCGCTAATTGGAACTGTTAATCATCAGAATTCTGTGTATTTTTTTCTGAATTTGCACAATGTATTTTAGTCTGTTAGTTTCATCATAACATATATATTGTTATATTCATATTATTTAATAATGAGAATGTTTTACTTACTATCGTCAGCATAAATGACGGCACTAGGGAGACTAAAGTGACCAGGGAGACCAGGGGGACCACCGCGACCACCGCGACCATAGAAACCAGGGTGACCAGCAGGAGATGCGGGCGCAGGAAAAAACCCACTAACTGGACGATTACCAGACAAACCTGGCTCTGGGAGGGCCTTAAGTCTGTGAATGCTTCCTACAGAGATTGGCACAATAAAAAGATCAATATTGATTTCATACTCATAATGACAAACAGGTTTTGAAGCAATGGAGGGTAAAAAGTTATGGACCTGATGCACCTGATACACCCAGTCTTGAATGTATCCTTGTACGCAAAGGTTGGGTTTTTTGTCCCTCTTTAGGCTTGTGGAGCACAGCAGAGTCTTCTCCTGGAGGTTTGGTGACCACCATAGACGTGAGAGGAGTCACAAAACTGTACTTCAAAGATAAATCCATGGCCTCTTTCTTCGCCTTCTCCTTCTCTGGTCCAGACAATTGCAACCTGCAATATAGCTTCAATTAAGGAACACACAAGTGAAACTAATATTTATAATTTATCCTTAAGACGATGATCAAATTGTTTTACATTAGTCTTTATTCATTTTTTCCATTAGTCTTTTGCTGACAACCATCAAGCTCCAAGTGACTTTAACAGTACAAACACTCACTCTTTCTCCATGAGCTGTTTGACTGTGAGATAGGCCCACACTCTCTGGATGCGGTCGACCGGTGCTTCTGTCAGTTCTGTGGTTGCATTTCGGTTTGAAAAAGTTACTTTAGTGTTTCTCTGGAAAGATTGAAACAGGAATAGATCAGAAAAATATCAGAGTGTGTATACAGTAAATGTGGCTGAGAGAATACGCACAGAGAGGGCCACGACTTCAGGAGTAAAGCTTTCAATGTCGTTGTTGGTGATCACGCCGGCCACTACGAGCTCGGAGCCATTATAATACTGACTGAAGTTAGTCTGGGTTAGATTTGAGCCTCCGATGTACACCATGGTCACATCTTTTAACAGTGGTGTCGCCACCTCTTCATAAAAGCCCTGGTGATCCAAAAAAAACTTAAACTTTCAGTACAGAAGGGGGGAGCGACCTGGGTCTCAGTGCTACTAATGCATGACGTTTAAGCCTTTTAAACCTTAATGGCATCAAAGATCATTGGAGCTGATGTTCCCTGCCTCCAGCTGATCAACAAGCCGACACTCTCACTGGCTCAAAACAAATTCCCTGGGGATTTGCCTCAGGACGTAGCTTTTTTAGCTGAGACACAGGACACACCGCTTCAAGCTTTCTTCTGTGCCAACTTCAGTGGCCCTTTTAAATAAAAATAACTAACAATGAATACACTCTAAAACAGTATGAATTATTAATTAATTATGAACAGTACAGCACTTTTCTGTTTATGTTTTCTCTCCTGTAATGTTCTTTTTTAGTTTCATTCATTCATGCAGATCTACAGTATGTAGCACTGTATCCCACAGCTAATTAACCTTGGGACAATGGTATTGTCACATGGTAAATAAAGTATAAAAATAAAGTATTCATCTTTACTAAAACACATTAATGCACATTATTCAAAAGCTTTTGTATAACAGTGGGATAAAAAAATGTAATAGTACGGAACTAGAATGAAAACAATATCTGGTGTACAGCTTCAAAGAGATTTACAGAAATTAGTGTTAGCCTTAGTACTGGTTTTAAATGTGTCTAATGAAGGACGCTAATATTCGTTCTATAAAGAGAGTTTTAATAGGAGCTGGGCTCATACAAGTTTGTCACATTTTCCCTCTAGTTCTTGGATACAACTTGCATTACCCATTATCTGGGTCCCGGGGAAAAAAGGTCCTGGGTTAAACCTTTATGTAGTTAGCATGTTCTCCCTGTGTCTGCGTAGGTTTCCTCCAGGTGCTCCGGTTTTGCCTGGCACTAAAAAAACGTACCATAGTTCTGGCAAGTGCCTCCTTCATGGCAACCCCACTTCCATCTTTGTGTGGGAAATGCTTTCTGACGCTATTGGTTGAAAAGCGATTTACTTACTTACTTTTTACTATGTGCATTGACAAAAAGGAAGTACTTTTTTTGTCCAAATTGATATAACCTCTTTTTATTATACATAATAGATCATGTACAAAAGAGGCTAACATCTTTACACACTCTCTTTTCACAATCTGAGTCTATTCATGCCAAATGTGACATGTAAATTTCTCCACTGTGAGATTTAGTTTTAGTTTTTTTTTTTTTTCAAGAAAACTGATAGTAAAACAAAGAGAATTCATTCGTTACTTTAAAAGAAAAGGGATGTTGAACATTTAATTCAAATTCCCACTTTCAGCTTCTAAATATTATTAGTGTACTTCCTTTGGTTTGACACTTCTATACCATGAAGAGTATCATTGTTTTTGGAGTGAAAAATAAGTATCAAAATTGACCTTAAAATGGTGACAACACTACCTGAAGTTGCAGATTTGCGTCAGAATCTTCGTATATGCGACGAGCAGCACCATTATTGTCCAGAGACATCTTCTCCAGGATCTGAAAGTTAACGTCAAATCCAAATCCAAGGCAGTACAGTGGGAATTGACCTGCGATGGCCTGTTTAATATTAGCTCGAATCCTCTCAGGATTAGTCTCTCCTGTAACCAAGTACACATCCGTATTGTATAAATGTATTCTTTTGTTCTTTATTACATCATGCCATAACAAGTTGTAGAACCTGAGGTGGGGTCTCCGTCAGTCAGGAGTATGAGAATGGAGGCGGAGTCTTCCCTGGTGTACACATTCAGCATGCGGGTCCCTTCCAGCACCGCCTTGTTGATATCCGTGGCTGTAAAAGAAAATCAGTTTGAATACGTTTCGAAACAAAAAGCCCAACACTCTGTTCTGTGTAGACTTCTTACAGCCGCGATCTTGAATGTTCTCAGCAAACGTCTTGGCCTCTTCAATGTTTTTGGATGTGGCTTGAACAAGTTCCCGTTTCCAGTGAAAGATCTCACTGTCAAAAGTGATGAGTCCAAAAAAGTCGTCTTCTTCCAAATCGCTTAAGATGTGAATCAGGGCAATGCGAGTCTGGAGTGAAGTACATCTAAGCTTAATCCTCAGACAAATTATGAACTCACATTTTGTTATTGTATGTTGTAATTAGGATATGTAAAGCTGGGGTACTTAACTTATAAAGAATACATGTTGTTAAAAGTCTAAAGGTAAAAATGTGTGACCAAATCCGACCACAACATGCTGTCTTCATCTTAATAGAAAAAAGTGACAATGTCTCTCTATTTTTCACCTCTCTGTCTGAAAAAAAAAAAATCTGAAAATGTGACAGAAGCCAAAAATAGATTCATGTGAAAACTGATATTACACTCTGCAGTTTTTCTTGTGTGTATTTTGAATTAAGTACCCCGGCTTGAATATAAGCTGTTGAAATGGCATTTGGATACTATTTTGCGTTTGTAAATACTTTTTTGGAAACTCACCTGTTGCATTTTCCGTCCATGCATTGAACCACTTTGGTCAATCACAAAGACAACATTTTTCGGTATGCGGGGCAGGTTGGAGGGAGCAAAGTGATGCACAAAATACCCATCCCCAGTCTACATCACATTTAAATGGGGAAATCCACAATTATTGAGTGAATGTTCAGTTAAGTTCCTGTTTGCTACCTGAAGATCTCCAAAAGGAAGTTCTCTTTTTACGTCGTAAAAAATGACCAAATCTCCATTCAGGCCTGCATCTGAACAACTGTCACACGCCTTCTGTTGATCCACTGTTGGGTAAAGAGAGATCGAGGCCTATAAAAGAAATGAAACCATTCATAAATATAGATTAGGTATTTCCTCATGCACTTACCCAAGCACATGTTTAAACATGTATTTTTAGACTAAAAATAAGAACTAATACAAAAATCAACTTAAGCATGGAGCTTGATAAACTGCATTACATCTGCATCATGAATGCAGAAGCTCCAATTTTGAAGTTCCTGGAGGAGTAGGTCTGGATTAGATTAAGTCTGAGCACCCATGCTTAGATAATCAATAGATAATTACATATTTTTTAGCTTGAGGCCACTGACTGCATTGCTTATAGAAGTGGGAGCCAACAGTGCTATAATGGGACCTTATATTGATTTCACTAGTCACTACCTAATGTTTTTACCACCTTCACATTACCACTACCAACATCTGGATTCCAAGACATCCGGATAATTCCCCAGTTTTTGTGCTCTTGGGCAAGACACTAGGCTATACTGTCACTGACAGAGTGGACTCACCACCTGCAGGAGGATTAGCGAGCGGCTGGATATGAATTTGGTGGCAGCTCTCATTGCCACTCCCCTGACCCAGAAATGGGTTAAGGGGAAGATAATGGACGGATGAGAAATACTGTATCATCATAGGCAAATGATGGGCTTGATCTGTGGTGACGCCTTTGATAAGATTAGGTTTTACTGACATTGCAGTGCATACTCATCCCTTTATAACATAATTTAAATAAAAGATTTAAAGGTATAATATATTAAATAATAAGCTACAGGTGATGATCATATACAGTATAGCTGACAGGAGCATGTTATGTCCCCTTTAATCACGAATCAAAATCTTTTGTACAAGTATCAAATATTTTACCTGTTTGTCCGAGACATCTTGGGTAATAGCATTTGCCAATTCCTTTGTGTTGAGGCCACCTTTAATCTCTATCAACTTAAGTCCAGCTTCTTCGTTTATGTGGACATCGACCTGAAAATATGAAGTGATTTATCATGAATTCATGAAAGTAGATCGGGATCTACATTTTAGATACAGTATAAGCGTTTATCGACAATATGAACTTTTAAAACGTTTTAAGTTTTAACTATGCACCGATCCAGATTGTATACTGTTTTTATACTCAATACTGTGGCTTTCAGCATCTGCCAATGCCCAATATGAACCAGAGAAAGGCCCGGAAAAAGCAACCAAAATCAAAGTTAAATTGTTGCAAAATATGTCTAGTTCTGTTTTATAACAATTGTCTTGCAAGGTATTAAAAAAAAACGTTTTCAAGGAAAACTTAAAACTTGGTTGACATTTGCCAATAGTTTTATTACATGAAGTGAAAGGCTTAATCAGGGTAACCAGTATCATTAAACCGATACCCAATCCACATATCGGCCCCGATATTTGATACCAGTATGATATTAGTGCTTCTCTGGTTTTCAACTTAAAACTGAATATTTTTGTATTTTCACAGAGAACGTTCTTACTTTTCTAATGTGTAATGTTGAACAGTGCATACTGGACTTAAAATTATAAATGTTGGATCTGATTTAATTGTAGTTTTGATTGCAATTAATCTTGCAGCGCTAATTTGCACTCAATTTTAACATGTCTTGTTTTTTACCCTCCAAACTGACCTTGAAATCTTTGACCGGCTGCAGGGGTCGAGCGTAGATCTGCAGCTCGTACTTGCCCAGTCGGCGTTTGAGCAGCTCCTCGTACGTCAGTTCAAATGTGACTTTTTTGTGAGCGGCCACATTTACAGAAGTTTTGAATTCCTCCAACGTTCTCCCCACAGAACTTTAACAAAAGAGAGTACAAAAAATCCCATACATTTCAATGGTGTAATGGCATAGAAAGTGAAGAGGAAGAGCCCAGTTTAAAGCTGACGTCACGCACCCAGACAAACAGCAGCCTGTGGAGGACGTGTAAAACAAACACCCAGTGAAAAGTCCTCTCATCTCCTCTGTGTGTGACATTTTTCTGTGAGCCATAACAAACTTAACTTTTTCTGAAAGTGAAGTTTGAAAGTTTCACTTGTAGTAGCTAACACTATTTGCCTTCTCCACCTACACAAAAATGACATTCCTTGGCTTCCGTTTAGTAGTTCTTTTGGTGTTCAATAGTGAACTAATTAAGTTAAATCATGTGAAAGCTATTCTGTACACTCATTACAGGCAAAGTGACATATGCCAAGCCTTTCTTTGTTATAGGTTTAAGTGATTATGGTTTAATATATCTCACTTAATTAGTTTTATATTGAATTACAGAAATACATTTACTTTTGAACTATATTCTAAGATAGATTGCTATCTTAGTTTCTCTTAGTGCCATTTGTAGTACTATGTTGTGAGACCGCAACTGCAATGTTTTTTCACTGAGATTTTTACCTGACAATTCCTGCACTCTGGCCTTGAGACACAGCCGCTGTGTACTGGCGCTCCGCTTGTTCCTTTTCCTTCACAACGCCGTCATAAACTTCACCATCCATAAACCTACTCAGAAAATACATCAAGCATCATTCATAGAACTGGGCTGGGCAATGAAGTGGTGGAAGTAGAATAAGTACAATAATTTAGTCTTTTAAGAGATAATGTAGGCCTAATAAGTGCTTGGTTATGTTTTGAGTGCCATTTCTTCTTCACACAATACAATACTTTTATAATCATTCTAAGATGAAAGTGGTATTTTGTCTTAAAAACTAATTGTGCGTGTCTTAAATTATTAGGAAACTATCTATTGCTCAAAGCATGGACCATGTAACAGAGACTGATTGTCTAAAGTCTCTACACCTACAGCTATGTACACACGATTTCACCACACAATAATAACACCAAGGACGTTGCCTTTACTCTTCATGATCAAAACAATTACAGAATTTTAGAATTTTAAATGTTGTTTAATGAAACAGTGATTGGGTTTTTTTTGACTCGTTACTGTCACAATGTCAGACCTGTCACTGTTTCATCATTTATGAAATATATGAAATTTTGTTTTTATCAAACCATGTGGGATTTAGTAGTAGTAGTAGTGGTCCTAATTACTCAGTGAAGGTCCATGTTTTTCTACTTGAAGGTATATAAGTGGATTTTCCCAAAAAAAATTTGGAAATAACAGCCCTGCTCACTTTTTGAAAAATTGTCTCTGGTCTTGTTTGACAAGCACGTATCATCAAAATGATTGACAATAAGGAGGACCAATAGTCTTGCTAATCCACCCGGAAGTAGACAATTCTATATCTTTAATACCGGGAAAGTTGTAGAAGCGAGTATTGTATTAATCAGTAATTGTACAAATAGTGTGGTTTGAGAGTGAGTTTGTTCACGCACATTCTGAATTTGGTAATAAAGGCGTTTTTGGGAATTCGAACATGAAACTCGATCTCTTTGGACTGGTCGATGCGGTTGGCCACTCGGCTGGAGATGACGGTGGTGGCATAGCGGCTGGTCACTGTGGAGTTAATGTGGAAGCTGTAGATGTCCCAATCGTCCTAAGCAAACACACATTTCTCAACATGAAGAGGTTTTTTGCCAGAGAGAATAATTTGTTTATCCCTAAAATGGTACAAAATACAATAAAATATTCCTATTCAACACAAAAACTAAAATACTTGTTTTAGTAGAAATGTTATGTGTATTACGTGATCATCAATACAATACTGATACGGCTGAGTTTAACTGAAAGCACTGACTGTGTTTTGTAGGACATAGTTTCTGAATAAGGCTCTCGGAAGAAAAAATGCTCTAAAATTAGAATTAATTCATATTGGGCCTTTGAGCTAAATTTAGTCTTAGTTTGGTCCTGTTACTAGAAGATTATTTGTAAAGCTTATATATGCAATAATTATGTTCTTTTTGTTTGTCTGAAATGTGTCCAATCTAGTGCCGAGCAAGTATGATGCATGTTATTTTTAATCTATTGATCCACTGCAAGCATTTGACTTCAAACTTTATAGATTGAAGAATAGATTGTTGCCCTTATAGAGAATAGCAGCTTGTACCTTGTTGGGTAATGTGGTGACCAGCCCCAGCAGCAGTCCCAGGAAGAGGAGGACGGTGACCCTTCTCATTGTGCTCCCTTTGAACTGAACCACAGACCTGAACAGGACTTTTAAACCCTCACTCTATTCAAGTGTGCACACTCCTGAAAACACCCACTCTTCTGACCAGCAATTATAAACTGCTTGGAGATATGCAGTTTAAAAAGGACAAACAGCTGTCAAGACAAATAGAGGTCAAGCAAAAACAAATTTATTGTGTTTCTATCTTCAAGTATTTACAGCTTTATTATGAAACAGTTCTGAACAAGTCAGCAAAGTGCAGGGTGGAAAAGCAGGCGAAAGCATCTAAATCTGCAAGCATTAATAATAACACAAGTCAACTGCATAGAAACAAGTGACCCAGTTGTTTTTAAACAAAGTTATAGTTTTTGCCCTCCATTGTGCAGTGTCTGGAGCAAATTACATTGTGTGGACAATCTATGGTTAGGTAATTTATGTGTAAGTGCATGTATGCTCTAGTCTAATGAAGAAAGTGATAAGTAAGTCTCTTATTTTACTTGAAAGTTACATTCTTTAAAACTAAAGCTAATTGTAAATCTCGACCATGGTTTCGACACGTCATCTCCACTATCACCAGCCCCTAATTTTAAAGTAACTCAAAGAATCAGATCTGATCGTTTCTTAATAATAGAGGACAACTCTCCAAATCTTTACCATCCTTCACTTTTTGCACCATGTAAGCGCTTTAAGTTTAGGTGCTATAAAAGCAAATAACTTTGATTGTTGGTGATCAGCATCACATCTGTCAGGAACTGCATTATTTCTGACATATAATTGTTTGGACTATTCCATAATACCCTGAACTGCCAATAGCAGTTTCCAACATTCACTTTCCCTTAAATCCTTGAAAATAAACTCAAAGGCAAAAACAAGTAAAGCTACACATTGCAGTTTCTGAGGTATGGATGATTATTTTACAGCCACATGTCCAGCTTGTCCGTGCAAGCTGTGAGTGGAAAAAGTAAACCTTCCCTTTTCATGTGAGAGGAGAAGCTCTCTAATGTCTAAATGCTTTACAACAGAACCTGCAGTTCAAGGCACTCTCACAGGTCGCTTTGAAAACCTGTAGATAAATTTCAAGTTCATTCATGTCCCTAACATTATCTTAGTAACTGAGGAAGCCGATATTAACACACTCTTCACTAGCGCAAAACTTCACAGTGACAACTTAATGGCGCCTAACAGTGTTGCGTAGTTGCAGCACCAACCTATAGGTTGTTGTCTGTACACGTAGCACAAAGCCTTGACACTGTATGTATTTACATGGCAGCTTACGGGAGGCGAACTCAGCAAAATCATTTACAGGCACAATAAATGATATAAGTAACGTAGCCTTGTGTTCTATTGTCTTGCTGATACACAATCCTGATAAACTCAAGAATACAATTTGGAGTAAAAAAACAAAATCATTATTGTGAATAGATTTTCCCACAGTATTGAAATATTCAGTTGATGTAATGCTGGTACAAGTACCTCTTAATTTAGAAATAAAAATGTAGTTTCTAATAGATGGCTATTAGGTAACATAGGTAATATTTGTACAGAATTAAAAGCAGGTCTTAATATGTACAAATCATGCTGGTTGAATATGTACAATACTGTATGCAAATATAACCTACACTTCTTGTCCTAATCATTGTACTGTGATAGAGTTGGAAGACACAAAGCTACTGTAGTCACTGAGTCCTAAGGTCATGAGGTGGAGGCTGATGTGATGGAGGAGTAGCTGGGCTGGGGAGGGCATCCAGAGCAGATGGGACAGGGCGAGAGGCAAAGAATGCTCCTGAAGGTTGTGGGTAGGGAAGCGCTGGTCCCTGGCTGATGGAGAGCTCAGAGGGCAAAGCTTGGAGCGGAGACACAGACAGGGGGAAGCAGGCCCACTGTCCTGGGGGGACATGGTTCACCGGGGCACATCCCGAAGCTTCAGATAAAGGAAGACTGTAGGGGTTCTGATCCACCACTGGCCACACCTGCAGAATCAAACAGAGAAACTGTACTAGATGGATGATCTAAAAGTGTCTGGAAGTAGTCCTTCACTAGTCAACATTTTCATTTAAAATCTAAGAATAAGAATATTTATTCTGAGTAGCATAAACAGTACAGATGAAACTTGGAAAATATAGGTTTAATGATTATGGCTTACAATATCTCACTTTGTGTGAAATGAGTGTGCCATTAATTAGTCTTAGTATATAAATAATATATACCAGAGCAGAGAAAATGGTTCGTACAGTACAAAGCGGCAACACCGCTTCTGCTGCTGTGACCTGTCCTGTCCCATCCAGCGACTACACCACCTGTACTGCTGTGACGTAAAGTGCTGTTGCATTTGAATACTATTGTATTACTGTATAGCTACTTTTTGAATGATCTTTTTATGTGTTTTGCTATGTAAAAGTTACTATCTAAAAATGTAAAAACACTTCTTATTGTTATGTACCCCTTTTGAATAAAACCTACACTGGAAACATTAGTGTGCTGCTGCTGCTGCTGCTGCTCTTCACTGAGATGCTGCCCACTGATGCTCAGAGAGTTGGTTCGAGGCCGATGGGTCACGATGAGCACCTCCTGGGCCCAGTCTTCCATGAGCCGCTGCAAGTCGTCACAAAGGACATGCTCCGTGACGCTGTAGGAGCGCCTCTTGTTGTTGCTGTTGTTGGCCTGAGCCAGGCCTATGATGGGCTGATGAGGCGGGGGGGTGGTGCCTGATGGGGGCTGATGAGGCTGACTGAATGCCCCAGGTCCTGCACCCGACCCTATAAAATACAAAATTTGTTTTCAATTGAGATACATTTTCTATTTTTAAATTAAATATAAGGATCACTACTTACTGGTTCCACGGTCTTTGCCCAAACATAATCTCTTCAATGTTGTCCCTAACATACAAAAGTTTACATTTATATCAATTGTGCACAGATATGAAGAGAAAGTTGCTGCTAAATGATTCCACTAAAACAAGACTGAACAAAAATAAACAAGAACAGCGCAGCCATTTTCATTAACAATCATGCTGCATACATAAAGAATCAAAGAGAAAAAAATAGTTTTGAAGTGATGGGTCTGCCATCTTAACCATGCAGAGTGTGGAAATGCTTCTGAACAAGTATTAGGACACAGTGCATTCATGTTTATACTGACTTATTCAAACCTTACGTCAAGGCCAAAGGGTCAATGAACTTTACCGCCACAACAAGTCAAACAAGGACTAAGAATTTCTTACAAATAGACATGAGTTATTGATTCCCAGGTTTGAATAAATAAAAGCAAGTTTAATAGCAAAAAAGCTTCATAAGGTGACAGAAATAAGAGCAACAAATGGTGAAAAATAAGAGATACAAACAGATAGATAAAGACACGGGCCCACTCAGAAATCTAGCACGAGGCTTGCTACTGGATTTATAAGTCACGCTCTCTGTTGGTGGAGGGTAATTTGACCAGCCTGCAGAAGGATGTAATCACAGATGCACACAACAGTGAGGAACATATACCTGAATTATCTATAACATTTCACGAATCTTCAAATTCTGAAAAAGATAAATAATGTATACTGCTATGTCACCTTGTGCTGGTGGAACAGTGCTGCTGTCTCTGTGAGGACCAGAGTAAATGTTGTCAGAGGAGAAGGAGCCCTTGAGTGAGCAGGGCTGCTGTGTTTGCACTGGCTCAGCTGTGGAGATGGGCAGGTGGCTGGTGCAAGAGCGCGGCCTGCCCTGACTGGGGAAAGGCCCTTTTGCAGGAGAGCCATTCAAACTCACCACAGTCTCCCCTGTTCCAGCTGTAGCCGCTGAAAATAGCAACACAAACTGATTTGCAGTGTTTATCACAATTAGGGGAAGAAGATTTTTTTACTAACTGGTCTTGCTGGATTCATTGGTCCGTGTTGTGACATTTCTGAACTGTTGAACCAAAGGGCTGAGGAGTTTGCTCGCCTTGAGCCGGTGTTTGGTGGATCTCTTTCTACGACCTGCAGGTGGTGCTGTATGGGAAAGTCCCAAGCCTGGTGGTGGTGCTTTACCAAGACGGCGATACAACAGTTCTACTTCATCTCTTTGGTGGGCTTGTAACTCAGAGATCTCACGTAGATGTCTAGAATTATGAAGTCGGAACATCAATAAATTACAGGAAAACTATATTAAAGCAATGAAATACTAAAAGTAATATTTGATACATACTTCTCTCTGAGCCTCTGTAACTCTTTTTTTATGTCAGAGTCCTCCGTCTCAGAATCGTTGTCGCTGCTGCCACATGCAGAACCGTGCGCCTCTCCGTGACGCGCTGGAGAGTCCGAGCTCTGAACACTACTGCTACGTCCTGAGCGACGGAGGAAGGCCACCGCCCTCTTCATGAGGTCACTTCCTCTTCGCTCAGAGTGACTGTGTCGGGACGGGGTGGAGGTGGGTAGTTTTGCAGGGCTGCTCTCTGCCCCAGAGTCAGAGGACATAAACCGGGCATGAACTGTGATGTCCACTGGAACAGAGCTGGAGGCTGGTTGAGGCAAAGAGTCCAGGTAGAAGTCTGGTGGAGCGGAGTAGCGACTGCAGCGCGTCCTTTGTGTCAGCTCGTCCTCTGTGCTCACAACAGAGAAACGACCGATTGTTGTGGACTGGGCCAAGACCTCCACCTGCTCCACCATGTGCCCTGCAGGCTGAGCAGGAGAGGCCACGCTGCTCCAGCTCCTCTGCTTCACATCACGTCTGTTAGCCACTTCAGGTGGAACAGACATTTAAAGACATGTTTAACTCAGTGATTTCAAAGGTTCAACATTGTAAAAAGGGGAAATGGTTATTTCATGATAAAGACAGAAGGTTTAAAAGGACAAGGTAAAAAGGGTTTAATAAATATACATAGAAATACATGGTTATAGCATTCAAAGTAGAAATTGTCAAAGTTAATAATTTAAGGTAATTCATTAAGATAGTATATGGTTTAAAAGGTATAAGGTAAAACACATGCTGCTAAGAGTTACTAATTGTATCGTTTGTCTGTTTATATTGTAGCTCTTACGGTGTGTTCACACAAAAGGAAAGGCTCAATAAAAGAAAGTTGTGAACCATCAGTTTGAGAGACCATCTTTTCGACCGCGGCTGCTACAACCATGGAATGCCTAAAAATAACAGTGGGAAAAATGTGTATCTTAGACAAGCTGAACACTTTTTTATAGAGGATTTAGGGCACGCTGCCAGCTGCAGTCTTGAGGCGACTAATGTGTGCATCAGTTTTTTGCATCACTCTGGATATTCTTAATTTTTTGCTATGTTGCACGGATGGAAAAATACAGTTTTAGTTGCTTGGTTTATATGTGTCCCCAGAAGAAGCAATCTTGGTTAATAATGACTTCTTTATAGTGTTACTAAGGACTACATTATTCAGTGTGATTACATTAACACCAACAGAAATAAACTCACCAAAGTCACACACACACCGCATCCAAAATAATCTCCCCACAAACTTCTCCCAACTCAACCACAAAGTAGTAACATGCAGAGAACTGAGTACCAATCCTTGTGGTTCACCCAGTTTACACTAGTATTTGGTGAGGAGTGATCTAATAAATAGATATTAAGCCAGCCACGTGCTGTTCCCTGAGACCTATGCCACATTTAAGCCTCTGAATGCTGTGATCTGTGTCATATGCAGTGATCCTGATTATTCTGTTGTACCCAAAGCAGGTTTTAAAGACTGACTATTCAATCAATCAATCAATCAATCCTTTATTGTCTCACAGATGGAGAAATTCAGTTCGATGAATAAACATCAAGGCCGGCTGCGGAAAATAACATATTTCCGCGCTCCTTAAGACACAGTTTGTTCCTGCTCCGAGCAGGCTCACATGGAATGGTCTTTAACATTGGCTTTATTAGTTCTTTGACATTTGAGATACATTTATCATTTATGGTTATTTTCATTATATTTTTTTCTTGTGGCACAAAAAAAGTATTTTGAGTAAGTTTAAAAGTGATTAAGAATGTATCTGATGTTAGCGGATTTTGACGCTGGATGTGATTATGAGTCTGAATGGGTTCCCTAACAATCTAGTGTGTGTGTGCGATTTACTTGGTATTCTAATTTAGCATATTATCTTCCAAACCAGAAGTCAGATTGCCTATTAGTGTATCAAGAATATTTGCGACATGAATATATTGAATGTTAAATAGTGGAGTGTTACATTTGTCCATCTATCCCTCTGTTGAAGGGCCTTGTCCCTCATCCATAGACGTAATACTCACATGTATTTATTTTACTCTATTTAGATTCTGAAGTAGTTTGACGTGATCTATTACAATGATACATTTTCTATATGTGTTTTGAGAGGTAAATATTGATAGAAAAATAAATAAAAGTAAAAACACATATCTAACTATCTTATCTTGGTGGCAGCCCTTTCCGCTGTGGGTGAAAGTAATGCAGCTTTGTGGGAGTGTTTGTTAACAATGGGTCTGTGAATGTTTTATAGTCTCTGGCTGGCCATCTGTGACCCACAGAACCAGCATGATCACTCAGAAAGATTTTAAGGCTAGATTTTTTTTCCCCCATTGGTGTCAATACACTAAACCCCACTTTGCCTGAAGCCCCCGCTGAAAGATTTAAGCTCCTGTGGACTCACCACCTGCAGGAGGATCAGTGAGGGGCTGGTGCTAAGTGTACTGGGTGCAGCTCTGACTGCCACCCCCCTGACCCAGAAATGGATTAAGGGGAAGAAAATGGATGGATGGTGTCAAGTTATCCTTGTCACCAATAGGGTTATTGTATATAATGTAGGGCTGTCAAACGATTAAAATGTTTTAGTTGATTAATCGCACAGAAATGGTGAGGTAACTCACGATTAATCGCATTTTTAACATTCTATTTCAAATCCACTCCAATTGAAGTTAAATGAGATTATCAAATGTCATTCATACCACATTGTCATTCATACCAAATGTACTTAAATCTGTTAGATTTGCTCACAACCCTTTGCTTTTGGGCAAAACCAACATGAGCTGTTAATGAAAAGGGGAAATTTACATACCCCAGCTTTAATTCAGCGAGTTTAGTTTAGTTTCAGGAGGAGACAGGGACACTTCCGCAGTGTATTTGCGTGCACAGGTTATGCACAGGTTGCAAAGACACGAACACAGCATGCAGACAATAGTTCTGTGGCGTGTATGGTCTTATATGACCATGTTACCGCGGCGCCACTCACTCACAGCCGTGTTGTTGTGAGCGCCTCACAGCCAGAGCGGCCGCGGAGGAGGCGGACCTCAGTCCACAGCAAACAACAGCCCCGCGGTGACGCGCTTGTTCTTTTAAAACATGAATTCCCAGAGAGCCTACCTGCTCTGATGCATCTCACACGCAGCATTCTGAGTGATATTAAGGATAAATGGGCGGGTCATTCGGACTTGCGTTAATGCGTTAATTTTTTTTTTAACGCGTTAATGAAAAATGTAATTTTGACAGCCCTAATATAATGTCATTTAAATGTGAAATAGGCTTGACAGTTGTTGTACAGATCAAACATTTCCCTATTTTGTGACGATATATTGGCCTAGACCAGGCATGTCAAATCCTGTGGATCAAATCCGGCGTGCAAGACCATTTTTATTGGCCCTGGGCCCTGAAATCATCATATAATTAAATTTGTTTTAAAATGTTAACTAACATGTACATCTGCTCCCAACCAGAAGTACTTATGTTTTTAAACTTGGCACCCAACCCAAAAACACCCCTGGCATCTGGTGAAGTTAGTCCATCCATCCATCCATCCATTTTCTACCCTTTAATCCATTTCTGGGTCAGGGGGGTGGCAATCAGAGATGCCACCCAAGTCTCAGTAAAATATAAATGATTGCTTAGTTTTCAGTTGGGCAATTCACCCTCTTGAGGTCGCCAAATAGCCAGATTGAATGTCCCTGTTAGAACTACTGGAATAACTCGTAGCTAAAAGTAGCCTATTTTTTGTGTCGAGTCATCTTCACAAATTGCGACAAAACACTTAGTTATACCTAGTTTGCCCAATGTTTGGAGTATGTGCGTAATCCTTGCCATGACCTACTTCCCCCTCCTCTTATTTGGAGGGAGGGGGAGCTGACGTCACACCCGACTCTCTCGCGCCGCTTGTCTGCGCCCATCGCCCGGACCACCACCGTGAAGCCTGCCGCTCTGAAAGCTCCATGACACAAACCATTCCTGTCCTTCTAAACCATTTAACGAAGCAGCTGGAACGAAATGGCCACGGATCATATGGAAATGAACGGGGATGCTGATCCAAACGCAGAGACGGAGGTAATTCTGTAGATCTTTCTCTCTGTTAAGCCTTTGAGTATAGTGGCGGCTGTAGGGACCAAGGGCAGTAACAAAGTCCATTCTACGCGTGAGCTTTTTCCTTCTATAAGAGAATTAATATTTACCTAAACTGCAAACTAAGAATTATTTGTCATACAGACACACATCTCAGGCGTTAGCATTCTTTACCATTTAAAATAATTTTGTGTAAAGTTGATTAGTAACTAAACTTTGTCGCTCGTCCCTTGGTGTTGTTTGGACCCCCAGAGTAGATCTAATGACATAACACCAAACCATGGACGCACCAAAGGAGTCCAGGTGCCTCTGCGTTACAGGTGCAGAGGCAAACTGTTACGTTGTGATGACATGTCTGGGGGGAAAAACACATACTTGACTTTGTCCCTTTGTGAATACATTGTTTACCCCAACGCTTTTGTCTGGATATAATAATGATAATAACAATTGCATTATCCTCACATCCTCACGTTTAGGTTTAATCTTCTAGGTATGTCTGTGAGTGATTATGAGGAACAACTAGAGCTATTGATTACCATTTCTACCACATCCTCTAAATTCCAGTCTATATTAATTGGACATGAGGCTTCCCGTAGATATCAGTCTAATTATTATTATTGGGTTTTTTAAGACAAGATTTAAAATGTAATAAGATTGGTTAATTTAGAGGAAAGGTCTGTTTACATTTTTTTCCCTCCATGCATTTCAAGCCAACCTTTTCCTGAGTATGAGAAGTTGCCAACCTGGGCATAAAGGAGTCATTGTTGGGTCATTCTAAACATGTAAAATTCTGTCTCCTGAGAAATCCCAAGTGTCAGCAGTGGGATGTCCCCGGTGTATTTTACCATAGTTACAACCAACTCAGGACTCATAAGGAAAATAAGCCTGGGTCTTCAGTGATCTTAATGTTAAACTACTAGATGATTTCAAAATGCTAAATAATTACATTACATGGTTATTCAAAGTGTTCAGTAACCTATTGGCTTGTTGAATTTGTCCACAGTGTTCACCTATGTCTATTGTTAAAGTTCTTTGTTTACATTGTGACTTTTTGTCCTTCATTCCAAAACTCTATGCACTCTATGACTGTTCACTCATTCATTAATATAGAAAAACAATTATGATTGGCCCATCCCTTTCTCTGGTCACAATGTCAAGATCCTAAACATCTTTCATATGTATAATTGACATCAGTGTGTGACACGATTGACTTATTTCCCTTGTATTTAGGTGGAGTTACTTTAACTTTTGCACACAGTTTAGTTATGACCCCAGGACTACAGGAACCAGGATGTGGCGTGCCTTGCCACAGAGTGTCAAAAAGTATTCTGACCTCTGGAGGCTTCCTGTTTTTCATGTTCTATCATATGCTTTCACTTCTCGATCCTGATGCAGAAATAATTGTATTTACTAAAAAGGGAAGTAAAAGGATTGTGTATGTGCCAATATTGAAAAGCACAAAAAATCACATTGTTTGTAGATCGTGATTATCAGGAAAACACCAACCATGTCGCAATCACAGTGTGAGGGGCAGAAGAAGAGATAAACATTAGGAACAGGTAGCATGAGTTTCCTTTCACTGTAATTGGCCTAAATATAATGCCCAGATTCATTACGTTTTGGCAATAAAAATACTTATTGTTTTTGTCACCTCAGTTTGTTTTTAAATGTATTTTTACAACGAATGAAAAAAATGTCTATTGTCTGTGAAATGTCTTATAATTTGTCTAACCCGCTCTAGCAAAGTCTATTCTACATTGGAAATTACAAAAACAATTGTGAGAAGTTTACTTTGTATTTGATTAGTCTCTCTCTTGACCAACCACTTGTCCTCCACAAAGTCCTCACCAAACTCTCCTGTGTGTATTGGATGTAGATTCCTCTGCGGGGCCATGGGAAGAGGCTGCAGAGGCCCTTGAACATGAACCACTATGCCAACAAGAAGAGTGCGGCGGAGAGCATGCTGGACGTGGCTCTGCTGATGGCCAACGCCTCGCAGCTCAAGGCCGTTCTGGAGCAGGGCCCAGACTTCAGCTTCTACAAGGCCCTCATCGCACTCATCAGCATCTCCCTCATTCTGCAGATAGTGGTGGGAATACTGCTCATATTCATCGGTGAGTTATTCTTGCACTTGATGATTGCACCGATGAAGCCCTGTGGTTTAAGATAGAGCGAGATCCTTTATTCATCCCACAGTGAGGACATTTCAGTGTCGCGTCACCAGTTACAGAACAGAAGGAATGTAGCACACAGCAGATAGGTATGATAAATGAGAAACAGTTTGATACTAAATGCATTTTTTTGTTTTTATTTCTGTACTACAGTACTATAGTATACATGCACTTGTCTTGTGTACACTGGGAACCTTCGCTGATGTATTCTAATTCACTGCAAATGGCAAACTGGCAATGGCAATCTGAAAATAAAATATAATCTCTAACTCAAGCATCAAAAATAAACAAGTATAAAATCTCTCTATTTACTATTATGAGTTCAAAAACTAATGCAGCAAGTATAAAGTACTGTGTATTCTAGTGCATGTGATATACTGTATATTGTTGTATGTATACCTCTGTACATATAGCAGAGTGTATGGGACAAAGTAGCATGATTACTAGCATGATTATCACAGAAAGAAAAACAAAGGATTTTTATATTTCATTGTTCTTACTCAGAAGACCAACAATTTTAACAAACAACTTCTGCTTTCCAAAAGAATAGTTCAGTCACCTTACTCCAGCTGTTTAACCGTCACGTTATCTTATTAGAACAGAGAACGTCTGACTGAAGCCGTAAGAGATTGTGAAAAGGAAGACACACCAGATCTCAGCTGCTTCCCATTTGAATATTCAGCTGGGAGAACATAAAGTTCCACATGCGGAGAGGGTGTGAACAAATACTCTCTAAAAAATAACAAGATCAATGTAGAACTTGAACTGTCATAAATATAAAGCTGTGCAAAACATTTATTTAATAAGGATTCAAGCCTGGGCCGTTTTAATTGAAAGATCTAAAGCCGTTCCCATAATTGTAAAAACATGCTTTGGCAGAATAACTACTTTTTGGTGTGAAAGATCGCAAGAGTGAGAGAAATTAGGGAAATTGTTGAATGCATTGTTATTTTGTCTATGCTTGAGGATTAACAAACACCAAACTGATGTATTATCCATTATTTCATACTGGCACTAGCGACAAAGTCCAAAATTTGATGTAAACACAAAGTCCTGAAATGTTATAAGAAATAGGGGACTACTAAAATCAAAGACAGAAACAAACTAAATTGTGGGAAGCCCGGTCGCTGTATAGAAAGTGACCTGGTTTGTGTAACAATTCTGGTTCTTTGGTGCTTAAAGGGTTAAATCACTTTTATGTACTTTTTTCCTCAAACATAAACATTACTAATGCTGGACATTTTATAAAGTGTAAAATGGGAAATAACCAGAATGCACTCTATGTCAGGGGTGGGTATTTATATTCTCTGGGGCCACACGGGGGATTGGTATTATTGAGGGACTTGTTACAAATTAAATTAAATGGTAACCACAAGTAAACAACATTTTTGAGTATAAACTACTTCAAATAAAAAGTGATAAAAATGTACGTATTTTTTGAACAAAAACATTTGAAGAGAAGGAGAGGGAAACCTGAAGTTATCCAATGTCTTGTTTGTGTAAAGTGGTTCGTTTATGTTTTGCATCTGCAGTTATATTGTTATTTTGTTTGAACCATTTACAATCGGGGATATACTTAGAGGATTTTATTTTATTTTATTGAATTAACCAAAACTGGACTAATACAATGAAAGCAAAGCATTATTCTATTAATAATTAAAATAAAGTATAACATGCCATCGTAGCCATAATGAAGTTGCAAACATTCATTGGGCACTACCCAATGAATGCATGAAAGCATGTACATGACACAACAGGCGCTAAATGAGACTTAGGAAAACGAGTGCCCTGTAAAGTAGAGACGCATAACATAAGATAAGAGAACCTTTATTCGCCTATTGCAGGCAATTATATGAACAAATCATACATTGTACTTAATTTCTGGTCATTAACGCACACTGGCACACAGGGGACAACGAGTCCTTATTGTTCGTAAAAAAGTATTTCTCAAGTGCTCTTTCAATAGCACGCAAGCCCAAAGCCAAAGTAATAACTATGTGCAAACCGAAAATCTAACATGAGGGGCGCACTTCTTGGCTTTTTTCCTACACTCAGTGACGATTTAGCCCTGTTGTTGAGTACGCCCTCTTGTGGACGTCAGTGTAACGGAACTTTATTTTTGTGCTTTCAGTGAAGTGGAACCTGAATGATCAGAGCATGCACTACAGACTGAACATCCTGGAGAATGTCGCTACTGCACTGGTTTTTGTTATTGTTGTTGTTAATGTCTTCATTACTGCCTTTGGTGTCCAGCAGCCCCCAAAAAGCGGATAACTGCGATTCACTGCACTTTTCATGTGGACCACAGGACAATATTGGATACTGTTATAATCCAAAGAAACATTTAGAACTTTCTAATGAGCATGTGAAAGCATCATGCCGCTGCCTTCTATTACAACTACACTATGGACCAAGGAGTTTTTTGTTTTTTGGTATTATGTGGTATTTTTTTGTTACCTCAAGTTACTGAAGCTAAAGGCCTTAATATTCAAAGACAAGACTGTTTCGAAGCAGAAACCATTCTTACAATTGCAAGTGTACAAAACTTACTTTTGACCAGTGCATTAATAACTCAAACACCTCAATTATAAAGTGGACTTTGTATCGTTTTCTTCTATGCAATTTGTTGTGCATTCTGTTATTGCATTTATGCTAAATACTGAATATTACTGTGTATTTTAAAATGAATAATTATGAGCCGTCAGCTAAATTCCTCAGCTGAGATGTTAAATAGAATACAATTACTTGTCCTACATATTTATAGTATGTAAAAGGCATGATTTGGACATATCCTGACCTCGACACAGGCTGTCTATTTGTTTTGGTTATTATTATATTTTTGACAAAACCAGAATTATGTAGTTAATGTATTTGTTATTTAGATAGTGCAGTAAATGTTTATGTCTGGATTGGACAAATGTGTATCCATTGTCCCACAGTCGCACTCATTCACCCTGAACTATTGTATGTGCCTCAGCCTTGTGATCAAAATAATTGCAACTATATTAATTTCCTGTGATATACTCTGTAAAACTAACCCTAAATTATTGTTTTGACCAAAGACCATATATTTATTTTATCATGTTATTGAATACACTGTGACACTTTTGTATTGGATTGATTAATAAATAAATAAAACAGTCTGTGTAGTTAGGCTCCTGTTTAATAGAAACACAATGATACAAATGACCAACACAGATGCAAATGCATTGCTTTACATGAAATATCGGGTTAGTTGTTTTTACCATGTCATTCTTTTCATTCAGTTTTGTTCATTAATGAGAAGCTGCCAAAATACATTATATGTATTTCTGTTAGAGGGAATGAGGCCAAATCATGTTGTTCTATACAGATCAATTAAATAGTTGGCTATGTCTATTGATGTAACGCCAAGGAGATCTTTTTACCTCCAATTATAAGGAAGGAACAAGCTGCATCCTGCCGGAGAGTACGGAAATGTGTTATTTTTCACAGACAATGAAACGTGTCGTGGGCTGTGGTTAGTTAGGTGATAAATTATTGAGTACTGCGATGCATCTCCTGTGACTATACCTTTAATTGGTCAATAATGTGGATCTCACTTTAGTGGGTGTTCAAGAACATATGAGAAAAAAAAAACTTGGTTAGAGATGCCACGAAGTAAGTGGCAGTGCCTTAACCGTATGCGTGTTGCAGGCCACAGGGGCCATTTCCATCCTTGTCAAGGGGAGTGCTAACCTTCTCTCCTTTCATACAACACAATCTAGAAGGCGGGAAGACGGCTTTATATACGAGCGCCACATACCTACACACCTCACTCATGGTCTCAAAATAACATAGGCAGAAAAGGTGGATCTTTTAAATTACTAGTTCAGTAACAAATTACAAGCAATTTTCCATGCGTTCTAATCATCTACACAGACGAGTATAATAGATCGATGATGGTAATACTTTTAAAAAGAAAAAAAGGAAATCCCATAATGCAACACGGCAGTCGTATCCGGGTACGAACAAAACAGTCTATAAACACGTAACGATCCACACGACGCTTAATTAACTACAATAACTCTGATGTGAATATGTGCGTAAGTAGCCAACGAAATAAATAGTTTCTTTCATTTATACGAATCTATAACATCAAGTAATCGCTTGGTCGAGTGTGATGCATTGACTCATGCGACCACAAGAGGGCGACATTCTTTACTTTTTAGCAGATGAATAAGGCCTCCTTTTTGGCATAAAGTGCGGTCTAATTAATGAGAATATGTTATTTCTGTTTCAAAATACAAAACCACATTATTTTAAACATTACAAAGTTAAAAAGGTGTTTTAAGGCCTAATAAATGCAGTGCTTTGGCATTTTTTACACCCACAGTGAGTAAATGTTTGCATTTGTGTGTAAATGTATTATTTCTTGAATGTTTCTTCTGTGTACCATATTAGAACCTCTTGTGCCCTTTTCTTTAGGCCCAGAGCTGCCATTCCAAGAGCACGGCTTCCTCCTGTCAGTTTAGCTTCTAAAATTAAATAGACACGATTTATTGTCTCAGGGAAATGGAGACAGCATAAAACAGTCATTGAAGGAAAATACTCACCTCCATAATAATAGACTAATGCCAATCCCAATGCAATGCTAAAACAACCAATGAAGAAAAGAGGCCCTAGCAACAAAATAAAGACAATTAATGCATTTAATTTTAGTTGGTTTTATTTTAGTATCTGGTAAATTAAATATATTACAACAATAAATGTTATACTCAAGCATATCTTTGCACTCTTACCTTGATCGTTCAGGACATGTTTCTGCTGGAGAGTTTGCGGATATCTCAGTGGATCTAAAGCATCTAATCCAAATGTAATTGCAAGTGTTATGGTGTAAAATAATAATATGGAATTTATATTGTTATTTTACCCCTGAGGCGAAGTCGCGTAGGTAAACTGTAGTACACCTCTTCTACGTGTAAGTGCAGGGCTCTGTATAACTCTCGACAGGCTTCTTCTCCTTTACTCTGCAAATATGTCAAGAGCTCACCGATACAGACACTGGTGGGAACATCCAAGTTCCGAAACTGTTTAGAAGAAGTAAACATTTTATAAGAGGGTTGTAATAACACATTTCTGCTGTTATTGTAAAAGGTATTTTCTTGTGTACTTACTCTGGTGGCCTCTTTATCTGTAAGTATTTGAGGGTATGTCCGGTTCAGTTGCAAGATGAGTTTGTCCACCAGCTCGGTGTCTAGTCTGTGTTCATTCGTGAGGAAAGTGCTGTCCTCCGTGAGCTGGTCGTGAAAACTGTCTGCTGATGAGAGGTTTCGGAAATATTAGATTTCTCAGTACAATATCTGATTAACTATGTTTTGCTCATTTGGCTTTTTACATCATTTATTTTCACAATTTGCAAATGCCTTGACCAGACAATAGTGTGTAACTGCAGATGGCCACCATAGACTGTAAATATCAGGCCAATTGATTAATGTTTCATTTGTAAGCTCAAACAGTTGGTAGTTGATAGATCTGAAAGTATGTTTGGTCCAATACTATAATACATCCATGGTTTGTTATTTAGTGGCAAGGTGGCTGAGTGGATAGCGGTGGATTTTGTATATTTCTTCACATGTCTGGGTGGGTTTCCTCCTGACACTCCGGTTTCACTCACCACCTCATGAACCATAAAATTCACCAGGGAAAGTAAGATAAGATAAGATAAGACAGACTTTATTGATCTCGCACTGAAGCAATTTACATGTCACATTTTGGCATGGATGGAATCACTCAAGATTTGTGCAAAAGAAAGAAGTGTGTAAACATGTTAAAGGCTAAATATATAGTCTTTTCAGGATATATTATGTACAATAAAAGTGGAAATTAAAGAAACAGTGGCAATAGTAGTAAGTCGTGACCAACATCTGAAGATGGGTCCACCTCTCCTGACAGGTCGCACTAGTGGCATTGAAGAACGGGTCAAATGCATGGGACAAATTTGGCTACAGGAAAAGTCATGTAGATAGATAGTGGTGCAGTAACTTGACAGGCTACTAATAACTTCTACTTCAGCGGGTCTTGGACGATCCACCTGGAAAGTTACGTAGAGCAACATTAAAGAAAAAAAACCTTTAATGTAATAGCCTCAGTTCAAGTGCGACAAAGCTGAATATCGTCAAAGTCTCATCCAAGCCCCTTTAGCATTATTGCTGGTCATTTAAAATAAACTAAGAAAGACCTCCTTAAAACTTTTGTAACACATGAACGCGCTTGGTAGCAAAGGGAGAGACATGTTAGTTAGCGTGTCGTTGGTCCAGTGCAACAGAAGCCGTGCCAGGAGAAAGCAAAGATCAAGATTTATTTAAAAGCCTGAATAATGGTGTACTTTTATATAAATACACAAACCTCCCATAGTGGAGTCCCGAGTCCTCTCTCTGCCCTTTGTCCGGACACTCCCTCTGACGTCAGCGCGCACACTTACGTTCTCAATCCAAGCTAACTGCTAACATCAATGAATCAAAAGCATGGATCTATTATAATAACTGATAGAATAGATCAAAAGCAACATTCTGACAACACAAAACTATAAAATACAACTTTAGTCATATCTCCACACAAATCAAATGCAGGAATTGAAATGCAAAAACTAAATAAACCAGTTTAAATTGTTATATAAATGATTAAACTAATCAAAACACACATTTGGTATTGAGTTAAGGAAGCTAATTTTTGTATCTTTTCATAAACATATTTCTGATGCTCTTGACTTTTTAATTCTTTATCAAAGACGCCACATGATCATGCTTTGGTTGTATCGCTTCAGTTATACATCATGAAACAAAAGAGCCTTGAAAATTAGATTTATTTCACATGACATACACGTTTCACCAGATGCCACACACAGACATGAATCTTTCTAGTGGTTCACCAGAGGGTCGCTCAACTCAAACGAACACTAAAATAAATACAGCTGCAGCCGTAACAGACAAATAGAGAGGACCTCAAATCTTAAGAAACATTTGGATTTAGTAACATTTATGGTTTCATTATTTTATGTCATTGTGCATTTTCAACAAACTGGGCACAACAAGAGCAACATATTAGATAATTATATATATATAAAATTAAAATTAAAATAAAAACATTAGAATCTCTCCTTCATGGACAGTTAGAAATACTGATGACATTGTTATGTTCAAATGTTTTTCTTTAAGAATAAACAACTATTAATATGAAAAAAAAGTGAGCGCTTGTGATTAAAAACTATAAATAGAGTTTTAGACATTTATCACAATTGTATCATAAAATGTATTTTCCAGGCAGTGATAAAGAAACCTGTCACGAAAAGGCAGAAAACTGTTAAGGCATAGGAGCTTGCAGTCTTTTTATGTTTCAGAATATTCTGAAATGTCAGGTCTGACGAGTTATTACAAAGAGAAAACCTGATTAATTAACAAAAATAAAATAAATATCTGTTATATTCATAAACACATGACATATCTGGCATAAAAAGACAAATCATATGTAATACTTACAAGTGGCATTGTTAGTTTAAAAGAATAGCTAAAAAGAAAAGTGCTCATCGTAGGCAAGACAAAATCATTCACATATGTGGCGTTCATGTGATCCCAGAAATGTTTAGAACTTTATTTTAACAGGTGACATGTTTGAGAACAATTTCCTGACCTGGTTATGTGACGAGACACGGTTTGCAATTGGAAGATTTGCAACATGATAACTTCTGAAAGATGGAGAAAATAAAAACAGTTATCCACAGGATTCTGTGGTCACATGAATGCAGCATCGGTCTCTGTCATTTGAGGGTTGAAGGACTGAGAGCAAGAAGGCAAACCACTTTGGCACTTTAGAAAGTGACTTGACAAATACTGTGAGTAAAAAAAATGGTCCAGGTGCACAGGGAATGGCCACTGGGCTAGGAAGACAACCTGTAAAAAAAGTTTAAATATTTTGTATTTTTCATCTGAACAAAACTATCAGTTAGAAACTGTAGTTCTACATGCATGCTCGTAGCCCTCTCTTGTCGCGCTATACCTCAGGCATGTTCTGGCGAATGATCAGAGCCAATTTAGTAGCATCCTTACATTACTTGTGGCTGGCTCCTTTTCCCTTTTTGCCCTTGCCGGTTGCCACTGTGGCGCTGTTTCGACGAGCTTGTTCGTGGTCAAACTCTAAATCTTCCAGTCGCTGTGTTAAGGCCAGTTTCTGCTGAATGGCCATCCGCAACAAGGAATTAAGAGTCTTTTTCTCATCTTCTGCTGCAGCAAGTTGTCTCTGCATATCATCCAGTTGAGTAACATACTCATCACACCTGGAGGACACAAGGAAGGAGGACACTGAAGCATGGATCAATTATAGTAGTCGTACAGGACATTACTAACACGGGTCACTCGCGATACTGCAGAAATCTTCTCATTGACCGTTTGAAACATGTTACAAGGAGTAAAGAAACAGCCCAGCAGGTTTTGTGAGTGTTTTTGACTTGCTTTTACTTGAAATCCATCAATCCACTATTTCATTCACTAAACTTTCCCTAAATCTCCACTGCTCTAAAGCCCCTTTCAGACCAGTGCAGCATCAGGTTTACATGCAAAGTCTACGAGGCGTGTTTGCACAGCAGCTCTGCAACCAGAAGAGGGTGTTTCGGTGGTGTGTGGCACATTTTTTTTTTAGACGGGACAGGCACAAGATCTCTGGTAAATAACTTAAGGCCACACGCCACATGATTATTCAACCATTTCAAAACTGCAACATTTAATTTTAACACCTTGTCAAGCTAGATTGAAGAAAAAATTATACATCCATTTATATTTAGTATTTCAGGTCTGTCCAAAGATTTATAAACAAACAAATAATGCTCTAGTGCAGCGGCTATTAAACTCATTTTCTTCATTGAGCCATAACCTCTCTAGGCTTTTTAAGTAGACATTTAACCACCACACTTAAAACAAATGTGTTATAGATCTGTATAAAAATGTAACAATGATGGTTGTATTTTTGTAGAACAAATATTCACCAACATTAAGTTTGTGTAACTGTCCACCAACATTGCTTTCCCCAACAAATACTGAACCTGGTCGAAGGAATTGTTATTGTACCTTGTGGCAAACATGGCTCGCAGTGAGGAGAATGTGGCAGCGTCTTCTTTAAGGGCCTTAAGTTCATTGCGAAGCTTCATCATGGTTTCTGTCACCATCACCTTTTCAATGTCATATTTACTCTTCAGGTTCGCCAGAGCAACCTCAGCAGTCTGAAAACAAGACAAATTGTTAGGATTTCAATTGTCGGAGTAAAGCATAGTTAATTTCAACAATATTGTTTTGAAAAACAACATACTTGTTTGTTAGCCTTTAAAACAGCTCGAAGAGTTGCAATTTGTTCTCGTTTGGTGCTAAGCAGAGACTTGAGTTTGAGGATTTCTTCCATACAAGCCTCTTTGTCCTTGTCTGCCACTGAGCTCAGCTCCAGATTGGCCAGTCTCTGCCGGGACAGGTCCGTGGTTCGATCCACAGCTTGCTGCAGGTGGCGGATCTGATCCCGGATGATTGCTACAAGATTATAGATGTTCATGGGCTCTGGACGCTGATCTGCAGCAGACTCAGCGAGGCCGTTTGTGAGTTCTTTTCCTTCTTGACCTCTTCTCATCAAGGCTTTGCCATCTTTGTAATAATCAAGCATGACACGATTGGGAGTTTCATTATTGCACATGCAGACATGGTTGTAAAGGTTTGCAAGCTCTTCACTAAAAGCTATGAGCTCATCCTGGGCAATATTTAGGCTTCCTAACGACTCTCCTGCAGCCTCAGTGGCCACACGCAGCTCCTTCTCCAGTCGGGTAACCAGGGCTTTATCTGCCTGAGTGATCTTTTCCAGAGAGGACAGACTGGCCCTGAGCTCTTGGACTGTTCCCTCCAGTCGAGCTCGCTCCACCTCATACTGGCTTCGACACTGATCATATTCTGCCTTAACACTCTTCAGTTCGTGTCTGAGCTCTTCTGCCTCGGACATGGCTACAGTATATTTGCACTTGAGAATCTCTGGGCCATTAATGTCTAACTCATAGTACTCTCCATCGTCGTGACTATCCCGCTCTTTCTCAGAGTCCAGAGCAGAGTGACGCTCTTTACTGGCCTGAAGTTTCCGCATGGCGCTGAGATTCTCCGTCAGCTTGTTGACTGTTTCCTTTTGCTCGGACACTGTGCCATAGGCCTGCTCCAGATGCTTCTGACTCTCCTGAAGGGAATTGATCAGAGCAACCTTCTCTCGTTCAACCTTAGGAGAAACAATACAAAACAGTGGTCAAGATGGTTCTCAGGAAAAAGAACATGATTAGGCACTATTCACAATTAAAAACACGCTGTTATTTGACATTTTACTATTCTACACCATAGGATGAGCTTTCTTTTCGATCAAACTTTCTGGTTGAAAGTAACACTTTTTGGACACGAGAAACAATTATTTTCTTCTTCCATCTGCCAAATATTCTTAATCACAAGGCATCACTGTAACATCAACTTGTCGTGGGACTACAGCCCTCATGGCTAAGTCTGGCATATTTTCATGGACACAAGTAGATAACTTCCACTGTTCCATTCAAAGAACAGTTTTATTTAAGATTTGCAGACTGTGGGACAAATAAAAGGTTCTATTTTCATATCTTTATGAGAACGGGTCAAGTCGCCTTAAGAGAAAAATCAATACCTGTACAAGCTGCTGTTTGAGCTTCTGAATTTCCGATATGTTAAGTTCGCTGAGAAGGTCGTCTACTAAGCTGGGGGCGGGTTTAAATCCATCTCTTTTGTTGTCATTGTCCCCTTCACCAAACTTGACCAATCCATTTTCGAAACCCCGGATGAGATCATCATTGTCGGGCTCTGTGACTGAAGGGTCGTCATGAAGCTTCAGGTTGTCTATGGATATATTGAAAGAGCTGCTGTAGACAGTGCCCCCTATGGTCATGTAGTGGGAGAGCTCTTTCCGTAGACTGGCCTTTTGCTCGCGTTCGGTCTTTATTGTCTCTAAGGCCTCAGCCAGCTGCCGCTCGGCGATCTCCCTCAGACGAATGGACTCCTCGCTTTGATTGTGCTGGCACTGGGAGTCCTCCTCCAGACGACGGATCTCATGTTTAAGGCCTTCAAACTCCACCTGAGGGCGTCAGAATCAAGTCGTTAAGATCCACTACAGAGAAAATGTGTTGCTCAAGTTTGTGTTACCTGGCTTTGTTTCAACACAGACACTTGCTTTTGAAGAGAAATGTTTTCTTCCTCCAACTCGCTGTAGTCTTGTAGCAGTCGCGCTTCTCTCACTTTATACTCCCTGATATCATCACGCATTTGAGTACGCTGCAGATCTGCAAGGTTTAAATTCTGAAATGGCAAAACACATTCACACAATTTATATACAAGAGATTGCATTTAAAAAAAGAAAACCACAAAACTTGCTTGTGGCCACACATTGTCAAACAGAACTACCTTTCAAAAGATAGAAGAAAGCTTGAGTCAGGTTGTGTTCAAACCTGTCTCAAACGGAGTGGACTTAGTTCACAGAACTGGAGTGTTCAGACTTTGGTTCGCTTGGAACACATTTTGGTTCAGTTGGAAAAATTATCCTTAGTTTGTGCAGATGTAAAAACACCAAACGCATGTTCACTGGTTGACTAGTCAAATAAATCAGTTCACATCTTATAGAACAGTTCTGTGTCTGGGACATGGAGTAATGTGTGCAAAGTGTGCCCAAGGTCTCAACAATGAACATATTTGCTTTAATAAAGCAGGAACTGTCTCCTAAGGACATCGTCTTCCTCCAACAGGACTGGATTTTTTACCCACCATTGTCATTCAAATTATGTTATTACAACAGATCATGGCAGATCTTTCCATCCAAATTATATTAACCTTTCTGAAAGCCAATGTACTTCCTAATATTTACTCAGTGGTATATCTCTTCCAGAGATGTTCAAAAATTGTAGTTTTTAAGTATGGATATTCTAACAATTGACCGCAGTGAGGAAACATTCATACCTCTTTCATCTCCAGAGCAATTGATGAGAGACGGTCGTTCTCAGCCAGAGCGCTAGTGAGGGAGGCTTTGGTCTGACGCAGATCATTCTGTAGCTCCAGGATTTTCTGCTGGTACTGGGCCTCTTTACTGGCAGACTCCATGATGAGAGACTCCTCTCTGCTCTCTCCATCTGCAGCCACCTTCCTGTGTGTGGAGTGCGCCTGTCCAAAGGCCTGGGGAAAGAAGATGTTACATGGGTAAGACTCATAGTGGCCGTTGATATTGTGGGTTTAAACACTAAAGCACTTATTCCCACTTTCCTCTGCAGCCATGCATCCATTAGTTGACACGCATTATGTAACATTGCCCATGACGCCGCAAGAAGGAAAAGTGCGTTGCATCTCGTTCATGCAATGGCCAAAATACAAAGTCAATAAAAAATGATCTTGTGAAGTTAGGGGCAAGGACAAACTTATACAACAGAAAATTAAATGTCATAGATAACGATAATTAATAGTAATAATACATTCATTTTATTTTTGAGTGCTTTTTTGCTCTCAAAGATGCTTTGTGTGTCATTATTCATTCACTCCGTGATAAAAATATTACTGTAGCCACAGTTGCCCTGGGGCACACTGACAGAAGCGAGTCATTCAGTATGTGCCATCGGCCCCTCCTTCTTGGCAAACTGGGTGAAGTGTCTTGCCTAAAGACACGATATCAGCTTGGCACTCTCCAGCCGCAGCTCCCTCACTGCGGCACCTGTTGTTCCCAGAGGTCTCCCATCACAGTACTTACCAGGCTATCACCTATTATCTGGCTTTCACATGCAGGTGGCGCCATAATTATAAATAATATTAATTGTGTTTCATTTTTATAATAGGTTTGAACTTTTTATGTCCAAAGAATGAATTGAATGTTGCGCTTTACGACATCAACTGTTCTCCGAGGAACACATGTCCCACAGCTGTACATTTCCCACACGCGTCAGTGTGCCAAAAACAAACAACCCTTAAATTCTCTGCTCTGCTCTCCATGACCTATATATCAAATATAAATGTTTTTCCTACAATTTTCAACGATTATGCTACTTATTTTCTGATCTTGTTGGCTCTCCTAACTCAAATTAATAAAACAATGAGATTCAATATAATTTTCATGACATGACTCATCAAAGCCAAAATCATGTGGGAAAAAAAAGGAAATAGCTACTCTCCATCATGAGTTACTCACACAATGGCATGAGTCAATGAGTCAGTTTAACTAGCATACAGACACAAGTAAAGGACAACATGTGTCCCCGTAAAGGTTAAGCCTAAACTGGATTATTACACCAAAGATTTTACCATAATATTATTTTGAAGAGAAGAAGCCAAAGAATATGCCGTTTATTCAGCTGATAGATATTTTGGTCCATTTTATCTGTAATTAGGTACTCCCTGGTCCTTTGGAGCGGACAGAGTTCTTTTGCGCTGCAGGATAAAAGCCCCTCAAAATAACTTGTCTAGAAATCATGCCGGAGGGTTGTGAAAATACCACAGGGAGCTGCTATTCCTCTCAAAACTCACAGTGACGTCACTTAGGCTATGAACTTATCTCGATACCTCTGCAGCTTCCCCTGTTAACACAGATAAGCTAGACCATAGGGATTTTAATAAACGGATTGGTCCGATGTGTTGATATCTGACTCATTCATGAACATTTTGCAGTCAGAGCAAATGCAGTGACTTCAAGGCCTCTTTCAGACATACCAAGAACAAGTACAGGCACGAGGACTCTGCTGAAGCTAACTGAATGTGAAATCATTTAACTTCTGTAACTGCCAAAAGCTAATATGATAAGTAAGTATAAAAACAGATGTAACTTTGCTAAGGGGAACAGATAACTTTGCCTGTAACACAATCCCCATTTTATATACATCTAAAGCATATAAAGCGTAGTTTACAGTCAGTTATTACTTACAACTTTACTCATCCCTTTGCTAATAATATAGTAAAAGACCATTATATAGACTTTAATTATAAGTAAGCATTTTAAACTGTGCTGTCGCTAATCAGTCTACATCAAAGGTTCCATTAGGAGTTTATTCATTTTGAAATTGACCACAGTATGATATTCAGTCGTTTTTTCTAGTCAAAATATTTTCCCCCTATTGTCAAACATTCTAAAAACACCTACTAGAAACCTAAGTGCCATTTTATACAATGAGTGATCAAATTATTAACTTGACTTATTCTTCATAAAAGGATAAACTTTATTATTGAAGTTTAGTTGAAGTTTAGTCCATTCTCTTTCAGCTGTATGCAACAATTGGAGCTTCTACCTTTAAAAATAAAGGCGAAACACTACAACACGAACTGTTGTTATGTATGTGCAAAGGGATTGTGTATCAGTGCATTATGCATTTTGCAAAGGGACAATCGGAAAATATAATTTGTTTTGCTTGGAATGTTTGACCATGTGGCATATAAACTAGCAATTTTGAGAGGGGAAGCCCATAAAATAAATGGAAAGGCAAGTAATCATCATACTCTTCCTGATACCAAGGAAATATAATGTAGGCTAGATGAGGGCTCTCCAGCAGAACCCCCACATGTTAATGCACCTTTAATAGTCTTTATTGGCCTTACGTCCTTAAGCTGGTCCAGTTCCTGTCGCATAGACTCGTGTTCTGTCTCCAGCTCCTCATATCTTTGCTGCAGCAGCTGTTTCTCCTCCAGCACCGCCAGCCCATACTCCGCAGCCTGGATCTTCTCCCGGCTGGTGTCGCGCAGCTCCCGGGAAAGTCGCTCCACTTCGGCCTTGAGCCACTGCGGCCCGGCCTCCGTCACCAGCTCCGCCTCGGGATACTCGGGCTGGTCCGTGGACATTTTACCGAGCTGCCGCTATAACGGGATCCAGCCCAGCCAAGGGAGAGAAAGCACAGGCACAGAAATCACTGACCTCTTTGTTTTTTGAGCCGCATTGTTCATTTGAGTTTAGCGGTTCCGCGGTAGGGTTTGGCTAATCTCAGCGACCAGGTCAATATTTTAATCATTATCTCAGACTTTCCGCTGCCCTTGTCGTGTGAATGTGAAAACTTCTGTTGAGATCACCGAGAGGAAAATGCTATTCCTGCAAGACGTTCAAAAGTGCTCCAAAGGGAATTGTAGTTTCTAATGGAGCTCCACGCCGCACCCAACGATAGAGACCACGCGCCAGAGGACTTCAGGAACCACAATGCACTGCTGTTACTTTCACGGGCAGTTGAGTATGTGACGCCGCACTGACATCTAGTGGTTGTACAGTACATGATTAAGCCAATTATAACATAATTAACATCAACAAAAATCACATCACTTTTGTTTGTTTGTGATCATATACTTTCTATTCATACAAAAAAATTGACCATATTTAATCTTTTAATTTAAAATTCTATAACTTTTATATCTATACCAGATAATAGTTCAACTTGTTCGAATCATATCAGAACAATAAAATTACTGAAATGAAAGTGGATACAAAAATAAGTAGTCTTATTGTTGTAAGAAGTCTTACAACATTGGAATTATGACATCTCTGTCTCTAAAATGGTCTCAACAAATTAAATGCAAAAAGTTTCCACATGCATCTTTTTTTTCTCTTTTTTGTGTGTGTGTGTTTTCTAATAGGATTTGTTAACAACATTCTACTTTTACACAACTCTTTCTTTTGGACAAGCAGCATGGATTAGCTCCAGCGTTAAACCCATAGATCCATGGTTAAACCCCGCCATGTAACTTAATGTAACATTTTGGTAAAAAGAGAAAAACAGGTGTTCATTTCCTGGAGGTAGGCTATTTGTTTCTACTGTTAGGATTTAGCAGACAGAGACGGATCGTGGTGCGCCAAACTCTGGAAGTTTATTTAAGTTTCTCTCAAGTTCCAATGGTTTACTTTGTTTCTTTCTCTCAGACAGAATAAAGGCAGTACACAGTTTATATAGTCATTGTCACGTCACACATCGAAAGACATACGTGTCACAAAGAGACAGTCACATCATAGTCATAACATGGAGTCCTTGTAGAGTCCTTGTACAGTCCTGCACGTAGGCCATATTGCTATCTAATACTAACACTACTTTAAAGTGTATTTTGTTTGGCTACAATCATCTGATACTACTGATTTATAATTGTTGTGTGAATATAATTATTTGCAATGTAAGCCTATGTTGTTTTTTGTTACACAATAGGCCAATGGGTGACGTCACAAGCAAACCGAAAGTGAAACCCTCTCCCTGAGTGAGTGGCAGAGTGGTTGAACGGGTTGAATAACTTTTGCTGAGAGGAATGAGCCTCACAAGTGGAAGGCTGCAGACTACAGCCTGATCAATGGTGAGTAAAGCAAAGGTGGGTAAAGTAGCCATAGTTCGCAAGTGGAGGGTAGTGCCTTAAAATAATCAATAAACAACAACAATACAAGTGGAAAGTAATAGTCACAGTCTGAATATACTCAGGTAAGAGTAAACAAGACTTTGGAATATGGGATTATGGACAACAAATATGCTCAAACTTTTAAAAGAGTGTCAAAAGGAGAGAAATACAGGGTTGTGTCACATCAGTGTTATCAGATGGAGGAATCCTCAGTAAAGAACAATGACTTCTTGCTGACAATAATCATGGTACTACACTCCTCATTTCAGAGGTCTCTGTCCCCTGTCTATTACGGTGTATTAATGGGTGTGTCCAGGGATTGTGAGTGACAGATTTACAATGTTTATGGTCATAAAGTTTGACAAACTTTAGCGAATAATGTTGTTCATTTGTTCAACGTGTTGGTGATTTTTTTGCAGGAAAATTCGAAAGATGTTATATTCAGCTTTTATCAACACTGTAAGTAAACACAGTGCTTTTGTTTTTTGTTTCCTGTGAAAATTATGTGCTGGTTTTGAAATAAATATTTAATTCATTCAATATTTCCCATAATGCACAGTGCTTATACTGCATTGTTCTCTGTTATACATTCCATTTCAGCGTTTACAGCGTTTGTTTAATATACTTACGTTTTTGTATTTAGACAAATATTACCATTTTTTTGCTATAACGTTTGGCCTTGGATGTGGAATGGCTCTGTACAGACCATATCGTAGTAAGTAAAGTATAAAGTTAAACACCTTGTTTATATAAATGCAATGACATGTAAAGTTTTGTGTTGTAGTGCTTGTGGTCCCGTCAGTCCTTGCAGTAATTTCCACCATATTGTTTGAGATTATGGGCGTAACCTTTGGTAAGAAACTGTTCTAGACACAGTCAATGCATCTTCTACATTCCTAATATTTATCTGGCCTGTATTCCTTAGATCTACCAGCACATACGGCAAAATGCAAAGGCTGTCCCTATGATAAACGAGGTAATCCTGTTTCTACTCCTCGCACATTATTAAAGCGCGCACACACACACACACACACTTTTTGCTCTGTTGCAGATGTATACTGGGGATTTGGACTTGCCGTTTTAGTGGCAGTTCTGCATTCTCACGCATATCATGGTAAAACATGGAATAACTGTTTATTAACCACAGTACATTGGTTAAATGCTGACATAACTGAGTTTATTTACCTCTGTTAAGTTTATACTTTATCATATGGGTGTGGCATCATGGTATTTGCACTTCGAGGAGCCAAACGGAAATACAGTTTTTTATGGTAAAAATAATAATAAACAAAACCTTTAAGTATTGAATAACTAATACCTGTTTGTTTTTTTTGTTTTTTCAAAGGGAGCTCTGGGACAAACAGGACCAATGGTAGTAAAAAATATCAAAGCAATATCCTAAAAGACTTGATGATTACAATTTTTACATTTTTATGACCAACACATGCACTTTCTTTTCCTTTCAATGAAGCTGTGATTTTCAAACCAAGCCTAAAGCCTTTAACTAAAACCCTAATATTTATTTCTATAGTTTTTAATTGCCTCCTCATTTAACAAAGTTTAGGCTTGGTTGAGACTTTAAGAATCACTTCTATGTTTGAATTTGTAGGTAATAAAAATCTTTGTGTCTTTCATTCAGTTATATTTTTGTTTTTGTTCAAATCTTGTGTTTTTGCACTTACAAATACTTAAAGCTTGCTTTCATTATGTTATTCTTGAAATAATAAATGACACAATATTAGATGCTCAACGCTTTATTACATTGGATTGAGGTATACAAACAAAACTTAAAAAAGTGTTGGTAACAGCAAATGCTGAATGCAATTTATTTATTACCAAGAAATAGTTGAAATGAGGAATCACAATTCAAGTCAAATGAGCTGTGGTTTAATTGTAACGTAACCAGAACTGTGAGGAGGGTATTTTTATGTTTACAGGGCCAACCTACAGCTATTCACTGAACCTTCACCATCTTCTACACACATGTAACAAACCTACAAACTGCATTTATACATTAATCAGACTTAACAACATGCCTTAGACAACACTTCCTCGTCCACACTCCAGTTTTCCAGCAATCAGAACTGGTCAGCCTCAAACTGCACATAATGTTACGTCTCATCAATGTATAACCTGTCAACCATCACAAATACAATACAAAAATTTCACTCCGTAGAAAAAGCTCGTAGAAACACAAAATACCATCAGAAAGTCATCTAGCACCAGTAAGCAACTATTGTCCAGGTTAATTATTGTCGTTTTTGGTTCAAATATATTTGATTGGGGACCTTTATTTGATTGTAAATGTATGAATAATGTGAAAGATGCATGAAATGAAGTCTACATCACAAAGTCACATAAGAGTACAGACCCAGGGACATTCACAGTGACAAATTAGAAGAAAAATAATTTGTGTGTTTGGCAATGCTGACCACAGACCATCACCAACAACCTCATTGCGACTACTTTGCATTGGTGGAGCTGCTCATGAGTTTGCGGACGGCCTGGACAATGGCGTCACGGTCGATGCCGCAGATTTTGAGAAGCTCTTGAGGTTTTCCGCTGCGTGGAACTTGAGACACAGCCAGGCAATGCAGGTTAAAGCCCTGCTCATTCACCATCATAGAGCTCAAGGCCTCGCCAAGGCCACCTGCAAAACACCAGTTTTTTATGTTAAATAGAATCATAAGAAATACATTGTAGACAAACACACAATAAAGTTAAGTCTTAACATAGCCTGGCCTTAGCCATTTGCAAACTCTGGTCATTTATTATGAAATGAGAACGATATGATATTGTAAGACCAGGCTAGTATTGACATAACTATAGAAAATAAATAATTACAAGATGAGAGTGTAACCATAAGATGATATCCACATGTCATTGTGAAAACTGTCATTGTGTCTTAAGGCAAGACATCGCCATACGTAGCTTGTATGTCTAGTATGAATGTGGTATAAGTGTGAGAGTTGGGGGTGGATCAGAGGGTTCGATGGTGCAGAATGATGGTGGCACTTACCAGGGAAGTGATTATAAAAAGCAAAAAAGGAAAGAAAAAATAAACACCTATTGCATTGTTTTATTAAACTCTGAGAAAAGACTCATGGGTCAAATTGTGCATTTGTCTCGCGCTGGGTTCATCTTCCCTCGGCCTTTTGAGGGCACTGCTATGCATGACCGTCTGGTCTGTATGTAGGTCATCCTCATCCCCATGGGCACATTTGTAGCTAAGGAAATCTGACAGCACTCTGTGGTTTTCCAAAATCTACCAAGATACGTATCTTCCCTCCCCCATTAAAATAAACAAACAATGGCACCACATACTTTCATTTGATAGCTTTTGTGGTCGTTGTACTGATACCTGCTTTTTCTGTTACACAGCCAACAGTGAGTCTTAACTCATTCAGAGAAAAAAACATATTAATTGTCTCTTAACACAGTCATTATATTTCTCTCAGCGTAAAGACGTCAACGTCACATTCTGCATATATCCTGTCAATTCACTCTTTTTTCTTAAATTGGATAAATTGAGCAGACCAGTTAATATGGTGATTAATAATACTAGAATGACTCCATGAACAAAGTTCAGGATGAACAGTTGCTGTCAACAGTTTAGGACTGTACAGTACAGTCAACAGTATGTCACACTTGCCTTCGTAATAGTGGTCCTCCACCGTCAGCACTCGGCCTCTTGTGGTACGGCCGTGATCAATGATGGTTTTATAATCCAGTGGTTTGATGGTGAATGGGTCAATAATCCTTATGGAAATCCTCTCTGGAAAATAGATGGGGATATATTTTATATTAATGAAATTTAAAATAAATAGACATAAGTCTATAAATGTTGATGGTTATCAATTCTAGGAGTATATTTAATGTAAATATGAAAATACAACAAATGACTAAACATTTTCTCAACCTTTTTTCAGATGCTCAGCTGCAGCTAAAGCCTCATGGATCATCATTCCAGCAGCGACCACTGTCACCTGGTCATCTTTGCTCTGGTACACAACCTAAACATAAACAACAAAAAGGAAACTTACATGTATCTTATTCAAGGAGATTCATTTGAAATATGACTTGTTTATTTACCTTTGCTTGTCCGACATGGAAATCCTCGTTACTGTTGTAGAGAATTGGGCAGTCCTGACGGCTGGTTCGGATATAGCACAAACCCTTAACACAATAATAATCATTATTATTACTTTTATTCTATTTTTATTACAATGTCTTCTAATTCATTAAGTAATAATGGGTTATGTACTTTTGTTGAGGCAGCAAGGTCCATAGCCTTCTCTGCGGTCACACCGTCGCTCGGATAGAAGAGAGTAGAAGATGGAAGAGCCCTGAACATCGCAAAATCTTCTAGACCCATGAGAGATGGTCCTTCCTCACCTGCAAAACGTGATTCATAAATCTCACGATTCACAAAAAAACATATTGGTCATAGGCGATGCCTTTAATAGTAATACACATTGAACATGCATTTATACCTTGCTATAGTCTTTGTGCACACCCCAAACAGGGAAGGAGGGAGAGTGAAGGGAGGGCAGTGGGCATGAGAGCGAGGAGTGTGTTGTGAGGAAAACACAGGGTTACAGAGCAGGAAATACACTGTTCTTGGACACAGGGATAGTGAGGACAATATGTTAAAGAAATAAGTGTGAAATGCACAAAACTGACCACTGGAGAGGCCGCCGTGGGAGCCGCACAGTTTGATGTTGCTCTCACACATGGCGGCCATTCGCAGCTGGTCATGAGCGCGGGTGAAGAAGGAGGCCAGGGTGCTGGAAAAGACCAAGTTTCGGTCACGAGCCGCACAGCCCACTGCAACACTGACCTGAAGAAGACATGTCATTTATTATTATACATGTACATGTCATACTTATCATACATTATCATGGGTTTTTGTTTATTGTCTTTCGCTCTCTAAATTGAATTTACTGTGTTGTAAATGCTTTTATACTGTATGTTTGAAATTTTTTTTGTGTGAATTGATCCTGTGTGAAGTGGACCCCAGGAAAAGACAAGTGACCTCTTGTATGGAAGCTAATGGGGATCCAAATGAATAAATAATAATAATAAAAAATAATACTAATCAAATTAGGCTTTGGTGCTTTAATCATAGTAATCAATGCATGTCATATGTCTCCTTGAACTCAAAATGTCCTCTATATAGTTTTACATTACATGTCTTATAATAACAAAGCTCTTCATTATTCCTAGCTTGGGGATGCCATGAGACATTTGACTTATGATGATCATTTTGGAAGAAGGTTTGACCCCCTGCATTAATTTTTCACTTTTAACTTCACTTGTCACGACCGCTCATCATCTATGCAGTGTCTGACCTAGATTATAGAGGACGGCTGCAGCCAGAGTTGACAGCTCCTGAAATTAAAGTCATCCCTTCCCCCATCCCCAAACTGGACCAGGGCACAAAATCAGCTTAATTAACATAAATGTACATAATTATATACTGTATGTGTGTCAGTCTATCCAATTATTGGCATATAGAAATCACATATTACTTCTTGTTGTAATAACCAGCTTTATAAACAGTTATCAACATTTCAGATTTTTTCCCCCCAAAAAATAAGCAAGCAATGCATTATCATTGTTTTTTACCATGTTTTGTTGGGCCACGTAGCACTCAACAAAACGGTTTGGATGTTCATTCTTGAAGATCTCAGAGTAACTGAGGTTATTGGTGTCTCCATCCAGAGCCACCACACGCTCATAGTAGCGGCCCAACTTTGCCAGAGCCATCCCGTAGGCTTTTCGGGTGGAGATCTGTAGAAGAATCAATCAATCAATCTTTTTTTGTAGAGTGCTTTTTCTCCACAGGGTAACACAAAGAAGACATCACTTGCATATCATTGGTAACAGAGAATCAAATAATTAGTGCACAGAAAATACAATAATAGAAAAAAGAAAACCAATGTCAATAATTATTATAGTTATTTATGCATTTCTCTTCTTAGCTAACTTAGTCTAAATGAGATTTTTATAGCAGTGGTGTGCAGACCTCAGACTGCATGCTAACCTTTTCTCCGGCCTTGTAGCTGGGTGCACTTGGCATCCGGATGTTCCTCAGGCTGACGGGTGGAGAGTCCTCGATGGGGGCAGATGGATACAGGTGCTTAGTGGTGTTGGTGATGCGACTTTGCAAATCTTTCACCACCATCTCTGCCATGTCTTTGGGCAAGGGCTTGGCATGCCATCCCTGCTTATCCTCAGCAGCTAAAATTACATTACAGATATTGAAAAGTTATGATTATACTCGCTAGTAGGTCACAATGCAGCACGCACATTTGACACATTGTTTATAGCCGTTTCGTTTAGGGTATAAGCAGCTTAGTAAAAGTGATGTGTTTGGACAAGGTCAGTCACCTGGAATGCCTTTTCCCTTGATAGTTTTGGCAATAATAGCAGTTGGCTGATGGCGGGGTTGACTCAGAGCTTTACACAGCTCTTCCACGCTGTGTCCATCAACTATGATAGCATGCCACCTGGAAGCCACCAGAAATATACATTATTAAACAGGGATGCAGTGATGTAACAGAGAATAAGCAATGAGTCCAGAGTCAAAGAAGAACTACTGTGCAGCAAGTTTTCAATTTCTATAAATCTTTCTTCTATAACATTACATTTCTACACAGTCAAACCATAGAGATTACAAGAAAGGTTCATAAATGATAGGTTTGCTAAGATATACAATTACATTAGAATACTTGATCTTATTGAATGTAATCAGATGTATTTCATAAGTGATTGTAAATGATGCACATATATTTCACCCAAAAGCTTCAAATCGCTTGTAGTATTTGTCCACATGATGCTGCAGCGGGGTGGTGTCGCTCTGTCCGAGGCGGTTGATGTCTAAGATGGCCACTAGGTTGTCGAGTTGGTAGTGGGAGGCGAAGGACATGGCCTCCCACACGGAGCCCTCGGACATCTCCCCATCTCCCATCAGGCAGAACACGCGGTAGCTGCAGGTGCACAGCAGGGGTTTACTTCACATGTGTGTGGCGTGCATACACATACAGAACTAAATAGTGTTTGAAAAGGAAAGGAGACGTCTTCATAAATGCCCTTTGACGTATTTCCACTTGAATTGTTTTCCTCGTCTTCATCAGACACTAACTCGCAGTGACATGATAGGAGGTGTGGCTGCACATGCTACTGCCATGTGACCAACCACACCCAGTTTCATCCAACGACTGTTCATGTATTTGTATTATTGTTTGTAACATTACATTGGAAAATAAATGTTACCAAAAAATGTAATGATTTTATGTTTATTTTCATTGGCAGGTTACAATTTTCTGGTAAAATAAAGTATATAAATGGTAAATGAGGCTGCCGCATGCGCTTGGGGTTATTAGAGCAGAAGAATTGCGAGTGAGAGCACAGAGCTGCTGCACACACCCACTCAGCCAGACACAGCAAGAACACAGAATATTGATACTAATTTAAAAAAACTTAATTCAGAATGGTTTACTGAATCTGAATGTACTGATTACCTGGATTTGTCAAAGTACTTTCCGGTGTAGGCCATTCCACATGCAACACCAAGGCCTTGACCCAAGAAGCCATGAGATACTTCCACAAAATGCTGTTTCTGGAGAAATATTACATACTTTTAATTTACTTTACTTATAAATAAATACTAGCTCCTATAAACCATATTTGGTGAGTTCTTACATGCATAGCGTGGCTCTCGTGAGAGGAGTCGGCATGGCACAAGCTGAACATCTCAGTCTCTTTGATGAAGCCTGTCTCCACCCACATGGAGTACAGGGCCGGAGCAGCATGGCCCTAAGAACAAAGAGAAGTGTTCGACATCAGCCTATTTTCATATAACTTAACATCTGTACGATCTGTGAATATCAGAAACATAGAAACACATAGAAAGGTGTATGGAGGAACATGTTGGTTTGTATAGATATGCCAATTTCTTTTAAATTATTTATTCCATTGTGAAAATATTGAGACATCTGAAAAACCTTATCAAATAGGATATTGTTTAAATCAATGCTAAGACTTCAGGCTTCACCTTGGACAGGAGGAAGCGGTCATTGTTGTAGTGGCGAGGGTCTTCAGGGCGGTATCTCATGTTGTGGAAGAACAGCACAGACATGATCTCGGCCACACTGCAGCACGACGTGGGGTGACTGAAACAAAGGAGTGTGATGCAAGTCCATGTCCACTCTCGAAAGTAAGCCAATAAAAGTCTTCAGTCAGGAATGACTGTTGAATATGCTCAATCCTCAAATATCAAGAGATTATTAGCATATTTTATAAGTGCCAGCTGTCAAATTCTCTGCCAGACACATGCAGCCACATGCTCTACAGTGTGACCTTTAAATAAATGATTAGCACAATAGTCTGAAGCCAGGTTGACTTAATCCTCTCAAAATAAGAAATAAAATCAGATTTTTTGTTGGTTATGTTTTTGATAAACAAAAAAGATTATTTTTCATCACAAAATTAAAGATAATACGAATTTCCAGTGTAGTCTAAGACAATGATGCAACTTCAAGTCTAGAAGCCATGATGTTATAGTTCAATAGGGCATTTATTATAAAATAATTATTATCGCTCAAAATTGAATGAGATGAGATAGAAAAGTATTTGACTAATTTTATTTTTACAATAAAATTGTTTAATTATAAAAATATGCATTATATTAAGTTGCTTAAACACTGATGTCGAGTGGAGGGTAAAGAGGCTTACCCATTGCCCGCTGCGGTCGTCGCCTTGATGCAGTTGATGCGTAGGCGGTTGGCGATGTTCCTGAGCACCTGGATGGTGTGCTGGTCGGGTTTATGGTAGTCCTCCATGATTTAAGTTGAATAAAGTCCAGCTGCCTGAGAAAATGAAAAGAATAATATGAAAGCACAAGGTTTGAAATGAGCTGGTGATGCAGAGATGGTCAAAGAGAGAGATAGAGGATGAGAGCTGGACTTATCCACGGGCGGACAGAGGCAGGGCGGGGCTGGGTGCAAAATGGAGGCCGCTCACGCCATTGGCTGGGCTGGGGTGGGATGTCGGAGGTGTGGCAGAGCGGTGAACCTGTGTGTATGAAGAACAAGCGAGGGGGGCGTGGGGGCTCAGGGCAACTGTCTGAATGCATCAGTCACATTTGGAACGCAGAAGGTATTGTTCATGTACGCAGCTGGCCTCATCATATCTGCTCCCACAATTCATATTCAAATGAAAGATTGCTGTTTATTGACTGAATGCATTTTCACAACATATTACAATCGTCTAAACGACATACTGTACATCATATTGAGGTGATTAATCCTCTATAAAACAGACATTAATTATGAAGTAGATGCATGTCCTTAATGATTAATTGACCTAAGATATGAATTTTAGGTAGTTAAAATATTTCATCAAGAATTCATTTATTTTATTATTTTAAAAAACATCTCAGCTTTAAGCTGTGCCGTTTCTCATTTCTTTGTTTTTTTCTTGTTCGATGATGCTCAGTGAGCGTGACATGTCTCCTTTGGGGACAACATGTTCTTTCCTTTCGAGCCCTAAACTTCATACAGGAAAAACAGCATTTATATTAAGGGCACAAAGTGATATGTATATCATATTTTAAAGTAGCATTTTAAGTTCATTATGTTTTTATATTAGTTGTATGCTTAATTCATTCATGAAGTATAGATAAAACCCTGTTTCTCCAAGAAGTCAACTCAAAAGCAAAGATGAGATGCAGATGAAAGAAGGTTTTTCTGCCATCTAGAGGATGAATGGGCCTCATTCACGAACGGTTCTTAGGAACAGATTTGTACGTAAATCCTACTTACGCGGTTTTTACGAAGAAAGTGGCATTCACGAATATTTCTCGTAACCAGAATTTGTCTTGGGCAAGTACAAATCCTACGAGTCCTCAGGAGCACTCGTACGCATTCAGTGCCGACATGTTCACACGCCGGGGTTGTCTTCTTTGGTGAAGTTGAATAAAAATACAACATTCCAGTGATATGTCCGTCATATCGATGTATGTATTTATTTATTTGTAGTAATCTTTATTAGTAATCTTTATTTATATACCGCCTTTTTCACTGCAGATCTGGCCTACTTTTTAATTCATTTTGAAATGAAATGTGCCAACGCTTTATCAAATACATTGGAAATCTTGCCGTGTATTAGTGACCCCTTCCTATTTATAGGGGGCATTTCTTCATCCACGGGCCACAGAACAACGGCATATATACTGCTGCTGCAGGAGGTTACTGTGTCCGCGCTGAGTCTCTGCGCTGGTCTCTCCCATATACGGGTCTGCACTGGTCTCTCTCCATACGGGTCCGTGCGGCATGCTCCTGGATCCATACGGGTCCGCGCTGGTCTCTCAAGTCTGGTCTATGCGGTCTCTCTTCGGTCCGCGCTGGTCTCTGCGCACCGGTCTCTCCAGTCAGGTCACTCCAGTCTATGCGGTCTCTCCTATAGGTCCGCGCTGGTTTCTGTGTGCTGGTCACTCCAGTCTCTCCTCGGGTCTGCATTGGTCTCAGCGCTGGTCCGCGCTGGATCTCCTCCCAGGGTCCAAAATATTTTGAGATTAATCTCAAAACATTTTGAGATTCATCTTTAAAATAATACATAATATATTTTTAAATTAAGCTCATAACATTTTGAGATTAATCTCATCATATTCTTAGATTAATCTCATAATTTTGCTAGTTCGACTTTATTATCATAATATCTCGACTTTTAAGTCAACATTTTATAACTTTATTCTCAGTCTGGCAAAAGCCTGCTTTAGGCCTGTTGCTGTTTCCTCTGGCGTCTGCACACGGCCCTGCAGTCCCTTATATGGGCATTAATGGGCGGTTACTTATGCTAAGTACCTATGGTAATGAAGCACCTGGCACGCGCGCTGTACTTAAGAGGAAATGGGATTCATCAATCTGAGAGAACAGCTGCGAACAATTCAGCGGCTTACGAGTGCGTTGATGAATCCCACGTGGGGACTTCTTAGAAATCTACTTAAGGACAACTTGAGAAGAAAGTTGAGTAGTTTCTTACGAAGTTATTCATGAATGAGGCCCATTGTTGGTTACAGTCAGGACCATAAAAACTGGGTTTTCAGCACAATTCTCATATTTCGTGACACAGCCACAAAGAAAAGTAATAATAGTAGTACCATACATATCATATGTATGGTACATCTTAAATTGAAAACACTACACATTGTAGGATGTTTGGGCTTTCCATCATAATTTCAGAACAAATTCTGTCAAGAAAACAACCACATAATGTAACTAAGTTTAAACACTTGGAACTGAAATCTACCTCATTGGGGCCTCTCCATCAGTGTAACTTATTGTATCAAGGAGAACAGCATCATTCAGACTCTGACCAGCTGTAAAATGAGCTCATGTCGCAACAAGTCTACTCTGAGAAAGCATTGGACAGATTCACTCTACGTTACACTGAATGTATACATTGTTATGCATTGTCTTTTACATATTCCTATTTCTTTCTTCTTCTTTTTCTTTAATGTCGACCAATTTTATTTGAGTCTGAAATTAAGATGAATATATATAGTGACTGTATCACTTGGTTTTCGCACTTAAGCCATCGAGCTACATCTCATTTGGTAGAGGCCTATGACTAAAAAACTAGGGGTTGAAAAAAAGGTTTTTATTGGTCCTCCAACATATTTGAAAATCACAAAAAATACATTGGTTTCTTTAAGGGTGGACATTAAAGGGATACACTTTTTTTGCTCAGAGAAGAGATAGATGTCATTGCCTCAGGACATTAGAAATCAGAGTATCCTTTATTAATCATTTTATAAAAAATAAACAGTACAGAGTATGAAGTATCCCTACACAGAGTAGCGCAATAAAAAGCCAGGGTGTAAAGTGTACCAGTTGAAGACGGCAGTGACTCCTCACCTTTAATTTTATTGTACATAGTATACTTATATAATTGCACAAAAGAGACTATAATGTGACCTTTATAACATGTTTGCATATTTCCTGTTTTCACATTTACTTTCTTTTGCACAACTTGAGTGATTCTATCCATGCCAAATGTGACATGTACATTTCTCCATTGTGAGATCAATAAAGTTTACCTGATGTTATTGTGTCAGATCCCCACCCAGCTGAGAGGGCAGCTGGGTCAGTACTATTCTAGAACTTTGTGTGAGTTTGTTTCTGTTGGTGATGGAGAGCATGTTAAAGTAACAGGGGGAGCAGTAGAGGAGAATAGGTTGAATGATTGAAGAGTAGAGTTTCAGAAGCAGATTTGGAGAGACAGAGAGGGCACGGAGCTTACGAAGGATGTAGAGTCTTTGTTGGGAACGTTTATGGATATCTGTGACATGTTGTTCAAAGGTGAGTTTATTGTCGAGTGTGAGTCCAAGGTATTTGAAGTGATTAACCCGTTCTATTGTTTTGTTGTGTATGAGAGTGGGAGGCAGGTCTGGGGTGTGTGAATGAGAGTGGAAGATTAGTTCCTTGGTTTTGTCCGTGTTCAGTTCCAGAGAGTTTTCAGAACACCACTCTGTGAAGTGGGAGATGGACTGATGGTAGGCAGTGATGGAATTATTATCTGTCAAGAGGGCCAGAATGGCAGTGTCATCAGAATATTTGAAGTATGTGGTGGTTGGAGATGGGCTGATGCAGTCGTTTGTATAGAGGGTGTACAGGAATGGACTTAATACACACCCCTGGGGGGCGCCAGTGTTGGTGACGATGGTGGATGATGTCACTGAGTCAACTCTGACGGCCTGTGGTCTATTGCTGAGGAAGTTATGAGTCCAGCGAATGAGGAACGGGGGCAGGTTGAGGAGTTGGAATTTCCTGATTATTTGAGGGCGCTGAATTGTGTTGAATGCTGAGCTGAAGTCAATAAACAGGATGGATGCAGACGTACCAGGTAGTTCCAGATGTTGAAGGAGGGGGTGGAGGAGACATGAAACAGCATCCTCTGTTCCTCGTCTGGCTCTGTAAGCGAACTGGTGGGGGTCCAGCAGGGGTCTGACTGTCGGGAGGATGGAGTGAAGTATGAGTCGTTCTAAGCATTTCATTATGATGGAGGTAAGTGCAATGGGTCTGTAGTGGTTTGGCTCGGATGGTCTGGGCTTCTTGGGAACCGGGATGATTGTGGAAGTTTTCCAAGCTGTGGGAATGTGTGCCAGCCTTAAGGAGTCCCAGAAGATTGAGTGAAGGACTGGTGACAATTCCATGGCACACAACTTCAGCACCTTGGCCGGGATACCGTCAGGGCCTGGTGCCTTGCCCATCTTGCACCTGCTAAGTTGTAGGTGTACATCCCCCTCCGTAAATGGGGGCTGTGATGGGGTGTCCAGGGGCAGGGCACTGAGCAGCTCTTCACAGACGGCAGAGTGGTCGACTGAGTCAAAACGGGTGTAAAAATCGTTCAATGAATTTGCAAAGATGGTGGGGTCTGTTGTTACATGGTGACTGGAACTTGGGGTATGACCGGTGAGGAGCTTAATTTTCTGGTATGCTTGTTTAGTGTTCATACTGCCAAACTCATGCTCAAGCCTATCTTTAAACTTAAGTTTAGCTTTCATAATATCATTTTTAATCTGTCTGTTGAGTGTATTGACAGTGCTCCAGTCATTTAAATGAAAGGCTGCGTGCCTTTCATTCATACTGTTTTTAATGTGAGAAGTAATCCAGGGCTTTGAGTTGGGATATTTCTTAAACGTTTTGGTAGGTATTGTAGATAAAATACAAAACTTAATATAGTCAGTGATTACTGAGACCTTGTTATCCAGGTCCCCTTGAAATACATCCCAATCAGTGCACGCCAGGCATCCCTGAAGCTGCGCAATTGCATCCTCCGACCACACGCTGGCGCTGTGGATGGTTGGCTTAGCGCGTTTCAGCCCCGTCAGGTAGTGCGGGATCAAAACAACAACATTGTGGTCGGAGAAGCCGAGTGGTGCGTGCGCCCGAGCTACAAACGCATCAGAAATGTTCCCGTAACACAGATCCAGCGTGTTTTGCTTCCTTGTGGGAATATCCACATACTGGTGCAGTGATGGCATGACAGCGTCGAGTCTACAGTTGTTAAAATCACCCACAATAAACAGCGGAGCATCGGGATACCTGGCCATAGTTACCGCACTCTAGAGCTCATACAAATTATACATTTCTACAGAGTGTCACGAGGTTACCATGGTTGTCAGTCACAAGTCCAATAACAGATAAACGTTGCAAGAGAAGGCATTTCGAAAGAGTATAATTGCAGAGATCAACTCTTACTACTACTTACTAATCTACGTAACATGGAGAAGCCTATTGAAATCCACAAGACTGACCAGAAGATTCTGCATGAACTGGAAAAAAAATACTTTTTGATGAAATGGGAGAGGAGGGTCCAGCACATAAGCCCACTTTCCACATAAAAGTGTAAGTGGGAGACTTGGTCCTCAGTTTTTACCAACATGCTTCTTTGCAAGGGTTTGGAAGGTCTTCAAAAGAAACTAGATCAGCTCAGCACTTATTTTTCATTTCCCATCTACTAAACAAAACCAGTAGAGCCAAGATATGAAATTATCTACAATAATAATAGATTTTATTTATAACAGGCTTACATATGCACTGCACATCTCAAGGTGCAATAGCAAGTTAAACGAATGAACTGCTTCTTAAAATGCATTCTAGGGTTTAAACAAGTCTACACTAGGATGGGATATGTGGTGCAGTGACCCTACACTGAACTAATGGTCACCATGCAGGAGGGGTCACCAGACAGGAGGGGTCACCATACAGGAGGCGCATGCCAGACCTATTGTACTTATCCTTAAATAAATAAATAAACTTAATACTACTAATGCTGTGTTGTGTGCTATACTCTATCATACTGTTCTGTTACCCGTTAATGCAACACTGACATTTCCCCACTGTGGGACGAATAAAGGATCTCTTCATCCTAACCCTTTGATACAGTAGTTTCCTCAAACATTTGGTGGATCACTTTTTGAGTCACTATATCGACTTGAAGCTTGAACACACAAAGGTAACTCCCTCCTAAGGGGGGCTTGGCAGAAACTAATTGAGAAGCACTTCTGTAGGACAAAAAAGCTTTGATGACAAAAGGCACCTTGATTAATCAATTCATAAGAATGCTCATAATGTGAAACTGTTGCACATCAAGCCAAAAAACTCATTTCAGCACATGATTAAGACAGAGATGTGAATCTGATTTATCATTTTATAGGGAATCATTCCTTTCCTAAAATATATTTCTTTAAATATGCAGTCAACACTAGGACTCCCATAAATATGAAATTTCTAGACTTCCCAGAGTCATTGTTTGGACTGCTCCCATTCAAACCAATTTTGCCTTTACTCACTTTTTATATACTACATGTAAACAATATAAACAATTTTGTTAACGGCAAAATTCTAACTGCTGTAAGTAAACAGTGTGTTGCTATGCATCTCTGGTGGAAAACCAAGCGAATCCAGGATCACTGATTCGGGACCAGCATTGTGAAAAAGGGGCTGCCATAGAAAACGACGGTTGTCAAGCGACCGAAAAAGGCTACCCTTGAATCTTACATTAAAAAGAATTGAGTTAAAATGAAAGCGTACATTTACAAAATAAAAAGAATTTCACAAGAATAAGTTCAAAAAGGTACATGAGCTGAGTAACTACACTTCCCAAAATAAAAGCCGTCAAATTAACTGCTCTGGGAGTTCTAGTGTTAACAATTCAATAATGAATCGATGTAGTAAGCGTTTGAATACAAATTATGAGAATTGTGTTGATGTCTAAACACATTGTTAAATATGTATTTATTTATTTTTTATTCCACACCTAAAGTGAATGTTCATGTGAAGACCATGTTTTTATTGTTTTTTTTAACATAGAAAACTAATTAGTGCAGCAAATGATCTTTCTAAAAAAAAAAGATCTTCTGCTAATCAATACAAACGATCATATTGGTTAGTTGGTTGGTTGCTTAACAATCCTGAACTGTATTTTTTTAAATGGCCACCAGGGGGAACCCTTTACCAATAAAGAGAAACGAGACATTATGAGTTTCATAATTATGCATTTAGGTGAAAGTATTATCTTTTAAAATTAGCTTTAATAATGTTACAACTGCCAAATATTGTTTCAACAATCTAGTCTGTGAAAGTAAAAGTATCTTCACCATAAAATGTTTTGTTATACTTATTGTCTAGATTTCAAAACAGTTACAAAAGTCTGGGAGGTTTCAAAGATGGAAACTTCCCAGTTTTTTCCCTTTAATTCCATGAGAACTAAAGGGAAAATATGGGATTTTATAGGAAAATATGTGAACTGGAAATTGTCTAAATTGAAGGTTGGCTCTTCTTTGGCAGTATTATATTTAGCATATTTCAGTCTAATCTTCACAAAACAAACAGATGTCATTCAAGTACACTTGAATATCCATGTAGAGGATATTTTTAGGGAAAAGCTCAACCAGGGACAGGAGTTGAAAATTAGCATTAGCTATACACTCTGTATGTGTCGCATCAGCTGCATTTTCATAATGTAACTATGTATGACTACATTGTCCCTGTCAAATAAATAAGTTCATCAATCACATGCACATGGCACACAACTCACTGCAAGGTTATTGAGACCGTGCGCCCTACTGGCCATGAGCACCTACATCACATGTACAGAAGATTTCTAAAAAAAACTGGACCACACTTTTGAACCCAAAGAACAAAATTGTTCAGTCAACAGGCTCAAATGTGTGCCTTCAAAAAAGTAAGCTTTGACGGCTTTGCACCAGTTCAGAATATGAAAAATGAGAAAAATCTGCACAGCTATGTTGTTTCCCTGTGCCGTTCATTTACAAACCAAGAGACAAAACATATTCTCACATTTTTGGGTTTTACTTATGGATTGTTTTAGCAATTATTAACTTTCAGAGTGTTTCCCCTAGTGCACCTCCACTCTGCGTGTGCACGTCTCTGGAGCTCTGTCCTGTTCTCACACACTGTCCTTCTCCCATTCCGCAGCAGCTCCTCTGGGCTCCGGCTCCTGTCAGAAGAGCTCTTCTTCACACAGACCCACAGGTGCCAACCAATAGAAACCAACAATCACAAGACCATGTGATGGTTCACAGCCAATGTCAGCAACCCTGAACCTCATACTTCCTGGAGGGAAAGTACATTTGGAGAGCATGAATGTTGCTATTTTTAAAAATTTCTGGCAGGAAAAGAGAAGCACAAAAGCCACTTGTGGTTTTAAGTCTTAATATAACCTTAGACATGTGTGATACAGCAGGTGTAGTTCATAATTAGACAGAATTGTTCTCCCCTAACACTTTAAAAGAGTAACAAACAGAGGCACAAGGTGTCACAGATGTGCACTTAAACACTGACCCACATCTGGGTTCAGAATGTGAAAACCAAAGCCAAATTAACTCAACAATATTATCTTCATCTGCATACACTCAATGGCAATGTGTTGCTTTAATGCCACGTCCTGCTCCAGGCAGCTGCCTCTTCGCCTCTGCTCTTATCACTCCATTTCCTTAAACTGCTCTATGCTCACTCTGATGACACACAGTTTGTCCTTCTCTACGTCTGTCACCAGGCCCAACCGCCAGCCGCAGAGAGACATGTATCAGAGAGGTATGGGCTGTTAGTTGGTATGGGTCATGAGGACACAGCAAAGCCTTAACTGAGCCAATGCAAACTCAAAGATAAACACATTAAGCATATTGTCCAGGAGAATTCAGAAGGCGCTGAAGACATTGGAGAGTGGAGAGGCGAGTAGAGGAAGAGGCTGAGTGTGTTGTAGCTCAAAGTGAAGTTGACGATGCACAGGGAGAACAGCTGCGCTGCAGGGCGTTCAGGCTCCATCACTACTGCTATACTTCAAATACATACATGCTAGCACAAATACTGATACATATGCATGCATTATCACTTCTCTATTTCAAACACACACTTACCAAGAAAACAAACACCACATTTAAACATATGCATTTTGTGATCTACAAGCTACTGTTCAAAGCAATTTAATTATTTCCTAGATTTGGAAACAGAAAGGGGCTACTAATTGATGGGGCTACAACAATTGTTAGACTATCTATGACTGGCTGGCAAAATAAAGACTAGTATAGACAAAAAAATAACTAGTAACGATACTGGCTTGAAGTTTGATGACCTAGAGATCCTCTATCTAACTGGACTAATTTAAATATCAATACTGGGAAAAAACAAAAACAGATAAACAGCAAAACATCAGATTCCCTGAGAAGGGTTGGAATGAGTTTGATCTCAAAACTAGTATATAACCTTGTGGACACCATAAAAAGTGATCAAATATTGTAATGATATATATTTTAAAAAATGCAGTTGAGTTTTTGATTTTAGTATTGGAATCTGGAAAACTTTTGAAAACATATACGAAAGGGCAGAACCTGCAAACTCCTCAGAGAAAACCCTTGTGTCACTCAGGAATCAAGTCGAGCACCTTCTTGCTGATTGCTCTCACCTTACATTTTGATAATCATAATTGTTAACTGGACTATGCTGATTGCGACACTTTTTACCTTATCTCAATTTAGTGACAATTGCAATCAGTATGTGCTCCTAATGCTATTGTGATCTCTGTCTTAATTGAAAATACATTTAGGTTAAAGAAATTAATAAATAGAGATTAGGTATAAAGTGGGACGGATTTTCGTTAATGTATTCCTGTTTCAAGGTAAGATTAATCAGTAATTCTCAGAAATGTGAGCATTACACAACAGATAAAACATGGCTATTTATTGCTGTAGCTCATAATAATATTTTATAGGCCTAAAAATAACATACTGGTGATCAAACAAGCCCACCCTGTAACGTGTTACCAAATACACACACATACAATCGGCTCGTAACTCACAGTACCTGCTGCAAGGTGAATAATTTAGGACAACTCTAGAAGAAGTATTATCTTTGGCAGACGGTAAGCTGATACAGTAAGCCTTGTTGGAGTGTCGTCACCCGCTCCACTCACTGGCCACCCTCTGCCTCTAAAAGGAAAGAACCAGCATGGCTCACAGGGCTCTGTGGAATAAAGAGAACATCCATGGAACATGATTGGATAGGTAAGACAAGCTCATTGATTTATCGCAAAACTAATCGATTATTGAAATAGCTGTCAACAAATGTAATAATAGATTTTATCAACCTGGACCAAAACATTCATAGAATAACTTTTATAACAGAAAAATGAAGACTATAGAAGAAATTTCCAATCAAACAATCATATGTGATGCATCTAGTCTCTATGAAAATGTTCTTGTGTGGCATCAATTCAGTTTTGTTTTGCTCACATTTATAAAATCCTACAGATTTAAGCAACTAATTATTTAATTAATCAAAAGAATAATCAGCTAACTAAGCAATGGGTGCATGGTTAGAGCCTGTGATTCACAGTAAGAAGGGGTTTGATTCCACCTCCAGACCTCTCTGTGTGGAGTTTTCATGGTCTCCCCGTGACTGCAGGAGACTGGGACTTTCCTGGTTAGCAAAAGGAAAATAAATCAATGATCAAAATAATGATTAATTAAAGCCCTCCATTGCTTAACAGTGGGTGCAGCCCATACAGCAATGTACAAAGCAGTGAAACGTATCCTAAATTTTAACAATTGGTTCATGTTGCTTTGTTCTTCTGCGTGATATTACTGGAACTTCTAACGCATGTGTATAAGTGCTGTGTAGAGCCGCTGTAACAGGAGTGAGGTGCCTTTCCACTCGATCAAGACTTGTGGTGTTGGCTTACTTTACCGCCATGCACACACAAAAGGCCCATCTGGGGAATGTTGTTTACCATTTAACACTAATACAACCAATGATGCAGGTCACAGGACAAGTTTGTGTGTAAATAGCACTTCACACTGATCAATTTGCAGTTTATAGAGTGTGACTTTGACCTGGCACGGCTATTTCCGAATACTGTAGGTGTTTTCTGTTGTGAGAGAATGTATTGCTTATAATAAAGATCGCTTTACTATTGGCAGGGTTAAGATACTGTGTCTTTCAATGCCTGGGTGATGTGGCTTTTTTGAAAATTAAATATTTTCCAAGAACACTGCCACATGCCTGTCCCACAGTCAAGCAAACGAGGCAAATATTGTTTCAATTGGGTAGATGTTTTAGTTGGCCCAAAGGGTTTCTACTGCTCTGTAAAATTCCAGGGTTTTCATTGCAGATAAAAAACAACACTTGCAGCTATATTCCCTTATCTAAAGCTGCACATTTTCTGCAATAGGGAGAAAAGCATGTGATCTGATGAAGGTGTTCCTCTGATTGGTGCTTTGAGTGACCTTCACGTGACTGGAGCATGGTGCACTCACTGATGTGTCGTTTGGAGGTATTATACAAACCCAGATTCTGATGCTGCTGCTGCTGATGATGCCTCTGATGCTGCTGAGACTTGGACCCTCGGTGTGAGCTGGATACAGGACCACGGGGGTCTGTCCAAAGCCCTCCCGCCGCCGTCACGAGATGCCTGAGACGAAGATGCTCTGTTGTGTGGTGCGCAGTCTTCTTCAGTCTGCTTCTCTCCTCATCACCATGACCAGGACGGAGCTGGACTGAGCTGATCTGCCTGGATGTGTCCTGAGAATTTATAACCCGCTTTAGAAAAAAAAAAAATAGATTGATGCTCTTGGATTTACCCCCAGTGGATAAAATACGTGGATGAGAAGAAAGCACGGCGGAACGGTGGAGTCTTCAGGAAAGGTACAGACTCAACAAGGTTTTGAAGTTAGCTTTAGCTTAGCAGCGGGTTTTCCTCTGCGTTTTAAGTATATTATGCATTCATAGTCATGTTGATAAAGGCGGGTTTAATGGACACTTTGCTCTAAAAACGCTGTTGCTGCTTTTCGCGGGGCTCTTTTGGAGGAGGGGAGCTAATTATTACAAAGAAAGCCGCGGAGACTGATTCCTGCATGGAACAAACACGTCAAGTGGTGGACTGCACAATATCTGGCCAAAGGCAGATGCCAGCACCTTAAAGCAGATGTTTTTTTTATGTTTTTCTCAATTTCAAAGCGATCTGACAGAGCACGAGGACACCGCCATCCCCCCGGCTTGGAGGAGAGGAGAGAGGGGGGGAGATGGGAGGAGGGGGGGTAAGCATCCTACCTTGGTGGCGTCCAAGGAGAAATGTGAGGACGCTGGCTGATCGTGTTGGATTTGTCTCGAGTCAGTCATTGGGAATGGCATGTTTGGCACACTATAGATGCGTGCTGATGCTGTCCATGCCGCAGCTTCGGTGGGGGAAAAAAATCCTGAAATTGCTTTGTTCAGGCGGTGTTTGCACTGGCGTCAGCTTCTTCTTAGCAGCACAAAGGGGGAGATGGTCTGGCGTGTGACTGAAGACTAAAATTACAAAAACACATTTCTGTCTGCGATCATAAAGATCATTTCTAGGCGGTGGTGTGTGACCTTTAGTGGTTGTTGCTGTGGGCCTGCTACAGTTCAAGGACTTTCAGTGATGACAGTGGAGTGATGCCTGACAGGGCAGTTCAGCATTAGCCTTTTACACTACTCTGCTTTGTCATTTAGAGTGACCTGAATGTCATCTGTCCTGGTCCCGTAATGGCTCTGCTCGTGACTGACTCTCACATTGTAGAGGAGGGTCTTGAACCTCTACTCAATACACATTCTCTTCAATTAGAGCTGAAGTATCTAACTTTATCTTTTGCACAAATCTTGTAATGTTTTCTAACAGTGAGTCACTATTTGACACTTTAAGCTGTGAAGGTGGTTTTTCTTTTAACTTTTTTGTCTGAAAAGCTAATTTTGAGATGTCATAGGCCTAAAATACGTATAGCGTTAATATAGTAGCCCTGAATGTGACAATGTGTTGTGGTTTGAAAGTTAGGTACCCCAGATTTCAACGTACAAATCTTTTAATTCTATACTTACTCAACTTCATCTTTGTTTTCTCAGAGACAAAGTATGCTGGTAGTAGCTGAGATTGAGTCTCTGGTAAATTGCCAGCTCATTGGTCAGACAGTGTCCTGCTCTCACCCGTCCCTGTGCCCCGGCGGGTGCCTGCTGCTGGATGCCCCTCACACACCCGCAGCATGAGCGCCAACGGGCCCGCCCCGGACCCCACCTCTGCGGCCCCCGTGGCGCCGCCCGCCTCCACACCGGCCCCTGCTCCGGCCCCTCCACCCCCACCACCTGCACCTGCCCCTGTGTCCAGTACCATCCCTGTGGGGGCCCTGGCACAGAAGAAGCGGCAGCAGTACGCCAAAAGCAAGAAGCAGGGCAGTAATGCCAACAGCAGGCCACCTCGTGCACTCTTCTGCCTCAACCTCAACAACCCCATACGCAGGGCCTGCATCAGCCTGGTGGAGTGGAAGTATCCTTTACATGTTTGTCTAATCATGAACTCTTGTCATAATGTGGTTTATTATGTATAGTTGGGGGGAATGCATGTAATAGACATATGTACTGTATTTGAAATCATATTTTTGAGTAACCACCCAACACTGATTGTTAGTTATAAAGTATCTTGTATGAATGGCTATCGACTCTGAATATTGATCAAAGTACTCAAATATTATGGCAGATAATTTACTTAATGGATGATTAATTTATAGATTGAATTTCTGAAATTATCCTGGAGTTATTCCTGTTAATTAAAAAAACAAACAGGACTAAGGGCATTGTCAACATAACATTCCAATGCACTTTAAAAACCTTGTTTATAGCAAAGAAAGGTTTCTTACTCTAAACAATCTAAGGTCTTAGACCTTAGATTTTTATGAGTTGGCCTCAGGATTAGGTTATAAACCTCCAACGCGCTGTCTGAGATTTCATTCCCTTGAAAAAGCTCTTTGGATTAAGGACAAAACGTTGGGAAAACCTGCTAAGAAGTACAGATGATGGGTGAGAAACCTTCCTTTGCTTTGACTAATCCATGTACGACTGAGAGTTTACACAAACCTTGTTTAGAGTAAAATGATTCTCATGACCTGACCTGGAAGCACTGGCAAGACAACACACACATTTTGAAAATGGGTTTTAAAGGCTATTCATAATTGAACTCATTGTGTGTCCTTAACCATTTTCTCCAGGCCATTTGATATCTTTATTTTGATTGCTATTTTTGCCAACTGTATGGCCTTAGCCGTCTATGTCCCTTTCCCTGAAGATGACTCCAACTCCACTAACCACGACCTGGTGAGTTACTCCTTTCCTAATTCTTGGTTTCTATACAGAAGAGTTTACCAAAAATACAAACATATATTTTCTTTAACCTACTCTACAGTAAACTGCATCCACAGGCACTTTTGATGAATGCTCCTGTTGTTGTCCGAACCTATTTGATGTTCATGCTCTGCGGTGCTTCATCATGTCCTAAAATTTCTGTTCTTTTTATTCAGTTTACTATTTTTAGAACTTCTTGTTACTGCACCACGTTCTAGCTACTGCATCTTTTGCATTATGTCTCTGCGATGATGGATTATGGGTGATGTAGTGTAGTAAGCATTGTTCCGCAGCTGAAGATGAGTGCACTCTTCAAACAGGCAGACAAATACAGCAAATATGGCAGATCCAGCTGTTACTATCCTCTGAGAAATTCAAACTCTCTGTGGATGTTGTTGGAGAGACATTTTGAGATCTGCATGAAGGCTAGTTTAAGCTGTGAAGTCGACCTCTTATTATAGCTTTGTGTGCGGTAGCGTGGAGAGTGTGAAGGTATCCTGCCGTGTTTGACCTGCGGAGGGTGACCTAAGGGTGTTTGTTTATATTGTGCCACATCAGGCGAAAGTAGGACATTGTGAATGTTACGCTGTCTGAAATGAAGAGTATAATATATGCTGTCATCTTAGCTTACTGTTCTTGCAGATAGAGCCTGTGAGGATCAGGTTGCAATTGTAGCCACACGACATATGTAAATTTACACCTTTCATTTATGTACAATGAACCCTTTCATATTTTCACCCTAAATTGGTCCAACTTTATCTATTATGTTTGACAACAAAATTTAACATGAGACATTTTGTTATATTCTATGGACTGACATTGTATGCAGCAGAAGCTTTTATCTGCATAAATCATTCATGGTTGCTTATTTTTATTTTTACACTCAACCTGGTCTTTGCTTCCATTTCTCTGATCACATTTATGGAGCTGCGTTTCCCAGAGATATGTGGATTTTATAGTTTACCTGGTTAATTAGTATAGCTATGAGGCTTATTATGTGATCCATATAGACCGAATGCATTTAGGCAGCAATAATCTATTTTATGTGGTCCATGAAGACTATTAATAATTATATGACTGAATTATGATTAAATAGCTATACGTTTCCATGAATGTGGTTGATAAATACAATACAATAGCTTTCTCTTCTCATTATTTATTTTACCTCTTTTAGTGACATTAAACTGAAACATCAAAGAGAATATTCGCTATTCAACTGTCAAAAATAATTGTTAGTTACAGTTCTAGTTTAATGATATGAAATAGTATGAACAATTCCAGGTTTTTCCTTCACCAATTTACTCCTCTTGCATGCTATAGAGATGAGTAACACTGCAGTATTGGGTTTTTGTCCAATAATGATACTCAATACCAACTGAAACCTTTATTTATTTTTTTACAAATATTTGTTTGAAGAAGGGTTTCAAAAAGTCTCTAAAGATTATTTAGATATTTATATTGTCCAACCTGCTGCTTCTGAAGTTTCTAAAAACAATAACTAGAAGATTCTAACTAGCTTAAAACGGATGTATGTATGTATGAATGTTACGCATGTTGCGCAATTTGTATTTTCTTAATAGTATGTATATCCAGTCACTATCGATGCATCAATACCTATCCCATTTGAAAAAAGTAAAATGCAAATTATCTTTGCATTGATCCCTGTGTTATTTATTTATCCAAGCACAGGAGGGAAGGTATGTTTACAGAGAGAAAAAAGTCAAGGCATGGCTAAAATAGAGAAGGCAAAAGCAAAAAAGTAAACCCATATGTAAATATGGCGTTATGATTAATTACATCCCGTTATTATTATGACTTAATCTCAGGCCCATTTGTATTGGCTACACCTTTATATACAAATCTTGGCTTAAATTCTGCTGCATCAACAATAAATCTCCTTATTCCTTATTTTCAGCAAATTTTGAACAAAACACGCTCTGTGGGGCAGGTGTGCTGGCTTGGCTCAGGTCCTTGTGTTGTAGTCACCGGAGGAGTATGAGAGAGATAATGCTGAGCTGTTTGTGTAGTGTCTATTGCTATGGAACTGTATTTCACAGGCCTCTGCTGCTCTGAGGTTGGATGTTGAGCCATAGGTGAGGAGTCAGGGCTTGTGTGTAATCCTGGCATTAAAATTATCGCAGGGCAGCAAACCAAGCAGCTCTTTAATTTTGAATCATGAAATAGGCAATGAAACCAGCAAGGGTCAAACAAACACCGTTAGAAAAGAACTTAGAGAATTCTGTGAAGGTTAAAATGGTTAATATTAAGACGTCAAAAGCCGCCTTGGTCAGGAACAGAAGGGGGAGTGCCGGATGGCCATGCGACCCCCCCGTGTTCAATTGCCATTAGAACCGATCTCCAAATCTAAATGTAATCAGCTTGCAATATTTTTTTATGACAAGATTCAAGGCATCAAAAACGCAATCTTCTTTACAACACAAGTAACAATCCAACAGTAAGCGAGGCTTTTTGAGCTAATTCATTTTGCACCTGTAGATGATAAAACTGTCCAAGAGATAATCCCTATTCTGAGTTCCTTCACATGTAGCCTGGATGTCCTACCCACTAGATTTCTAAAGTCTGTTCTGAGCAGTCTGTTACCTTCACTCACGTAGATATTAAACATGTCGCTTCAATATGGAACATTCGCAAAGGCCGGAAAAATGCAGTCATCTAGCCCCTCCTAAAAAAAGAGTAGCCTTGAGAACTCAGTTTGTCATCCCATATAAAATCTCCCATTTATAGGATAAATCCTTGAAACAGCTCCCTACCGAGCTCTTTTTATATGTTCCAGTTTGACTTTAGAGGCTAGAGGACTGGGCGGGTGTTTCTGGTACCTCCCTATGTTGGTTTAAGTCTTTTCTAGGAGACAGGAGGAACTTTGTTTTACTTTGTTTGTGAGATTTCGACTGTCTCAAGGATCAACTCTGGGACCTCTTCTGTTCAATCTCTCCATATAATGCTGTTTGGTCAGTGAATACACTGTAACAATGTGTCCTATCACGACTACTCAGACTCATGGTCTCAGACTAAGTTTGAATAGCCACACCAAATAAGAAGATTCTTACAATCTGAAACCATTGCTAATCAAAAATATAGTGTTAAATATGTGGGGATTCTTATAAATGCATTTGCATCCAGTTGGTTAGACTACTGTTATGGACTGCTCACCCGGCTCTGCAAAGTATCTTAAAAAAGGATCTATCTTTTTATAGATAGGACTCAGTATATTCAAAAGCTCTAGTCCTGACGAGAACCAGAATGTACAATCACATTGGTCCAGTTCGAAGGTATCAGCGCGGGCTTCCTTTGGCTCAAAAAATAGACTCCAGGACCATCTCTGCTTGTGTTCTTTCTCCATTGTGTTCTTTCTCCATGGCCTTGCACCAAAGTACATCTGTGACATGTTAGTGTCACAGTTCTGTATTAAATGTTTCTTTGGTTTCTTTTGATTTATGAAATGTGAAGAACTTCGTGGTACCTCTGGCTCTACAAATATAGAGCTCAGCTGCATATTATGTAGACTTTTTCGGAGGGTTATTAAAGGACTAAGTCATGGTCATGTGAACCCCACTCAAGTAAAAAAAACAAACAAAGAAAATGTAATTTCTAGCTCCTTGAATTTATTTATCCACCTATTATGCTTGACAGTAGAGCAGGGATAATTGCAACCATTATTAGTCCAGTGACTAATGAAAGCTGAAAAAAATAATGCAACAACTACATCAATAAGTTAATGAAGGCTCCATTGGAATGGAAGGGATTCACAGTCCAGACATTTAAATAAAACCAAACATGTTAATCTGTATGGACCCAGTAATTATGTAAATGTCGATTAATTTACAGGGCTAAAATCTTGGGTCATGCCACCACCTCCGGGCACAAATGGCCAGTGCAGACTCATACTTAGTGTGTTATTAATCAGACCTTTCTTCCTGTTGCCTAAATTTGGTTTAGTCATTTCAGCCAGCCAGTAAGTAGCACGTGACACATGAGACTGACCCGCTGCCTTTGCTTTAAGGTCAATACTGACTTATCTGACTCAAACCTCTCACTGAAGGTACATGAGCAAAACAATGACCTTTTCATGGTGATTCACGTCAGATCCATGCATCAGAGAGAAACAAGCACTGAATGGTATCTGGTATCACGCATAGTATTTGTCTATGTGTTTGAATGGTGAGGACACAGCGTATTATGTAGACAATGTCACAATTAAAAAATAGGCTTGAAGCACTTAAGATTTGTATTAAAATATCAATTCATTTACAGCTCTCTAATGTGCAGCAACAAAGGAATTTTATAGCATTGTACTGAAAGAAAAGTAAAAGTAGATGCCTGAAGTTACAAATTCTTTATCATATGAGCAGCAGTCATTGGAGTGAGCATATTGTGTTGAATATTGTAAGAATCTGTGTCGTATGATCCTGTGCTTATTTGGTTATTGTATAATTTTATTTTTTGTATACTGTATATAATCCATTTTGGCCGCTCAATAGGCTTGTCACAATACAACTTTATGAATAATGATAATATTGCAAATGTTTTTGTCGCGCAGTTGAAACAAAGTATTATTATGCCAAAGAGGGACTTCAACTCTCTCCAGCTTAAACTTAAGAGAATAGTAGAAATCTAGAGGAAAAATTACAGACGACAAATATTAAACCCCAAAATGTATCGTTCCTTCTTTCAAATAATGAAAATCAATACAGTAATTATTATTGTGACAAGATAAGCTGTTTATAATTTTAAGTGGTGATGTGTGTTGACCACACCCTAAGAATACAGTATGAATAATATTAGTACTTTATTTTTTGAATCCCTCTGAGATAACTACATTAGCAGACATAGTGTTGAACCAGTGCCACAAGTGAGCAGCGTGAGATGAAGAGGCCATTACGAACTGATGTAAATACAAACTACAATCAGAGTGCCAAAGTTGTGACTCGCAGCCAGGGCCTGTTGTCTGCTCGCTGTGGGAGAGTGCTGTGGACTGACATCAGCTGCACACAGGCTGCAGAGGCTCCAGAGGACGCACCGGCTCTGTCACTGACGATCACTGGGACGAGGCTGGATATGAGCCGCTCTGCTGGATCTGTCTGGCCCCTTTAGCACGAGCTTTACTTGCAATAACATCAATTACAAGAGGCTGTGGTTTCACCTACTGGCGACTAGCGTCAACTATCAACAACAAATAGAACCAAAACATGCACAATGCGGTTCAAAAATTGATTCATTTCTGTAATTCAACCTACAATGTGAAACTACTATACAGTGGACACAATACAGGCAAAAGTCAAGCCTTTATTTGTTATATGTTGCCAATTGGCTTACAGCATATAAAACCCTAAAATAAACATCTTCAAAGTTTAGATTATTTTGAGAATAGACATTGAGCCATAATCATCAAAATTGTAACAAACAAACGCATGCATCTTGCATGTAAAGATCCCATATAACTTTTTGGTTTTGCATTGTAATTTGAAATGCAGAAATAAATTCACCTCCAGAATGTTTTTATGAATTTATTTTAGCGTTCAAGTGTTGTTCTTTTCGGTGTTCAGATAAATGTATTGACACTTTCATTATTTGGCAAAATACAGTACATTTGACTTAAACTCTTTTAGCATTATAAAGTAAAATAAACTAATGTAAGTGTGACTATATGACCAATAGGGTAATGGAATGTTACAATATCAAAACCTGAAAAATAGCGACTTCATTTATTTAACTATTGTTTGTTCATGCAACAACAACCCATGCATAATGAAGATTAAGGAAATTATTATGATTGCAGGGAGAACAGTTTTATCCTTTAACCACAGATATGCCACTGGGCTTGTTATGTCTCAGAGATTGACGGGTCATATGTCTGCGCTTGGCCTCCTGTGGAAGTGCTAATCTTTACATGTGTGAGGGAGCGTTTGGCGCGCTCCGTGTTACGACTGGCACCAGTGGCTTCCTGTGGAGAGGATGGAGGGAGGATGTGTTTACTCACTTAACGTAACTGCTCATTTAGGGAATTGCTTTCAAGGCTAAGGCTATTGTTATTTGTAATTTGTGTGTGCTTTGTGTGGTCTTGTTTTGTAACATAATTTTAGCCAAATCATGATAATAATAATGCTCCGGTTTATTATAGCGCTTTTTCTGGACACTCAAAGACGCTCTACATGTTATTATTCTTTCACTCCATAAACTACTACAGTAACCACAGCTGCCCTGGGGCCCACTGACTTCACCTTTGTCACATACTTTGTTTGTGAAGGGTCTTTCCTTAGGACACAATTACACATCACAGTACTAACGAGGCCCGCCCAGCTTAGCTTCTGGACAAAATACAAAACAGTGGCTTCATTTCCACTACAAATGTTTGGATAGTTTTACCAATAATGTATTGTTGAACAGGGAAAACACAAACGACATGCATGATGATGTCAAGGTGCGCAGGTAATCATAAAATAGATCATTATGTGTAATTATACAATATTCAAGATTTGTTATTGTGATCCCAAAAAGGAAAATATTTCCATTTAGGTCCACGTTTCCCCTAGAATATGGTAATAAAACCTTCTCAGATAAAGAGTTGCTTAATGGTTAAATGTAACATTGTCATGTGACAAGTGTACGCACACATCTGGAGAAGCCTCCACAGAGCAGAGTCTGACTGATGCATGGGGACAGTCAAAGGGACAGCACCGCAAGAAGTCCTCCACGTGCACATCTCAACTCACATCCAAAACCACCACATTTACAATGACTTTATAATGTCTATATGTATTTGTACTCAAAATCCGGCTATCTTTTTTTTATTTCTGCTTATGTGCTGACCAGGAAACATTGTGCGGGTTATTTACTCGACTATTCTATAACACAACTAAATTATAATACAATTATAGTAATCTTCTTAATTATTATTAACTATATTGAATTATAAATGTTTAGTAAATTTGTATAAGCTAAAGATAAATAACTGGAAGGAATGAGTGGACTCCAACCTGTGGCCCGGATCTACCAGTAGCTTGTCACCCCTTTCAGGTTGCTCCCCAAAGGATTCACGTATTTAACACTGGATCCTGAAAGATTAACTTTTGAGACATCCCATATCTATTTTAACTATAAATCTTTTCATTAATGCAGGATCTCATATCTATCTCTATCTATCTCATAATTTGTTAGATAGTTAGATAGATACTTGATCCCCTTAGGGGAAATGTAGGTGTTCAGTAGCAGCAGAAATATACTGGAATTAATGTATTTTATGTATAGCAGTATATTATTTCACATCCATCTTAGCTCAGTGCTTTTGGCTTTGACCCAGAGCCAAACATTCATCAATATTTCAACATCGAAGGGGTTTATCTGTTTATTCACTTAACTGCTGAGGCTTCTACTGTATCATTAGGAACAACATCTTTGTTTGCAATGTACTGTACAAACTCAAAGTTAGCTTAGGTAATACTATAAAACTTGCTTTACAAAATTTGTTTTGGCAGATCACATTTGCCCACAATACAATATTAATTTGATCGTTCATGATATTTGAGACATTTCTATTATTTCTTAAAAAGACACATTTTTAATTATTGACACTATAACACAAAAGAAATTTCCCCTCCAATATCTGAACTCTGCTTCGAACCACATACAAGTTCTTGTGTTCATGTTCAAGAATTGATTAGGTTTACTCTATATATTCTTATGTGTGAAAGTCCTCTCTACTGCCCAACATCTTGCATTAGTTAAAACAAGAAAAGAAAATGTCACCACTTCGGGATAGCTTCATGAGAAAATAAAAAGACCATCGATGATATGTACTGACAAGAGAGATGTGGAAGATGTGGTGACAGTTGTTATTTCATGTGGATTGGCCCAAGACTTAAACCAAAGTGAGAACTGCCCTCCATGACAGTTTTAGGCTATTTGAGATGTTTTCTGCTCAGATTATATATGCTATGATCTAACAATTTTCTCATAAAGGTGTCTAGAAGTGGTGAAAACATGCCTGATGTTGGCCAGTAGAATATTCTTTACAATCTAAGAATAATATGACAGGTTTGTGAATCTGATCACCAAATTCCTGGATACCATTATCTTTTTAAACTTTTCTTTCAACAAATAGCTTCTTTCCCATGTTGTATTGGCACATGTCCTCCAACTGAAATAGACTTCTAGAATATCGATAACGCAACCGATTGACTGTTCGGCTGTTGATGTAAACCTCACACTTTGAAAGACATTGAGGAACACTATCACTATTCTGTATCGTTCCAGCCTGTGGTTTTTATAACAGAAATACTCACGGACGGTTCTTCTTTCTTTCTTTCTTTCTTTCATTTATTTATTTGAGCAGAAACTTATTTAAAACATTTTACAGAAGAAAACAAAACAAGACTATTGTGCTCAAAAGGAGTAGGAAGAAGTTCAAAGAACTTATAATAAACCTACCCCTTATCTCTCATTCAAGTAACACAAAAATCACAAAGGATTTTTCATTTACAGTCGTACAAAATAAATAAAGGATTTATCATTTACAGTTTTACAAAAATAAATACACCATATGGTATTTAATATGTATAGCAATTATATTGCAACATCACTTCATCTGACTGAAATCAACACATTTTTTACAAACTCAATGCATTGAACTTATGCATGTGTAAACATTCGGTTTTAATGACATTTTTTTTTTTTTTTTTTTTTTAATTCTTTTTTTCCATCCCTCTCTACAATACCTCAATCCTCATATACGGGCAAACCCCATAACAACAACAAAAAAGCGCGAGTGTGTGCCTGTCTGTGAAAATAATAGTAATTATGATACTTCACTAGCATAATTTTTAAAGATAATGTCTTTACATGTTTTTTTAAAGTGTACTAGTGTTTTGCTCTGTTTTGTGTCTTTATTTAGGTCATTCCACAATGTTATTCCTGCTTGGGAGATACACATACTTTTGAGGGTGGTGTGAACACAATGTTTCCTCATCACAAATTCTCCTCTTAAATTATAAGTTCCTTCTCTACTACTGAACAATTTCTGAGTGTTCCTAGGGAGAAGGTCACGACTTGCTTTGTATAATACAACAAGAGTTTTAAATTTAATTAAGTCTTCAATTTTCATTATACGAGATGCTAAGAACAACTCATTTGTATGGTCCCTAAAACCAACGTTATGAACGATTCTTATGGCTTTTTTCTGAAGTTTTAAAAGTGGATCTAAATGAGTTTTATAAGTGTTACCCCACACCTCCGCACAGTAGCTGATATATGGGAGAATTAAAGAACTATATATAATATGTAAGGCTCTATATTTTAGCAGATGTCTAGCTCTGTACATTACCGATATACTCTTTGCCATTTTTGATTGTATGCTTGTTATATGGGGTTTCCAGCTTACATTATGACTTAAAATCACACCCAGAAATTTACATTCTTCACAGTCCTTGTTTGTGTAAAGATTTATTTTTATAGTGTCCAATGTCAGAGAGCTGAGCCACCATTTGTGTCGCACTATAGATCACTGAAGTTGGGTTGGTTCCAGCATATGATGATACATGTGTGCGCAGGGAAGGACGTTAAGGACAGTAACTGGGATGAGTCATACACTTTTACTGAGGATCCCAGAGGCCTGTGAGCACTCTCTGTAATGTCCTCTTTCTGTTGCTCACTCTTTCATTTAGCTGATTAATGAATTACTGGTGTTTAATTGAAAGGGGACGTTTATAATTTCCTATTAAGTTAAACAAGCTTTCAACAACTTGGAAGAGGAAATTTGCATAAATTAATTTGTGGGAAGTTAAATTCACCCTGACAACTTTTCCTTATTCTATGTATTATGCTAATTAAATAGTCCTGAATGCTATGAGGAGATAGTGGATTATCCACCATTTCTATTTCTAACCTAACAAAGCTTGAAAATAGATCAATAAACACCTCTAAATAGTGAAATAGTTTAACGCATCAGGAATGGTTCATTCTTCTAATATGATTTGATTTTAAAAAATGCCTCTGCCTTTGTAACATTTGACAATTATTACTTTGTCACATTTAGTCTGCTTACAGTATCATTGCAGCGCTAGCCATACGTAAACTCAGATCAATTACCATTTCAAATCAAGTACAATTCAAATGAGAACGATGGTATCTCATCGGGCGCCACAATGGCTGAGTAGATAGTAGATTTCCCCTACTACTAATAACATGTCCAATAGGTATGAATGTACCGTGTGAGTGAATGGATGGTGTTTGTTGGGGGCTTTGATGCTCCGTTTCGCTTCCGTTATCAATGTGTGGAGAGAATTGAACAATATCATTGACATTGTAAAGTGTTTTGGATGACCTTGGTCTGTAAAAATGTGCTATATAAATAAAGCTTACTTTATCTAAACCAGCAGTATGAAATACAATGATTGTGTTTTCTTAACCAGGTACAGTGTACAGTATTACAATAACTGTTGCACAGCTCTGGTTAAATGGCGCTCCTGCTGAAATGATGGATCTGCCCGGGGCCAGAGCCGCAGTTGAGGCAGTCTGCTACAAAAGGCCGTTTCTGCTTTAAGTGCCTCTCACAATCCGCACTAAACTGTTGAGGAACGATAGCTCAAAGACTTCTCTGCAGCCCTGGAGAGAAGTCTATTTGGGCTGCACATTAAAGTTCAATTGAATTCATTTTAATGCAGCCCTAAATCCTAACAGCACTCATCTCAGAGGACAATTCGTTGTTGACAAATTGTACAGATTAGAGAATCAAATAATTAGAACACACGATATGCATAATAAAACAAACACTGAGGAGCCATTGGTCCATAGGGTAGTAGGACTACCAATGTCTGTAGATGTTCATAAATTAAGAGAGTAAGATTAAAAGATCCTTTATTCATCTACAGAGGGGAAATACCACACTTTATTGAACTATCCAGTCCAGGCACTGATCAATGGCGTAAAGTAACATTAATGCTGTGTGTCTTCTGATAAGGTCTGTGTCTCTGTGGGGCGGTGGGGTTTAGGGGTGGGCATATTGGATTGTTTTAACTAAACTGTAAACCTTTTTTGTTGTATTTTTTGTATGAAAAGCGCTTTATAAATAACATTTGATTGATTGATTGATTGATTGATAAAGGTTTCTCTGTTCTTAACATGTGACTCATCATTTCATGCATAAATCCCATTCACAGATGTCACAACGAGAGCTGCTATAATATTGAAAAACATTTGCTACAGATGCGTTCATCCATTGTCAGCATTACTTTAGTCGACCTTGTGTCTTTTTGTCCGTATTTTTGTGCCTCTAAACTATAACAGAAAGTTACCTTGAAGAGTTACATCACACATTTTAGAGGTCCTTTGAACTAAATTTGTTTTGTTTTGTTCCCATGAGTTTACTGCGTCTACTTTTGTAGTGTTAAACCCAAATGACCCACCATACACTTGTTTTCTATGCTTGTTGGAATTTCTCATACAGTCAATCAAAATATTAACCCACATTTTGTTGCTGTTGCAGGAAACCGTTGAGTATGCCTTCCTCATAATATTCACAATTGAGACCTTTCTGAAGATAATAGCATATGGTTTGGTAATGCACCAAAACGCCTATGTACGAAACGGCTGGAACATGCTGGACTTTGTCATCGTTGTTATTGGGTAAGTAATGATGAGACATCCTTACGTTTGTCCGTTTTAGTATTATATTATATAGTTTATATCTGAAAAAGTCTGAAAGAAATTGGGGATATCCATACATCCATTTTCTTCCCCTTAATCAATTTCTGGGTCCGGGGGGGGGGACCCACTGATCCTCCTGCAGGTGGTGAGTCCACAGGAAGGGGGCTGCTCATGAACACAACAACAGCAGACATCAGTGGGGGTCGGTGGAGAAGGTCTTGTGGAGGATTTGAACCCAAGACCTCCAGTCTACCAACTGAGCCCAAAGCATCAGTTAAAGTAGTTTCCAGATTTCCTTTTACTGTATTCTTGATCATGAATGTAGCTTAAGCCAGCTTTGAGCAGTCGAGTTCTATTAAGAGAACCCCATAAAGGCACAATATATGACCCAGAAAAGACAGAATAAGTACACCACTGAAATGACTCACCATTTCTCCCTGCTTCATCTCTCTGTCTTTGCCTAACGCTCTGCAATCCGGCTCAGCTACTGTTTTGTTACAACTTCACATAAGCATCTCCTTGCGTTTTGACTGCTCGTGTATTAATCTTTGTGCCTTTCTGTTGTCCAGCTCTAAATCCTATCTTGTTGTAGCCATATCTGTAGACTTATCACTGCTGCACTTGGAATATCCATGCTCCTTCTCTCTCACAGTCCACTGCATAGCTGGGTCAGATCCCTGTCTGTATGCAGCATGTGGGCCTGATCTGCTGTGCAGTCACACGAGAGTCAGCTACTTCTGCTGTAGAGATTGGCTTTTACTGCTAAATGGCTTCACTGTCTCGTCACACTGCTTCACTACCTCAGATCTTTTTCTCTGGAGAAATGATACTGCTAATGTTGCAGGAAGTTAAAAACTCCAGGGAATAATTATTATAATACACCAAAGCCTAAAGCTATTTTTGAACTGCTGATTCAAGTCCTCTAAAGTAACTATTTGTTGTTTTAACAAGCAAATTTCCACTTTCAAAAGCATGTATATTTGTCTTCCCTACGGTTGGTAGAATAGGTTAAGCCCCAATCTATGACTAATGATCAGAAAACAATACATAGTTCCCACAGACCAATGAATGTCACATGACCTCCTCGGAGACGCCATCTTTGATGGCACGCTGCTGTGTTTGTGCATTCCATTAAACAGAAGAATGAGAATAAATGTAGATATTCAAACGCAAATTGGAAAAAAAGGGCAACTTTTGAGCAAATAATTGTATATTAATACAATGGCACCACAGTTTAACGTGCTACGGACATGTTTTACATATTTGATCAAATTATGCAGCAAAAATTAACAAGCAATGCAAACATTTCTCAAAAACTTTAGATTTAATACCAGTTGGAGCTCCATTTAATTATTTTAATTATATTAACAATTAATTTAATTAATGCTAATGCCACACGGACACTCTGGATTGCTGTTATTGTTTATTTCCGCGTTTTTGACCGTATGTTTTGGTGAATGGTGGGCAACTGATTTTTCCAGGCGTAAAGAGCAGTTTATTTTATGACACAGATCTTTTTACAGAAGCAATGCTGTTTGTGAACATTTTTTTAGCCCACCATAGAACTATTATTATCTATTTAATACATTTACGTTGCCCTCGAGAGCCTCGGACGCGACACCGATCCTCCTCATAATAAAGTGATCTAAATAATGAAACTCTCAAGTTACCAGATATCAGCATACACAAGTTAGTACTGAGTAAATTACGTCTGTCAACACATTATAAGATACGATACGCACCTGACACAAAGTGCTCCGAGCATATTCTTGCGTGTTTTGAGGGAGTTTCTTGCCTGTTTATCTTCGCAAGCCATAACCTCGGTGGTTGTTCTGACAAAAGCTTAGTCTTCTCACATTCATGAAGTCTAATGATGGGTATACTGTAAAATCCAAGTTTAACGGAACCTCCGGCACGATTTGAACATCCATTGACCCAGCAGGAGATGACCATTTTCAACTTTATCACGACATTAACACGTTTCAGCTTCTTTTTCTATTGTTTTGCCCACAGAATGCCAAGACAAATGGCGCCGGGTCGGCAAATCCCCGTATGTAGTGACGTCATGTGGGAACTATGTATTGAAAAAGTGTGTTCTATCATCTGTTACTGTAGCCTATTTGAAAGGGGTTGCATCTTTGGGGAAAACCTTTTAACAATTAACAACAGTCCAAACTTGCATCTCATTTTGAGATATTAAATTATAATAAAAAGCTCACACCTGATGCTCTGTGCTGCTGTGTAAAGAAATTTTCATACGAAACAACCTACTTGTTCGTATCTGTGTAATTTCTACAAATTCTTCGAAAACAAAATAATCATTGTGACCATTATTGTTGATGAGAGCTGGAGGATTCTCCATGTCAATGTGCCATTTTGAAATACAGTGGTTGATAAGGGACAAAAAGTATGTAAGGATTGCTTTTTGTTTCACAGGTGTTTCCATTTTGCCCCGGCAAGTTTGAAGAAAGGAATATAGTAGGACCACAGTTATGTAAAAAGAACGATGGATCAGAGTTATGTAAAATAACTACCTGAACAAGAATCTTTTAGAAAAAGAATTATGCAAAACTTTAGAAACCTGGCGTCATAACAGTAAAGTGTCAACATCACAAACCAAACGCACCGAAAGGCAGAGTTAAAACAACAGGAGGCACTTTGCTTTAGTTTGTACAGAACAGACTCACACAAGAACACTATGTAACTTTCTTCACACCGATAGTAATGGGAACGAGGCAGAATCTGTAACACAGGTCTCCTGGAGAAAGCTAATATTAATCTGAGCTTTTAGCCACAGTTCTGCTGTGGCTGTGGCCTGCTTCTCTGATCATCATGGTTTTAAGCTCCCACAGACGTCCCATTCCTCTGTCTGTTCTCTTCACTCTGCGTTTTAAAAACTCACTGTTCGCCTCCGCCTCCACGCACGTACGGTGGTTGTTTATATTTTAGAGCTACCGTGACTGTAAAAGGAGGCTGTAGTACATGATCTCAACGCTAGGTGGGAGTAAAAACTACAGTGTACGCCGCTCTGTCCATTAGATCTTTTTACTTTGTATGAGGGCCCCGCACACCTGCGCGCATCCTGGCCAGAACAACAATGTAAAATAGAGTAATGTCAGGTTGTGTAAATATCAGACAAAATATCAATCAGATTGTTTTCACCTCATGATCAGTGTGTTGCAGAAGTTGAGGTAACGACTACAGAAGTAGAGAGAGGGGCTTTTCTAAAACGTATCCTTTTGTTCTTGTTTCAGACTCTTCAGTGTGGCTCTGGAGATGTTGACCAAAGAGGAGAAGGTGGTAGAGAGTGAAGGGGAACTCGAAGCCCACCACGCCTCAATGCACGGTCATGGGGGAAAATCGGGAGGATTTGATGTTAAAGCCCTTCGAGCTTTTCGTGTGCTGCGACCTCTGCGGCTTGTCTCAGGCGTTCCCAGTGAGTAATCTCTTGTTTCTTTGTTCTTTACAAATGTTGTCCACATACCTGAATCATGTACCATTTAGGTGGTTGTTGATGGTGTTGAAATAATTGATTAGTTGCACGTAATCAATTACATATCACTTTCCCTGATTTTTTCCCTGAGTTTTTGATAAGATGTATGTTACAAATATAGCATCTGTAATATTCAGATGTTTCTTTCTACAGCTCTAACTGGTGCCTTTCCTCTGCAGGTTTACAGGTGGTGTTGAACTCTATTATCAAAGCCATGGTTCCTCTCCTGCACATAGCCCTGCTCGTCTTGTTTGTCATCATTATTTATGCTATTATCGGCCTGGAGCTGTTTATTGGCAAAATGCACGCAACCTGCTACTTTCCTGGCTCAGGTAATTGTCATTCATATATTATTATTACTATGATTATATATTTGTTGACTGTAGACAATGTGACTTGCAAAAATTGACATCCATCAAACAGAAAGCATCCAATAAACATGAATATTGTTTCATTCCATAATGTGGAAGATTATAGACATTAAGAAACAGTTTGGAGAGCGCGGCCAAGAAGCTGATTCGGTTCGCCTTTAAAATCAAATCAATTGTTCTGCTGGGTCATTGCGCACATTTCCTGAAATGTTTGTTAGGAAACGTCCCATTTCTTTTTGAGTTAAGTTGCTCACAGACAAACAGACACATGCCGGTGATCACTGTACCTCCTAGGCGTAGATTATGAAAATGTGACAATACATCATATTTATGCGAAAACATTCTTTTAACGGTCTTTTGCATGAAAGATTATTCAATCTATGAAGACTTGAGATGAAGATTGCATTAGAATATTCATTGTCAAGATGCATGAATACGCACCAGCAGACTTAGATTGAGTACCAGTATATTTATTGATACATTTTGGCGATTAGACCCCGGCAGGAGGAGCCAGTGTGGAAGACCAAAGAGACGTCATGCTGCCATCTCTTTGGTCTTCCATTGAATTTGTTAATCACACTAAGAAACATATTATAACTGTTATGTTATTGAACAGCCACAAATGTAATCCATTCATACTACGGCATTAATTATTTAAAATAAACTAATATGAAAAAAATATGCAATGGTATGGAAATCTTGTTTAATTTTAACTACTGAATTTGCGCTTGACAGGAATGTTATAAAAGTGATATAATTCCTGCTCATTTAGTCACAAAGCGCTTTACAATTGTTGAGGGCATTTGTCTCTCACAGTAGGCGCATGCCAGATCTTTTAAAATAATTTTTACTGGTAAGGGAAACCGAAGCACCCGGAGGAAACATAGGCAGACCTGGGGAAAACATGCTAACTCCACACAGGTCTGGAAGTGGAATCAAACCCATGACCTTCTTGCTCTGAGGGACAAGCAACATTTTAATATCAGTACAAACCACTTCAAAACCGGGTGGCTCGATGGTGCAGTGGTTAGTACTGATACTAAAATATTGCCAATCTTTAAAAATAACAATACTTTTAATGGAGTGGTTTCATTCTTTTCCCTTTACATTTCAGACCTGATAGCTGAGGATGAACAAGCCCCGTGTGCGATCTCTGGGCACGGCCGCCAGTGCCCCATCAACGGCACCGAGTGTAGGGAGGGATGGCACGGCCCCAACAACGGCATCACCAACTTTGATAACTTCCTGTTCGCAATGCTGACAGTGTTCCAGTGCATCACCATGGAGGGCTGGACAGACGTGCTGTACTGGGTGAGCGCGGTAACCTCTCCTGTCACTGTCTGTTCACATTAGAGACGCCACATGACCGACGCTTGTTTGATGGAGCTGATGACTGTTCCTTCAGGCGTCTTTTATCACTCTCACATATCACGTTAACATCTGGTATCTTGATATAAGAAATATCAAACTTTGAAATTACATACAAGAAAAAAACTTTGTTAACGGTTATATGTGGGGTGTCTGCCCTGATCCCAGCCCCTTCTGGTTTTCAACATATATCTCAGCATGTAGAATGTCAACCTGTAGAATGGCCTGGCTGGTCAAATTTCAGGAACTGGTTCTGACCCAACAATCATTGAAGCACTGACAACACAACGTTTCTTTTTCTCTTTTTTTTATTTTTTTTTCAATTTGTTGTTGCATGCTGATATTCTTGCATGTTCAGAAGTAAGTACATTCTCTATATGATCTTCTGGCTTTAACTTCAGCTTCATTTACCCTATGCTTCTCTCTCTTTCTGCCTTCCTGCCTTCTTCCTTTCCTGTTCTGGGGCTGCCTCAGGTGAACGACGCTATGGGCTTTGAGCTTCCATGGGTGTACTTTGTCAGTCTTGTGATCTTCGGCTCCTTTTTCGTTCTTAACCTGGTTTTGGGTGTTTTGAGCGGGTAAGCACTTGCTTTTCAATATCTGTGTATCGTGACTGTATTTTTTGGTCCCTTTAGGTGAACGATGCCATTGGCTTCGAAACACCCTGGATTTATTTTGTTAGCCTCATTATCCTAGGCTCATTCTTTGTGCTAAACCTTGTTCTGGGTGTACTAAGTGGGTAAGAGAAAATGTGTGGAGTGATGCTTGCAGTGATTATTATCGGCTGATGTCTCATCTTTTTGCTCCCCATGCCAGTCCAATTAATCTAATTCATAATCACGATTGGCCAAAATTGTCAAATCCCTATTTTTTCCAGTAGTCAATAATTTTCAGCATACAATGTTTGAAGTCCCAACATTTTTTTTCGATCTCCTTTTTTTAACCTGAGACTCTGGTACTGCCCAGTTTGACTTGTTCTGAGTTATTATAGCAATAGAGAAAAACAAGCTAACTTTATTCCAGGTTACAGAAATTGGCCTATTCATCTGGTAGTATCAGGGCAGGCAGGTGTTACAATAACCTTGAAGGACTAGAAAGTATTCCAGCGATAAATTCTCTCTTTAAAGGGCAGGATCAAACCTCTCAAAAGCTTTAATTACAGTTCTCACACTAGATCTTTTCAGACCACGGAAAATTACTTTAGAATAAAAGACAAAATGTATTTTTTTTAATTTCAGTATTTTGTTATAAATAATCCAGGGGGAAATCCACAGAACCTTCTGTTCGAGATATGTTTCTTTTACCTTCAAAAGAGAAGGCTTTTTTGTGTTCATTTATATTGTATTGTTTGTAAGTTTATTCTTCAGGGACATGAACTTGTGTGTTCTCGACCCACTGCAGTGAGCACTTTCGCCCCCAGTGTGTGCCGATCCCACCCAACCTCCTGAGAGAGAAATTAATCTTATTCCTCGCCCTTCAGTCTTTCTGCAGCATTAAGCCTCAGCTCCACAGTTTTCAAGTTTCCCAGCTAATTTTAGTCAGTGTTAGTCTAAAATCAGCATAGAGGTATTCTTAAGAATGGGACAATATTTGTACCATAGTAATTGGAACACTTTTGTCACATGTTTGTGTAGAATAAATTATGTCTTAACATAATTCACATAGCAATATTACCCCAATAGGTGTAAAGTGTGTCTGTTTATTTTTGGTCATCGGCAATATGCCATATTGAGCTCCAGTTGGTTTTTATGTTGTTTACATGCAAATGTGCATTTCTCTCCAAACCATCTGTCTACCTAGATTGGCTTCTCGTGATGATTAGAATTCAGGCCTGAAGGAAACACTACTGTACTGGACTAAAAATAGGAATGCTCATCTTTGTATGGTTTACATCTCCCTCCAGTGGCTAATACCCTTTAAAACAGAATGGATAATAGTTTAAATCAGGTTAAGAAACATAAGATAAACATTCTTTTGTAATCCATTTAATGTAATGGTTATATATCCAAGAGATAGAACCTATTATCTAATGCTTCTTTGTTCATGATTATTAGAGGTCGACCAATATTTCAGCATGTATAATGTAATTATCTTTTAAGTTTTCTAGAGGAAATTTAGAGTAGGTAAAAAATATGTTGTAAATAAAAAATAGTAACCACAGATGAACAAGAACAAAACAAACCATCCACAAACAAAATACTGTTCCATCAATTTCCATCAGGGCATTGTGTAATAATCTCTAACCCTAACCCTAACCCGCTAATTATTGCATTAGGATGAGCACCAACCCCTTGTATATTATGCCTTAAAGATTGAATTCAGAACAATCAAACTGAAATAAAAACAGTATTGTCCACAAAAAACCCAAGTCGACAAACCTCGAATAATAATTTTGGCTGTACTTGTTCTCAGCCAATAACCCAGTTCGTCGCCAACTGTCCATTTTATTGCTTTCCTTTTGAATCTTGATTTTATTATGCATGCAAGAGTAGTTACCTGTACTTTATTATCATACAACCATTAACTGTATCTCTGTGTGCATTGAAAAACCCAGAGAATTTTCCAAGGAAAGAGAGAAGGCCAAAGCCCGTGGAGACTTCCAGAAGCTGCGTGAGAAGCAGCAGTTGGAGGAGGACCTGAAGGGGTACCTGGACTGGATCACTCAGGCGGAGGACATCGACCCAGACAACGAGGACGACGAGGACAGCAAGCGCAACCGTAAGACCCCGTCCCCTGTGCTCGCTCTGTCGCCACGGAAATGGGTGTAACGTGTGCCGCTGTGTGACATCGCTGCTACACTGAACGCATTGTTAAACAGTAGAAATATAGTATTTTGCTTTGTAAGCTTATAGAACTCTAGAAAACATATTCTATATAATTTAGGCGTCATATTTATATTATGCTACTATCTAACTACAAACTAGTAACTACAATTCTACTAGTCAGGCATAGATTTATAGAAAATATTTCTATGTAGATTTGATTTTAAGATAAATGTTATTGTTTATGCTACTGCTGTTATTGTTGTCTTATACAGCTAATAAATATTACACTTTACAAATCATTAATTGATATACTATTACATAACAATGGCAAAGATTCACAGACAACTACAACTACTATTCTAACTACAATGTTAATGCTGTTACAATGTTTGTTTTTTTATATTCTTCAGCAACTCAACATTATTTATTACTTCATACAGAGAGTAACTGTGACCATGTGATAAGGAGTGTAAGACTGGGGAAGAGGGTCCTATAGGATACTAAAGATTTATGGATCCATTTAAAAATGACACAGCATAAGAGGCGATCTAGAGGAGAGGGTTACTGCAGGTACATGATTCATTGAAAATGACAACTCGGCATAAATCATCACAGTAACATGTAATATAATCTTACTCAGGAGATTCTACTGCGTTCAACACTATTGAAAATAAACCGTATACAGTATAGCTTAACTAAGGGGCCATTTTGTAGTCTCAGCCTATGTACTGTATGTCACTAAAGTAGAGCGAGTACTGAATCCCAGGAGTTTATTTGAGATGGGGAAACGGGAGAAAGGACGTGTTATTTGAGCGCTAGACTCTTAATCCAAATCCTCTTTATACAGTAGAAGCGACGCAGGGCAGCTGCAGCTACACCTCAGTGACAGGAAGAAAGGAGGTTAGCTTCTGCAGTATCACTCTGAAGAGTAATGGACATCTACATAGAACAAAATAGGCACATTACTAGATCATGTCATTTGTTTTATTGTTCTGTGTGACTCTTATGCTTTCTCCAACACCCATCCCAGCTTTGGTTTCCTTCTGTTGGCGCATGAGCCTCTTCCACCATGTTAAAAAAGATACACTGGAGCATGTTAGCAGAGGCCCAGTCACCCCAAGCACTGTCCGTGTGGCTCCTCCTACCCCCACCTTGATGTCCGCAGTCTGCCCTGACTCCTGATACCTGTCTTTTATATGATTATGTTCAATACTCTCTGTAATGTATACTGTTGTTGTCCTGTGGTGCCTGTTGCTCTGACACATTTTGATTGCCGTCCATTCTCGCCCCCCACGCGCCTCCGCTGTGCCGTTGTGTGTGAACGCATGGGCTTGCATGCATTAACATGAAGGGGTGACTCTGGCTGACCTCACTGAGAAGAAGAAAGGAAGGTTTGGGTGGTTCAGCCAGTCGTCCGACACTCATGGTAAATCCTGGAGTTTCCCTCAAGTGTCTACTTCTCTGTGTCTACTGTCTTTGTGTGTCTGTAATTGATGCTCTCTAAAAAATAGTATCATTACAATAAAAATTATTATAGAAATGAAAATTGCCAGTCTTATGCAGAACAAAAATAAAATAAATAAACAGAGTTGAGACTGCGATAAAGTGCAAGTCATGTAGGGACTAAATTAAAGCCTTACTTTTTTGGGTTTCATAAATATTATATTGTGTCTGTCCTAAAGGAAAGAGTCTTGTTAAAGGGGAACGCAGATTGCTGTCTTTAACTATTACATACTGGGAGTTGAGTGAGGGTGGTCCTCTCCTTTTGACTTTTCTGTCTGAAAAAGTTGATCTAAATATGTGGCCAAAAATTCTGAAATCTCATTTCAGAGCGAGGAACTAGTTAAATGGATTTATTACATTGTTAATAGTTTGATAAGATAAGAATTCCTTTATTCGTCCCACAGTGGGGAAATTTCGATGTTGCATCACACATATAGGACAGTAGTAAGAGCACACAGGGATCACACACAATATATACACTATATACAAATAAGTAGTAGCTACTGTATGTTTCTTAACTAACATAACTAGCTGTAGATGCTGAAAATGCTTCAATACCAGTCAAAAGATATATATGTAGTAGTGCAGTTATATACTGTACAGTTAAATAGTGCAGGATAAAAAGTTTGTGGTTTCAAAGTAAGATATTCCCGGTTAAGTGTTCAAGTTAGACAATATTTAAATCATTAAAAAAACAGTTAAATCTAGAAAAGCCTTTTTAATATTTAAGCTGCTTGTGGTTATGTCAAATAATGTTAATATTATAGATAATTTTGTATTATAGTGTCTTGCATATGACAATGTAGAAGAACTAAGTGGTCCTTTCTTCAACAATATGTTTTTGCTGTTGTATTACTGTAATATACAGTATATATATAGTTTTTTTTATATACAGCTGTCTCCTCCACACAACCACTTTGAGTCCATCTTTCCTCACATATGCTGTGAGGAAAGTTTATTTGTGAAACAGATTTAATTAGCAGGCACATTTGATAGGACTTGCACCATACCTTTTTACCTGCATTTAAAACTCCATAGCTTAGCGTGAATATAGGAAACCAGGTTAAACCCAGATCACTACTTGAGCTGTCAGCACGACATACCGAGAGCTGTCAGGGCGCTCAAGAATCAAAGTCAGAGTCACTACAGAAGCACAGAGCTGCCTAATACATTTCAGACAGGAGGACAGGAGTCACATTTGAAAGAGTGCCCCACATTCTCACATCCAGTCTCTGTCCATCACTGCAGTTTCTGATTATTTGGATCAGATTCCTCGTTAAAATTAATATTGATTTAGTTTTAGCCTTGTTATGCAGTGTAGAGGCTATAAAGCTGATGTATTATTCTGTGTAATCTTCAAGTCCATATAGTTCTCAAATTTACAAAATCCCAGCCATGACATACCCAAAAGCGTCCACTTTTTATATAGTAGTTGACTATTAACTACACAAAATGTCTAAAATGGTTTCTTGTGCACTTTTCACCAGTGCTACTTTTTGCGCAGCCTTCGCCTTGTGATTTCTTACTATAGTATCCGTGCTAACGCTCTGTCTGTGTTGTGCTGCTGCAGCGAGTGTTCCTGCCAGTGAAACAGAGTCTGTGAACACTGAGAATCAACCAGAGGATGAGAAGACACCGTGCTGTGGGCCTACATGGTAAGAACATTACATTTTGACAAAACAATTCAATTACAAATTGATTTTTTGTTCTTCAGTACTTCTGTTTGGGTTTTTTGTTTCACTTCTTTGTTTAAATTGTGTGATGAAAATGTGCGCTAATTATCTCTTCTACCTTCTCTATCACTTCTGCAACCATTTGGATTCCTCAACTTTGACTTTTTTTCTGTTAGTCAAAAGATTTCAAAGTCAAAGTTCAGGTCAGTACTCAGTGTAAACGTCTTTGCATGGTGTATTGCATCAATGTTCTATACGTAAAAACATTCCATATAAATATATAATGCAGATATACTGCTAACTGCTAACAAATGTATGTATTTTTTGTAATGTATTTTATTGAGCCAGAGTAAAGATGAAGAATCAGCAGGTTTTTTAAAGTCAGTGTGTACCATCTGTATTTATAGAGCAGAGCCCTGTGCAGGATATTTCTGTTAATTTACAGAGACTTGCTGAAACATCTATTTTTATTATATATTTAATGCGGGTAATGTGCTGCTTTCTTATCTTACAGTCGGCGCTGGCGCCGGTGGAATAGGTTTTGCCGCAGGAAATGCCGGCTGGCAGTCAAATCCGTGCCTTTCTATTGGCTGGTCATCATTCTAGTGTTTCTGAACACACTCACCATATCCTCCGAGCATTACAACCAGCCTATGTGGCTTACACAAGTGCAGGGTAAAAGAAGAATACATGTCTGAGGGTCTATTACCTCAGAATGTCTTCTTAATGTCGGCCATGTTCTTTCAGATGTGGCCAACAAGGTGCTGCTGGCCCTTTTCACGTGTGAGATGTTGGTGAAGATGTACAGTCTTGGTCTTCAGGCCTATTTTGTTTCCCTTTTCAACCGCTTCGACTGCTTCGTGGTGTGTGGAGGAATCACAGAGACCATCTTGGTGGAGTTCGAGATCATGTCTCCTCTGGGCATCTCTGTGTTCCGATGTGTGCGTCTGCTGAGAATCTTCAAAGTCACACGGTAAAATCAAACTCTTCTGTTATACATGTCGAGTGTCTGATGTTTTATTAATTTTCTGGTTTTCTCTGTCAGGCACTGGCAGTCCCTCAGTAACCTTGTGGCGTCGCTGCTCAACTCTATGAAATCTATTGCTTCCTTGCTGCTGCTGCTCTTCCTCTTCATCATCATCTTCTCGCTGTTGGGAATGCAAGTGTTTGGGGGGAAATTCAACTTTGATGCGACGCAGACCAAAAGAAGCACATTTGACAACTTCCCCCAGGCCCTGCTCACTGTGTTTCAGGTATCAATGTGCTATAAAATATTGATGTAAAGATTATCAAGGTGACCGCATTGCGCTTTGTTCAGATTTTGACCGGAGAAGACTGGAACGCTGTCATGTACGATGGAATCATGGCTTATGGAGGGCCGTCTTCCTCTGGGATGATTGTCTGCTTTTACTTTATCATCCTTTTCATCTGCGGAAACTGTATCCTCAATAATCACCCAGAAATATAATCAGCATTACATTTTATTTTATTTTTTCATATTATTTCAGCAAATGATTCTGAGGCTTAATTAATTCAATGATAAATTAGCAGTACATGGTTTTATGTTTAGTTCTATAGGTTATACTTCTTTCCTTGACACTGAACTCATACAAGATATCCTCCTGAATGTCTTCTTGGCTATTGCTGTCGACAACTTGGCCGATGCAGAATCTCTCAACACTGACGAAGGGGACAAGAAAGGGTACTGGTCCCGTCTTTTTTCTTTAATGTCTCAATTCACAATATTGATTTTAATCTTTGGAAAAAGACCTATACCCAATAGCAATTTCGATACCACCATGACAATGAAAATATGGGCTTACTTTTTGATGCATTCATTTGTAAATTTCTCCTGTGTGAGATCAATAAAGTCTATCTTATCTTATCGTATCTTAAGTCATCTATCTATCATGTGGTCTAAATAATCACAAAAACATTTGGTTGATATTTTCAGCATCAATGTCTGTTTGCTTTTCTAGTTTTTAGTATAATTTTAAGATGGATCATTAATCACCGTGTCTTAATTCAGGCTCCTTTTGCCCTGAGACTACCGAGAGTCCTTTGGTATGCAGTAGAACTTTAGTCCCTGTTCAGTATTTGGGGTTAGAACAACCAAAATAGTCAATAGTTACCTTTAAATAATATAGAATCTTAAAATTGTGATTGTTTTGTACAGGTTTTGAAAGTTCTTAATTTATTAATTTGAATTGTCTCCATACTATCTGACAATAATAAAGACTCCTTAATCTATGCTTTCTGTCTCAAGGGACAAAGGTGATGATGCCAGAGACGACCTGGCAGAAGAGGAGGAGAATGACGACACAGCAGGTGAAGAGGAGGATCCTGAGGTGCCATCGGGACCGCGGCCTGCCATCTCTGAACTGGTCAAAAAGGAGAAAATTACCCCCATTCCAGAGGGAAGTGCCTTCTTTATCTTCAGCACCACCAACCCGTAAGAACTGCTCTGAACTACTGTGACAAGGAATGCACATTGTATATTCTCTTAATCATTCTTAATGTTGATGTTTGCAGTGTCCGTGTGTTCTGCCACCGCCTCATAAACCATCACATCTTCACCAACCTGATCCTGGTCTTCATCATGCTCAGCTCAGTGTCCCTCGCTGCTGAAGACCCAATAAGAAACTTTTCTGCTCGCAATATTGTAAGTATAATGAGCATTTGAACAGTGGTACTTACCATTTATATTGTATGAGAACAACACATTTGTACGTTTGCCACTGTAATCAGAATATTTTATCCGATCAATAGAGAGATTTCATCAAGCCTATAAAGCGCTTCACAGGTGCGAGGCAATGCATACTGTATATACACTTATTTCAGAATCAGAATCAGAATCAGAATCATTTTTATTGCCAACGTAAGTAACGGGAGGTCACAGACTTGGAAATTGCTTTGGCTCAGTGCAACAGTCAAAAAGAGATAATAAAAATAAGAATAAAAAACACTTCTAAAGAATAAATTTAAATTTAAAATAGAGTTACAGTTACTATTTACAATATACAAGTGCACATGGTGCACACAATGTAAGGTGACAGCAGTACAGTGAAGTAAAGTGACGTATGATGGGCAGTAAAGTGACTTTATAAAGGGCGGGGGGACAGGTTAAGAAGTGTTCAAGAGTCCAACAGCAGAGGGGAAGAAACTGTTCTTGTGGCGGGAGGTTCTAGTCCTGATGGACCGCAGCCTCCTGCCTGAGGGGAGTGGTTGGAATAGTCCATGTGCAGGGTGAGAGGGGTCGGCTGTGATACGACCAGCCCGGCCTCGAGCTCGGGCGACGTACAGGTCCTGCAGCGATGGAAGGCTGCGGCCGATCACTTCCTCTGCAGAGCGCACAATGCGCTGTAGTCTCTGTTTGTCCCTGACTGTGGCTCCAGCGAACCACACGGTGATGGAGGAGGTGAGGATGGACTCGATGATGGCCGTGTAGAACTGCACCAACATCTGTGCAGGCAGCTTGGCTTTCCTGAGCTGCCGCAGGAAGTACATCCTCTGCTGGGCCTTCTTGATGAGGGAGCTGATGGTCGGCTCCCACTTGAGGTCCTGGGTGATGGTGGTGCCCAGGAAACGGAAGGACTCCACAGAGGTGATGGGGGAGTCCATCACGGAGGGTGGGGGCGGGGGGACAGTGCTCTTCCTGAAGTCCACAATCATCTCCACTGTCTTCTGGGCGTTCAGCTCCAGGTTGTTACCACTGCACCAGGACACCAGCCGGTCCACCTCCCTCCTGTAGGCGGACTCATCGTTGTTGGAGATGAGTCCAATGAGGGTGGTGTCGTCCGCGAACTTGATCAGCTTCACGGAGTCGTGGCTGGAGGTGCAGTGGTTGGTGTACAGGGAGAAGAGCAGGGGAGAAAGAACACAGCCCTGTGGGGCTCCTGTATTTATAATCCAAGGGTCCGAGACATTCTTCCCCAGACGCACTCGCTGCTTCCTGTCCGTCAGGAAGTCAGTGATCCACCTGCAGGTGGAATCGGGCACGTTGAGCTGGGAGAGCTTGTCCTGGAGCAGGGATGGCAGGATTGTGTTGAAGGCAGAGCTGAAGTCCACGAACAGGACCCTGGCGTAGGTCCCCGGGGAGTCCAGGTGCTGTAGGATGTGGTGGAGGGCCAGGTTAATGGCGTCGTCTACAGATCTGTTGGCTCTGTAGGCGAACTGCAGGGGGTCCAGGAGGGGGGAGGTGAGGGACTTGAGATGGGAGAGAACCAGGCGTTCAAATGACTTCATGACGACAGACGTAAGTGCTACAGGTCTGTAGTCATTGAGTCCTGTGATCCTGGGCTTCTTCGGGACGGGGACAATGATGGAGGATTTGAAGCAGGCCGGGACATGGCAGGACTGCAGAGAGGAGTTGAAAATGTCCGTGAACACAGGAGTAAGCTCACTGGCGCAGTGTCTCAGAGTGGCCGGAGACACGTGGTCCGGGCCAGGAGCTTTGCGGGGGTGCAGCCTCAGGAAGAGTTGTTTAATCTCTTTAGCGGCTATTGTTAGGCTGGGGGCAGGGCTGATGGGTGGGTCGTTAGAGTAGTTAGAGTAGTGGGGGGTGGGGGAGGGAGAGGTGTCAGGGGCAGCATCAAAGCGACTGAAAAATAAGTTCAGATCGTCAGCTAGCTTGTGGTCATCAGCACAGGGGGGGGCTTTGGGTTTGTAGTTGGTGATCTCCCGTAGGCCCCTCCAGACAGAAGCAGTATCGTTGTTACCAAACTGCTCCTGTAGTCGTTCTCTGTGTTTTATGTACGCTTCATTCATGAACAGAATAACTTTACAAAACTTGTATCAGATGTTTGGGCATCTGCAGCTATACATGAAATAACCACCAGAGATGAAAAACATGGAGTACGTTTACAAAGCACTACTCAAAACCAGTTAACTCTTGTAAATACAGACAAACCGAATACTACTGTGACAAAGCCAGCTGATACATCAAAGAGCGCAGGGAAAAGCCATGCTTATATTAGAAATATATGTATTTGGAGCATATAGAGGCGACTAACACATTTTGATCATTATGATAAGTACACATTTTGCACGTGTTGTTTTGTTCTGGTTTTGTAACCTGAGGTGAAAGCAGTAAACTTGTGTGTTTAATTGCACCGTGGACATTAGATTACTGCTGCATTTGAGCATGTGTGAAAAATTTTTAGTGGATGAAATGTGCATATATGATATTATGAAACGTCTTGCAAATGCTCAATTTGAATAATCAGATACTGCGCCTTTCATGACGACTGGGACCAGAGTGGGTGAACCAGTTTTGGGAGCAAGAGTCTGTTTTTTTGTGCACTGTATTATTTCTGCTTTTTGAACATTCTCAATATAATAAAATCACATCAGGTAATGTGCCTCACATTTGGCCCTTTGCCCTCAGTAATCTTTTCATTCTCTCTTTAGTATCCATTAAGTAAGTAAGTAAGTGATCTTCATTTATATAGCGCCTTTCACAGACCAGAGTCACAAAGCGCTTTACAATTGTTGTGAGCATTTGTCTCTTACTCCACACAGAGATGGGAGTGGTGTCGCCAGTATTGGAGGCGCATGTCAGACCCATTATTATTATCCATGTGTAAGATACAAACACAGAATGCAAAAAGTCCCTGATAACATCAAAATGCAAGTTGTATTTATTTTAGGGCTGTCAAAAATACATTTTTCATTCATGCGTTTGGAAATAATGCGCATTTAACGCATGTCCAAAAGACCCGCCCATGTGTCCCATAATGTCACTCAGAATGCCGCGGACACATGCGTGTGTGAGATGGCAACAGAGCAGGTCTCTGAGAATTCAAGTTTTAAAAGAATACACGCATGACCACGGGGCACTTGCTGTTGTTTGCTGTATAAACTGAAGTCTGCATCCTCCGTGGCCGCAGCGCTCTGACCCGGGGCAGCTGCGGCCGCTCTGGTTGTTAGCTGGCTGTGAGCCACTAACACAACACGGTGAATGGCGCCACGGTAACGTGGTCATATCCAAGACCATGCACGCACAGGACAATTCTCTGCATATTGTTTGCGTGTCTTTGCGTAACTTGTGCACGCAATAAATACACAGCTGAAGCTGAACTATGGAGCCTCAGGAAGTGTCCGTGTCTCCTCCTGAAACGCCACTAAACTCGCTAAATTAAAGCTGTGTTACGTACATTTTCCCTTTCAGCTCATGCTGGTTGTGCCCAAAAGTAAAAGGTTGTGAGCAAATCAAACAGATTTAAGTACATTTGGTTTGAATGACAATGTGTCATTACATTTGATTTAACTTCAATTGGAGTGGATTTAAAATAGAATGTTAAAAATGCGATTCATTGTGAGTTAACTCACAATTACTATGCGATTAATCAACTAAAAAATGTTAATCGTTTGACAGCCCTAATTTATTTATGTTGGAATCCACCACTTTCATGTAATATATTTCTTGATTAATCATACATTTCTTTGAGCTTGTTGATTTTCAGATAATTTACGTCTTCTGCCTCGGGACAACAGATGGCTTTGAGTATTTTTACTCTGGCATGTTTACACTGTATTATCAGATCTTCATTAAGTGCCCTCTTCTATCAAATGTATATTTAAATATATAAGATAGTATCAGTAGTGACATATGAAGCTAATTTCGTAACTCTTCGGCATTGTTTTTTTAATTTCATACAGGTTTTTACAGGTCCTGGATGTTTGGCAGTAATAATATCTCGTTCTCATATTACAGGCGACACTTGGCGATGCCTTCCTCCTCTTTTCTTCCTTCTTTTCAACCCATGTTTGCCCTGAATGCCCTTCTTTGTTAAAAATTTGAATTGCTCTTTGCAGATACTTGGTTACTTTGACTATGCTTTCACGGCTATCTTTACTGTTGAGATCGTGTTGAAGGTAATTGTGTGTCTCCCGTCTGTGCTGTCACTACCCACACCCAGTAACACTGCAAACGTCTTGTGCCTCCTTCCAGGTCCTAGGCTATGCAGATTATGTCTTCACTAGTATGTTTACATTTGAGATCGTATTGAAGGTAACCCCATAGAGTTACAATGAGAGCCTTGCATTCCTCTCCCTGTGTGTCACCTGCCACTCAACAAACCTGGCTTGTTTGTTTCCTTGCTCTGATTTAATTCTCTTTGAGGCACCTCTTTTAAAACTTTTAAAGCTTATACTTTCAATATTGGAGTTTTTAATTGTATTTAAGGCGAGACACTATAGATAAACAGGTACGATATCTGGAGGTGGTCCCCAGGCGCTGCACTGTAGTGACCACTGCCCCTGACCGGTTTCCCTCGGGCCTTGGAGGGAGGAGTTAAATGCAGAGGACAATGTTTCAATAATGTTGAAATAAATAAACTTAAATCTAGAGTATTACTTACTCAAACTTTGCATTCTTTTATATTTTCAAATGTGAGACATGACAATAGACCATAGAAAAGGATGGATTAAATGAGTGTTAGTGTCACCCATAGTAGTCTCTTCAGAGCAGAAGGCGATTAGAGCCAACTCAAGCAGCTTCCAGGAGAGTGAATAGGGAGCCAAATGTGGTTCATATAGAGTCTACATGAGGCGGCTGTTTTGAATTGACATTGTAGACATGGTCATTCTTGATCCTTGACATACGCGCCCCCCCTTTTACAATTAATCAAACTAGGGGGCACTTTCCACTGCTAACAATCGTTTATGGACATAAGGTGTGTGTTAGTGTTTAATTTTTACTATAAATACAACAGCATTAGCATTTAAATTTATTTTTATTCTTTTCCTAAATCAGAGAGTGGCCTTGGTTATGATGTTCATACTGTATAAAATACTTTATAAAGGAAACAGCAGAGACAAAACGTGTTTGATATAAATCTGACGTTAACTTAGCCCTCTGTAATGTCTCGCCTTTCTATAGTTTATAATGCAACTAAAAAAGAAAAAAAATGGGGGAAGGAAACTTGGCATCAACATTACATTAAACACATTCACTTGAATGCTATCATTAGGAAGTTCATGGCTATGATGACTTTAGTGATATGAGAATTTTAATGCAACCCTTGTGTGCCATAGATTATTCCAGGCTATTAGGACAAAAGCTCTCTCCATGCCTCTCACACTGACTGCTTTTATAACGACCATAAAAGAGGGGGCAATTCAATCATGTTCATTCTGAGCATGGTTCGGCCTGCTTTCTCCAAATGGAGTGCATAGTAATGTGGAGCTGAGGCTGCAGCAGCCGTTTGCACAAAAATACCAACTCTGTTTGAGTTTATTTTTCAACACATAACTAGTAACTAGTCAGGGTTAGGGTTTGCTGCTGCCTAAATATGGAGGACTTAATTTTTATAGTTTTTTTTCATTTTACTACTGAAATTCATTGTACATTGTTTTATTTATTGACCAATTGGCTTCAGCTGGCAGTGGTCATAATGTTGTGGCTGATCCGTGCACTTGCAAAGCTCCATATTTCTACACACTCAGGATAGTTTTTTTTTACTTCATGATTCTAAGAAGTAATTATAGATTGATTATTTTCTTCTGCTTGCTGAGATTTTCACTTGGGACTGTAGTCCCTATTTCTATAGACCTTTAAAGAACATAATTTAATGTACTTTAAGACAGCGGTCCAACATGAATGTGACAGTAAGGGCATTTCAACTTTCCAATCACGATGATAGAAAAGCTGAGAGTAAGTAACACCGGCAACAAAATGCATGTTTTATTGCCATGTGGATTGTGAAATGAATGACTTACTACTACATTCATGTAGCATTGGGCCGTGGGGGTGGGCAGAATATAGTTAACCTCCTTTTCACTGCTTTGAGACTGCCACCCCCAACAAGAGTGATCTACAGAGTGTAAAGAGTGCTAATGTGTGAAGAAAACTTAGCTTAGAAGAAATGCTAACAAAACTTGATACATTATGTGTGAAGTATTTAAGATCAGACATGTTAGATTACGTGTTGTTTGTGCGACTGTGCCTTCATGATACTCTTCTATAACATCTCTCTTCTTCTCAGATGACCACATACGGGGCTTTTCTTCATAAAGGGGCTTTCTGTAGGAATTACTTCAACCTCCTGGACCTGCTGGTGGTGGGCGTGTCCCTCGTGTCCTTCGGCATTCAGTGAGACATTTTATTAGCTTGAGCTTTAATTGGAATATTGGAATTTATGTAGGGAATTTATGGACTAATCATTAAATTTTAGAAGAAAATAAAAATCTCACTGTTAAAAAGTCTTTGCAGATGATTATTACAGATTCACAATTTCAGCCAGAGCATCTTGACTGCCATCTGGTGGCCATTTACAAACCAAATTCTGCGGATGAAATAATGCATTTTTCCAAAGTTTTAAATTTATGCCTTAACATTAAATAACAAAGAATTATCTTTATTTTTTTATAACACACATTTGGTTTTAGGTCCTCAGCCATTTCTGTGGTCAAGATTCTGAGAGTGCTTCGAGTCCTGAGGCCCCTGAGGGCTATCAACCGAGCCAAAGGCTTGAAGGTGTGTCTCATTGACTCCTGCAACATTTATTGAAGTGATTTAATCTTTTTTAACCCCACACACTGTCTTCTCTCTGCAGCATGTCGTGCAGTGTGTATTTGTGGCCATTCGAACTATCGGAAACATCATGATTGTCACCACTTTACTTCAGTTTATGTTTGCATGCATTGGAGTACAACTTTTCAAGGTCAGTAATTGTGAATATTTAAAACGTTTTATCAAAGATTATTTTTACTACATTTTTATAATCTGCCGTTAGGGAAAGTTTTACCGATGCTCTGATGAAGCAAAGTCCATCCCAGAAGAGTGCAAGTGAGTTTCCTATTTCACTAACTAGTGCATTCGTTCTCATATGTTATGATTAATATTTTTGTCTGGTTGCAGAGGAACCTACATTGTGTACAAAGATGGAGACGTGAACCAGCCCAGTGTGCACAGGAGAGTGTGGCACAACAGTGACTTTAACTTTGACAACGTCCTTATGGCCATGATGGCTCTGTTCACTGTGTCCACGTTTGAAGGCTGGCCTGCGTAAGCCCAAAACCCAAAAGTGTTCTGTCAATGTAGGCACTGTCGGCCTCTCTGAGCTTTTCTCTGTTCACTCAGGTTACTGTATAAAGCCATTGACTCCAACCGTGAGAATATGGGGCCCATTTACAACTACCGCGTGGAGATCTCCATTTTCTTCATCATCTACATCATCATCATCGCCTTCTTCATGATGAACATCTTTGTGGGTTTTGTGATCGTCACGTTTCAGGAGCAAGGAGAGAAAGAATACAAAAACTGTGAACTTGACAAGAATCAGGTAAGACCAATATTTCAGATGTTTTGTGGTCATTATTATAGAAGAACACATACCTTTGAGTTCCAAACCTGCTTTCAGAGAACAAAATGTTACTTTTAACATAAGTTAAAGTATATTTTCTATCTTTGCGGCAAAGTGGGTGGCTTTTTCACGTCAAAACCCAAAGGTCCTGACACTGTTTGGGTGCAGTAGTAGTAGTAGTAGTTGTTAGTAGAAGTAGTCGTAGTGTCGTTGTGATGGTAGTAATAGTTGTAGTTGTAGTAATTGTAGATTCAGGAGAAGTACGAGTGTTGTTGTGTGGTTGATGCCAACGTGTGTGTGCATGACAATCCAATAAGCCGCTTTAAAATAAATAACTTCTACTACGTTTTGATTTGAAGAATAAAGTAAACACTGTATTTTTGATGAGTCCATTTCATCCAGTTGATATGGATTACATATTTGGACACTAAAGAGAAAAGAGTGATTGAAAATAAAAAATAGAATGGACAATAATTGATTATAAAACTCAATTGAGAAAGTATAATTAAAGTTTATAAATAAACTAAATAAACAACACAAAATGTTACATTTATTGACAAGCTTTAGAAAGATGTTGATATCAGGACTATTATATAAACTAGTGGTATCATCTAAAGTAGTTGAAGAATGGAAAAACACTTCCAAAATTGAACTATTTTTCACATGCTTTCCTGAAAATATTGTGAAAAATGCGGTTATAAATATATACAAACCTTGGTGAAACTATAACCCTCTGGCAGAGTTTATTGTGCAAAATGTGATATTAAAATCTATTGATAATTTGATGACAGAGCATTCACAGCTAAGCCGGTTTGTTAATAAGTTGCAAATCCAATTATATATATTGATATAAATCATTCAATTTAACCCTTCAAATCAGCTCAAACATATGTGTTAAATCATTAAACAATAAAAGCCTATAAAAGATAACAGAGTTGCTTTTCACCGGAGTCGTTCTTGTGTGTGTGCAGCGTCAGTGTGTGGAGTACGCCCTGAAAGCTCGGCCGCTGCGGAGGTACATCCCCAAAAACCCGTATCAGTACAAGTTCTGGTACGTGGTGAACTCCACAGGCTTCGAGTACATCATGTTTGTGCTCATCATGCTCAACACTCTCTGTCTGGCCGTGCAGGTGAGACACGCAGTCTTCTGATCAAAGAAAACAAGATTCTCATGTTTCCCTGTTTCTTGCAGCATTACGGCCAATCTGCACTTTTTAACTACGTCATGGACATCCTCAACATGGTTTTTACTACTGTCTTCACTGTTGAAATGGTTCTTAAACTCATCGCTTTCAAACCCAGAGTAAGTGCTGTTTTTAATCTTTTATTTTATTCATGTACTGCGCAATGTCCAAATATTTATTTAAATTCATAAAGCGAGGTTACTGGATTGCTACACGAGTCTATTGTGTAGTGAAAATGTTTCTCTCAGGTGCTCTTCAAATATAGACTTCTTATACGAAGTTTATTACGTAAATGAAAAGTAAATGTCTTTATTACAACATATACATGTCAAGAAAGCACTTATACAGTACAGTTTCTTTTTCAAAATCTGTTTATGACGTTGAAGTTGAATACACAACAAGAAATCCAGGGGGAAAAAATACACTAAATACACTGCTACAACCATTTCTTTTTATAGAAGAAATGTCAGGATTAGTGCTGAATTATTGTATTACAGGCAACTGGGATATCAGAACTACTATGAAACGATATATTATCACAAAAAGTAGTTTAAAAAAGTAGTCCCTATTACAAGCTTGAAAATATTCAAAATATTCAAAAATATTCCTGAACTGGAAGGTTGACCCTCGGACAACAAAGATTTAACACTGTAACAGTTTTGTGTTGTTTGTATATGAGTTAATTTGCTGGAAGTGGCTCTGAAGTATTTTTCAACTGGCAATCCAAGTTTGAAGTTTTTAGACAAACAATAATCACCGGCATTTACGGCATGGCTTAAGCTCTACCATCAATCCATCTTTATTTTTAAGTGATTTTCAGACAAAGACGACTCGTCATTTACATGTTTGTAAATTAATTTAGTGTGATTGTGTATTTTTTGTTGTGCAGATGCAAAGTAGCTACATTTCGTACAGATCACAGTACTGCACAATTGTCTGAATACTAAAAGATTAGTTTTCCCTCTCAATGCTGGCAGCTCTTTGTTCCGAAGAAGGACAGGCTACTTGTAAGCGATGGTGTGGGGTGCAGAGCTGCAGTATTCTTGCATGTCCTCTTTACTTTGTTTGGCTCTGGTGAAATCTTTGCACTTCCACATGAGAGCGCTGTAATCACGCACTCTCTTTGCTGAAGGAGCTATTGTATTCATTTTCAGTGTGAATTTCAATTTGAATATTCAAAAGAAACCTTGCTATTTGCCCATCACTTACTCAACATCACTTAGGGCTATTTTGGAGACGCCTGGAATGTTTTCGACGCGCTGGTTGTGATTGGCAGCATAGTAGACATTGTTCTCAGTGAAATTGATGTAAGTAAATACTCGTCTATGTCCGGCTCTCTGACCTCCCCTTGCTCTGCGCTGTCTAGAGGGCTTAAGCACCTGCTCTGTCTTTTGCTAATTTGCTAACTTTTTCTCCTGCCATTTCATTCACTCCCTTATCTGTCTTTACGTTCATTTTCCCGGCTCCCTTTCCTCCTCTTCATTTTTCAACACCACACTCAAACAGCACTATTTTGCCGACGCTTGGAACACATTTGATGCCTTAATTGTAGTCGGTAGTGTCGTTGATATTGCTATTACCGAAGTCAATGTAAGTACAGACTTTCTATTGTTTTCTATTTAAACTGAAGCTTTTCATTTAAGCCAATGTTGCCTCATTATTGCTAAGCTATATTTGATTTATTCCTTTTTCTATATACACCTACTTGTTATAAAGACTCCTTTTGCTGCATGCTGTTAGTATGGATTATGTATTTTCCATTAGCTTACAATGCAAAGCTTCAGTTTGACCTTACTGATGTCTTAAAATGTCTGTGCTCTTCTCTATTTGTCTCAATTGTCTTTCTGCAAAATAAATTCTCATTATGTATGTGATGCATTTTTATTAATAGGCAGTGAGTCATTGATTAACCCAATCTAATTTACAATATTGTTTATTTTTTTACTTCCATAGAAACTTGTAGAGGCAAGTATGGCAACAAATTAACATGTTGTGATGTGTGCCCCTCTGTTGACAAACAACTTTATCTTCAGGACCCCTTTAATGTAGAAATGGATGCAAAGCTTAAGCCATTTCACTTAATTACACTTAACTGCGGTTAAATGCTCTAAGTCCAATCACAGCTGATTTCTCACTCGAGTGCTCCGTGGTCTGAGCTGCAGTGCTGTTTTCTGGACCTCTTCCTCATGATTTTGTTCTCTCTGTGTTTTTGTCTGCATGACTTATCACATCTCACACTGCCTTTGAATTTGTAAAGAGTTGTTGGTGTTTATGTGTTCTAGATTTACTATACATGTATATATAGTGTCCCATGATACACTGTGTTTCTCAGTTCTGTTGTATTGCATTGTGTGCTTGTGTGCATGTTCTCACACGCTCTTTGCTTGTATCCACATTAGACTGCTTTGTGTGTTTTTGTCTCAAAAATTGGATCACATTCATTTAATTAATATGAGACTCATTCTAAGTTGTATTGCTAATTTACATTACTTAGAACCACGTGTAACTAGTTTAGTGCATGCATCATCCACATTGCACGCTGTCCATGTCTTAACCTCATGTCTGCCCCTCACAGATGGCACTGGGTCACCCGCTCCATGCTCCTCCGGTCAGTCATGTCCACTGTGCTCTTTCTCCTCACCTTTGACCTCTACATCCAGACACAATGGCCCTGGAGCTCAGAGCATAATTTTAACATGATAAAACTATTGCTAATTATTATGGCTAATGTTTAGGTAAAAAGACTATGAGACCCAAGGTAATGACCCCGCTCCCATCTCTGTGTGGAGTGAGAGGATAAATGCCCACAATTGTTAACCGCTTTGTGACTCTGGTCTGTGAAAGGTGCTATATAAATAAAGATTATTTACTTACTTAAATAAGTATCAGGACAATTCACTGGAAAAATACACACATCCTGTGATAACGATTTCCCTTAGTTTGAGTTGCATATAATTACAAACAATTCAATTTATTCTTGTATTGCCCTAAAACAGTAGTTTTTCGGAGGACATCACACAACCGTTGACTTCGCCAACACAGATCAGAGAATCTAACCGTTCAAACACAAGGAATAAATCAGAAAACATATTGGTGTTGGTCCATAAGGAGTAGATGACCAATGTCCATAAGTGTTGATAAAGGTTCACCCCTTTTTCTGTCTACAAAAGTTAGTTAGTTAGTTGACAATGATGTTTTATTGGTGGAATAAGAGTTTCTTGAGGCCAGGTTGTGTGCTGATGTTGTCTCTGAGTGACTGTGTTTTGTTTGTCTTCTTGTAGTGAGCTCTTAAAGCTCTAGCGGAGCTCTGTGTAGCGCAGGTGTGTAGTCACAGGCAGCTGCATGTTGTCTGCACTCCTCTCCAGTTGAGTTTAGACCAGACTCTGGCTCCTCCTTCTCTTTCCTGTTTGTGATTGGGAGGGCGCCCTGCTGCAGCTTTCGTTGCAGGGCATGACTGGCATGCATGAGATGCTCTGATGCTATAACTCCACCAATGGCTCCTCGTCATTTTTGCATATGCACTTCTCAACGATGCATGGTTTGTCAATGCTTTGGCAAAGAATACCTAAAGAACCTCCTCCTGCTAACTTTAATGCTTTATCTCCATATTTATTTTGATATCCATGAATGTGGAAATCTAACAGAAATAGGAGCTTGTCTGCTTTGATATAATTCTTTCCTTCTGGTTTTCAAATGTATTGCAAATAGCATGTTTTAAAATGGGAGTATTTGGGGCGTGTTTCAGGTATGACCAAATGAAATAATACTTAAATTAAGTCATTGCATCATACATATTATGTTCATTTTATCAGACAGTTGATATAATGTCTGTTTTGACCACTGCATACACCATTATCCATATTGTCCACATTACATCGGGGCAGTGATAAAGTTGTGTCTTATTTGTGATGCAGTAATCAATCAATTCATGTTGTCAGTCCAAGCTGTAACCCCACAGTGAACTGTGAATTGAAAGTATTACATGATACTATATAGCCATAAGTTAAGGTGATAGTAGTTCAGTCACATAAATTATATGTAATTGCCTGTCTATGTTATAGTGAATTATAAGAAACGTGCTGTTGAGCTGTAGTGACTTTGTTTTGTCTCTGTCTGAACTTACCACCTAAAACCCTACGAACTTTGCTGGACTTGTTAAACATGTGTAGCCCTTTGTCCAAGTGAGTAAAAGTCATTAACCAAATCTTTGATTTTAAAGCCAACGGAAACTCCTCAGTTGGATGAGATGGGGGTAAGATGTCCAGCCCCCTGTTAGGGCCATTTGAGATCTTTCTTTTCACTTTTTGTTTTATTCCCCCGTTTGTATCATTTTAACCTTTTTACTAACATTCTCATGAATAGATTTCCATTTTCTTTTTTTTTGCCCATATGTTTGAATTTCCGTTACTTTTTGTTTTCTTTCCCTAATGTTTGCAGTTATTAAGAACGGTGTGTCCCTCAAACGTGACGCGGTGTCCAGTGAGGTTTAGGGGAGTGTTGGGCCGCCCCTCACGTTTGTAATGTCGACACTAAAACATGGTCTCTGCCTCCATCCCTGAGCGGGGCAGTTTTCCATGGGTGGGCCCTGCGTTGGGGTCTGGGTGGGCCCCACAATGACTCCGCATGCAGTGGACTGAGGGGCCATGCTTGCGTAGATATGCCCTGTCAAATATGGCGACATTTCTCCAGCATGCCTGCCTTCTTGCTTCCTCCCCTTTAGGTACAGTGGGCCCTGACAGATGGATGGACAACAGAAACATATTGGCTGCTTACACACTATTACACAGCCAAGAGAATATTCATCTTGAATTCAGTTTTATAGTTTAATGCTTTTATGTCAGTTTTATTATGCATTCATGGCATTTCTTATTAGTGTATTTTCCAATGATATATCCTTCTGTCATTGGAATTTGTGTGTTGAAATATGGTCACATCTGTTTAAAATTAAGATTACAATAAACAAATATTATTTGTGCAGTTTATGCAATCTCTACTCAGTCTTTGTTTTTCAAAGGCAGATTACAAACTATTAAAACCAAAATATTCAGCACATATGTTTCTAGTCTCGGGCCCCTTCATCTTAAAGCACGCTCAGGCTCTCCTCATTAAGGCTGTGCTTGTGTAAAGGTCCAGTCTGACTCTGCTCTGGTCGTCCACAGAACACAGAGGACAGCGCTCGCATCTCCATCACGTTCTTCAGACTGTTCCGAGTCATGAGGCTGGTGAAGCTGCTCAGCAGAGGCGAGGGTATACGCACCCTGCTCTGGACTTTTATCAAATCCTTCCAGGTAAGAATCTTTTGTGTAACAGAAAGTGATTGTTGCTCATTTGAACATTTTGTTTGTTTTGGTCCAAAGGCTCTTCCATATGTTGCTCTTCTGATCGCCATGCTGTTCTTTATCTACGCTGTAATTGGGATGCAGGTAACTGTGCATTCAGCTATATCACACTGTGGAGCTATTGTATGTATTATGTATTAGAATGACTTTGTTTTTTTATACTGACTCTACACACTATTATTATTAGTGTTATTAGTCCTTTTAGTCTAAATAGAGTATGTGCTAGGAAATGATCTATAATTTACAGGTTACTATTTTCAGAATCAGAATAATTTTGTCCTCTGTAAATGGTTTCTACATTTTAAACTGTACATCATCAACTCTCTCTAGTCGGAGGCTTAGAAGGTTCTTCTATTAAGGCAAAAGTATAAAGAAGCTAGTACTCCTTAATTATCTGAAATGTTTTAGTGGTAGACTTCTGCCTTCCGTATCAGCTGTTGTTACCAAATTTGGCCAGTCTGACAGAGCTGGCAGAACCATTTTCTTATTAGAAGAACATTCTAAGCCTTTAACATAAAAGCATTCTTTACATTTAATTCAATCTAGTAGAAGTTTAGCCATTGGCACCGTCTGAAAATCTGTTCAGAACCTTGAGAAATATTGTATAGCACAAACAGAAGTAGAGAGATTTTGAATGATTTATTGCATTTTCTCAGGTTTTTGGAAAGATAGCTATGGTGGATGGCACACAAATAAACCGAAACAACAACTTCCAGACCTTCCCTCAGGCCGTGCTGCTCCTCTTCAGGTGAGTTGAAGTATAGAACAATCATGCTTGTTTCGCACGGCTAAAAGCCTGTTTTTTCCAAGTGACATTTGCTTTATGTGGCAAAATGTTGTTTGTAGCAATCTCTCTTTGTAAATATGTCTAGCACCCCAAGATAGGACTTTGTGATAGTCCGTATGTAGCAGGGCAAGGGTCTCTTGCCCCCCAATACAAACCTGTGTTAAATCAATCTATAAGTGGGTGAATGTGGAGTAGAGATGTTACAGTGATTACAGTAATATACTTGAGTGGCTGCTTCATAATTTGAGTTTTCTGTGCCCAGATGTGCCACTGGAGAGGCCTGGCAGGACATTATGCTGGCCTGTATGCCCGGGAAACTGTGCGACCCTGAATCCGACTATGGGCCCGGAGAGGAGATGACCTGCGGCAGCGGCTTTGCAATCATTTACTTTATCACCTTTTACATGCTCTGCGCTTTCCTGGTACACACATTCACAAATGTATGCATGTTTTGTATTGCCATAACATTGCTATATTTTACATTTTACAGATCATCAACTTGTTTGTGGCTGTCATTATGGATAACTTTGACTATCTAACACGTGATTGGTCCATTCTGGGTCCACACCATCTGGATGAGTTCAAAAGGATCTGGTCTGAGTATGACCCAGAGGCAAAGTAAGTGTTTTGGGTCCAATTAGTAAAAAAAATGTAAGGAAAAACATCATATTATTGCAACTTTTAGCGACGTATGTAACCGCATGTAACCACACTGTGAGTATGTGGTTACAGTGTTCCATCATCGTTAAGTTACAAGCAAATGTGTTTTGATTGTGTTTGGTTAATCGTCTTTTGTTTTCATTCATGGTGTTCACCTACTCTCTATTTCCGACACCTTCCCTCTAGCCTGTAGTGATATTAATAATACAATAATAATACATTCTTAAATTTTCACACTTAGTTGTACTCTAAAACAGATAATGGTATGATGAAATTTGAGAAATATGAGAGGTGGGGCTTATTAGTTAAAACATTAAAGCAGGCATTTCCAGGCTAAGTTTATGTTATTTTATGTGGCCCTCTGCTGCTAAATCAAAGTAGCCATTGTGGTACTTTCGCAATGTCATCCAGCCAACTTCAGATCCATCAATACAATCATGCTGTACCTCAGTGTAAAAGCTCAGAACATTTGTTTTTGTATGTATACACGGATATTTCTTAGTGCCATTTATATAGCTATTGTGTGAATCGTATCCTGGACCCTGAGTCTGTAATAAAGTTTGATATTATCATACCTCTTTTAAAAGCTCAGAACAACCCGAATCCAGTAAAACCTTGTTTACAATCCATGCTGTCAGCCGTTGGAATCTGGTTAACTAAAGTGATACTACTAACAAGTACTAACAAGTTTGGACATCCCTGTGTTAGATTCTTGACAGAAAACATGATGTTGTTTTTTACCTTTTCTACATTGTTAACAGAGGTAGGATCAAACATCTGGATGTTGTGACTCTCCTTCGTCGTATCCAACCACCTCTTGGTTTTGGGAAACTCTGTCCTCACAGAGTGGCCTGCAAGGTCCTTCATCTATTCATCTGCTCTCTATTTAGCAAGTATTACAACTGATCCCATTTTTCATTTGACTTTATTTAGAGATTGGTAGCTATGAACATGCCCCTCAACAGTGATGGCACTGTTATGTTCAATGCCACTCTGTTTGCGTTGGTCCGAACAGCTTTGAAGATCAAAACTGAAGGTAAAGATCATAGATATTGTACTTTTCTTTATATAAAAAGATCATAATATCTGTAACCTGATATTGTAGGTAATCTGGAGCAGGCCAATGAAGAGCTGCGGGCAGTCATTAAGAAAATATGGAAACGGACTAGCATGAAGCTGTTGGATCAAGTGGTGCCCCCTGCTGGTGGTTAGTGCATTATCAACCCAATGCAAATACATTCAGATGCAACTAAAACATGTTCAGTAATTTCAGATTCAGTATTTTTTGGTGTGAATACTGTGCTTGTCCTTGTTTCCTCACCTGTTTGTCTCTTATGTATGTTTCTCTGGAGCCTGGACGCTGAGGGTCACTGGCTGTTGCATGGCCTCGTAGAGTTTCACTGTTTCTCAGATCTGTCTCTAATCCCTCTTTTACCTCCATCTCTCTGTTACCAACTGGCTGAAGCTCTTCCGAATATTCTGAAGCAGTTCTGTTTTAGGGGGGTGGCATGGAACTAGTGTTGCCTCTGTCTCTGATCTCTGTCCCCAGCCTTTGCTTGAACCAAGTGATTTCAGACCCCTGCTTCAGAATTATTCTTCTTACAAAAAGTGCAATAGAACAGAGCAACAACATGAGAACGACCCATCTGCTGCTTGCTTGCTTGTGCTGTATAAGTAAAGTCAAACAATTTATTTCTATATTTTTGTCAACTTGTAACAAAGAGATTGGCAACTAAAATCAAACACATGTATACAGTCAGTTCAAATAATAGTTTAAAAATGTTCCCATTTCCTCATCTTCTTCAGTATATTTCAATATTGGGGAAGATGACGCAGAAATGTGTTTCGTCTGCAGGTTTAAGATCTTAGTCTGAGATTCTGTATCTATAATTTTTCCAGCTTTGAGGTTCAGTATATACAGTATTCCCAGATGGACATATTTCATTCATAGTGATATCCTAGTCTATGTATTAGAGGTTTTTCTAAAGTTTTATGTAGAAAGCTTGAGCAATCTTTATGTAGTGACCTGCTGACACAGAAGCGTTTGTGTGGTCTGTTCACTCAGATGATGAGGTAACCGTGGGGAAGTTCTATGCCACTTTCCTGATACAGGACTACTTTAGGAAATTCAAGAAACGTAAAGAGGAAGGCCTAGTGGGTGAACACCCGACCCAGAACAGCACAGCCATCGCTCTGCAGGTGAGTGCCTCTATGTCCGTGAGAGACTGACCGTAGCCACGTCTGTCTCGCGTGCGTCTCATTAAGATAACATTTCTAATGTTATGGTTTACAACCAGCAGGATATTCATGATGTCGGTCTAATGTATGACTCTACTGTAAATATAATGTCTGCAGTAAGGTTTTGAGTCTGTAATCACAGATGTTGATGTTAAGTGTGTGTCATTGTGTCCACATGAAGTACATGTTTCTTTATCTGCCCATCTGACAACTCATAAACCATTCAATTTTCCAGTTTTGATATATGACTTACAGGCCATATATTGTTGTCAGAATTACAGTTGTTTTTAATTTGTTTATTTCACTGTATTTTGTGTTTGTGCTAATCATGCTGATTATATACCTAAACAAGTGTCAAAGCCACAAAAGCCTCTCCAACACTGAGTGCAGCAGTTTGCACATGTGTGTGTGTGTTCCCATTGTCAGTGTCTTTAATGTAAACTCCCCCAGAGAGGTGTGTGTGCCTGTCTCCTCTCACATTTTATATTTGAGCCGTGAGACCAAGGTCCTGGACGAGCGCTTAGATTTTCTGTTCATGGTTACAGGCTGGCCTTCGCACTCTTCATGATATTGGGCCTGAAATTCGACGCGCCATTTCATGTGATCTGCAGGATGATGAACTAGTAGACTTTATCCCAGAGGAAGACGAGGAGGTTTATAGGGTAATTAATTCAATTTTACCTGACAGGGAGATCTATCAAGCTAAGGTATCTATATTTATGATTTCATTGGACATTTGAATGGCAATAACCATTTCAGGAAAATGATACGACATTATTCGACAAAGCCCTCAATAGATCGACTGCTAAATACTAAATAGAACATTAGAATGCTGTTATCAACATACTTTTTGTGACCCACTGCATGTTTATTTTCTCATTTTCAAAAACAATAAACCGTACATGAAGTGAGCTCACATAGTAGAACAGTTTTCATCTTTGAAAGCTTTTCTACCATGGACATAAATCATCTTTTGCTCATGATATTTTGCTAATTAAACCACCTCTACCTTAACATCAATGAAGCTGCCTTAACCGCACAGATAAAGCGGGTGAGTTTACTCCTTGTTCCTCGTTTACAGCGTAACGGAGGGCTTTTCAGTAACCACCTCATGAACGGTCACCATCGGCGATCGGAGGCCCCTCAAACCAACGCCACGCAGCGCCCTCTACAGGTGCAGCCTCCGCCTCACTACGCGCATATGGAGGAGCCTGTGGGCAGACTGTCCCGGGCCAACGCCATGGCTCACCCCAACCACCACCATCACCACCACCACCGGCATCACAATAACTCCTACGGAAAATCCCCCAAATCCACTAACATCAACCTGAACAACGCCAACGTGTCCAGCCTCCCCAATGGACACCACCGCTACTACGACCATGTGCCGCCCAATGGGTACCCCGGTCTGAGGCCCACCTACTATGACAAGACCCCACAGGGACAAAGGTACACCAACAACTGCTGCTTTGATCAAACCACTATTCAGACTACTTTGTTTATCCCACTACGGGGCAATTTGTTTGAGCAGCACAGGGCATGAAAACATTAAAAAAACACATCAAAACACAGGAAATGTCAGACCTTAACATAAACAATATGATATACTGTACTAATACTTCACTATTACTACAAATATAACACATACCATAGAGCTGCACCATTTAGTAAAGATAAGATCAGATAAGAGATCCTTTAAAGAATATGTAATTGCGATATTTCTGACTAATATTGCGATTGCGATGCATTTTTGCGAGAAAATAAATCAACAACCAATCACCTAATACACAACTGCCACACATTCCACATGTTCCTAACATAGACTGTACATTTTCCTAGTCGCAATAAATGATTCACAGCACACACAAAAATCAAATCACATAAGTAGTCACATAAGTAGTTTTTATCTTATCACAACATTATTATAGTCAGACCTGAGCTGTGAGGCCCAGACCTTATGAAAAAGATTTTGATTGAGGAACATGACAACAAGACAAAAGATGCTTGTTCCATTGATTAATCTTAAGAAAATACTCAAATCAAGAGAAATGTTCCCAAATGCCTTCTCTTTAGCCCCTTTCTTGTTTGCAAAGAACATTCCTGTGTTTGTGATTTGCTCAATCAATATTTTTCCGAAGTTAGTGTAAGTTGATAAATCAATTACCATAGACAGATGGTGATGTTTGTTCTCAGTTATGAGAACAAACAATTTGATTATTTCAACATTTCTTGAGCTACAGCCCACGTTTGAAGCTCACATGTTTTCTTTCCTTTATTCCGCACTGTTATCTACAGATTGCGCTGCATCTTCTGCACTGGTATAATGTTTCTTTGGAGACCACTCAGTTGCACTTCACTTAAAAGACGAATTGGTTTAGTGAGTTTCTTATCTTGAAAAGAGGAAATTGAATTGTCAGCTGTTGTAGTCTATGTAGCTCATCTCATTCTCTCCCTCTTACATATATAATAATGCTGTATATGTCTCATATACTGTATGATATATATGTTCTGCCTTCCTCCATTTTCCTCTCTGTGTCTTCCCTTTCTCTTTCTAAACCTCTGCTTTCTCTCAACCATCTCTTTGCTTTCTGGAAGAAACAGAAGGCGCTACTATGAGACCTATGTTCGGTATGTTATTTTAGGTTTGACAGCAGTTATTTAAGGAGAGATTGGTGTATGCTTGCCTGTTTCAGTTTGGTTCTAGTCATGCTCAGTGATTGTGATCATAGGCTGGCCAGTCTTTTGTCCTAATTTTACTTTTGTGTTAAAAGGAGTGAGTGACCAGCGTATGTCAGAGGAGCCTGCTTTTTGCATGTGTAGCCTGGACATGCAGTAATAATACTATTAGGCTATTTGCATTAATAGCCCTACAGTATTTTGGATGCATATGTACACTTCCGACTGCACTTCAGTATGCATTTATGTACAATCATCACTAGAACTGATGTATTTTTCCTGGTAAGGTAGTGACTTGCTTCTTGTACAGTTTATTTCCCCAACGCCCTCTGCAGGCTTAATTCTGCATGGCAGCGCATGACTATATCCTTTTAGTTTTACACCAAGCACTTTGTGTTCTCTGACCTGAATGTTCACCTTACCTGCAGCTCCCAAGGTGGAGACAAGCGCCATCCGACGATCCGGAGGGAAGAGGAGATTGATGAGGATCGTTTGTCTGGGGAGTACTACAGCGGGGAAGAGTTTTATGAGGATGAGACAGGGGACAGGTGAGAGTCTATGTCAAATTAAATAATACTATTATTAGGACTAGCACATGATATAGTATGACAAACTTCATAGTGATATTCTTGCTGACAGATATCAAAACAGTGATGCAGAGTATGAAACTCCAAAAGGCTACCATCACCCAGACAATTACTACGATGACGATGAACAGCCCCTTTACCACGATTCACGACGATCACCAAAGAGACGGCTGCTTCCTGCCACACCTCAAGGTGATGTTTGAATATTTTTTCCCCTGTAGTGTGCTCTTGGTATGTGAGAGGGTTTGTGCTTTATAGATGCTTTTTGTGTTTATTTGCTTTAAAGAGAGCTTCCATTTGCATTCATCAGGTCACAGGAGACCCTCTTTCAACTTTGAGTGTCTGCGCAGACAAAGTAGTCAGGATGAGCTTCCACATCAGCGCACTGCGTTACCATTGCACCTTATGCAGCACCAGGTATGACTCATCTGCCACACACATGTCTGTGTTTATCATTGTAGTAACATCTTGTTCATGACAGGTCATGGCTGTAGCAGGACTGGACTCCAGCAGAGCCCACCGCCTCTCACCAACTCGCTCCACTCGCTCCTGGGCCACCCCCCCCACCACCCCGGCCAGTAAAGAGCAGTCCCCCTACTACACCCCTCTGATACACGTGGACCACCCGCACAGGGAGAGCATGAGCGGCAGCCAGGTGTTTGTCCACAAGAGCTCCTGGTACACAGACGACCCAGAGTTCTCTCAGAGGATCTACTCTCCACTTCACCTTCAAGTGCCACCGGAGTTCCACAGCCAGTACCACCAGAAGAGGGGCAGTGCCACCAGCTTAGTTGAGGCGGTAAGTCATTCCATAAAAACTTGGAAGTTTTAAGTCATGTACCCATGTGGACAAGATAATATCATGCATTTTTTTCTGTTTTATTTTAGGTTTTAATATCAGAAGGCCTTGGGAGATTTGCGAAGGATCCTAATTTTGTGGCAGCCACAAAGCATGAGATTGCAGATGCATGTGAAATGACAATAGATGAGATGGAGAGTGCGGCCAGTCACTTGCTGAACGGCGGAATGGCACCGGGCATCAACGGCATCAGTGTGTATCCCATTTTGAACCCTGGGGACTATGACCTGCAGGACAATGCAGTCAGTTACAGCGACGAGGAGCCAGAGATAGAGCCGCGCACGCCCTACGAGGAGGATCTAGCAGATGAGATGATCTGTATCACCACTTTATAGCAGTGTTTAATGAAACATTTTAAACTTTTTCTGAAACAAACAGTTAAATACAAATGCATCTGTTGGCTCTAACCAAAAGAAGTGCCTTTACAACTGAGGAGAAAGGCATAAAGATACAAGATATTGTGCTCACCTTTGTTCTGAGCAGGGGAAACCCTGGAGCCAATAGGATGAAGGGACACTGACACAGTGAAAGACCTGGACCAATGGCAGAGGGGTTTACAGGGTGGTCTTAAAGGGTGATGACAATCAGATGTATGATGTCATTACCTCAGTCACTTTACTAAGGTTTGGTATATCATGCAAGTTTTCAATGCAAGTATGTAGAAAAGCATATCTCCCTCTTAGTTTTTAGTTTCATCCTCTTTATTAGTTTTAGGCAACAGTAAAAGCACCACTAGAGATCTATTAGATAATATTAGGACATGGCCATCCTAATTATAGCATTTTCCAACTTGAAATAGCTACTTTTAAAGTGACAACTGCATTTCTAATAATGCACTAGACAGGTTATTTTAATTTTAAGAATAGCCTGAGTAATATTTCATAGTTGATATGCCGTACATTGTATTATACAACGACTTTGTAAAGAGATCTATATTTTGTAATTATGTATAATTTTATCAGCAATATGGTCCCACTAAACTCCTGTTATATTCCAAAACTGAGGATGAGGATGTACAAATTTGTCTTTTATTTTCTAGTGAATATGCATCTACTTGTGTTACAATGCCACAGCGCTGCAATACGCTTAGTCCGGCTGCAACTAATATTATCTGAACAGTGGACTTGCCACAAATATTCTGATTAATTGTTGCAGCGCTAATGCTAGTCCAAACATAGATATGAGGTTCTTCCTACTGTTGCATGAGGTCACGGTCATTTTGGAGGCCAGGCTGATTGATACAGTGCTGTTTTATTTAATTCATAATGAACTTTTTGCATATTTTGTGCGGAGTATGCACACACATTTAAAAAGCATGGTGCAATTATCAACGCTGCTTTTATTTGTTTCCTTAAGTATGTTTTACTAGTTCCCGATTAAAGCCTATTTGCTGCTGGAAGACTGAAGCTCAATGGACACAGAAGTTACCCACAGCATGTGCTGAGATATTTTCATTATTGTTGATACAATGTCATGTCTTTTTACTGATGCGTCCCACATGGTGAAGTATATTATAAGGAAAGATAAAGCAGAGAGTCTCAGCAATATTAGCCCATCTCTCTCTTAGTCCTGAATCTGGGTGGGATGAGGTGAGCCCATAAATTATTATTATATTTGATCTGTTTGTTAAATCATCACAAAAGAGCTTTCCATAGACGTCTTGTTTCAGAACATTCAAGTTGGAGCTTTAAGCTATTCATCTTCAAGTTTCTGGACTGAATAAACTGATTAAAGTGGGTGCAAACAGGTCTATTGAATATAGAATATGAAATATATACAGGTTGCTGTCAGAATATGTACGTTTTTCCATTTTGTGTGCACATTGAAAGGGCTCTTTGACTTGTTTGTGAGTTTAACATGTTTTGTCCTTTTGTTGAGAACTGTCATTTAAAGGACCAATGCACAGGCACACTCTATTCGTAGCAAATACAGTGCTGATGAACTTAAGATATGCATTATTTTGTAAACTTTCAAAGTGTAAAACTAAAGAGAAAAGAACTTACTTTTACCTCAAGTCAGGGATTCCTGAGAAAAAATAAGGATTTGGTTCATACCAATGATATAAACTTTAATATTAGCACATAGCTGTTTGTCTTTGCACAAGTAACTGTACAGTGCTTCGGGTTTTCCTTTTTCTAAGAGTTGTGTATCACAATTTTGTATTTTTTTGTGACTGTGGTTTAGTGGAATCTGTATTTGTCATTGACACCTTAACGGAAAACGCTGGGAGCAAAAAGAGTGTTTTGAAAAAATAATAAAAGCGCACATTTGTTTCCAGTTTTTTTAAAAGACTTAACAGTTTACAAAGACACATATTGATCAGAACATTTGCTTTCAAATTTTTTCTATTATAATGCATTATTCAACTTCTAAAATTGATGCTGTATAAACAAGACCTTTATGTAATTTATGTACAAACATATGGAAAGACCCATGATCTCTAATCTCTACTTGAAAGTATTTTTCCTTTATTTATTTTTTACATCTGTAAACAACATATTTTAACAGTAGCAAACGCTTTACTATAATTCTATAAGTTTTTGTAATTTACACATTTTTGTATTTTTCATTTATGTTGGTCAATTCAAGTCACTTAATTTTCTATTGTTTTAACATTAAATAACTTAAGGTAAAATGGATGTGACCTGATTTTATTGCAACTCCTACACCACAGAAATACAACATCTGATACATTGACATATTGCTCAGCATCCACTTTCTGCTACTTTCCAGAGATGACACCAGCAGAAGTTCAAGGTGGAGACACTTTGGAGACACTAGACTCTGCCACAGTTAACTCAGATCCTTCATCTTCCACCGACAAATTCCGGCACAGTAGGAAAGGCACTGCGTATTTACGAAACTACAAGAAAAGATATTATAGTTTTCAAACATGAGGAAGATTTCACGCAGGGACAGACAACCTTTTCATATTTACCTATATTTTACCTTTTTTTTATTTAGACATAATTAATAGAGTGGATCAAAACATGCATATGATAATCCCACTAAATTATAAATCAAATCAATAGCACAATAGTAAACTACAGATAGAGCAAAAGCACACCTGTATTTAATGTATGTGACCACTAGATGGAGCTCACAGTCCTACAGCCCATTACACTGCTCAGCTTCTCAACAGCAACAGTCGTATTATTTCAGACGTACCTGTTTGTTGAGGTAAATGTAGATTATGGGGTTGTAGGCAGTGCTGCTTTTGGCCAGATAAACAGGAATAGTCGCCACCAGAGCAGAGATCTTCACATCAGGACACAGAACCACGACCAGAGCGAGTGTGGCGTAAGGCATCCAGCTCACCAGGAAAGTCAGCACCATCAGCACCACCATGAAGGCCACACGACCCTCTCCTTTGGACACTGCCCCTCCCTCCACACCCTCCATCTTTGACACCTGGGGGGACATTATTCGCCATGTATAATTTGTCAGGGTCAACAGATATATTTTTTTAAACTTATCACTTTAAATACGTTACGGATCGATTGTAAGAACAAGTTCGAAGCCCTTTGACATGTTTTGTTTACGATCACAAACATTTTATTTTTTTGATTATGATTTTCAAACAAAGTAACAGGCATCAGAAGGATACAGGATCTGTGGGTATGAATCTTCCAGCTTTTGCACATCTCAAGACTGAAAATTTAGCCCATTCCTCTTTACAAAACAACAAGCTTTAGCTACGTCAGATTAGATGGAGAGTGTTTGTGAAAAGCAGTTCTGTTCTGCTCCTAAAACGTAAATAGTATATATATATAGTGCATGTATATAGTGCAGTGCTAGGAACAGCAAAGATACTGCGCAGAACCCTCAAGCTCCCAGGCCTCTGGTAGAGGACCCAAGCTTAGAGAGGGATAACCGCCCGCGGAGGGCCAAAGGTGAGTGGACAATTTTTTATTTTATTTTATTTTATTTTTTTTACATTCAATTGTAACTCTGGCTTTATGTTTAGGGTCATCGTCCTTCTGGAAGGTAAATCTCTGCTTCAGCCTCAAGTATCACTCTGACTCCCGGCAGTTTTGTTTTAATCTCATTAGACTCCATCCACCTTCCCGTAACTGTTTACAATCTTCCCTGCCCTTCTGAAGAAAAGCAGGCCCATATTTGACACTGACTGGGGTGAACTGGGGTTGATGAGCCATGTGCAAAACAACATTTGCATTTTGTATTTGGTCTAAAAAGTGAAATTGTGATCTAAGCTGACAACAGCCACATGTTTGTGTCCTCCATATGATTTCTGGCAAACTGCAATATTTTCTTTGAACATTGCCTTCCTTCTAACCACTGAATTGGTGTTTAGTATCACTAATATTTGCCCCGGAATGCCGCAGCTCAGCTGAATGAAGCAGCTCCTCCAGAGTCCTCATGGGGCATCAGGGGTCTCCTTGTTTGTTTTGTTAGTTCAGGTGGACAGCCATGTCTTGGTACTTTTGTAGAGGTGCCATACTCTTTCCATTTTGGAATAATGGCTTGAACGACGTAACACTGCTTCAATCTCTTTCCCCAACTTCATCCCTGACATCTATGGAGTGATTCTTGGACTTCTTGATGCTGTTTAGTGACAGCTGTAATTATACTGAGAGCAGGGTTTGGTTGGGCTCATATTGGAAATATTGATATACTCACTTCACTGTTGTCTGTTGGTTTTTTTGGTCTTTTCCAAAACAAAAGTGGAATATAATAATCATTATATTTGGTTGTGAAGACAAAATGTGCAAAGGCTCAATTTACTCAAACAACTTTTGTAAGCCGCTGGATGCATGACCAAAAGATTTCTTGTGACTGTCTTCTGGCTTGCACATACTGCAGATACTAGTTTCTATGACTTCCGACAAGAACTACATCAAAGTACAATCCGGAACTGAACCGCAGGAGTTCTGCTCTGCTCTGAGCAGAACTAAGCTTGGAGCAATGCTTACTAACATTCATAATTTATTGCGCTCACCTTGTGCAGCGTCCACAGCAGTTTTCCATATGACAGCACAATGATTGCGAAGGGAAAAGCAAAGCACACGGTGAAGTATGACAGAATGTAGGAGACGTTGCTGGGGTCTCTGTTGTGCCAGTCGGGGGCACAAGACGTCCCAACTCCTTCCACCTCAAACCTGCCCCATCCAAAAAGAGGGGGCAGGTTCCACGCTAAAGACCAGAGCCATGACAGACCAATGCCGACCAGAGCGTGTTTCTTCTCAAAGGTAACAAGTCCAAGAGGTTTACAGATGACAAACATCCTCTCCACTGCAATGAGAGCCACGGTGCAGAGCGACGTGATGCCTGAAGACAAAACATAAATATGAGTTTCTTTCTGCTGAAAGGTCAAGGTCCTACTTCACTAAGTTATACATCTTGTATTATCTTTGGGGAAAATAATTTTGGTATCACAGCTATAGCTTTTTATTGCTTTCTAATGAGATATTGTATTGTTAATGTAGGGAAAACCAGAGGAAAGGAAACATCACTGTCCTTAGGAGAAAAGGCCAGTGCTGATCCTGGACATTTAAGGACTTTTATTAACATATAATGATATGTGTTTGTTATTATTGCATTTCCTCAATCAAAGACGACTGCTGTTGTGAGGATGTATAAAAACTACAGAAATAAATTGAATTGAATTGAATTGACAAAAAATTCACACAGAAACTGAAAGACACTTTTAATCGAGGACATTGGTGAAATGGACGCAGTCCTCCGAGGTCCAGTTATGCAGAGCCTTTGTGCTTTATCCTCTCTCTCTTTCAGACAAAATGGGCAGAAAACAGGTTTTGGCAGATTTTGAAAAGTATGTTTAAAGATTATTCAACAGAACACTTGATATTTTAACAAATTTTGGTTCGGACCTACCAGACCATGAAGCGTTTTGTAGCAGTAGCCAACTTGGTCATCAGAAGCAGTTGACATGAGAACATGTCATTAAACTGCTGGAAATGTTAGAAAATCACTCATGAAGCCGCTGAAAATCTAATTATCTAACTTTGCTGTATTTTTTTATGTCTGTAATCATTTGAAAAAGGTCCAGAAGTACATTAGACAAGATACACAATCAGAAATGTCTGGAATGGATCTGGAGTTATTAGATTTTAAAGACTGATGAAAGCAGAGTAACTGAGGCCATTGGATGGGCCAGAGAACAGAAGGTCATAATCCTCCACTCACATGGAAGCATTTTGGAGTGGGCAGCTATCATCAAGGAGTTCGACGGCACAGTGGCACGGTGGCTGAGTGGATAGCACTCTCGCCTCTCAGCAAGAAGGTCCTGGGTTCGAATCCCGGCCGGACCAGGGCCTTTCTGAGTGGAGTTTGCATGTTCTCCCCGTGTCTGCGTAGGTTTCCTCCGGTTACTCCGGTTTCCCCTACCACTAAAAATATGTACAATAGGTCTGGCATGCGCCTCCTGTTCGGCGACCCCGCTCCCATCTCTGTGTGGAGTAAGAGGACAAGTGCCCAAAAAATAACAATTGTAAACCGCTTTTTGACTCTGGTCTGTGAAAGGCGGTATATAAATAAAGCTTACTTACTTACTTACTTACTTACTTCGATGGAAGGTATTTATGAACCAAAAAGTTTAGGAAGCCAAACATGAGTTAACAAGTGAGACAAACACCTGTGAAGACCAGTATGAAAACTGTCTAATCCATTATTCAAATCAACATTGTGTACCAACCACACAAAGCGACGGCAAACCCCTCCAGCACACAGCCGGTCCGCCCCAGAGAGAAGTATCCCTGAGCGTTGGTGATCACGGTCAGCAGCCCCCCGATCAGAGCAGTGCCCAGGTCAGCCACTGCCATGTTCATCAGAGCATAGTTGAGGGGCTGCCTCAGCTGTTTGTGCATTAAGGACACGATGATCACTGTAGCGTTGAGCACGATGGCCGGCCCCGAGAAAAGCGCCATAATGACCGCCAGGACGGTGTAACCAGTACGGGAGAGAGGGGGGTCCTCCGGTGGTCCCAGGTATATGGAGGCATTTGGCTGGAAAATAGATGCCTGCATGGTGAAGCGATCTGCCCGGACCTGCTTGCTATAAGTCTCTGTCGGTCTTGGAAAAATGACTAATCCTGGAGCTTTTACTTGGTTACAAAGGGGCTTAAACAGGATGAGGAGAACAAGCTCCTTTGACAGATCAGATATGCTGCTTAGAGACATTTTGCTCTTTGACAGCTTACAAACAAGTGGTAAAAAGTGGTTGTCTCTAAGAATAGAAATGTCTCGTTGAAGAATATGGACAGAAATAGTTCCTCAGGCTCCAATCCCTTATCCCCCTCCAGCACGGCTGTTTCTCCCAGGTCAGAGAAAGTTCAATCACAACAGGTCGTTATAGGGATTATAATCTGTCGGATTACATGCCGACAGATTGGAAAGTATTAAATCTGAACTTTTTGGTTTCATAAATATTGTGTTTGTTCCATTCTGTCTTCCTCATACTGAGAGCTGTTTGGCTGCATGAGGGCTTGCACTCGCTCCTTCACTGAAAAAGAAAATCTAAATATGTGACAGAAATACATGCATGTAAAAACTGTTGATAGAACTAAACTCTTTGGGAGTGAGGAACTAGTCGCATTTTAATTCTTTAAGTACTTTCATTTATATGTGCTTCAGGAGATAGACATGAGTAAATTCAAATATGAATATTTTGAGGATTGTGTGCGTATTCATTTTCTCTCATTGTGGTAATTAACTGAGACAAAAGCAGGATTGTATAGAAAGCAGCTCATTGAAGTGTCTGGTTCCTCGTTCCAACTTTGATGATAATTAATGGTTTTCTTTGTCTATCCTAAAGGTGTCTATGTTTATTGGATGCAATGGCTCTAAATCCTCAATTTAAACTTTCAGTAACAATTTACTTTAGATACATTAGTATAATGCTAACAGAGGTTAGACAAACATTTACAACCGTTTAATATTTAATTGTTTAAAATCAAGCATCATTATAATGTAATGTTCAAACTTGTACTATTTATAAGTCATTAATAATATATATAAATGTTACTTACGTGGCAATAAAAATGATTCTGATTCTGATTCTGATTCTGATAAATCATTATGGCTGCTCACTTGTAGTTTTCTAACTACAACAAAAATGCAAACTGTGAACACTGGTGATCTCAATTGACCTTTTCAGATACAACAGTGCCCTGAGGTCACCACATAAGCTTTTATTTACACAAGAACAGAATTAAGATCACATGGTTGAAAGAGGGTTTATGGTTCAGGCCAATTGCATGTAAGCCTTTTTCTGACATTATTGAGCCCATTTCTCTTCTTTATTTTTCAGTTTGAATCAATATGAGTTGTGTTTGATTCAAAGCTTTAGTAACTTAAATATTTGTACTCTATAACCTTGTGTTTTCAATGGTAAATGACATGAAAAATACAATATTCTGCAGTTTTTCTCGAGTGTAATTCACATAAACATTTCTTTCTCCTGGAACAGTTAACTTATTGTCACATAACAGAATAGACAACTCTTGATGCATCTTTGCCCTAGTAAGGTTGAGGGCACAAGACAAAGTTAATCTCTTTAATTTACACGCAGACAAGTGCCCCGTGCTTAACCTTGTAAGAGGTTTATGGGCAATCAAGTCAAGACTGAGATTAACCCTTTGATTTGAGAGTTCACAAAGGTCTGCAGCTTTCATGGATTGTAAAACTGAATTATACCATATTGTTTACTCTTACATCTTCTATTTTTCAATCTTAAATGTGTATTATTGTAGCAATGTCCTGTTCAGTTAAAGTGTGCATAAAGAAGAATACAGAGAATACAATTTGTCAAAATGACTATAGAAAAAATCCCAAATCAGTACCATGGACAGCTCTTTGTCAATCCAGGTGGACGCCTGCAGTTCAAAGTCATTGTTCAGACCTATTTAGTTAAGTGGAATCACTAAATTTCTTCATTAAAATAATACCGTCTTATAGCCTAAGGGCTTGACATGTGACCCCTTCTCTCCTACGAGCATTTTAATTGAATTCTGACAACACGTTCCAGTCGGAGCAGGCCCCGGTCTGTCCCCTGCAGCCGCGGGACTTCTCCCCATAAACGCGGTCCTCTCGCGGGATGATTTCGTCCATTATCGTGACAGAGCAGCACTTTTATCCACCGTCGATAGTTCATTAAAGCATTGAGTGTATGGCCCGGGTGATATTGTCCGTCAGCCAATCAGCGGGAGTCTTATCGGTGCGTGCCAGGCGTGTACGGGGCTCCTCACAACTTTGATGTACGACGCAATTACTGTAACAAAACCTTCAAGTCCAACGGGGCGAGTGAGGACTGAGGGAGCGCGTCCTGCCTGTTATCAGAGTATCTGCCCATATCATGGTTTTATTTTATCTTTAACTCCTCATCACACTCACAAGAACAATGCCAGAGATGCAATTCCACAAAAATGCGTTCAAACCAAATGTCCATAGAAATTGAAATAAGGTGCCTTTTATTGCATTTGCCAAGTATATATTCAGATATATATATTAATTAATTTTCTTTGTCACTTTTACAAGAGTTATATAACTTTCAAAACCACAACAAATTACTATAAAGTTGCAATTGGTCACTACATTGTTCAATTATACATTTTGGCCTCTGTTACATCTTTAGAACCGCTTTTTTTCAGACAGAAAAATGAAAAAGGGAGGACCAACCACATTCAGCCAATCAGCTCTCAGCCTAAAGCGCCAAATAGTGATTCACTTGGTTCTGTTAGCAATATGCAAAATATGACATGATTTCTAACTAGATGAAGACGGCTTAAAAATCGGCATGTTATGGTGTGATCCTTTCTGTTGGGACACACTGAATGTATTGTTCATGAAAAAAGTTAGGTGCCCCAGCTTTATTCCGTATATGCAACATTCATATTCGTATTCTTTCAGAGCGTCAGTCCGACGACGAAACTTCTTATCAATTAAAATGTTAACTCTTCTCTTTTTTGCATTCACAGTTAAATGTGACGCCATTTTGAAGCACGGAGGCAGGTTTGGAGCCGGTGGTGATGGGCTGACTGTAGGTGCGCGCGCGGGGTTTTCCTGCGCACGAGCGAAGGGGCCGAGAGCAGCGTACAGTAGTGCACGTGCTGGACGTACGCCGCTGGAAGAGGCGCGTTCACCACACATCTGAGCCCACTTCATGCCACACTCTTTATTTCCCTCGCCCTCGTGTTTTATATTTCACTCCGAGCCTGACAATAAAGATGCTGGGGAATGGCTGGACTTTGTTTTCGTCCAAATGCTCTGGGACTTTATTCTTCGGGATGTGGATTTTGATTTGTTTGAAAGCGGCGGCGGTGCAGGGCTCGCAGCCTCAGCAGCGGCAGCAGCAGCAGCAGCAGCAGCAGCAGGCGGGCATCCCTCTGTCTGTGTGAGTAAAACACAACTTTCACTGAGGAATAACCCCTCAGTTCTGAAAACCAATGCCAAAGAATCGCACTAGACTAGAACTTGAAATGATAAAGTTGGGAGGAAACTACAAAAACTGCAGAATCAGCAAAAATTGCAATTTTGCGCTTCTCTATTTTTTCCGCCTTTCCCCATCTTTTCTAGTGTGTTCCAGTGGTCAGTAATGAATGAGAGTAATAATTTAGCAGAATATATTTGAAACATTTAGCATTTAATTTGTTTAAAGTATGATGCAGTAGAATGACATCTGAACAATGAATAGATAGATAATTATGGATTTTGAGGAGCTCAACTCAAAGTCTAGATTGTATTATCTAAAGGAAAGCCAGTTGTCTATACCATTTGAGTTAACATTGTATTGGTCTAGTTCAGACAAAGGGTTTTATCCAGTTTAGTCCGGGGTTTAATGTGTCTTTCTTTTTTGCATGTAAGAAATATTCTATCACTTCAAAACGTGAAAAGTGGGAAATCTCATTTAGGGTTTAGATTCACAAAATTTTGAATTTGAAGTTGAAATGTTTCTGTGTCACTTACAGTTTAACAGCAATAACTGTAGTAACTGCAATACAGGTCATGAAATTTACAAGGAATTATCAGTGAGGTAGTGAAGGTCAGGATCAGCAGGGCATGACTGCATTAAAATGAGTGATGGAGCAGGAGAAGAGACAGGGAAGGATGGGACCATAAGATAAAAAGTGTTTAAAGCAGCGGGGCACAAGAGGACAACCCCTCACTCATGAGAACAAACTAAATGTAATTATAGCTGACTCTGCTTTTGTGAAAGTGTAGGGAATGCATTTGTCATGGATGTGAAGTTACAGAGTACCACATTTTGACCCAAGTAGCTTGTTACCAAAGTACATGGATATTTGTTTTGTCTTTTGTTGTAGCGTAAAGCTCTGGGCATCAGCCTTTGGGGGAGAAATCAAATCCATTTCAGCCAAATACTCCGGATCCCAGCTGCTGCAGAAGGTATTTGTCATAGTATTTGTTGGTTGAATAAGAACACAGCTTCACAAACACACACACACAGAAACCCTCACGCACACATGAACACACACTCACGCACGCACATGTACAGTAGAAACTGGGAGATGAGCGAGTCTCGGCTGAATGATGATGCTCTGTTTCAGCCGAGACTCAGGTGTGCTGGCCCTGAGTGTGCTTTTGTGTGTCTGTGTGTGTGAGTGTGTGTGCGCCCCTGTGTGTGTTTGTGGGACCATGTGCTGTGTGTGCGTCTGTATGGGCCTGTGTGTCTCTCGGACACGGCCCATTAAGCAGCGCTCTGATTCCTCCTGTGTCATCTCTCCAGAGTCTTAAGTCTCAGCCTTTCACTGGATCCCAACATGACAAAAGACTGGACAAAGAAGTAGCCAAGACTAGAGTGGGGGAATGATAAATGCAATCACTAAGAGCAAAGATTAAACTTTGAGGCCACTTGATGGCAGAGGTGTGCTCTGCGTTTAAAGGCCTGGTGTGTGAGGGGCCTGGATGTAGCCTGGAGCAGGACTTTTCTCTCCAATGGGAGGCGAGCAGGAGTGAAGCAGCTGGAGGTGGGGCTACGGCGTGAATACTGGAGAACTGCAATGCAGTGTGTAGTCACTGGACACTTTGTGCATCAGTGCTCAGTGTGCTTAAAGAAAAATGCTCAACAGGCACATTTATGTACTCTATTGTAAACGCTCAGCTGTAATCAAACACGAGGCGATACATTGTTGTTTTTGTACGTAACATTGCTCACAGAGTGGATTTCTCTCTGCCGCACACAAAGACTACTGTACAGAGATCTTTATTGCCTGAGCTCCTCATTATTTGTTTTTACTTTACCAGCACTCTCCCAATGTTTCTTAAATCATGTGCAATACTGCAACTTCAGAATGTCACTGAACAATGTCACTTTACCTTATCTACTTATTATCCTGCACTATATTACTGTACAGTATATATCTCTGCACTACTACTACATATATATGTATATATTTCGACTGGTATTGAAGCATTTTCAACATCTACAGCTAGTTATGTTAGCTAAGAAACATATAGCTACTACTTATTTTGTATATATTGTGTGGGCTCCCTGTGTGCTCTTACTACTGTCCTATATGTGCGCTGCAACATTGAAATTTCCCTACTGTGGAACGAATAAAGGAATTCTTATCTCATCTTAGTTTTACACCTTTGTAATCACCAACCCTCTGCAGGAATAGTAATACAATTGATTCATTTTCACTTGTTTTTTATGTGTAATTCCACTGATGCTGGTGATGTCTGTTCTTGAGTCTGTGTTTTGAATCTCTGTAGCATCAGGAAAAACACATATTGTGATGCTGATGTATGTTTAATAACTTGGCATCAAGATCAGAACACACAGAACACCTTTATTAACAAAACACAAATCTGATCTTTTATCTATTACTTTTTCATTCTGGTGGTTTTTTGTGTAAGCAATGACCCATCCACACAGGAACAGTCGGTGAAGAGTTTGATATTTGAGTCAATAGGACCAAAGCAGAAATGTCAAATGGTATTACACTTGGATCCCTATTCACGTGGTAATTATAAAAACATGGGAATGGGGACTTTACAACAGTAAAGTACAATGTAGAGATGTCTCAGTTATAGGTTATAGCAAAAAGTCTATTATCCACACAGTTCTAGTCCCTGGACATTTGTATTGTATTGATTATTGCACCCAAAGACGCAATACAGCAAAACCAGTTTAATATGTATTAGCCAGAAGTTTATGCCCTTTTTCATTTTTCATTTCTCACCTGTTTTTTGGTCAGTTATCTTCTATTGAATCAATTCCACAATATAAAGAAAGTGGATTATTCTAAATGATTTGTTGAAGTTGAAGAGTTAAGTTCAAGTACAGGCTGTGCCTTTTCATGCAGTGTGTGTTAACTTCATACAAAGCCTCTCCTCTTCTGTGGTAGGAGCTGTTATCCATTACTTCACCTCGAAACTCGTCTGACCCGAGCCCCCCCATGAAAGGAGCGACCCGGATCGGCTCCAGGACCTATTGCCCCGGGGGCTGGAAGGATGCGGCTCCCAGGGGCCCCCGCAAACACGGGGAGGGGGTTCAAGTGGGCTTCAGGAAGGCAATCCTTAACTCTAATCCCACATGTCCAGAGGTAAGAAGACTTAGTCACTGTCACTCCAGCGAGCATCAGGAAAGTCTGAATCAAGACGGATCAATACGTTTTCCAAATACACTCTAAAAAAAAATTCGCTATCTCAACTCAAAAAGTCAAGGCAACCGATTCCCTTCACTTTTTTGAGTTGAAGCGTCCAACTCAAATAATTAAGTTTTGAAAGTATGTTTCTCAAACTCATTTTTTTTTGTCCCCATAATTTATCATTCCTTTATTTCTGAAGTGATTTATATTCATTAGGGCAACAACAAAAAATGTGTTTGCAGAGCGCATTATATGTTGTGGATACAATGCATTTTTCTTTCCTTTCCTAACTTACTTATAACAGTTAGCTCAATACATTTCTTGTAATCAGCTCAATAAACTCTTCAAAAGCACAATGCATTTTCCCTTACTACTTAAACTCATTTTCTAATGTTATTAAGTAGTATTAATACATTACTTGTGATTTACTGATAGCCTAACAGTCACCAATAAAACAAATTATCAGTTAAAAAACATTTTATTAATGAATGCAGAACTGAAGAAAATTGAAATGGTGGACATATTTAGACGGTCCCCCCACTGCCTCCCCCACATGAACCAGTCTGTCCACATCACAAATGTTTGAAACACTGAAAGACATAATGTCTTAAACAATTGAATATGAACTGTACTTCTTCACTACTTTATACCAGATAAAAGTACCAATACTGCACCTTTTAGTCATTTTGTTTACTTAAGATTTGAACTTTTATTTGGCAAAAAGAGTTTTTTTTTTTTATCACATACTTACACTGAAACTAGTATAATTTTCTTTTTGTCACAGTCAGCAATACTGACACATTAAGTGGCATTAGAAAGATCAGATCTGACAATTGAAAAACTGATCATCATAAAATGTTAAAAATTGTATGTGCTTAAAAAAATATTACACAGTAATTAGGTTCCATAGTCTGGTATAGTAAATGTTTAAACGTCTACCTACCGAACTGCAGTAGAAAGCACAAAATATGACAGAAGCAAAGTTCGCATTTTTAAATTTAACAACTTTCAACAAAAATGACTTGTACTAACAGGAATGTTGCCAATAAAGTTTAGTACACTATGGGTCCGTGTACTTAAAGGTAATTGGATTTTCTTTTCATAAGCAAAAATTGAAAATAGAAAAACAAAGTATTCTCTTTTTTTTCTTTGAAATTCCAAAACAAAATGTTGAATTAGAGCGTTTTTTTATTATTAATTAAAAATATAAAAAATTCAGTTCAAAAACCGATTCTATGTTTATTTTTTCAATTTTAATCAAAAAACAATCCAAATATTCCAAAAGCAGACGGTTTTTCATGACAGTAAACCAGATTTCTGATGAGGGCCCATGGGAGGAGCTGGTGGGTACCACTCTGTGGGTGATTTGCTGCAGTGTTTCGGAGGTCTTGCACATTATGGTTTGAACCACTCTGGATCATGGGTCAAACCCGTGGGCCATAGGGGGTTGAGAGCAGCGCTCTGAGCCCACCGCTCCAGCTCTTGTATCCTGGGCTCATGGCCGCTAGCTCTCTGCGTCCTCTTCCCAAGGGCCCTCATCAGAAGTCTGGTTTACTATAGTGAAAAGCCGACCGTTTTTGGATTTGTTTGGTTGGTTTTTTGTATTTCTATTAATTATTTTGATTAAAAGTATTATTTAATTATTTTGAGTAAATAATGAAAATATAAAATCGATTTTCAAAAGTAATTCCTTAATTTAGTAATGAATAATTGGAAACATGCTCTGTATTTCATTATTTAGTACTTTAAGACAAAAAATTAATAATGTTTGGTTTTTCCATTTTCATTTTCCATTTCTGAAAAGAAAATCCAAATACCCATAAGTACACAAACTCCGATGCCCCCTTGAAGACATTTAGACTAAGAGCTTAGTTTTCAGACTCCTCACTCGCTGGGAGCAGGCTGGTGTCAACTCCATAAAGATGAGTTGCATTACTTCAAATGTGTACCTGTGATCCTTTGGAAATTCCATATTGAGTCCATACATAAGTCCATCAGAAGCAGCTCATCAAGAACAATGTCCTCCTCCAGCACAATGGCAATATTGATGACAGTGGGCTCTACAGCAGGTCCGGTGTAGTCCTTCAGAACTTTGACGATTCCAACCTTCATATCCTTGGCGATACTCTCAACTGGGTCCGTGTCCTGTAAAAACAAAAAGGCATTTATATTATTTCCTAAATAATATAAACTTAATTTGTGAGAATCCCTTGCTTACCAGGCATGTCCGAAACAGCTTGCTCGCAGTGTCCCGAACGAGTAAGGGTAGTCCCTTGAGACAGGCAGCACGTCAATGCTGGACTATGTTTGACACCTAAAACACAAAAAGAAGTTTGGCTTTAAATCTGAATTCCCATGTGATATGCTATGAAAAATATTAAAATGATAATAAGTATGTTACACTATCATAATAATCAAAAATTATGAAGGCCAGCGCTTTCACATTGTGTCTGATACAATTAGACTTTTCTCTAAACAACAATAAATTCTGGGTTCTCTTCATGAGTGCTATTGTACACATTTTAATGTTACAATCAAACAAATACTTTATTTTGGATGTTTTATTACTGAAAGACCACAACAAAGTAACAGACAAGTGTGAAGTGAAAGCAAAATTATACATTATTGTTATTTAAAAATCCAAATACAGAAGTTTCCAGCTCCAATAGCTTTTCTTCACTAAAAACATGCACAATAGGTCTGAATGTAAATGAGAGAGTGAATGGATGGTGTTGGAGCTGATGGTCCAGTGTGTTCTGGACTCTCTTCTGTCATCACCGTGTGTGGAATGATTGAAACAATATCTGACTCTGAATATTGTAAAGCGCTTTGGGTCTGTACCTTGGTCTGTAAAATGCACTATATAAATAAACATTACTCACTACTACTACTCAGATTGTCCTGTATTTTGCCCCATCTCCTTCACAATGAACTCCCTGCTGAGGAGAAGCAGAGACAGGAGGGTGGCCCATCCCCAGCCATAGGCACAATGTTAAAATGACACATCTCCTGCAGTGCACCCCCAGTGTCAAATATGGTGCTGTTGGGCTTTTCTTCAGCAGGGACAGGGAAGTATGTCGATGAGAAGATGGATGGCACAAAATACAGGACAATCTTAGAAGAAATTCTGCTGGAGCTGAGGCTTCCACATAATATTTTCTCATGCTGTCCTAATCCTTATGCAAGCTCATAATTTCTTTTATTTTTATTTAACAAAATGTATAATTTTGCTTTCACTTCACAGTTGTTTGTTACTTTGGATTTTTTTTACCGAAAGACCACAAAAATACGAGAGTTCAAGCTGTACAAATACTTTTCCATTGCACTGTACACAAACAAGTCCAATTATGGTACAAATGCATTACCTGGCTGTCAGATACCTGTAGAAGGAGATCCATTTCGTTATGATAGGCAGCTTTTCTGGCCCGGAAGAGTTTAATCAGTCGAATGGAATAGGCATCTAGAGCATTCATGAAGGTATCCAACAGGTCCTTCATAGTAATGCGCATAAACTCCGAACAGATCTAGAAGGAAAAAGGTAAACTATAAAAGTGACACACTGAAGCATTACAAATTAATTGCCTGAAGAATAAAAATTACCTCTTCTTTACAGAACAGAGCTGGCCATCACTGCTTCACTTCCTTGAAATGTAGGACTTTTGTGAGCAAATGTCTTTGAAATCACAGTATTCACAAAACAAGTTTCTTAGATTTAGCTTTTTAGTAGTCCAATTGTGTGATCTGCTAAGGTGTGATATCAATGCACCTCGTCTTGAATGTGCAAACGTAGTCAGCGTGGATACATGTCCAGTAGAATCCTCTTTGATGCTGGAGACGATGATGTCTGAATAGAATGTCTTGGCTCGACCCCACAAAGTTGCAGAAAAGGCACTTCATAAAACAGCTAAACAGACAAACAAACAAAAAGTTTTAATGGGTAAAATAAACGTTGTTGCATGACCTATTACATATATTGCACTTACTGAATGATTTGAATAGAAAATATAGAAACAAACACACGGTTACATCAATTACATACTATAAAATTAGCCAGTATAATGAATGTATACCCAACTTCCAAATCAGAACATTTTAAATCAGCTTTTTCAGACGGAAAAGTTAGAAAGAGGACCACCCGACTCAGCCAATCAGCTTAAAGCATTATAGTGACTCACAGGTCTCTTTTTTATGTACACAAAATTGTTAATAAAAAAGGGGCACTGGATGTTTTTATTTTGGTGGCATTTATTGTTTGGTGAAATGTTATCTTACACGCAGTTTATTACCGTCTGCTTAGTCCGTGGTGCTGGTACCGTTCTCTGGTGTGCGCGGACATGTGTGTGCGTGTGCAATGACCGTCTTCTCTGAGCATAGAGAAAGACATTTAACAGCGCAGATGCACGGCGCTCAAACCTGACCATCGGGGCGCCTTTACGGGGCTGTTTCCGGCGCACAGATACATAAAAAATTAATCGCGAAGCCTGCTCCAGGGCAAATTGTTACGTCTCTAAACACGGGACAATTACGGGACAAATGGAAATACTGAGAGGGGCGGGACAGAGGGGTGAAAAACGGGAAATCCTAACAAAAAACAGGACACTTGAAAAAAATTGACTGCCGAGTTTTAGTAAGTTACCAAAACTGGCAACCCTCAAGACATTTCGCTTTCTATTTTAACACTCAGCATAAGAACTACATTACAACATCAATAATATCCATTTCTTTTTAGTTCGTAAAATGTTAATTACGTCTGTGAGTCTTTACGATTACACCTTGGCAAATAAGTTAGGAAAATGAATGGTGTTTATGGAGCTGGATTAAAAGTACAGACAGACACGTGTAGCATGGCTGCAACCCGGTTCCCCACGTCTATTTATCAATGGCACAACCAAACCATGATAATCTGTGCAAAGGCTCGTCTCTCATAATGCACGAAAGCAGCATTAGTATTACCTTTGGATTTCGGACACCAAATATTGTGGCAGCGAGCGGAGACGTTTCTTTTTCAATGCGTCACACCGCCGCCGTAGGTTTCGTTTCAGTATGCGCGGACTGATACTTTAGGTAAAATAGATCCGTGTTCATTTGAAAAATCCCATTATCACAAAACACCCCATGCACTCATGCATGCACTACATAGATGGATTAGGAGTGAAACACCACCGATATAATCCATGACTGTATGATATTGCACCACACCACGAGGAAAGTTAAACTTTTGTGCATGGCTATGGCTAACTGCTAGTACCAACTAAGCTAAGCTAAGCCAAATCCGGTCGTTGCCGTGCCCGCGTATTATCCCTCCGCCCTTAACAAATGGGTCCTATTTGCCAACTTTATCCGACAAAAATTCACAAATACAGTTTGATTTTGATTTAAACCAGTGTGGCAATGACTACAAGATAATAATATAAAATTATCAATATTATTAAACACAATTTTGAATTAATAACGTTGTGAATGTTATCAAACGCATTGTATATTAACCACCATACACATATATCCTCAAATATAAGTCATCCTTAGTATATTATCAGATTAAAAGAAGAGAAAATAAAAAAATACTTACCTTGAAGACGACCAGAGTTTCCTCGCATGCTGAAAATGGCGGACAGAGGACTTGCAAAGTTTGAAGCTGTAGATTCTACGCATGCGTGGACATGGAAAATTCAGACTTTTTAGTTTTGCCAACTAATAATGTGACCTGTGGCCAACTTTTGGTCTTCAATGCATATACGTTTGTTGAAATATGGATTAAATTAAAGTTTACATGGCAATTTAAAAAATTGTGTTAACATGGAGTAAAATAATGAGTCATCTCAGCAAGCTCAAGTTGGATTTTTTACAGTGTAGACAACATTTTAATGTGTTTGTGTTGGTAAATATGTATTTAGCAAACTTTAATATTGAGATCTGGATTTACGCACTGAATCAAATATTTGTGTTTTTGTAGAGTCCAAACATATACTCTCATCATCATCTTTGATTTACGAAAAGAACATCTTGAAAACTGCTGTGAGCACAATTATCCTTTTAGAAACTAAAATAAATTAATAAATAACTTTTCCAGGAATATAAATAATAATAATTAATAATATGAGTATTATCCAAATTATGTATAATATTGTGAAGTTTGTTGATGCAAACTAATACATACAACTTTATACATGAAGATATATATTATTATTACTGTGTATACATTCCAGTGGAGGAATACAGAGGCTCTCCCTTAGGTTATATTTATACAAGAAGGCTCATAGAAAGTAATGTGTGTTTGTCTATTGTTCGGATGAAAAGTTACTGCACATACGAGGCTTTATATATAATGTATTCAACGTTTGATTTTCTCTTTTAAAGTTCATCTAAATATCACCTCAGATCCTGAAGGATAATTGCGTTAAACCTGGGACTGGCATCAGCTTTGCCTTGTGGCCCCTACACGGCTGGTTCATAAACACACTTATAATAAATCCTGGTTTTGCCTCAAACTTCTTTACCATTTGTGTAATTTTGTTTGTGTAAGCACTTTGCTATGTTCCTGGTCATGGAGCATATCTGGAGCCCGATCCAGTCAGCATAACGCGCTGAGCTGCGAGGGAGCTGACGGGTCGTTAGGGGCCCCTCATTAACAATGATCATTAGATGCTTATATGGCGAATTACCCCATTTCTCCAGGATTTTAGCGAAAAGGAAAAAAAGGCGCATTGAACTTTTGGAGTTTCCTCTACACTGGCCATTACGGTGATCAATATCGGTGATCAGAGTTTTTGATGGATGGGGCATAGCCTCCAGTGTATAGGCCCGGGTCTGTGTGAAGAGGGTGGACTCGGGAGGGGGTGCAAGGGGCCTGAGCGCTGAGGCGAGGAGGACAGGCGTGAAATGAACTGTTCTGCTCCACTGCGGTCCCACACTCTTCCTTTCAGTAGGTAATTTGTCGCCTCATGTACTATAGCGCGTGTGTTATTCTGTGTCCGCGCCATGCCTGGAGAGTGTTTTAGGAATGGGGGTTTGTTTTAAGATAAGCTCATTGACACAGTGGACAATACGCGCGGATTACACATTGGCTACTTTTTTTGTTATTACTATGTCTTGTGCGTGTTGTGGGATTATGTAATGTTATATTGCTGCGAGCTTTGTTCTGATTCACTGGAGGTCCGGCGCATCCAGCAAAATCAGCATTACGTGAGGTGTAGTTCATTACCAGAATCGTCCGAGCTTGACACGTTATTATCTTTCTCTTTTGCTTTGACTCCATTTCAATTACCCTCTTACCATGCACACCGCTGGGCCGCAGCGCCTCCCCCTGCACCCATCAGCGCCCTCTAGAGCCAATCACAGCGCAGGAGCGGAGGGATCAGCCACAGTCGTGAACAGATAAAACTATCTATCACTGTCCGCCGCAGCGTGGATCTGATCAGGCTTGTTGACCAATATGTGAATCTCAGAGGCCTTGTTTTCCAGCACCATGCATCTTAGTGGAGTATTATAATGATAATGATGAAAATATGCTTTTAATCTGCTCCAGATGTTTCTGCCTGATGTGTATCAATGTGTTGACTGCATCTTGTTTATTCCTAAACATGTTGCCATTTCAGAAACCCAAAGAGTTAGTGAAGGCTGTAAAGGTTGAGGAAATAGATGGCGTGAAGCTGGTGAAGAACCTGGCAGTGAGGATGGAAGAGATGTTCAGAAAAAAATCTGAAGCCACAAGGGTATGTGCATCTGGCTTTATGTTTACATTTTTGAGACGTTAAGACAGTATTTGTGTATTTTTCGTTTTTTTTTTTTGCAAATGTTTACAGTTATGTGTGTAAAAATGTAACACTCATAATTAGTAGCTGTTCTGCCACACTGCGTGTGACACAGACTCATATCCCGTTTATAGTTTCCCCCGTACAAGCGGTGCTTGTAGATGTTTTGTGGTTGATCCAGTTGAGCCTCTATGACCTGGGTTCACAGAAGCTTGTAACCATTTTAATGCAGTCGCTCTCAGGGACTGCTGGGAAATGATAAGGTTTATCTCGTCTCGCCTGATCCTGCTCACGACATTGTCGCGATAATTGAGTCAGTAAATTACACTCGGGGAAGGGACCTAATTTAATAAAGCAGGTTTGATTTGGTGAGAAATACGACATATTGAAGTGGTAATAAGATGTAGTATACGATAAGGCTGATGTAAGTCGGAGGAGGCTGGCTGCTGTTAAACTGAATGGCCAAATATATTTCATATATATTTGGACCATGTGTTAGTTCCCCCCTGCTGATGTGAGCGATGACAAGGTCAAACTGCAGTTTGCACCACAGCCTGAAATGTGTTTATTTAGCAGTTATTTTGACATGTACGACAGATTTTAATTACCCGCTCAGATCCCGTGGCTGTGGCTCTGACATTTGAGGAAATACACAGCCCAGCACATTCCACTGGATCTGTTTATTATTGGACTGTTCACAGCAGCTCCTCAGCCTCAGCAACCCCGTGTACAGCTCTGTGAGTGCAGCAACGTTCAGCAGGATGAAAACATGCAACATGAACATGCAAATGCATAAAAAAGGACATATTGCTTATATACATCTTGTCTCTTTGGGGAAAGCTCCTCATAATGTCGTATGTAACATCAAGCTGAAGGAGCATTTCATAGACATGGTTCTGTTTTGCCATCTTCAAATGTGTCGAATATGCTGCTGGTATTTCCATAAACCACGAACAGGCCACTGTGAGGTTCCTGGTGTTTGTGTCGCCCATAACCATAAAAGCTCATTTGTATCAATCGCTAAAACAGATGAAAATATGAAGTTGGACAATTGTTTTTGATGACGAGCCACAGCTCATGGTCGGTGTGTGTCATGTGACCTCCTCAGAGGCTCGTGGAGGCGGCGGAGGATGCGCACCATCAACATGAGGAGAACCCGGACCTGCAGGTACCAGGCCCACAGCACACGCCACATGGTTGAAGTGAATTCAAACATAAACTCACGATAGGTGGAGCTGGATGATTCATTTTAGTTGGACAGAAGGGGGCGGCCGCAAGGGTAATAGGCCCTAAAGTCTTTAATTGGGTTGGCACCGTCCTTCACACCGCTCTGCCGTCACAGCTCCTCCGCTGAAGGCTACTGCGTCACCGCCATAACTCAACTTTCACTTCCAACAAAGGCCTCTCCTGCCGCCAACGATGCATTTGTTATGTACTTTATGCGCCAGGCACCATCCAAGTTTCACCGCCTTTGATGTACTTTATTTTGAGTGCGTGGTCAACACAGACGAAATTTAAAGTAATCCTGGGCGTGACAGTTTACGTTACTTTAATGCAGCAATACGCACAACTTAAGTTATTTTATATTATGCTTGTTTTGTTGTGTGGTTTGCGCGCCGCCTGCAGCCTTGGCCTTGAGCATGGAAATTATATTCGTAAAACAAAAAGGTACGATCATGCCTATCCAATTGCACAAAATCACGAATGATTAAGATATCATACATTTTTAGGTTTAGGTACATTTCAGACTTCATGAAATGCAGCATATGTTTTGTTTTTTGTTTCATTGGAATATATTGGAACGTATCGTTTTTTTGTCTTTTCAAATCCAACTGCATATTTCCTTTGCAACACTGTTTGTGGCGGACAACATGAGAAACATAAATCAGGATAAGTAGTTTATTTGGACAATAAAAGGACGTGCATTCCGGTCCTCAGCTGCGCGGCTCTGCAGAGAGAATGCAGCATTTCTGTCTTTAGTTACTGCGCTCTCTCTCCCCGTCCTCCGCTGGACTAAGATAAATGAAACTCCAGCGCGGTGCATTGTTTCACTTTCATGACTCGAGATTAGAAAAGGCAGCCAAGCCACAAAATACTAGAATAACGGCGACGCTTTGCACTTAATGGAAGCATTTACATCATAAGAATACGTTTCATTCCGCCTGTTTCCTGCGGTTTCCTCTTGTTCACATGTCCAGAACAAGACAAAGGAACTGTGTCAAAAAGTAGAAACATGCTCAATATATGGATAAGGACTTGAGAACGTGCTCGTATTTGGCCATTAAAAAACCTTAACCAACAAAACAGTCATATTATAGCCGTCCACGTCTAACTATGCCTGTTAGTTGTATTTTATTTATCTAGTATATGTTTTTAAATTATTATTATTATTATTATGTTTCTATCTTTTTGACTATAAATGTAAATGTTGCCTTTAGAAGCTACTTTTACACAAAAAAGGCCTATGTATAACCATCACTATGAAACCTTTGACGTTTTGTTTTGGTCCCATAATAAAAAGTCATGCATTAATTGATTTGAAATGAATATTCCCTGGTGATAACGATGCCATGTCATGAGATTAGTCGCTGGCATCAGTTAGTGAGGCTGGCCTGGGCTGACACCACATTTGTCATGCACCATTTCCCTGACCGCAAAGATAAGGCAGCTGCTCTTATCTGCGCCGTTCTGGGCCGGGACAGAGGCGCTGGGACTGACCCGGGGCAAAGCGTTCAAGGTGCGCATACCTCAGCACTGACTGGGCCCTCATCTACACTTCATCAGAGCACCGATACTCTAAGTCAATCGTTAATGAGCTAAGAATCAGTCCATTGATTAAATTAATTGATCATTCACTTTTGTTTAAGTCTGGAAAAATTAACACTTTAGTTACTACTATTCTCCAGTGTTTATGATATAAACTGTAAATATCACCACCAGTGAGCCACCCCCTCCCCCCACTACCATCACCACTTATGAATTAATTTAATCAAACATGTTTCATATTCTTCCTACTTTTTAACTTGAATAATTTGGATCGCAATTAAAACTATAATTAGTCAAACTTGTTGATTGCATTCAATCTCCATCATGCTGAAAAGCCCTAGTGAAGTTGTGAGCCTCAAACAGACCCAACTCACTGTGTGTGTGTGTGTGTGTGTGTGTGTGTGTGTGTGTGTGTGTGTGTGTGTGTGTGTGTGTGTGTGTGGAGGGGTGTGTGTGTGTGTGTGTGTGTGTGTGGAGGGGTGTGTGTGTGTGTGTGTGGGTGTAAGAGAGAGAGAGAGAGAAAGACAGTCTCAGGGCCCTGCCATGTAGCCCTGTACCAGTGCAGCAGTAGCAAAGGACACAGTGGTGCAGAGGCCTGCAGGAGCTAACTGCACTAGTGTGAGAGTGTGGTGTAAGAGTCAGTGGGGCGTCTCTGTGCTGCAGTGTCCTAGGCCTGCTCTACAGTAATAACCTGGTGGTTAACGCGCCTCTCTTCAGCACTATCACTTGTGCTGAGCGAGCATGTTCCCCTCCCCTGCCGCTCGCCCCGTCACCGAGCTGCTCAGCCGTGGTATGAGCTGTCAGCGGCTGCTTGATGGTGATGCCCGCGCTGCCTCCCCCGAGTGTGTGAGAGTCTATCAGCCAATCTCCTCCTCCTCTTCTCCGCACAGACTATAAGGAGGCAGAGGCCACCCAGAGGCCGCTCACACAGGATGAGCCGGTGTCTCTGCAGCAGTGAGGAGCACCTCACACTAACCGGTCACTTTAGTCAAGGCAGAGCTGACGACACTCCAAAATCCTCCCTGAAAGAGCATATTTACCATAACACTCAAACTTTTCTTTGTCACCCTTTCCCCAGCTTCAAGAAAATCAATCTTGAATCCCATGTCAAATAGTTTTACCACTGAACAGTGGTAAAAAGCGGTACCCCTCATTTTTAACTAAAAAGAGGGGTACCTAAAATCTCGTCTTTCTTCCAGAAAGAGTATTGTAAACGCTGTTGTAAAGTTGCTTCCTAGAAGTGTTCCTAGAGCTGGGAACAAGTTTGATAAATCTAAATACCTAGTTTCATGGTTTGACAATAGTTTTGATGTCTAAAAAACCCAATGTTAAATGATAGGCTAAAGCAAACATATTGTATAAACACAACCAATAAATGGTTGTGACTGAGATATGATGAAGCTGCTGTTGTATATACCCCACACTCTGTAATAACGTCTACATATATCCTTGTCTCTGCAGTATGAGTACTTCAACGCTGTGCTGATCAATGAAGTGGATGATGAGGGCAATAACGTAGAGCTGGGAGGAGAGTTCGTCCTGGAGCCCAATGACCATTTCAATAATCTCTCTGTCAACCTGAGCCTGAGCGTAGTGCAGGTGCCCACCAACATGTACAACAAAGGTGAGACGTCCTCGAGTTTACATGGACTGGGGTCGTGTCACAGACACAAGACTGTTTTATTGAGGCAAAAATAACAAGACCAAAGAATTGATGTGTGTATGTGATGTTCTCCCACAGAGGACTCCAAAAATACAGCCTTGTGCATTGTTAGAGTGATCGGCTTAGGTTTAACCAAAATTGCTTAAAAAAGTTCTAAGAGATCCAAACATTATCTAACAATGGAAAGGACGCTGTATCAACGTCATAGGCAGCCAGAAGTGCAGTTTTGGGATCAATTGAAGTTAAGACATAAAGATAAGAAAACTGCAGGGGGGGGGGGGGGGGGGGGGGGGTGTTTACTGGCTTCTTGTTTTATAACTGCCTGTTTCTGCTGCTCACTGCTTGCTTTTGTTCAGCCATAATAGACTTCCCATAAGTCTCTGCTCGGGAACACAAAGGGGAGAGGGTGTGAATGGAAGAGGGAGGGCATGATTGGGTCTCAGGGCGTTTGCTCTCCTCACACAGGGGTCAATCAGGGACATAGGTCAATGTTCTGCCACTCACTCGCCGCGTTGAGCTACGTTACGAGCGTTTAATTCTCTTGTGTGTTTGTGTTGACAGATCCTGACATCGTGAACGGCGTCTACTGGTCTGAGGCGTTGAATAAAGTGTTTGTGGAGAATTTTGAGAGGGATCCAACGCTAATCTGGCAGTATTTCGGAAGTGCCAAAGGCTTTTTCAGGCAGTACCCTGGTGAGACATACTCTGCCCATGTGTGTAACGTAAAAAAAACTGAGCTCTCTCCAGGGAGCCATCAAAAACAGATGAGAACAAATGACAGAGAAGTACTAAAAAGAGTAATTGAACTAATGTTGTAATTTTACAGACCATCAGAGAGGATGCATATATACAGACTGTAATTAATCAGAATTTGTCAGAGTGAGGCTGCTGGATCCCTCATTCAACAGACTGTTACGATGTTATTTAAGGCCCGCTCTCTGCAGGAACGGGATTGAGCAGCGAGAAATGGATTTGGCTGACATGTTATTAGCCACAGTAATTTAATTATTAAATATAATTCTATTATTGAGTACTGGAAGGTAATAAATCAAATAGTTTCATTTAATGAAAAAACTGTTTTGTTGTCATTCGTTATCTCGATTATTGTTGTTTGCAAAGAATTGTTATTTTCCTTTGCATATTGAAAACCCAAATGTTATAGTAGTGTCAGTAATTTTGTTTTTAGGGCTGTAATGAACACTATTTTTTGATTAGTTGTTTAGAGCCTGAAAGGTCATTGCGGTGATGTATAGGATTTTTGAAATACATTTCAACCAAATAAAGTTTACCCAAACGTCCTCATAGAGAGTCACACATTGAGTCGTTCAATTAAAAAGACTTTGTAAACTCAACTGTTCTTCAATCACTAAAGTAGTTGACAATTATTTCAAAAATTGAATAGTTGTGATTAATTGATTCACTTGTTACAGCCCTAGAGCTATTCATTATCCTCAGTTTTCTGCTGTTAATTGTTATCTGTTAAACTAAGAGTCTACACCAGTGGCTTTGTCACTGCTCTTAATATACACTAAGGTCCATAAATGAGTACATTTTGCCGGTATAAAACATCCATGGTACATCTACTTGGCAACCTCCATTTAGCTCCTGGATTGATAAATGTACCCCTACCTGTCTCCAAATAAGTAAAAGAATACTCAGCCTGGAAATACCAAAACCACAACTGTGATGCATGATAAAAGAACTCTTTCCCTTGTGAGGAAAAAGCCCTTCACTACAGGTGGGCAGATAACACTCTCCAGAAGGGGGCGTACGTGTGTCAGACCAAGAGAAGTCTTCACTGCAGACATTTCTGCACAAGATGAAAACTATTGGTGAATCACTAAAACTGTTGTATTTTCTGCACCGTTCACACTTTTAAAATGTAATGCTCCAGAAATGAGTAAATGTAGCAAATTAAATAAGTTTTAGCCCATCGGTTGTTGAATGTCAAACCTGTTGTAGTGGATTAGGACAAAAAGACGAGAATATAATCAGTGCCTGGATTTCTGAACGTGTTTGCGTCCTGCAGGTGTTAAATGGCATCCGGATGAACATGGGGTCATAGGCTTTGACTGCAGGAACAGGAAGTGGTAAGTTGTATTTTAACTTCATTTAACAATTTTATAGTTTAAATTGTCTTCACCTCCATGTTTCTCTCTGTTTCTGTCGCAGGTACATTCAGGCTGCGACATCGCCCAAAGACGTTGTGATTCTTGTGGACGTTAGTGGCAGCATGAAAGGACTGAGGCTGACCATCGCCAGACAAACTGTGTCCTCTATCCTGGACACGCTCGGAGATGATGACTTCTTCAACATCATTGCAGTAGGTTTCACTTGTATTGTCACGTTTATTTATTCTTATGTATCTTTTCAGAGTTTTCCATGTGTTAACCAACTATAACAAATGAAGGGATAATGGTTCACTAATCCTTCTTATTGTAATGATAATACTGAGCTGTGAAGACCTCCATATTTATATATATCGTTTTAGATTTGATTAAAGACACACAAAACAGACGAACACGACAACATTCAACAAGAACACAAAAATAACACAAAAGTACAATCCCAAACAGGATAAACATGACAAAAACCCCAAACAAACACACACACACAAAACATAAAAATAAGATTATGAAGTTATTAAGAACAGTGCACAGTTGCATTAAAATATGGCTGCACCAGATTGAGCACCATGCCACCTGTAGTCCTTGACAATACAATCATATCACTTGCATAATATACTGTCCAATAAAAGTGCAAGTTACTAAAAAACATATTCACATATTATTATGTTATTCTATTATGATTCACAATAATAGAATAAAATAAACTTACAGAGAATACATGAAATTCAGCCAAACACACGCCCTCAATCCTTTCTCCCCACACACATAGTCCCATAAACATTTCATACATGTAGATGGTATATATACATACTATACATACTGTACTCGGCAATAATCTATTAAGACCATAGTCCATATTTGTACTCAAGATTATTATCTGAAGGACTGTATTAGTTTCATCCATATTGTTTCTACAGTATCTGAAGCATGCATCATTTATATCTCAAGTGATGACGGCTCTGTTTTTATGGTCATTGATATGGTCATATAAAAAGCTTTGTCTCCTTTTGTTCGATCTGAAGGGACTCAAAAATAAACCGTGTTACAGGTGCAATCGCCGCTGCTTTGTCTTCATTTCTCATCTTAATAAATATACCATAATCTATTCTTGCATTTTTCAGTATAACCAGGAGATCCACTACGTTGAACCTTGTCTGAATGGGACCCTGGTTCGAGCTGACAGGGCCAATAAAGATGTAAGCCAGACTCAAACAGACAAATAATGAATGCACGCAGATCGAATCTTCTGTGAAAAATAAGCTTCCCTTTCTTTTCTTTTACTGTTGTTATCTGCAGCATTTCCGGGAGCATCTGGACAAGCTGTTTGCCAAAGGGATCGGGCTGCTGGGGGAAGCTCTCGCTGAAGCATTTACAATCCTCGGTGATGTAAGTTAAGATTGTTTTCTGAAAAAGTTGATGTATTTAAGTGCAGAGTTCTGTAGAGTGCTTCACATATGTTACAAAACATCCAAATGGATAAAGCGAAGTATTATTTTTATATGTAGAGTAACATTAACATCTAAACGCATTTCATCAGCACTGCAAGAAAATTTAGGTTTTGTTATTTTTATTTTCATTTTCATTTTTTTTAAAGATTCAGTTTAAACCAATTGTTAACATATCCAGGTGCAATAACATTTGAGCAAAACTGAAATGACCAACTAAACTGATATAGAAATCATATTTCTGATCTTATTTGTATGAGAGAAGAGAAGGTATACCTTTATTCGTCCTAAAATGGGAAAAATGTAATGTCATTGTTGCGGGTATTACAGCAGAATAAGAGGAGGGAAAAAAAGCTCTCAGGATGCTCAGATCAAACAGGATTCTTTTTTCTGAGATAATAGATAAAATAATGATAAGATAATACAATAAAACTCTGGAGTTATAAGAGAACAAGTCACTTGTGGAGATATAGTGTAGTCAGCAGCACCAGGAGGTATTTACAGATGTTTGTATTTTACTTCAGCTGAAGACAATATGACCAGAATAAATAAAAGAAGCAGCAGGTAAAGTGACTATTGAATTATCAGATGAATCCAACCCGTATATCTTGAGCTTAAACTTGCCCAGAACCTTTGCAACGGATTCTGCACAGTCCTGTATCATACCATAAATGTACCATAAATCACTGTAGTTCACTGAAGTTTTGTATCATGAATCAGATTGTCCTAATGCCTTTCTCTGCTCGGATGACCAGATGTCATTGTTGTTGAGCTGTTACAGCGTTCCACAAATTAATCCATTGTTGATATGGTTTCATTTGACACAAAGTAATGAATTGGTCTCAGCCTAAATCCATTTTTGTTTTCATTTAATTTAGAGGCTCCACTTGACCAGAACAAGTGGAAAAAAACTTTGGTTTTGAATTCCCATTAGTTTCCCAGATGCTTTCCCACTGCATGTTCAGTAATCATGGTCCCACTCTGGACGTGTGCAGAGCTACCCCTGTCCCGAGCCCCAGCTCACCCACTCTGAAACATGATTAATGGCTCTAATTAATGTCAATGATTAATAATGTGGCTGATTGGGACACAAAGGAGATAAGGAGCGAGAAGCCACGCCACACTCCTTTTATCTCTCTGTTTTCAGCCGTGGCAGCGCAGCAAAAGCCCAGAGTGCTGCTGGCTCTACCTCTGCATTTGTCAGATTAATTAAACTCTTCCAATGAATATGGTAATCAGTTGCAGCCGCTTGACTACTGCTGAAATGCACTGGTACAAGGTGCCAAGTGAATTAAGTTGGACAATCATTGGTCTGATCGAAAGAAAACACCAGAGGATTCCTGCAAAGAGAATCATTTCCACTCATGTCCGCTGACAATAAAACTGTGCCACTCCGCTCAGCCGCATTTTAAAACTAGACACGGTTGAAGATGTTGCTCCATTTTCTACACAAATTCATTGGATGATTTTATTTTATTTTCCCCATAAATGATCATGTATAGCATATGCCACAAGTTGTGTCTGACCCTAAAGTCATTACAATCCAACTTTTATTCCCCAGAATCGTCCTGCTTGTGACACATGTAGCTCATAAATGACTGATGCAAACCACCTGCTGCAAACTATGAGCATTACATAGACTACTCATCTGTTGTACATGCTTTCATTTAAATATGCGTGGAAAATATGAGTGACAAAACTTTTAGCTAACAAACTGGCAATCCAAATGAGAGACTCATTCTTTTCTTTGATTGGATAATCTACTTAAAAACCCTAACATTTCATGAACATAAATATTGTGGACATCTATTGTATTTGTATTTAAGAAAGATTCTACCTTAAACAGATTTGTTCATGTTGACCTGTTATCTGGGGACACATCTAAAAATGTAGATTTTTTCTTAAATAGAAACATTACACAATGTCCATTTTAAGTTTTGTTGAACAAAAACCGCAGCATTATTATGTGTCCTGCACACATGCAGAGTCAGCAGAAAGCACCTTCACAGATAGAGTTGAGTGTGCGGCGGCTTCAGGTGACGCGCTCGCACGATAAAAAGGCTCTTGAGTTGGAGAGCAGCAGCTCTGCTCCTTTGATCACCGTTTTACAGGTCAATGAGCAGCTTAATTAACCTCATGTATCTCCTGGCGTTGCAACGTGGACAATGTTTTTACTTTATTTACAAAGGTTTAGAGGTGTTTTATTTCTCTTTGTTGGTGCAACTCAGATATGTATTGTGTTAAGCCCCTTGGATGTGATCATAGTTCAACATCCATTCATGTTTTTACTTGCACTTTAGAATAAATGTTGCTTTCACAGTAAATCTGAGTTTGGAATTTTACAAATTATGTATAATTTAGTATAATGTATAGTATGTATAATATAAGAATCATGGTATATTCCTATTGTTGCTGCAGTATATGTATATTTTTTTCATTATTGTTTTTTCCCAGTACATAAAAAGTTGGTATTATTTGTCCCAAAACAATGTGAATAGGTATACTCAAATTGTCCATTTTTAATTAGGCACACTCAACAATAAATAATTTGTGTTATTTGAGACCTGATATGGGAGCAGAAATGCACCAAAATGCCTATAGTCTTTACTGATCGTCTGTTGACTAATCTGGTGTTTATTTCCCTATTTTTTGAAGTTCAATTCGACCGGTCGAGGCAGTGTCTGCAGTCAGGCCATTATGCTGGTCACTGATGGAGCGACTGAAATGTATGACGATGTCTTTGAGAAGTACAACTGGCCGGAGCGAAGGGTGAGGCTGTGTATCCTGTTTTTATTAGACTTCTCTAGATTAAATCTGCCATCTTGACATTTTGAGTATGTTTTGTTCGCAAAGCCTGTATGATATTATGTTACAGAGCATTGTTTTATCCCCAGAGGTTTTTAAATTAGGGGTTAAAGGGCAGAACATGCAGGAACCACTGCCCCAAGCCCCCACAGCACAGTCCCTTGCTGCACTTTCGGCACATGACACATAACACCAGAGTAATCCTTTTCCAAGGGATGAACACAATTAGAATGGAAAGAACTGCTGAGCCGTTTGCAGAGCAGTGGAACAACAGCTCGGGACTGATGTTAGCATATGTGTACTGGCACCGCGTGGCGGGATAGAGGGCACTATTTGGCAGTGTTCCCCCTCCCCCACACACCCCCAGGCTCCCTTTGTGGCAGAAGTCACTGTTTTTTTATATATGTTTTATGCTTAGCAAAGCATCTGGAGCCAATGAAGCGTTCAGGTCTGGCACAGTGTCACACAGTGCTCTCTAAAAGGACAGTGGAACATGCCCTTGTGCCATGCCCCCAAGGAAAAGTAAACCAATTGAATTTAACTGTATGTGTCCTTTGAAATCATTGAGCCAAAATGCATAAAGTGCTGTTAAACAACATTGCAGTTATTGCTGAATGATGTAGACTTGATACTTTGTATCAAATGACAAACATCTTAAACTAGAAAGGCACAAGTTAATTCCTTTTTAAAGAGTTTTACAGAAAATGGTGTAATAGTCATGCCATAATTCTGGGTGATCTTGCAAAGTTAAAGGTATATACTGTAGGAGGATTTTGTACTTCCGGGTGGATCATCAAGACTATTGGTTGTCCCAATTGTCAATCCTTCTGGTGATACGTGCTCGACAAATAAGATCAGAGGGCGGTTCTTACCTTAAAATGTGGAAATTCCTCCTATATACCTTTGAAGAGAGTTGTTTCATCATATTCAGTTTTCACACATTTCGTTGAGGATGGATATGATTTCATGCTGATAGTTGTAATACACATCACTGCTACCTACAGTCACATCATGTAGGTCCCGCCCCAAAATGACCAGCTCTATTTATATGTGAATGTGGCCTCACTGAACCGTGCCAACCTGCGCCACCATAAACAAAACTACTTTGGTTAATAGATAAAACCTCCTCTTCCCCTCACCCCTGTAATAGGGACGGGGTAATAAATAAGTATTAAGTAGCCATTGAATAACTTTCACCTTAACTGTATATCTTCTTTAAGGAACATTTATTTGTGTCTTTCATCTTAAAACTGTCTTTGTGCAGGTGCGCATTTTCCCTTACCTGATTGGACGAGAGTCTGCCTTCGCTGATAACCTCAAATGGATGGCCTGCGCCAACAAAGGTTAGTGACACTGAGCCGATAGGCTCCAGACAGCGTAGTATCAGCAGAAGGAGAAGCTTTGTTGTATATTTAGTATAATGGCTCTTCTAGGTGTTGAGTAGGTGGCTGAAATATGATATAACTACCACAGTTGTAGTTCAACACAGAAACGGTTTTGGACGCTTTAGACCACTATACAGAGCAGTCCAATTGGTGGCTGGAGGATGTGGACGGCTGGCTGAAAGGGGTTTGTCTATGGTCCATCATAAAATTGTAAATTTGGCCAGGAGCCATAACATATGACTTGATTCTACTTCCAGCACTGCTGTCTGTAGTTGTTCAGAGAGCCCTGGTTCATTTGAAGACATTTCTCTAGCAATGCACAAACTGTGAAATTTACACACTGACAATAAAGGAATTTGATTTGAAAATAACTATGCAATATCTGTTATGACATCAGCTTAACCAGCTACTATTAATTATTTCATTTCATTTATTTATTTCAAACCTGCAGGTGTATACATACAGGAAAACACTGATGATGGGATGATGGAAGCTTACGCTTATATAAAACCATCCCCCACACACACTCCACTTGCAGACAAATCATTTTCACGAATGATTACAACACAAGACATTGAATATTCAACACAACACAAACACACAGGCCCATTATCATTTTATTTCAATGATAATTTTGTTTTTTGTACTGTTTTTGTTAAAAAGTGGTTTTCACCCAAACCATAGAGCTCTATATAATCAGCCCCAATAAAAAACAAACAAAAACCCTTACTGTAAACTGATATATATGTTTGGCTGAGGAATATATTATACATACTGTATATGGAAGATTTGGAACTGTATTCACTTTCCCTTGGTTTGGGTGAATGTGAAGGCTCCTCCTCTGTCTTCCCCAAAAGGCAGTGAAGTGGCGCTCTGATGGGTCATGGGTCAATCTGCTCTAATCCTTCTTCCTGTCAGAGAGTGTCCCCTCAGCTGTGCCCACTGATGGCTCCCACGTGTCACTGCTCCGGATGAGTGCCCCCCAGAGCCAAAGTCACAGCCAGGAAAACACATCACAGTGAGGGGTAGGAGAGGATACCCAGCCCCCCACAGGCCCCCCACAGCACCCCCATGCCCCCCTCCCTCGTGCAGACACATGGAATAGCCTCACATGTCCTGTATGAAGCATGGTGGTAACAGCAGCTCCCTGACAGCAGTTAAATGCCCTGTGTCACGCTCTTTACTACGGCAGCACCGCAGGGAATTTATTAAATGATGGAGGAAAAAGATTGTTATGCTTTGCTTTACATGGAAAAATGAGTTGATATAATATTAGACTAGGCATGCACATTTTGAAATCTCCAGGTGGAAAAATCCAGTGCTTATGGCTTTTCCCAATACACAAAAAAGACACTGTACTAGCACATGCCGTATCGAGCTTGCGTTCTACGAAAGAGCTTGCGTTCTTAAAATCTAGTCAGAACAACGTTGCTTTTTTTTTCTTGTATAAATAGAGAAACATTTATGAAAATAACTTCTTGCATGTGCAAAGATTAGCAGTCCTTTAAAGTAAATTATTACATTTTACGATTAAGATTATGACCCTGCCCGTGCCCAGACTTTTGTCGCGGCACACTACTGTATATTCAGGGACCGGTCTCCTGCTGGGACTCTGCGTCAGGACTGTTTTACTTGAACAATGTTCAAATCCAGCTGTGCATACAATTGAAATATTGTAAGGCAAGGCAAGGCAAGTTTATTTGTATAGCACAATTCATACACAAGGCAATTCAAAGTGCTGAACAGAACAAGAAAGCATTAAAATCATAAATAATCACAGTACATTAAAAAAAATATATATATATATAAAAATATAAAATCCCTCAGTTGTATGCACAGCTAAACAGAACTGTTTTCAACCTTGTCTTAAACATTGTCAGAGAGGAGGCCTGTCTCACATCTTCAGGAAGACTGTTCCAGATTTTAGCAGCATGAATCTGAAAAGCAGCCTCCCCATGTTTAGTTCTGACTCTGGGCACTAACAGGAGTCCAGTCCCTGTGCTCCTCAGAGTCCGGGCTGGTTCATATGGGACTAACATGTCACTAATATAGTTTGGTGCGAGGCCATGGAGAGATTTGTACACAAGCAGAGCTGTTTTAAAGTCTATTCTCTGAGCCACAGGAAGCCAGTGCAGGGACCTGAGGACCGGACTAATGTGGTCGTACTTCCTGGTTCTAGTCAGGACTCGAGCTGCTGCATTTTGAATGTACTGCAGCTGTTTTACAGCCTGTTTGGACAGACCTGTGAGCAGGCCATTGCAGTAGTCTAACCTACTGGAGACAAATGCATGGATAAGAATCTCCAAGTCTGCTTTAGACACTATGTTTTTGATCCTGGCAATGTTTTTTAGATGGTAAAAAGCTGCTGATGTTACTGATTTGATGTGGCTATTAAAATTTAAGTCTGAGTCCAGTATTACCCCTAGATTTCTGACCTTGTTTGAAGGTTTTAGGGAGAGAGACTGTAGGTGACAGATGACGCTCTCTCTTTGTTTCTGGGGACCAAAGACAATCATTTTCAGTTTTGTCTACGTTTAGCTGAAGGAAGTTGTTTTGCATCCACTCACTGATCTGTTGGATACAGTGAAGGAGTGAGTCCACTGGTCCATGTTCTCCTGCAGTCAGTGAGACATAGATCTGAGTGTCGTCTGCATAGTTGTGATAGGACACTTTGTTTCTGCGTATTAACTGACCTAACGGCAGCATGTAGAGATTGAACAGAAGAGGTCCCAGGATCGACCCCTGTGGTACTCCACAGGTCAGGGCCATATGATCTGAGACACAGTCTCCAATCTCCACAAAGTACTTCCTGTCTTCAAGGTAAGACCTAAACCAACTTAGGGCGGTGCCAGCGACTCCAACCCAGTCCTCTAGTCTCTGTAAGAGGATCTCATGGTCGACGGTGTCAAAGGCAGCACTCAGATCTAACAAGATTAAGATTGAGACTTTGCCTGCGTCAGCGTTCAGCCGGATATCGTTTGTAACCTTGACAAGAGCAGTCTCAGTGCTGTGGTGAGGTCTAAAGCCGGACTGAAACATATCAAATGAGTTGTTAATTATAAGAAATCTAGTAAGCTGTAGGTAGACAACTTTTTCAAGGACTTTCCCCATAAATGGCAGATTTGAGATGGGACGATAGTTGTTAAGTACCGTAGCATCCAGGCTGCTCTTTTTTAGCAGGGGCCTGATGACTGCAGTTTTCAGGGCCTTTGGGAATATTCCAGAATGAAGGGACATGTTTACTATCTGTGTGAGTGAAGGTAACAGACTGCCCAGAGCAGACTTCAGAAATCTAGTGGGTAGTACATCCAGGCTGCATGTGGAGGAGCTCAAACTGGAGATTATTTCTTGGACATTTTTATCATCTACAGGTGCTAAAGGTTGTACAGGTTGTATCTGATCTTTTAAAATGAGCTATTTTAAAATGATTGTAAGATATTTATGTTGTTACTCATTTGTGATCTATGGCTGAAAAAGCATTTTTAGTTGCTCTCTGCATGAATTGAGCTATTGAATTGACCAACTGTAATGACTAAACCATCATTCAACCTGGAGAGACTTTGAGGAGACAAAATGCGTTTGAAGTATTTTTTATTGAAAGGTAGTTTGGCGCCCTAGGCCCCGGTGCGGCGATCAGTCAGCGAGGCTCCTGTGAGAGTGCGCGCACAATCCCCCGGGACCTAGGCACTGGTAGCATATCGGGCAGCAGGAAGAGGCATGATTGAGGCAGGGTGAGAAAAGGGAGGAGGAGGGGAGGCGGTGGTTTGCAAGGCTTCGAGGAGGCCATAAAGTGGGAGTTTCTCCACTTTGAAGCGGCTGGCCTGGCCGGCATAGGTTGGTTGGAAATGGGCGTTTGCTGTGCGATAGGCTGGGGATGTGAGGCCGGCCTGGAAGGGGTGGCTTTGGCTGATGTCTTCCAGAGTTGAATTTCCGCGAGGCTTCATAAGTCTGTGCTAAACCATCAAAGTCTGTGCACATGACTGAAAGCCACTCTGTAAAATGATCAATGAAACTATGACATAATGGCTTGCTCAGGAAAATGAAGAGAATTAAAGGAGATTATTTATGTTCTTATTTTTAAAGGACACATACTTAAATGATGAAAACTTCCCAAGAGGCACTCTGTGGGAGAAAATGTGAATTCAAAAAATTGTGTTGTTTCTATTAAGATGGTATTGACCCCACAGAATAAAGCTATTGTCACATTTACTCAAGAGCACTGTGGCTGCAATACCTGAGCAATATTACAATTGACATTGTAATATTGCTCAGGTTGGAGAAACAGTATGGTATAAACTATATGTTGTATGTTTTTTTTAAATTTGCATTTTGTTGCAGGGTACTTCAGTCAGATCTCCACTTTAGCTGATGTTCAGGAGAACGTGATGCGATACCTTCACGTGATGAGTCGGCCAAAGGTGATTGACCACGAGCACGACACGGTGTGGACCGAGGCCTATGTGGACAGTGCGGTAAGTGCTGACTGCAGATTGATATTCACGCCCTTGTACATTTTTAATAAAAGTATTTAATATGGTAAAGTTGTGCAAAAGTTTTGGCCTGGGGACCAAGGCCTTAAACCCAACATTTAAATCATCAAAATAGAATCAGCAGCCCAGGGTGACTCCCCGCATTATCACGCCCTCAATGCATTTACAAGCACTCATCACAACTTCCAGCGCCATGTACTGTAGACTACTGCAATCACAGAAAGCTGACAAGAGCTGTACTTCCTGCAATTATGAGACTGCAGACTGAGATTCAAATCTGAACATTTACAACTCTTCAGAAGCCCATGTGTTTCATTGTTTTGGTTCTGCTACAAATTGCGACAGCAGTTGAGAATGTGTGAAAATCAAATGCTTTTCGACTTGAAGCTTGATCCATATCTCTGTCCACACAGTGACAAAAGCGCCATACGAGATACAGAAGCAGGACGAGTTAGACAAAAGATATGATATATATTATTGGTTAATAATCTAATTTACATAGTCCTGATGCTAAAACTTAGTTACTCTCACTAGATTGAAGTAACTGACTCTTACTAATGCGAAAGCATATGTTATTGTTCATTCATATCATTTTACAAATAAAGTAAGCAAAGTTTTGTTACTGTTATATTGAGTATTTTTATTTTCTTGTGACTGTAACTAAGCAGTGTGTTAAACAAATTCGTTTTTCAAAGTAGCCAATACTGAATATGAATTAGCAATAATTATAACAATATCAAATGCACAACAGGACCAGTTGAAAGACAGTGAAAGACATTGAAAAACATTTTTCTCTGTTGGATCTTGAAAGTGCATTTGTAAAATGCAAAATTAAGAATTTGATTTGGAGTAAGAAAAAATGTTTATCTAAGTATTAGAAAACATGAATTGTTCATCACCTAAAAGAGTTCAACCTAATTATTAATATGCAACTAATTATTTGCAAAATAAACCAACTGTGAAGTGTCTGTACACGGTGCATATTTTGATAACTCCCATTTCCCACAATGTTGCATAGAAAGTAGTTTAAGTGGGATCTTCTTGTTGTGCCGCAACACCCTGAGGTTACATCTTTTCTCATTAGAGAATGAAAAAACAGCAGGAGGAGCCCTTTGAAGACTTTGGGTCCAGGATTGTCAGTACAGAAGTTATGCTCTTCTGGCTCAGCCTTGAAGACATTTTTTGAGTCTTCCACTTTGACTGTCTCACTGGCTCCAACCTTAGCAGTTAATAGTACTTTGTGAGAGGCCTTGGCTTTGAATATTCACAATCTGGACCTATGCAACAGAAGACCAGGTTTCATTGTGGGCTTTTTGTTTTTTAAGAAACTTTTCCATGTGGAGTATATCATAAAAGAGAGGATACATTTTGAATGTACATTGCAGCCAGTGTTGTGCAAGCTACTGAAAAAGGTGATACTATATACTGTATTACTTGTTACTGTTATTTCAAAGTGTAATGTTACACACAATATTATTGTCTCTGATTTGTAAAGAATTACACTACTACTGCATAACGTTTGAGTTACTTACTTACCATTTCGTACTAAATGTAGCTTATGCTATTGCGATAGTTTGATAGAGCTTTTGGTTTCCAACTGTTATGTTCCGCACATCTTTGTCCATCTAGAAAATATTCTATTGTCCAACGTAGTGCCTGCTTCTGCCTCAGCTTTAGCCATCTTATACCAGAAAGGAAGAAAAAACTAAATATTTCCCCTTTGCTGATCTCGCAGTGGCATAGTATAAAACAAAATCCAATTTGATTTTGGGTTCAAATGCAATGTAACGTACAGGACTAACCTTTTGTATCGAGTAAAATATGAACAGTTTTTTTTTTTGAACGCCTTACATAACAGCGTTACAGCAAAAAGAAACAGAATTTACATTACTTTAGTAACGTGTTACTCCAACACAGAATGTAGGTAATGAATAGTCGTAGGTATCATTAGGATTACTCCAGACGGACTTTTCTTTGTCAATGTGGAGTGGCCAAATGTCCACTGAACTTGATGAAGTGAAACTGGAAAATTCTTCATACACAGACTATATGTGCCTTCATGGTTTGCATGGCTGGTATGAGGAGTTGTGTGTTCATGTGCGTGTTGTAGTTGTACAGTGTGTGTCTTGTGTGCGTGGTCTTCCTCGTCATTACTCTTCATGCTGGGGAAATGACTCCTCATTATGAGCTCCATTAATCTGCATGGATTTCCCCTCAGTGTACATCTGTGTCCACAGAGTTTGCTCTAGCGCTTCATTCACAGAGCCGCAGTCTAAAACTCTTTCTCTTGTTTATCTGCTCTTCTCCATCAGCTCTCACAGGCTTACAAGGTAAAGCTCTCAGCGTGTCATCAGTTTAGCAAAGTGTGACGCATACACCATGTTTACAAGTTATATCCAACTTTGAGCATATTCTGGGGCATAATATTTGCTTCCATAAAAACAAATTTATAAAATATAATGTTTTTCACATTACCATGTAAAGCACTGAGCTGGTGTAAGTGGATTGGTGAGTGGTTTCTATTAAACATGATACACATTATACATGATAATGGTGGTTTTGTGTTTGTGAAAACTTTTCCTCACACTCTTTCAACTCTTTCAACCTGTACCTGTATATACTGTACATTCAATGAAAAATGAAATATCAACTAAACAAAATACAACATAAACACAAGGCGGATGGGGTTGAACTTCTTTAAATCTTTTACAGCTTAATGGAATGAAAGATCCTCTATGTAGCTGAAAATTCATCTGAGCTTCCTAAAAGTTCCAGGAAACACTACTCCATCTTGGCCAGAGCAGTACGGCTTTCATTGTATGACTTGTATTCAGTGTGGTACTGAAGAGGGGGCTGGGAGATTGTCCTCTGGAGTCTATGCGCTCCTGTATCTCGGCCTCAGACACACCATTCATCATTCTGTGGATCATTGCATTTTATCTCCTAAAGCCCATAATAAAACTGACATTGGAGGGGAGACCAGGGGAGTGAAGGAGGTGGGGGAGGAGGAGGGTGGTGGGAACGCATGTCCGAAAACCTGCTCTACCTGTGTGTGTAGCTCCTTGCTGGATTCATTGTGTTGGGATGCATTTTAGAAGCTACCATTCTTCATTTTGTCAAGCTGTGGTTAGAACTCATGCCTCATTGACTTCATATGTATGCATGTATACAATAGCAAACATGTAATAGGGCGGACTGACAGTAACTGAGGACTCGCTAAATACTGTACCAACCCCAGCACACAGAGATTTGCATGATTGAACAAAATGGCCATATGTTAAACTTATGGAGTAAATATAACACATGATTTGTATCTTGATCAAATAAAACTTAAGGATTGGTTAGCGTTGAAGCCTTCCTGTACGTTTTTTCCGTCAAAAACTCTTGGTGAGAATTTGATGACAGTTGGAAATTGTTTCCTTTTCTGTTTGTAATTAATGCCATTCTGCAAAGTTAGACACTGTCAATTTGAAATTAAAAATTATATTCTTGCAATTGTTTACCCCTCAACATGTGGTTGTAGCAACCCAGAACTGACAATATGCACAAATCTAGATAATTATAGTAATTACTTTTAATATACTGTTGAAAATAAAATAAGATTCATATCAAATTGGAGTGCAATACAACCCAACATGATCTTTATGTTAGGGGGTGTATATAATAATCTTCAAACAGCATTTTGAGGCTCTCACAGCATGTTACAGAAACAATGTCACCTTTGACACTGCTTCTCTTCTTGCATTATGCTCTTTCATATTTTTAGACAAATACTGTTCCTTGTGTTTTGTATGACCTCATGTTTCCTGTTCGTTTGTCACAGATGAGAGACAAGTCAGGGCCCAGTCTGATGACCACAGTCGCCATGCCTGTCTTCAGCACCAAGAACGAGACTGTGAGTGCTGCCAACTCTGTGTCTAAGGCATTTCTGAGCGGTTTTAAAACTTTGTGTTGTGTATTTGTATGTGTGTGTATGTATGTGTGTGTGTGTGTGTGTGTGTGTGTGTATTTCCTGTATATGTGTGTGTGTGCATGTGTATGTGTGTGTGTGTCTGTGTGTGTGTGGGGGGGGGGCGTGTGTGTGCGTGTATCTGTGCGTGTGTGTCTGTGTGTGTGTGCGTGTGTTTGTGTGTGTGGGGGCGGGTGGGTGTGTGTGTGCGTGTGTCTGTGCGTGTGTGTGTATCTGTGTGTTCGTGTGCGTGTGTGTGCGTGTGCCTGTGTGTGCGTGTGCGTGTGTGTGTATCTGTGTGTTCGTGTGCGTGTGTGTGCGTGTGCCTGTGTGTGCGTGTGTTTGTGTGTGTGGGGGCGGGTGGGTGTGTGTGTATGTGTGTCTGTGCGTGTGTGCGTGTGTGTGTGTGTGTGTGCGTGTGTCTGAGTCTGTGTGTGCGTGTGTCTGTGTGTGTGTCTGTGTGTGTGTGTGTGTGTGTGTGTGTGTGTGTGTGTGTGTGTGTGTGTGTCTGTGTGTGTCTGTGCTTGTTGATGCAGAAGAATCAGGGAATTCTGTTGGGGGTGGTTGGAACAGACATCCCTCTGCAGGAGCTGATGAAGCTGATCCCAAAGCATATGGTACTCTCATCTGTTTTCTCTTCAGTCCAAATAAACATATTCGCATTAGTCATACGCATGTTTTAAATAACTTTATCCTCTGTTCTATCCATTATAGCTGGGGATCCATGGATACGCCTTTGCCATTACAAACAATGGCTACATCCTTATCCACCCAGACCTCAGACCTCTGGTAAAAAACCTTTTACACTTTTGATTATGGTCAAATCACTCCCAGTGTTGACCCTGACATTTTCTTTTGCATAACCACAATATGAACTGAAACTCCTTTTTGACCGCAGAGAATGTGTTTTGTGGTGAGCAGGCTGAATGGGCTCGTATAGTCTGTAATCCCCAACTTTTCCTTTGACGTATGCATGCAGGAATAAAGGCCACACATAGGGCTGGCTGGCCTGAGATTTCCCAGAGGTAACTTAACACTCACTGGCCTGAAACAAGGCCTGTCGCCCCGGGGCCACGTCTGGTTCCCGGGGCGAGGCCATGCTGGGCCAGTGTTAGTGCTACTCCTCACTGTGCTGGTATCTGTCTGTGCTAGTCTGTGTTCCTCTGTGCTCTGCAGTAAAGACATGTCTACATTCGTTTAAATTACTTCCTATTTGAATTTCCTGATGTGAAGGGTTTCAAAGACAAAGGACTTTAAATCCATCTACCTTCTCATAGACTCTTTGACACATCGCAGTTTGCACACAAATTAGCAAATTATATTAATGGCAATTTTAAAAACGCATGCTCAACCAATCAGCTCTCAGGACAAAACATATTAGTGACTTGTATGTGTTTTTTATTTATTAATAAATACAGTTATAGAACGTTATTTTTCAGCATGAGTAAGGCATTTGTTTTTATTTTTATAATTTTTGGTGAAAACATTTACATTTGTAAAGATGTGTATTTTTTTTATTGACTCAATGCCAAAAAATTGAGATTATTCTTCTGAATCATTGATATAACTTAGTCAGAAGTTTAATAGTAGACTTTGAGGAAGAAATAAATCATCCTTTTTCACAGTGTACGAAAACCAAAAGTGAGAAGGGGCAAAGAGGTCTCTGAGGCCTCGCCCCCAAAGTACAGAGGTCTGAACCATACACTGTATATATTAACGGACAGAGTCACGCCTATCTCCGCCGTTCTAACTAATGGGCCAAAAATTGTGCTCTACTGGAGCTATCCAAAATGGCCGCGAGTGGTACCGCCCACAAGAAAATTTTGAAAAAACGCATCTGCGCATGCGTCAGCCGGCGCAACTCCATTCATTTGAACGAGAGACTTCAATAATTCACAGCAAGTAAACTAGAGTGGTCCAAAAAAATTCGCCCCCCTCAGCATTGACACACATGTGGAACGGAGCTTGTGGCCAAGAGCCAGCTTATGGTCCATCCTGTAAAGACGTTTTCCAGACGTCTGCCAATGCTATATGTTAGCATTGGCTAATTCTTCTTCTGGGTCCACCCCCATTGGCCCGGGGTGGTATTGCAAGCATGTCAGCGCACGTCATTTTGGCCACTTTTGAGCTGGGACCCTCCCCCACTGGTCTGAACAAAGGTTACAGATACAGTACATCAGTGATTTGAATCTTCCTGTTCCACTTTGTATTGTTGGGAAGATTGTGTGATTACAGTAATGGTGGTTCTAAAGGCCGCAATCGACACTTGGGCTGTCAAACGGGCTTGAATGATTTTGATCTCCGAACCTTGTACTAACATTTAAAAATATGTGTTAGTTATATAAAAAAGATGCAGTTCATTATCAACTTTTTTTTTTTTCTAGATTGTCTCTGTGGTATTGACATTGGTCTTAATCAAGTTTGTCTTTTTAGTATCGGGACCATTACTTGGAGCCATCTCAAGGGCCGCTGTGGCCTCATTCAAATGTGCAAACAAATAACATATATTTTTAGAATCAGCACAGCTATACACAATCTTGCTAATTATGCTAACAATAACGCAAAAGGCTCCTGTGATTCCCTGAAATGGATAAACTCAAAAAAATAATAATGTAAAAGATCAATGAGGATGCAGTCTCTAATGATCACAGTGTAAGAAATGTGAATATAAATCCAAACAAGTAAAAAAAGAAAAGTATTTGAAATGGAATTCATTTAAACTTATGTCGATATTCATTTTCTGCAGTGTGCATGTGTCTCTTTGTGGCTGACACCGTGATGTGCTGTAGTTTTGACGTGTCATTTCTTGTCGGCCGGACCACACACTGAACACCACGGTCTGACATGTACAGCTAGCGCACTCATGTAGACTTGCCTAAGCGTGAATTTTCTATCAATCATATTAAGCATTTTTAATTTACCTGACAGTGTTAATTTCACAGCTGATTTGTTAAGTAATTACTCAGCAAAAACTTCCACTAGAGCTTTGTAAATAATAGCCCAGAGTGAGAAAGCCTCAGGAGATGAGTGGCCGTCTGGGGCGAGCTGGATTTGCACACTTTGGAGATGTGTGGGTGACTTTGTTAAATTAAGTGTGTGTTTTGTTATGTGCAGTATCAGGAAGGTCAGAAGAGGAGGAAACCCAACTACAGCAGCGTGGACCTGTCCGAGGTGGAGTGGGAGGACAAAGATGACATAGTAAGTGTCGAACTGAGAACTGGCTCCTGAACCGAAACATGTGATTTTGATGCAGGCGTTTATACTATAATGTGACCAAGTGACCATCTGGACCATTGATCATTATTTTGTAAGGATTCTTTCAACAGTAATAGTTTTTTCTTTTTTAAAACAAGAACGACTAGAAATACAATCAAAACCAGCTGAGTAATTAATAGTAAAGTGGTATCACAGGTCTCCATGAATGCTATTAACACTAGAACACCCAGGGCTATCAATTTGACTGTGTTTTTCTTTGAAAGTGTAATTACTCCTTTTATGTACTTTTTGGTCTTCATAACTGTGACTTCTTCTGTTTTTATACACAGTTTTTTTATACATAAATTATTTCAACATCATTATTTTATGAATGAGTCATGAAATTATCTCGATCCTGGACTGGCTCAGAGATTACCATAGCAACAAACTGTTTACTTGCATCAATCAGCATTTAGTTTTTCTGAATTTTATGTAAATATAACAGTTTCAACATGTATCAAAAATAAAACTGTGTACATTTCTTAATTTAGTAGTTGTGAGTAACTAAAACTTTTTGGGGGGATTTTTTGAGAATTCCATTAATTTAATGAGATCCATCAAAAAGACTGTTCTGGGAGTTCTAGTAGTTTCAGAATTTCGGGGAGTCCTGGTGTTAAACATCTCCAATAGTCCTCAGCACTTTGAGATGTGTTCGCACATATAACGTGAGAACATGTCTTCCAGTCCTCTCATATTGGTATTTTTAATGTCACTCATCCATGTATTTTCTAAATGTATTTTTACTGACAATGAAAAAGACATTCCACATACAGTATGCTTTACCTGCTTTTTAAAATACAGTCTAGTTTTACCAAAACAATTCAAAGTGACATTTGAGTCCAAAATGTTCTCAATACTTTGTTTAATAATTGCCTGGTCCATGATGGTTCACTGAATAAATCTTAAATGCTGGATGAATAAAGTCCAAAGTGGAATGTGGACAAAAGTGAGAACACCAAGTCTGAACTAAATATATTACAATCACCTGTCACCAAACCTGTCGTTCTAATTAAATGTATTTATTTATTGATCCATTACTCCTATAACATGTCTTTACGCCATTTTGTTTCTTCTTCAGTTGCGTAATGCGATGGTGAACAGGAGGACGGGCACATTCTCCATGGACGTCATGAAGACTGTGGACAAAGGGGTAAGTACTGAGTGTTTGAAGGTGGACTGAGAAATGTGCAACGAGACCAGAGAATCCGTCATTTGCATTCTTCTGTTAAGATGTTATTGCTTAAACAAACAATTACAAGATTTTTCCCTGCAGGTCTGGAGTCTCTTTATCTGTTTGTGTGTAGAACATTTTAACTTTTGTGACTTACCTGCTAATTTTGTGATCTATGAAAACACAACTAGACATGGAAGAGACAGATGACCAGAAGGATATTACTTAAAATCTGATCTGGAGTTGATTATTCATACTTTTATCTAGCCTGGAATCTAGCTGTAGTACTAAACCTTTTTGTTTGTTTCATAAATGAATTGTGTTGTATCAGTAAGCAAAATTAAAAAAATCAAGTTGTCTCATTTTAAAACATTTTATTTTTCACGTACTGGGGGCTTATTGGTAGTGCGAGGGTGGAACATTCTTTTTCACTGATTTAAAACGGATTAAAAAATGTTACAGAGACCTTAAATACTTGCAAAACCGGTTTCAAGAACTATATGACCTTGTTACATGGATGTTCTTACGTTGTTAACTTTTGTGATTTCAAAGTTAGGTACTCCAGCTTTGTAGTTGAGTTTTTACTTGCTTTAATAACTCCAGATGCCCCAGAGACTTGAGCTTGTGTAAAAGTCTACAAGTTTTAGGTGTGGTTCTTGGAGCGGAGCAGAACATTACTGACCTGCTGTATTCCTCTGGGCACTCTCAGGTCCTTCAGTCAGAACCTTCCTATGATCCCAGTGACTTGTTTTAAATCATGGGGACTTTTCAGGAATGATCTGCTCCTGGCTCCCTGTAAAGCTGCTTCTATGGACATTTTTAAGACACAACATGAGATTTTATGTTTATAAAAATGTGTTTACTATATTCAATGCGCAGCGCTTTCTGGTTTATTCTGTGAAGGTCATTATATACAAATACTGATTACTTATTTATTGATTAAGGAGGTATCTGTTAGCCTGACTCTCAACAGACCCTTGTAGTTTCGCCATGCTCCACCAGAGGCGTTTGGCGGAACCACATGTGAGAGCCGTATGAGAAGTGCAGCAGTCTACAAGGGTCTGGCGAGAGTCAGGCTAGGTATCTGTGCCAGTGAGTCAGCAAATTATGAACATGTTTTTTTACTCCAAACTAGTTTCATGAACGTGCCACATCTTAAGTACAAGCAGATGGTGGAGACTCACAATCTGAATATTCTTACATGTTTTGTATTTATGTTGTGTAGAGGCGTTTATTGAGGATGCACAATGACTATTTCTACACGGAGATAGAAGGCACTCCATTCAGGTAAAGAACTGGCTTTCATTGTATCATTACTGTAGGTTTTGATTTATCAAGCATTTTTATGTTTGTAATCAATATTTCACAAAGAGGAACATCTTAAAGGAGACATATCATGCTAAATTCACTTCTTTGAGCTTATAGCCATGTCGCTACTTTGTTCTCTTATTTAAAAAAAACGGATTTTACTTAAGATCAATTCACACTAATATCAGAAAGTTTTCTCACTAATATGTAACTCCGCCCCTTCTATTTAAAATGTCAGTCCTGTAATCGTATGATGTCATTGTACCACTATGACATCACACTCAGAGTATTGCCCATAAATTAGTAATGACAATGTCTCAGGGGAAATGGCGTTCTCTACAATCAGGCGTGTCAAATTACAACCAATCTCTGGTGTTAGCGTAGGGAGATACAGATGCTATGTGTTAAAATGAAACGGCTCAAAATGTGTATTATTCAAAGAATATGTGAAGTAAAAAAGTGGTAAATAAATACCAAAAGTTAGTATTAAGAGATCTTTTCTTTGTCCCACAATGGAGATATTTCAGTGTTGCAACACAAGTAAAAAACAGGACTAAAGTACATACAAAGAACACAAACTGGAACTGAGGAATAACCAGAGCTCTATAGGGTAAAACACACACTGGACAGTAGCAGAGGGAAAGACAGTGTTTAACTGAGAGACACCGGGGAAACACATTTGGGTGGGTCCAGTGGGGACGGGTCCCAGCTCAAAAGTGGCCAAAATGACGTGCGCTGACATGCTTGCAATACCACCCCGGGCCGATGGGGGTGGACCCAGAAGAAGAATTAGCTAATGCTAACATATAGCATTTTTTGGTCCACTCTAGTTTACTTTGAAGTCTCTCGTTCAAATGAATGGCGCTCTCGCCGGCTGACGCATGCGCAGATGCGTTTTTTCACAATTTTCTTGTGGGCGGGACCACTCGCGGCCATTTTGGATAGCTCCAGTACAGCACATTTTTTGGCCCATTAGTTAGAACGGCGGAGATAGGCGTTAAAGTATATTTAATATTAATACATCAGTTTTAACCCTTTTATAGTTTCCTCAGTTTCAAGCATCTTTTGAGTCAATATATCTACTTTGGAGCATGCTAGGAAATGAAATGTATCTCTTTGGGACATCTCACTTTGTTTTAAGCACTTTTACCATCAAACTGTAATTCAACCATTTGGTAAAGGCCTATCATTTAAGAAAAATAAAAGTGTGTTATTAGTGCTCCTAAATCTTAAAAAATCCCAAAAAGAAAAAAAAAGGCATTGCTTTCTTCCAAGAGTGAATGTTAAAGAGTTAAACAGCATACACATATATTTTTTTACTCTCAGAGATGCTTCACATGTCATTATTCCTTCACTCCTAATACTGTAGCCACAGCTGCAGTAACGATGCACTTTGAATTTGCTTCGTCATGATTAGATTTGACATGTTCATCTTCATGTGTTTAGTCTGGGAGTGGCACTATCCAGGGGTCATGGCAAATACTTCTTCAGAGGAAATGTGTCGGTGGACGCAGGTATGTGGCTCTCTCTGTTTAACACTTGAGACGGGCTGAATGTGACAGAGCTCACGACCCCAGCGTGGCACTGCTGAAGCGTTACTGACTGGCTCTTCTTTTTGCTTTTTCAGGACTCCGTGATCTGGAACAGCCAGATGTCGCCCTGGCAGACGAATGGTGAGGTCGGGTTGTGGGAGAGGGCACCGGAGCGTTATGTAGGTTAAGCTTGTGTGAGGTTGTCATGTTTTGTTTTTGTTAACGACACTCCCAGGACGTACTGCAACACAGAGGAGGAGCATGAGCACCGCCACCTCACCCAGATCCAGGCCATCAAGCTGTTCCTGACAGGAAAGAGGACGTACCTCAAATGTAAACAGCATGCCTTTTTATTACTATTATTGTCACTTTCAATGGAAACTATTCTAAATCAACCTCTAAAGAGCTTTTAATCATATTTATGTATGTATAAGTTAGGATACATGAATAAAAATCCCTAGAGTCTAGAAATATTTTACACATTTATGGACATTTATCAACGCTCATGGACATTGGTCAAACTCCCCCAATGGAACAATACCTATGTGTTCTATATTCTTTATGTTTGAGCAGTTTGATTCTTCTTCTTTGTGTTGGCAATTTCAGTTTTGTTAACAGTTTTGTTAAGTCCTCTGAGATAACTACTGTTGTGATTCAGAGCAGAGTAGAATTTCAATATTGATCTACCCACCCACCCTTATAAAGCTCCCTGCATGTTTGAGTAATATGTATTCTGCATTAAGGATACTTTTGTTCTGATGTAACCATTGATACACAGCACTTTTCTGGATGTTTCTGTTGAAGTTTGTTTCTTAAACTGTGAGACACATAACATTTCGCAGAGGTCTTTTTGGCACTAAGTTGCTTCTGTGAACTGCGGCCATTACTTAGTTGTGATAATGTTTGCGATGCGGTGGAGTTGTTACATCAATACAGACATTTTTCAATACAGACGACAGGGCCTGTTGATAGCAGCGGAAAGTACAATATGTCTTATTTATTGGATTTAGTTTGTACATCAATTGAACAATTGAAATCTACTCCTCTTTTGCTGTGTGCCCTTGAGCAAGATACAGGACACACAATCTAGTGGTGTGTGTTAAGTAGAAATAATTTGGGACCATGAATGTATCTGTTGATTTTTGACATTGTAATGACCTGAGATTCATATATTTCTTTTTCTATCCTTAGATGTTACATCCACCAAATCATGTTGTTAACTCATTGAGTGCCAGCCGTTTTTGATGATTTCACTAATTCTCAAGACCCAAAGAATATTATTTCCTAGGACTATGTGAAATATGAAACCAGATTCTGAAAGACTGGATTGTCTACTTTCCTCAGCAAAAATAAGTTTGTTTCTGGCTATTCTTGTTGTCCTGTAATCCAGACAGGATAACGTAAATGGCAGTCAATGAGTTAAAGTTTAGCCAATATAGCCGCGTTATAACTAATTTCACTCTCTGCAGTATCCATTAAGATCATAAACACAAGTTGTCATCAATTTATTTAAATGTATTAACTCCACAAAGAGCCATGTATGAGTTAATTGTAATTATATAAATAAAATGCTGCTTCAACGTCAAATATTATTTTCTTGCAATTATGTTTCTTATATTTTTGTACATGATTATGTATATGAATATTTGTCCAATATGCATACATAACAATTTATTGATGAAAAAGAAAATTAAATATGAGAAGAAATCCAAAAGAATAATAAAAAAATTAAATTGATGAATCAGTTGTTTCCTAAATTTTTTTATTAGTTTCACATTTTGTGAGTGTAATAATCTTATCTCACAGAAGTTGCTGGTTTGACTTACTTTGTGGTTGCACTGTGCAGGTGACAGAGAACTGATCCAGGAGGTGCTCTTTGATGCTGTGGTCACCGCTCCTCTGCGCTCATACTGGACTGGGCTCGCACACAACAAGTCTGAGTAAGAATTATTACTCTGTTTAGAATACAAAATTGGTCATAGACTGAATTATTGAGACGACTGAATACTCAAATTGTGTTCAAACTTTCTCCTGACAGAAACTCAGACAAAGGGGTTGAGATTGCGTTCCTCGGCACGCGCACTGGCCTCTCCCGCACAAACCTGTTCGTGCCCGCGGATCAGCTTTCGAATCAGTGAGTGTCTCCTTTGATTGTTACTTACATGAGCCTCTGAGCTGCTGCTAACACTGGTGTCCTCAGAGACTTCCTGACGCACGAAGACAAAGAGGGAGTGTTCAACGCCGATCACTTCCCCCTGTGGTACAAGACAGCCGCGGAGCAGGTCCCGGGAACGTTTGTCTACTCCATCCCTTTCAGCACCGGTCAGCCCGAACACAAACAAATGAAAACATAGAAAAGAGAAGGCACTCTTGACCTTTGTGGGGATTTATCAACGCCTTTGGCCAATGTGTTTTGACTACAAATGAGTCTTCATCGGGGCCTATTGATATCTGAATCAACAAGTCAATTACATGTCCATTACAGTAAATGCCTGGAACAATAACACACAATTATACGCACAATACGCTGCAGAGAAATTTTATGTCAATTTTGAAAACTTGTTATGCCACAGATACAATACTAATAACAATAATACATTCAGAATAACATATAAAACTTATGTTAGAAGGCAAGAGCTGCACCAAGTAATAACTGCGTAATGATGAAGATTACCTCATGGATAGATACTTTATAGCAAAGAAAATGCACAATCGGCCTTCAATCTATTATTTATGGAGGAAAATGATACATATGTTTTTATTGCAAGGACCATATGATGATACTTTATCTATTCTCCAGCTCTGCATTAAAACTTGTCGATGTTATGATTGGAGATTATGTCAGATAAGAATGAATCGCTTTCATTAGTTAAACACTGTAGAAAAATGCAATCCCTACAATTGTGTGATGCCAATAGACTTCGGCACAGACACAAGATAAGAGACTGAGTGTATGCACTTTGCTTTTGCAGTGGCTCCACTTCTTTTTATCATCTGAAGCAGCAGAGTATAAAGCAAAACCCATTTAGCATTTTTACATTTTAATCAGGTCTTGCCTCTGTCTTTTTCCAGTTATGGATTGTAGTTTTTACTGTCTTTTGCCATTGGATGCGCCGCACAGCTTTTAATGCGGCCCCCACTCACAGAAGATGGAGAATAGATGTCGCTTTACAACCTTTTTTTCTCTTAATGATGACTGCGTCCACCCAGGCTTTGCCATCATAACATTAAATGTCCTCTCCAAGTTCCTGTCTAGAAAATAGAAGATCTTACAGTGGACTCCATTACTCCTAAGTAATGGGCTACTGCTGCATTTCTCTTGCGCCAGAATGATTGAAATATATATTGTAATTTCAGTGTCTGGCGCCCTCTAGTGGGCAAAATCACTGCTCTCATTCATTCAACTGTGTGTCTTTGTGTGCAGCTTTTGAAAACAAGAGTGTGGTCCTTGCCAGCACCGCAATTCAACTCACAGATGACAGAAAGTCTCCGATTGTTGCTGGTAATGCTTTCTGTATTTCATATATTAGACCCACGTAATTCATGATTTTTTTTCTCTCTTGTGAAAAGCTGTTGGAATCCAAATGAAGCTTGAGTTTTTTCAGAGGAAATTTTGGACCGCCAGTCGACAAGTATGTATCAAATGCTGATTATCTTGCTGCATATTAATTAATTTCTCCTCCTTGTGTTTTGTGCGCAGTGTTCGGCTCTGGATGGAAAATGCAGTCTTAGCTGTGATAACGACGTGAGCACTGTAGATGCCCCCTAAGCTGTACAGAAGGTTTTTATAGTCTTGCATGGGAACTTAATCTGTTTTGCTTCTGGACAGGACCTTAACTGTTATCTCATCGACAATAATGGCTTCATTCTGGTGGCAGAAGACACAACCCAGGTGTGTGTTTTAGTTACTTGTATAGTACCGCAATAGAATAGTTAGTAACTGTTTCTTTACATCAGTTGATTTGAACCAATTTTATCAATTGGAACATACTAACTTTCTTTTTTATTACTTTATGAACGTATCTGACCACAACAGGCTAGTTTCATCTCATTAGAAAACTTTGTATATTTGGAATACTTGGAATTATAGTGATGCATTGGTTTTATATAGCGTTTTGGGGTTTTTTTTGCTCAAAGACATCTCATTTTTCAATCACTGCGTACACGGATAAACTACTACTGTAGCCACAGCTACAGTGCAGCAGTGTGCCACAGCTGCCCTGGGGCACACTGACAGAAATACAATACAATACAATTTATTCTTGTATAGCACTAAATCACAACAGTAGTCATCTCAGAGGACCTAACAAAACCATTTAAATCACCACCACAGATCAGAGAATCAACAGTTAAGACACAAAAAGAATATAGAAAACATGTTTAAAAAAATGTCCATACATGTTGTAGAATGTTAAAGTGTCCTGGATCATCACCACAGTCCTTTTTGTCGGACACTAACTGCCCAACAGACCCTCCTGCATCGGCAAGGAAAAACTCACAAAAACCCAGTGGGAAAAAAGTGAGAAACGGGGAGACCCACATATTGAGAAAGGGATCCTCTCCACACGGTCAGAAAGAGCCCATTGACACTGTGGGCTGAGATCTCTTGCTGTGGTCCTCTCTTTTTCTTTTTTTGTCTGAAACAGCTGATCTAAATATGACAAAGGCCAAAAATTCAGGCATGTAAGAACTATTAATAGAGCCAACTGTCTTGAAAGAGATGGACTAGATAGACGTTAAATTATTTGTGGTTTGAAAGTTAGGTGCACCAGCTTTAATTAAATATCATTCCTTTGGTCACAACATTTCCTATACTTAAAGGGTAAATAACTGAAGTCAATTCTAAGTAAACAAACTGGTGTTATTTTGGCGTCACAACTTTCTCTTGAGACAAACTGAATTGAATCTCTGTGCAACATTGATTTGAAGTATTAGAAACAGTGGTCTGTTAATGCATTATCTCTTTTAGACCGGACTCTTCTTTGGGGAGGTGGAGGGTGCAGTCATGAGCAAGCTTCTTATGATGGGAACTTTCAAAAGGTACACACAAAAACATTGAAATCAAAACGCTGCAAAAAATGATAAAATATGAGGTAATAATAGCTTGAAAAGAGTGGTTTTTATCTTAATTTGAGAACATTCTGACTGTCTAAAAACAATATTTGGCTCTGGGACAAAGCCATTTCGTCATATTTGAAGAACCAATGCTTTTTCTCATTCCAAGGGAGACATTTCTTGCAACTTTTTAAGAACTAGATAATTTTGCTTGTCCTATTGGCAAATCTTGTTGTGAGGCAGTCAAAATGTCCTCAAATTAATTATACATATTACAAAATTAGAGCAATTTTTTCATCACTTTTTTGCAGTGAACTTTCATATTTCCTAGTCTCTCTTGTACTGCTCGGATAGTCTGCTTACGTGAGTGGTTGCTCTCGCTGTTTGCAGGATCACATTATATGATTATCAGGCCGTGTGCCGAGAGTATGCCGGCAGCAGTGACAGCGCGCACACTTTATCAAACGTAAGACTTTCTTGCTACACTTACCTTTTTTTCCACCATACATTTTCTATTAAAAAAACATAGAAAATCTGTTTGAGTGTCTTTTTGTAAGCCGAGGCCCAGTAGTTTTGGCTTCGGATGACTACTTTGCTCTAATGATAAGTTAGAATAAATTCCCCCTATCACAGCTAAAGCAAATGTCACTGGAAATGAAAACCCTTTGATGCTCACTCCTTGAAGAAAGCAATGTTTTCATTTTCTAAGATGTTGGTGCACTAACAACAACAATCAGATCCAAGCTTTAAGTAGATATACTGACTCAAAAAGGGATCCACCAAATGTTTGAGGAAACCATTAAAGGGTTCCGACATAAAGCACCAGATGGAACCCATGTAATATATCAATTTTAATATAATATTTTTTTTTAATTAGGAAGAATATACATCTTTATTTTAATCTTTGTGAGAGTTTGATGGTTATATCTAATCAATTGCATAACAAAAAAATACAAATTAGAGAGAAATCCAGTTGTTCAGGCACATCAGTGTAGAATGGAGCTCTGATAGGACCAGGTAGCCAAAGTGAATGTACAGTATGTGTATGTAGATAGATAGATAGATAGATAGATAGATAGTTATGTTAGTATCATTTACTCTTTTTGTTATATTTTGTTAAAGTACTTAAGTTGCTTGTGATTAATTTGTACTAATCATTTCTATGCCAACTTACTTGCTCAAAATAAAAATAATAATAAATTTAAATAAAAATAAAAAATCCTCCGTAGAAGAAATTGTAATAGTAATAGTAATAATAAGTAATAATAATCTCTATAGTGGTGATGAGGAAATGTATATGTATTTATGTCAAACAACTAAATCCTGTATGAACATGGAAAAATAAATACATGAAAAAATGAAAAAATGAAATGAAACATACGTCATCGATGCTGCCCAGATTTGTAATGATATTTTTCCCTCTCATTTTCAGCCCTTTACTGTTGTCAAATGGCTACTGGCGGAACTTGTGGTGTAAGTTTTGAATTACATTACAAATATGAATTGTTTTTAAAAGGGGAAAAGTGGGAAAAACACCATGAGTCCTTTTTAACAATGCAAATGAACCTAATTGTATTTTCGTGTCTCTTTAGTTTTCTGCTGGAATTTAATGTCTACAGCTGGTGGAACATCGACGCTTCAGTGAAAGGTAGTAAAGGTTCTGTAAAGCAGTGGTTCTCAACTGGGGCAATCATTGACAAAAGTGTTTCGCCAAATATAGTAATGAGTAATACTACAAAACTTTTTGTTCTTTGATTCATGGAGTACATTTATAACGAAGAAATCTGCCAATGTGGTATGTTTTAAATGTTAGAAATAGGTTAATATATTTGTATAGCACAGTTCATACTCAAGGCAAATCAATGTGCTTAAAAAAGCAAGATTCCTGTTGAGGTCCTGCAGGTGGAACGCTTTATGTATTGGGTTCATTTAAATGTTGCGGTTTTACCTTAATAATAATGCATCGGTTTTATATAGTGCTTTTTTTGGACACTCAAAGACATTTTACATGTCATTATTCTTTCACTCCATACACAGTGGTGATAAACTACTACTGTAGCCACAGCTGCCCTGGGGCACACTGACAGAAGCGAGGCAACCAGCATTTGCCATATGCCCCTCCGACCACCAGCAACCATTCACACACACACCAGAGTCATTTTAGGCAATAGGGGTGAAGTGTCTTGCCTAAGAACACAACGACAGCAGACATCAGTGGGAGTCGGTGGAGAAAACCATGACATTTGTTTTCAATTCAATTCAATTTATCCTTTGTATCTCCCTAAATCACAACAGTATTTATCTTAGAGGACTTTACACAACAGTTGAATTCGCCAACACAGATCAGAGAATCAAACCGTTCAAACACAAGAAATGCAATGATAGAAAACACATTGGTATTGGTCCAGAAGGGGCAGATGACCAGTGTCCATAAATGTAGATAAATGTACATCAATGTTGTTGAATTTGTCATCATTAAACTTCCCTCTTACACGTGACTTGACTTGAACTAAGAATCCATCTCTATTTGCTTTAATGGTTACTATATGAACAGCCCAGAGAAGTCGTGGGAAAACCATCATGGTGCCTTGTGACACTGAGTATCCAGCCTTCGTCTCCGAGCGCTCCATCAGAGAGACATCAGGCAGCGTGGACTGTGGCGGCTGCATCAGGTACTGCTGGAGGCGTCACTAAATGAACTACATCATGATCATCTTCTTTTGCCTCTGGGCTGTTTCAGAAGCACATTAAAGTGAAATGCTGCTGTGTGCATGATTTGATAGTGATAACAGTGTCTTTGCAGGTCTTTTGTCATTCAGCAAATCCCCAGCAGCAACCTCTTCATGATTGTGGCGGACACTAAATGCGACTGCAGCAGCGCGCCTGCCGTCACCATGGACCCCATCGAAATCATGTATATCCTTTTAATGTCCTGCATGTGGACCGTGTTTGTTGTTACTGTTTACCCTGTTTTTATCCTTGACTCCTGTGAACATAACGAATCTCTGAAGTGCGACAGACTAAAGTATCAGAAGGACAGAAAAAAGCCGGAATCGTGTCATCCCTTCCACCCTGAGGTACTTCTTTAGCCAAACCTTTTTTTACTATGCAGATTGTCTAAAAATAACATTGTTGGAAGATTTATTAAACTGGTAACATTTTACAGTCTGCAACTTTTGAAGCTTTTGACGCGCGTCAAGTGACGCCGGGCCCCTTGGCGTCACTTGACGCGCTTCACCATTCACTTTCAATGCAAACTTGACGCTTTTGACGCCGAAGTTAAGTCCGGTCTGAACGCGCCATAAGATGTAAAATACGCTCCCTTCAACAGTAAGTTGAAGGGAGTGCATTGCAGCTCATGATTGAGTGTGATATTATTTATATTAAATAAAGTCAGTTTTAGATTAGATTTGATTGAGAAAGTTTTTCCTCGTGTATATTCTGCACAGAAAAATAATAATACATATCATTAAATAATTAGATAACAGATGGCACTACACATTTTTTCTCAACACAATACCACATTGCCCCCTGTTGGCCCCATGTAGCAATTGCACTAAAAATAAATGAATTGCCGAAAAGTCAACAATATTTTGAATAGTTTGGCACTTCTCATAAAAATATATGATTAAGTTCACAGGGCGACAGTAGCTCAGCTAGTAGAGCATTGGCCTTTGGGCCTGAAGGTCGTGGGTTCGAGCCCACCGTAAGACCTACTTCACGACTCCCACTGATGACTGCTGTCCTTGGGCAAGACACTTAACCCTACTTTGCCCAAAGCTCCAACTGAAAGATCTCAGCTCCTGTGGACTCACCACCTGCAGGAGGATCAGTGAGGGGCTGGTGCTCTGTGTACTGGGTGCAGCGCTGACTGCCACCCCCCCGACACAGAAATGGATTAAGGGGAAGAAAATGAATGGATGGATGGAAGTTCACATATTGTCTTTAGTTTAATATGTTATGTTGATTTTCCAGGAAAATGCTATAGAGTGTGGTTCAGCAACACGTCCCTCCTTCCTCTTCACATCAGCTCTGCTTCCCCTGATCGCTGCTGTCTTCTCCAGGTGACCTGAAAGTCAAAAAGACTCCAATGCATTAGCTCCTGAGTAAATCTACATCTACAAAGATGATCATTGGCCAGTGACGATCGCTCATACCTTTGTACAAGGCTGCACTGCGCTCCCTAGATCTGAGAATTACTCGCTGCAGAGTTAGATCGTGGTGTCTTGCTTTCAATGCACTTCATGCCTTTGACATGTTTTTCTAAAAATGTATTGAATGAAAATAGTAAATGATATGATGGCTAAATGGATGTGTTCAGTTATTGTTCGAGAAGTTGTTTACCTACATCTATTATGAGAAAGAATCAAAATACTGTTATAATCTGCAGAATGTTTAGCACTTTGGCCATAAAAGAAAAACAGATTATATTTTGGCTGTAGTTTGCTGATACCAAACAGCAGCACTGTAAAAGTTTCAAAGTTTTATTTATTTGATCATATAATATATATTGTAAATAACATGATATGATCATGTGAAGCTATGTTAACACTAAGCACTGTGCACACAAAATGGACACTTCTAAGTGACTCAAAACGCTGTAGCAACTTGTGTTGATAACATTTTGATTCTCCTTTTAACATTTTAAAAGGAGAATACAAGAAAGTGGCCTGGTTGAAAGGTATATGTCAAACTAGAAAAAAATACTTGAATACATGCACCGTTGAAATGCATTCTTTAAGGTTGAGTTTTGCTAAAAAGAAACAAAGCCACATAGAAAAGCCATGCTAAAATTTGTTTGTGTCTTCTTGTTGTGTGGCATCTTTTATGTTTTGGGGTTCATACACTTTAAAAGAAATATTTTTGCATCATTTTAAATATTGCTCTTGGTCAACGTTGTCTTCAGAAGTCTTTGTTGCACCCTTGTATGGTAAACAAGAGAAGTGTATTGTTAACGAATGAGAAAATAGAGTTAAGTATTACATTTCCAAAAGCCATGTAGGCTCATGTGGCTGTTACACATTTGTCTCTATTTGTGAATCATTTTCTGACCATGTTTGTGTCTGCTTTAGAAAAAAAAATCCCCAGATAACTATCAGGCAAGAACCTAATAAAGTCTGTTGCTTAAAGAAATGGGTCTTGAAATCTTTTTTTATTATTTAATTTCATGAAATAATTAGGGCTCAGGCTGATTACTTTAGATTTCCAACTTGACAAATGTTAGTAAAAATGGCATTCCACCATATATGTAAGATTACTCGCTGCACGGTTCGTTCTTGGAGGGGAGACTGTGGTCCTAGAAAGTCCATCTCAGGACATGTGTGACTCCACTGTGTGCCCCCACTGAAAGATCAAGGCTATGCTCACACTCAGAGCAGCCGTCCTCCTGTGGACTCACCACCTGCAGAGGATCAGTGAGGGGCTGGTGCTATGAGACTTGGGTGGCATCTCTGATTGCCACCCCCCTGACCCAGAAATGGATTAAAGGGTAGAAAATGGATGGATGGATGGACATCAATCCAATCTTAGTGGGACAGTTATTATTCATAGAATAAACTTTTTTGTTTTATTATTATTAAAACAAAACGTATTATTATTATTATTTTACACTTTGCCAGATTTACAAGACTATCAAGCATTGCAAGAAAGCATCAACATAGCTTATCACAATCAACTGTCATTTCACAAAAACACATCAGAAGAAATGTATGGGGAAGAGTGGATATGTTCACATAATTTAGATAACTAATCAAAAATGTTTTCTTTGCTTTAACTAGATGTTCTAAATCATGGTAGGTAGATTAGGATGAATTAAAGGCCAATATTTAGATAAAGTGCTCTGATGCCATTTTTCAACAGTCTGGTCCTGGACTGGTCCTGTACTAATCCTGGACTGGTCCTGAACTAGATCTGGTTCTGAGCCGTGTAAGCTTGTTTTGTCCACCAGAGAAGAGTGCTGGCTCCCAAAGCAACACACTGTTTACTGTCAACAGTTATCATTTAACCTTTTGTTTTATTTGTATTACAAGCTACCAGTTCTAGCACTTACTAAAGGTGGGTAAAGGTCAATAAAAAAAAAAAACGGCACATAAATTACTTACTTTTAATGAACATGGAAGGAAGGAAACACAGTGCAAAAATGCAAAAGAATAATGGCAAGGCAAGTTTATTTATATAGCACAATTCATACACAAGGCAACTCAAAGTGCTGAACAAAACATAAGCATTAAAATCATAAATAATCACAGTACATTAAAAAGAAAGATAAAAATATAAAATCCCTCAGTTGTATGCACAGCTAAACAGAACCGTTTTTAACCTGGTTTTAAACATTGTCAGAGAGGAGGCCTGTCTCACATCTTCAGGAAGACTGTTCCAGATTTTAGCAGCATGAAGCTGAAAAGCTACCTCCCCATGTTTAGTTCTGACTCTGGACACTAACAGGAGTCCAGTCCCTGTGCTCCTCAGAGTCCGGGCTGGTTCATATGGGACTAACATGTCACTAATATATTTTGGAGCGAGGACATGGAGAGACTTGTACACAAGCAGAGCTGTTTTAAAGTCTATTCTCTGAGCCACAGGAAGCTAGTGCAGAGACCTGAGGACTGGACTAATGTGGTCGTACTTCCTGGTTCTAGTCAGGACTCGAGCTGCTGCATTTTGAATGTACTGCAGCTGTTTTACAGCCTGTTTGGACAGACCTGTGAGCAGGCCATTGCAGTAGTCTGACCTACTGGAGACAAATGCATGGATATGAATCTCCAAGTCTGCTTTAGACACTTTGTTTTTGATCCTGGCAATGTTTTTTAGATGGTAAAAAGCTGCTGAGGTTAATGATTTGATGTGGCTATTAAAATTTAAGTCTGAGTCCAGTATTACCCCTAGATTTCTGACCTTGTTTGAAGGTTTTAGGGAGAGAGACTGGAGGTGACAGATGACGCTCTCTCTTTGTTTCTGGGGACCAAAGACAATCATTTCAGTTTTGTCTGCGTTTAGCTGAAGGAAGTTGTTTTGCATCCACTCACTGATCTGTTGGATACAGTGAAGGAGTGAGTCCACTGGTCCATGTTCTCCTGCAGTCAGTGAGACATAGATCTGAGTGTCGTCTGTATAGTTGTGATAGGACACTTCGTTTCTGCGTATTAACTGACCTAACGGCAGCATTAATGATTTAATGAAAAATAAGATAATAAATAGACAAAGAGAGACAAGGGAAACACATTAGGGCGGGGCAGACAATCAACAGGGGAACAAGACAGGAAGTAAAACCAAAAACAAAACCGCAGAGAATTGAAGTCAAAATAAACCCAAGTTCCAAAAAGTACAAAATCCACACCATGACATCTACAGTGGTACTGGCCTATCTTTAGCTTGAATCTAGTGAAGCTTCAAACTTTAGCTTGTGTTTTAATTATTTTTGCTATATTATGCATTCAAATGTTCCTTTTTCTCTGACCACCTGCCTGCTCCAGAGACCCACCTGCCAAGTCACGCGCTCAAACTGTTTCCATTTTTCCCAACCTGCTTGCAATGTCTGCTTTGGGATCTTTATTTCAGCCTCAAATTATTTTTTTGAATGAATACAAATATAAAAAGGAAAAAACAACACAACATAGTCAGTCCAAACAGGTGTATAGGTGATGGAGGAGTCGTTCAGAGCTGTAGTGACATGTCTATGCATTAGACTCATTTTTAACTCATAACTTTTGTGTTTATATTCAACTATTCAAAGGCAGTTGTTGTATTTATTTAAGTGTAATCAAACTTTGATTTGTCAATCAAATAAATAATGAATTAGTTTGAGCAAAGAAATTGGTGTGATGATAATAATATCAGCTTGGTAATTACTGTACACTTTTCTATCAATACTTTAGTGAAACTAGTGTGAATTTATAGTTTTCAGGTAACTGCACTTAAGTATCCATCTATCTCCATTATTGGTTTGACATATGTAAAGTTTATTTTTACACTTCCCAATGAAACTACATCATGCCACTGATGAGCACCATAAAGCAAGTTTTTGTGCAAATTGAACCAACTAGAAACAGTAGAGCTTGTGTGACAAGCCTGGGATTGGCTGGCTTTGGCGTGACAGCAAGTTGTATGTGCAGTGCAAGAAGAAGAAACCTCTGGCCCACATTGAAAGAGGGATCTGCTTCCATGAACGAAGGGCTATATAGATCTAGGACTCAGGCTGTAGAAAGGACTGAAGAAGCTCTCAGGCAGTGAGAGGGGTGCACCCCACAAGTCCAAGTGCAGATGAGGGCCGGATTCATGGGTCCATTCACCACATTAGTAAGTAAGTAAGTAATAAGTAATCTTTTATTTATATACCGCCTTTTCACTGCACATCGGAGTCTCAAAGCGGTTTACAATTGTTATTTTTGGGAGTGGGGGTGCCAGTACAGGAGGCACATGCCAGACCTATTGTACATATTTTTAGTGGTAGGGGAAACCGGAGCACCCGGAGGAAACCTACGCAGACACGGGGAGAACATGCAAACTCCACTCAGAAAGGCCCTGGTCCAACCGGGACTCGAACCCAGGACCTTCTTGCTGAGAGGCGAGAGTGCTATCCACTCAGCCACCGTGCCGCCCAGGAAACAACATTAGGAAACAAACAGCACATTCAACTAAATTATAGTACATGTTTACCTAAAGTTTCATTGTATTTATTGTGATCATTTTTGTAAGCTTTTTATACCTTTTACCTATTTCAGAATCAGAATCAGAATCATTTTTATTGCCACGTAAGTAACAGGAAGTCACAGACTTGGAAATTGCTTTGGCTCAGTGCAACAGGAAAGGTATTATGTAAATACCAAAAGAATTATCTGTATTTTTGATGGTGTAACACACCACACGTAAAAACAAAACATCTGTCACTTGTCCCTTTACACACCTGCACAGACAATACGGAGAACACTCTTCCCGGTGCTCAGATATATTATTCTATATCTTAACTCGCTTTGGGTGACCTTAGACTGAAAAATATACAGACAAAGGTCTGTAATGCTGTCTGTTGTTTCCTTCTGCGAAGACAAAAACAATAAAACAGTTAAATCAAATATACTTCAGATAAACTTTTCAACAACATAGTGGAATGTATAAATATTTGGTATTGCACAATAATGAATGACCAGCTTAGCGCTAGAATGGCTACACATTAAATATTTAGTATTTTGATTCACACTCTCTCAGATAAAATACAACGCTTATTTTTTACTGCATTTATTACAAACATACCAGATTGCATAGGCTGGTTGCGTTTGACTTTTTAAAAATTTAATAATGGATTGTCTACATGGATTGTTAATATAATAGATCCATGACATGGATGCATTATAATGTCCGCACTTCGGTTATGATTTTAATTGGACACACCTGCGTCACACCCATAGCACGTGATCACCCCCCTCGGTTTTTCCCTTAACATAATATTTTTCATAACATTATTTTCTCGAATTCCTTGCATTAACCAAATAACTTTTCTAATTTGACTCGCCACAATTGAATCAGTTGGTAAAATATTATATCGTCAAGAATATGTAACATCAAGAATACCTCCAATAATCCTCCAACCAACTGTGTAGGGTAAAAGGTAGACGCATTTGCCGGAAATGGTAAAAGCGCGGCTTAGCTTGGCGGTGAAGTCATTTCGGTGGAAAGTCTCTTAGTGACAGGATCATAGAGAACGTACAAGAGACACCTGTGAAGTTTTCTTAGCTTCTTGGTTTTACTTTGTAAGTTATTTAAATGGCACCTAAAAAAGCGGCAGTGGTCGAAGCTCAACCTTCTTCCACCGATGACCAGGCCCCACAAGATGACAACGAAAAGGAATCGGGTTAGTTAATAATTTTGTAGAGTTATGCCGTTTTTATTCCTACCTTGTGACATTGTTAGATGCTGCTATCGTGCGTCCGCTTCACCAACGTGCGCCCTCCACCACGGCCATGGTCAAAGAGGCGATAAAAGCCCTGGACTCCAGAAAAGGCGTGTCGTCCCAGGCGATCCAAGCCTATGTCCAACAGCATTACCCCTTTGTGGATCCCGTGCGGTTTAAGGGCCTGGTGCGCAAAGCTCTGAGGAAGGGCCTTGAGGATGGCACTTTGGTGAGACCTGCAAACTCTACCGCTGGCACTGGTGCCACCGGAAGATTCAAGGTAAGTCCTCGAAACATCTTTACATTAAGAGATACTTGAGTGGGGTTGACACATTTTAATATATTTTTTCATGGTTGACACGCACTTTGTTTTGTGTTCAGCTGGCACAGAAACCAAAAGGGTCAAAGGTAAAGACTGAGAATGCTGACCCAAACGTGCCGAGTGCCACAAAAGCGGCAGGGAAGGAAGTATTAAAAGCTGCAGGGACCGAGGCAAAAGGCGATGCAAAGAAAAGGCCTGGTAAGTGATTTTTTTTAATTTTTAATTGTATTAATATTACATCTTAAATTTCCTTGCTTAAGCTATCAAGAAGAAGCCCAAACAGGATGACAAATCATCTGAGGTGAGTTATCTTGATCATTAACTTTGTACTTTTATCTCTTAAATTATTTACATTCAAATCTTGTTGTAAATTGTTTATCTTTACAGGAACCTAAGCCAGAAAAAAAGTCTAAGGATGACAAGGTCGTTTCTTCTAAGGTTGTGCCACCAAAAAAGCCTAAAGCTGCCAAAGAACGGGCAGAGTCTGAAGAGGGTGAACCTGTTACAACAAAACCAAAAGGAAAAAAAGCTGTAAAGGAAGAGAAGCCAGAGAAGGCAAAGCCTGCACAAAAAGGAAAGGGTGCACCAGGCAAAGCACAGGCTGCAAAATCAGAGGCCCCAACAAAAGCACAAGGAAAACGAGGGAAGAAGGCTTCAGAATAAGTTTTTACTGTTGTAACTATCCTTTCAAAGTTTAATATTTCCCCTGACTTCCTTGTAAAAATGACCTCAAATGTTCATGTTTTTACTGTACCTAAATAAAAGTCTGAGTTTAATAATTTTACCTTTGTTTTTAACTGGCCAAAAGGTTTAAAAGCAGCCTGGGGAGAATGCGTATGTACATTTTAGAAGTGTACAGGACGGCTTGAGCAATATTTATTTAGTCCCAAGAATTTTGTCCTAGGCCTATAAATGCCAGTTTGTAGTACCTACTGAAACAAATGTAAAGAATCTGGTCTAGGTATGCAGCACTCTTCTACAAATTTCTTGTCATGACAATGCAGATACTAGAATGGGTTAAAGCACAATCTCACCTGAAGTATTATGTAAAATTTAGGATTAGTAATCTAGCTGGATTACTAATCCTAAGATTTTTATTCATGTGCTCCAGGGCACTCTTCTTACGCACCTGCTCTGCACAATTGATGTGCAAAGTTTTACTGTCAAGACTATTGCTAATTTTCAAATTGTGATTTGAAAATGTTAGCCATTTTTGGACCCCAATAAACTTTGAAAGGCCTACCTTCATAGATGCAACCAAGCACCTCCTTAACAGCCACTCTTCACTGGAGACTACTACAGAAACCTTTGGTAGTGATGTCAAGTTTTGTTTTATACAATAGTTCTTTGGGCCTCTGGTAATTATGCCTAATGTCAAGCCAATGCAGGAAAACAACTTTCATTAACTTCATATCTACCAACACATGTGGATCCTAAAATAACTTCAATAACACATTTCAGGAAATTTATTTGCAAAAAAAAGTTACTATTCCATTGTCACTAATAGAAACCGCATGGAAGCACTGAGTCATTGAGCACTTCAACTGCTCTTCAAGTATGTCCAAGATGAGCCTCGGACGATCTACAGGCCCAGTGGGCAGGGTCACAACATCAAATTAAATGTTCTTATATCCTGGCGGGGCAGGACCGGTGATTTGACCTCACATATAAAAGAAAACATTCTAAAATGATTATATTATTGAGATTCAACTGGCAAGTTTAATTCCAGGGCAAATTTACAGATGCAAGTCATCAATTATAGTTTAATATGGTGAGAGGTGAATGGAAGTGCTGTTAACTTGGTGATATAAGCTTGAATAGATAAAAAACATCTTGATTAAAAACACAGATCATTGTAGAAATTGTGGATCAAAATCATCTTGGCAAACTTATAAACAGCGTGTAAGAAAACTGGACAGGTTATCCAACAGAGCATTGGTAATTCATTACAGTTAAATTAAAAGCCACCAATATTTTGTAAAAACAGCACTGACTTCAAAACAACACCACTTGAATCAAGCAGGTAGTAATAAAACTCTTGAATTACAGCTGTGGGGAAACAACATAAAAGGTTTCCACATGTAAACAAATTGACTTTGAGAGAAATCTAATGTGCAGTTCTCAGCATCTCATACATCTGAATTTACCCACACGCCATGCCACCATTGCACCGCAGACACCTGTCCGTTAACTTTCTTTAGAACAATGAGGTGGTGGTATCTTTAATCCGGTGTTCTAATGTTGCCCAAATCCACTGTCACACAAGCCGGTCATCTTCGGTCCAGGAGATAATGGTGCAAATACTCCGAGATAGACTCCCAGTGCCTCCAGAAAAAAGCCAGAACCACCACCAAGAGAAGAGTCGAGAGAGTGCGGCTGCGTGTTTTCATTAGCGGGACCACACAGTTCGCCACGGTGGACACAAACACCAGCAGCACGGCCATGACCGCGAGGAGCACGTTGATGAGTTTTCCCAGTAAAGTTCGTGCCGTGGCGTTCTCCAGGCCCTCCAACTGCACCACCTGCTGCTGTTGCTGCTGGAGCTCCATTTTTGAAATACGAGTTTGACAGGCCTCCAGCGCCTCCTGTAGGGCAAAGACAGAAGCAGTGACGACAAAGCAGTTGTGAGAGAATATTTTTTCATTCGTGAATTGTGTTTACCTGGATATCTCTGGCTCTTTCATAAGACTGATAAGCTATTTTTTCCTCCATGCTGGCTAGTTCCTGCTTCAAGTTTAAAATTTCGTTTTGGTGCAGTTCTGTCAGATCATTGAGTTGTTCTTCTAGGCGTTCACATCTGCAAAATATTTGTATTATTAAAAGTAGCGTTTCATTTCAGATGCACACACTCATACCGCCCTCGTCGCTCAGCCCACCTGAATCTTTCCTCCTGAAGTGCCTCCATAATCATGCTGTAGTCACGTTGATAGTGAGCTTTTATACCCTCAAATGACTCTTCAAGCCTCCCTTTGTTTTCTTGAAGCTCTTGCATCTCTTGAAATATCGCCTCATAGCCCAAAGTCTGCCCATGTTCCAGTGTACTGCCCTTTGAATTAGGAGGTCCCCCGGGAGCTCCAGTCGTGCTGTTAGCCTCAGCTGAGCCGGATGTAGCGCTAGAACAGTCATCTTCACTGCCGTATTTGGAAATGGATTGTAAATGGCCGGTCCCGAAAGCTCTGGTCACTCCCACGACTTCGTCCCCTTGTGTATCCTCCAGAGAGTCCTTCAGTCCTGCTATGTTATCTGCACTTCCAAACTTGTTGCGGATGAGAGAGGCAATCTCCCGTGGCTTAGAGACCACAGCTCCCGCAGCGGAGTGAGTGGCGTGGGATATACTGGAAAGCCCACCTGTCACCTGAAAGGAGAGGCCCACAATATTAATATCAGGGATGTTCCGATCCGATACAATGTAAATATAAAAAAAGTTTGCATATGGTTCACTTTGGAATGCGCTGGAAAAGGCAGCAAGTCCTAATTAGCTCTGAAACAGCTGTTGTTTTGTGCTTTACAATTTTTATTTTTATTACTTTTTCTACCTGAGACGCTGCTGCAGTTCAGTGTTCATGGTTTTACACTGGTCCAGGCCAGAGCGGAGAGGATTCATGGTCCGAACCAAGCAGATCAGGCAAAAATCCACTGGAGGGAGGCTAACTTTATGAAAAATGCTATTGAAGCATTTAGCCTTTTAGTTTGGACTAGAGCGGAGAAAATGGTCCAAACCAAGCGGCTACTCCACCTTGTGACCTGTCCTGCTCCACCCAGTGGCTACTCTACCTCTACTTTAGATCACCCTAAGATCTGCAAGTCACTCTTTCTATTTATAAGACACGTTGGCCAAGGTCCTGAAGAGCACCATACCCCCTAGATTATTTTTCACACTGTTTTGGACTCCCAATGTACTCACACCCCTCTAAGTAGTAATAAAAATAATACTGTGGTGGGTTTAGACATGTAAAATTAACTCGTTTACAAATGACATAAAGAGCATGGATGAAAAGAAGATAGTTATTAGGCCATTTTCATTGTATGGCGATTATCGTGTGATTTTGCCAAAATTGTGTTAGTATATTTTAATACCACAAAATAGTACTTTATATATCGTAGCTCACCTTGGCTCCAACATCTTTGAGTCCCTGGTGCATGTCTCGAAACACATCTTTGGGCTGTCGTGGGATCCCGTTGTGCTCCACCTCTCTGAGCTTCCTGTGCGAGTGCTCAAGTTTCCTCTGTAGCTGCTGAATGGTCTGTGCAGACTTTTGATTCTTTTTCTCAAAAACCTGTTTGATACGTGCACTTTGCTGCTTATCAGCATTATTAGCAAGTTTCAGGTATTCAGCCACATTGTCGTCACGAGCATTTTGTTCGATTTTTATTTGTTCAGTTAGCTTGAGGATCTTCTGTTGTAGCTGGGCAATGGCTTGTTTGGTTCGCTGAGGGTCAGGTGTGCTGTCCACAACGTCATATCCATCTGCCCCATAGAGGGCATTCGGCGACACAGCAGGCCCTGCACCATCATAGCGATCCAGCTGCACAGACCAGAAATGTATAAATGATAATGTAAAACCATGGATTGCACTAATTATATATATGTAAAAAAATCTATCTCATATATATATATATATATAATCTATATAAATTAGTACTATAACATTGGCTGTCAGTTAAACCTTAGACCTATTTAACCAGCAGCTGACTGGTGTATGTGTCTGTTCTCATGGTCTCTGTGTCAGATGCGAGACTTGAAAGAAACGCATCTGCGCACGCACAGTCAAAGGAGCGGTAAATGAGGCGTGAGTGTTTAAATGAAATAAGGAGCACTGAGCAGTTATAAATGACATTATTATAATATGAGCCACACAACACAGGATCATACTGTGTAGCAGATGTATGTGTACTTTGTCCCATCTACAATACTTCTGATCAATTAAGTATTTGTTTCTTTCCCGTCAATGAAATATGAAGAGAAAACATGGTCATTACTTGATTATGAACCAAATCTGATATTGTGAATACTAACACTCCCACATTAATCCAAGGTAGATCACGGCTCAATGGTTGCTGTAAAAGTAGATAAAGTTTGATAAAGTGTGAGCAGGATTGGAGAGGTGTTACTAGAGTTGCTTTGCAATTCTGTAAATGAAATATTGGGTCATTAAAAGCATTGCATTTGTGTTTGTAAAATGTAAAGAGGGCAACGAGGCAAGAGCTCTGGTGTGTGCAGTCTTCTCTGTCTGGTGCACACTTGCAGTTTTTACAATGTGGTTTTACTGCATATGGCAAATAAATTCTTGCATCTTGTTGTGTATAAATGTCTAATAGTCAAACGCACACATGACCTACATCATATGCAGTGGTCAGAGTTCTCACTCACAGATCCAAACGTTAGTTAAATTGTTATGTTATACACTGTTGTTGAATATGGGTGGGGAAATGGTGCCGTGAAGTGAAATCATATTGTAAGCCCAGCAAATAGTGAATAACAATTGATAGAGATTAAAATACAAAGTACTAATGTTATTTTTCTCAGGAGTGTTAGCCTTCAATGACCTGGAGTAGACTCAGAGGGAGTTAAATTTAGAACAGCTTTAGGCACATAGTGACCAGCCACTGAAGGCAAACTCTGCCCTTCAATGCTCATAGTTCACCCCACTAACTATATGGGGTGAACAATTATGGAAGAGATAAAAATGTAAACCTTTAAAAATGTGTTTTATTCTAAATGCACTTAGTGTGATTTTTGACCAGTCAAAGATGGGACTCTCACCTTTTCTGGCTCCTCTGTTGAGTGGTAACCAGAGGTGAGCAGCATGTCTGTGAGGGCCGGGCTACTGGGGGTGTCAGTGGTGGAGGAGGAGCGAGGGCGTCCCGCCTGCAGCAGAGCTTCATGGGTACTCCTCCGGTGGATCTGGGGACTCCCTTTCTGGGGCCCCTCACCAGAGTTAGTTTTGCTTCGCCTGCTCTGCAGGCTTGTGCCTCTCCTCATCATGGGTGGAGGACCACGGATCTGCTGCAGGACACGGCTCAGAGCTGCGGGAGGGGCGGAGGAGGTGGTGTTGTCAGATTCCGTAGGCAGTGCAGAGGATGCGGGACTGTCTCCTACTTCTGAGCCTACATCAGCCGGCCCAGAGGAAGAGGCGCCTGTGCAGGAAGAGCCGGAGTCGTGCGGTGAAACGGAGGAGCGTCGGCGCTGTGGTTGGAAGAACTGCTTCAGACCATGGCCCAACGCTCCCATGTTCTCTAGGGCATTGTGGGTGATTTTGGACAAGCCGTGCTCTGGCTCTGATGCCCTCCGGCCGAGCTCCGGCTCTGCTCGCCCACTTGCATCTGGCTCGTCCTGACTCGGCTCACTACAAACCTGCTCCATCAGAGACCTCCAGTGTCACAGAGGGGTCTTACGTGAAGTGCAGGAGTCACAAGCAACACCCCGCGCCCCGGTCAGGCTGCTGCAAAGCCAGGGCGCTTAGGGGATGGTGCTCACTTATGGCTTTTCTGTGGACATGCATCTGCAGACTGGCTCATAGTCATGCTTTTCTACCACAAAAGGAAAATAAAAAATGAATTATGACATGCAGCAGTGGCAAATAAATACAAAAAAGCAACATCACAAAAAATAAGCAACATGATTTGGGTTTTTTTTTTTTTATCAGCACTTCTGAATTTGATCATTTTTTATTTTTCAATTGGTTTTCAAGTTGTTTAGCCAAATTGTGAATCACATTTTCAAATTGCAACAACCCATTATGCAGAAAACAAAAGCAAAAACAGATGTTGAATGGTTTCTGAAATGTTGCATTATTTTATTAAATAATACTTATGAATATAATATAAATACATATACTTTTAATATTGCATTTTAGTAACACTGCAATTATTAACAATGCTTTTATTCATTTCAGAATCATTCTCTGTGGATAAAACCTGCACAAATTAAACTGTGATCAAAATAACTGGAACGACTGTAAATCAAATTCTACATGAGATAGAATAAGTGTGTAAAAGTCTCCTCAATCAACAAAAATAATGCAAGAGTATACTTACCATCAGCCCAACCTCTCCTCTTCTAACTCACAACACTTGATAAGAATGAGAAAAAAAAACAATTTATTTTAGTTTATCTACATACTGAGGATTTAAGACAGGGGCATCTAACTCTTTTTTAAACATAAACAACTCATGTGTTTAACAGTTTTGTAAGAGATAATGTGAACAAATCAGACCATAACAAGCTATCTTCATCTTCTTACAATAAATGTATTGTTACATCTCTTACTTGTAAGAAAGATCCTGTGAGTCACTATTTGACTCTTTGGGCTGAGAGCTGATTGGCTGAAAGAGGGTGGTCCTCTCTTTTTCACTTTTCGGTCTGAAAAAGGTGATCAAAAATACAATAACATGAAACTAGGTTTTAGAGCAACGAGCTAGTAAGATTGGGTTTTGTGGTTAGAAAGTTAGATCTCCCAGTATTAAATGACTGAAAACAGAGGAAAATTGTTATTGTTGGTTATGGAGAAATTAGAAACAAATGTATTCTATAATTGGTAAATGAAGTGTAAAGTATAAAAAATATATAAAATACATGACACAATATATCCCTGGATTTGTGTTTGTATTGATTGTTTTTTTTGCAGACAAACCGAAATGTGAATCCTACAGTCAGCACGAAAGTATCACTTAACAAGAGAGCAATCGATCTAGCAGCAACAACACAGATAGTATCTGCTGAAGAGGGACAGTGTATCATACACTGCTGTAAAGCAGAAGAAATACATTCCTTGTGGAATGTGAATTCTCTGCTCCGTGTATCCAACACAAACTTAATTTTTTTTGGCAACACAGGGTTTAATTGCATAAAACATGGGAACAAATAATCCAACTATATCCAAGCATCCCTCATTACTAAGGAATTTGACTTGTTCAAGCCCAGGGGAAAGTACTGCAAAAAACATGCAGTATTTCAAGGTCAGGTCAGCCACAATACTGGCCATTGCTACAACAAAACTGCTCAACTGCTCAAAAGAATAATAACTTGTATACGTGTAGCGTACTCTAATTCTAAGTTTTACTTGTTTACAAGTGTATTACCCTGTACACATACATAGTCATTATCGTAGAGAGTAGACATTACTATATTGAGTACTACCTCCAGCTCACACAGACTGTGGTCTCGCGAGCACAACAATAGCTGCCAGGGACTGACTCGAGTCGAGACCATGGTCTGAGCCAAGTGCTGGTCTCCAAACTTCTGTTAACGGATAGTTATATTTTATGGGGTACTTGTAGGTAAAACACTGATTATAAATACATATTCTTTTTAATTAAAACATTGAAAAATCATGATACATTGTTTAGAAGAAATGTATTTCAGAAGTTTACTTACTCAAAGAGTAATATTAATATATTTCAAATAATGTGGGTAGGGCTGATACAACTAAGGAAATTTAATAATTTGGATTAAATATTCAAATGAAGGCCATGCTCGAAATGCAAACACATCAACACAAAGGGAATGTCCATGTGTAAAATACGATGTACTGTGACATGAATAAAGGTTACATCCATCTTATCTTATAAATAATCATACCTTCACTTGTGCTCATCAGCAGATGGTGTGCGGCATCCACGGCATGAAAAATATAATGAGCAAAGCAACTTCCTCCAGCTCTGCTCTGTCCCAGAAATGGTTTCAAATAAGGGTCTGGTGGAACTCTCCAGCACTAGTCAGCTATCTCCATTCTCATTTAGAAAAATCACATGCTGAAAAAAAGATTTTTTTAGGTCTTTAAGTATACGTTTCTTGTGGTCCAATCATCTTTAAAGAAACAGTATGTTACACTGCTGTTGTAATCATTTAGATGATGCCTGATATTTGATGTGCGGCATTCTTACAGAATACAGTCTCTCCACCAGGTAACGGACCACAGATGGAAACTAGTCCTTCGGATAACTCGATACACTTTGTTATTCCAAACGTACAGTGTCCGTGTTATTATTTGAATAAAATACTATTAACATACACATATGTCATTGTTAGATTCTGTGATATATTGCAATATATAATCCTCCTCATGAGAGCTTATTAGTTTTAATTCAAAGTCTATTGTATATGACAATGACTATGTATAATAAAAAGAGAATTCTTACATACTGTTTCTTTAGTCAATGTACACATTCACAGAGTAAAAGGTTTGTGTTTCCCACATTTTTACTCTGAATAAAAGCAACACACCTACCTAGGTCACCAATGTATTCATTATTAAGTTACAAACTAGTAATCTCACTGATTGTCATTTCAGACAAAAATATTTTAGACTTTTTAATTTCTAAAACATAGTGGGATGTGGGCTCAAAGCCACATCCTCAGGACTATTAAATGCATACTTGACTTAATTGGAGGGTGTTAATTAACGTTTTAAAAGGCTCGTTTGGGATTAGCCGACAGTGCTCCAGAGAGAACAGACATCTCAGTGGTGTTGTACGAGACAAACTCTTCCTGTGGATGAGGTCATCACCTTACAACAGAATTTATGTTAACGCCTTTTTGTCGATGTAATGTACGAGAATGATCAGTTCGGCGCAAAGAGCATGCGTGTGGCTTGTCTGAACATATAACATATGCTTAACCATACAACAGGTGCATGGACTGTCAGCAAGCACAACCAGTGTATTGCATCTCAAAAGTAACAAGTGGAGAATAAGCGCACTAACTCATTAACGTGACTTGGAATCAACATGTAAGTTGGCTTTGGACGCTAGATTATTGCAGTGATTAGACAAGATGAGCGTAAACATAAGCCGACAGTAAGCTAAGTAAAGCTAATAGCTAGGGTGGTTTAGCATGGGCGTTTGTTTTACTTCACAATGCACACCGGTGGGTAGACTGCATCCAGTGAAGCAGCAATATCTCATCATTATGCCACACTTTGCAATGCTCATTGTGTAACAGTAGATGCTGTACGAAATAAACAAATGTGGCGCTAGTTTGCACCCAATGAAATGTGTTCATTTGCAGCGGTATATCTTTAAAATAAGCCTGTACGCGTTAAATGTGGATTATTTCCTTTTCTTAAAAGGTTTTTATCATCAGGCTCCGAATAAGTTCATTTGTTCATGAAAGCATGAAGCAAACAGCCATCAACCAGATTGATAAACACTGGTAATCACTCATAAGACCTAGCGCATTTTCAGTGGTGAAACTGCACTTTACTAATACAAACGTTAAGTGTTAACGTTAATAGTTTGAAATACCTTTTTCAGTTTTACTCATTTCAAAATAAAAATAGTGATTAATGACGCTCTGTGGGATAATTAATAGCTTAAAGTCACATGTCTATTATTGAGGCTATAGTTGTCTCGCTCCATTATCAAACATTAAGACCAGGGTGTTGCCTCTCAAAATCTCACATTGCATTTGAAAATGACGCCTGTCTTGTGCATCCTGGGCGCACATAGTACGTCAATCCAACACACGTTCAGTGTCATTAGCAGACTGGCTAGGTCTTGCTAAAAAAACATCTTTCACCCTCAGCCCATGGTTAGCTATCGGCAAACAGGGCACACCACCAAGCTAAAGCTACATGAAGATAAAACAACATGTATTGACCATAATCAACAGCTAATCAATTAGAACTAGATGTGCAAATCCCATTCATAACCTAAGTTAGTAAAACGCGTGATTTCAGGGTGAACTTACATGGGCGCTGAGAGGATTGTGTTGATGACCGTTCATTTCTTCCACGAGACACTCCCACGATGACGTCAGAAAACGTGCCCTGCGTCAGAACAGCTGAGTGAGCGTCATCCACGATCCATGTTCATGATTTCAGGCCAAAATCCCTACAAGCTGGAGCATGGTTTGTGTTTACCATGGATCTATTATCTAATTATATATTATCTATTATAACTGGATAATATGAGCTTTAGCCAGTCTCCACTATGTACTCATGGTCCACCCTGCAGCCAAAATTATCATGGGTTGAAGAGTATTTCAATAACTCCTCAATATACATATTTTTTAATTATTGATGCTACCTTTGTCACAAAGGTCAGATTGTGTTAGTATTCTATCTTGTTGTGTAACGCATCAGGGGATGCTGTTCTGAAAGCTGGCAGCTGTGGCTACAGTATCACCGTGTATGTAGCAAAAGAATATTGCAATGTGAAGCATCTTTGAGTGTTCAAAAAGAGCTATATAAAGCTATAATAAACTTTTATTTAATCTCATGGCCAATAATAAATTAATGATAGATGGTGAGAAAATACACTTGATAAACAAAGAGAGAGAGAATGATTTTTTGTTGAGACCAGAGAGCTTTTCTCTTACCTGTTGACTGCTGGCACGCACATTCCTTAGAGTTGTCACATAATGCTCTTGTGTCGTGTGTTGTCAGCTGTTTTGCACAGTTTTGGGCACTGCCATCTGCAGCCCGACTTCTTCAGGACAGAGTCCCAGGTGTGTGAGAGTAAAAAATACCCCTCATCCTGGTGTATAGTCTTCAGGCTACGTCTCTGTATTTCTATGACCTCTTTAAACCAGCGTTTGTGTCTGTTGTTTTCAGTTCCTGCACTTTTGCTTTGTCCATATCCATAATGTGGTTCTCTCTTTTACAGTGGTCGTAGAATACAGATTTGAGTTGATCTTGTTCTGCTGTGTGTTTTGTTGCTCATTTGCACGCCTTTTCCATTTTCTTCTCAAATTTTTTTAACTGAGAGCCCTCCATTATCCCAAAAATATTTTGTTATTACATCATATGCTTGATATTTTGAGATGAAGATAAAGAGATCATTTGTCCATCCCACAGTGGAGATATTTCAGTGTTGCATAACAAGTTACAGGTCTTGTCCATCCATAAGGTTCTGTCAAAAAGTGTATTTTAGTTTTCATGCTGCCCTTCTCCCTATTATGTTCAAGTCCAGAAAAGGTCATAGATTATATTGTTGCTTTCTTCTTCACATGTGAATTTGATGTTTCCTGTGCTATCTATAGTGATCAGACGATCTGTCAGTCCTCGTGTGTGTTTCCAGTACATTGTCTATACCTTTTCCACATAGTGAGTCCATGTTCTGTTGGTATGGTGTCTATTAAAAAAAAAATCTAGATCCACCTTGAAGAAGCCACTCATGATGTCTGGGAGGGGGTCTCCTATAGCGAAGCCTTCCTTTTGCCTGTTTATTGTTCCTTTGTATTTGGAATAGGCTGATACAGATGCAAAATATTATTTCTTCAACTGTCAAATTTGTTCTCTTCCTCAGTGTTTTGTCTGTCCAGAGGCGGTTCTCAACTATGTGGGTATGAACAGGGATATCACATTGTGTGATTTAATCCTTTTCTGTCTTATTGTGGTGTTTAGCTCCTTGCCAGTTGTTTTGATTTCTTGCAATGTTTTTGAATATGTATTTTATTAAGTCTACTGATGCTTCTGATACTGTTCTAAGTTGTTCGCTGAACCGATGTGTCAATAGACATAAAAAGGAGTGTCCTTTTTGTGTATTTTGGGTGTGCCAAATGAATGTATTGTATCATACATGGACATCCCTCTTCAGTGTGTCTCAGAACCCCTTTTTCCTCTTCAAGTCAGAACTTCCAGCATTAGGTCTCATCTTGGAGAAGACCAATTTCTGACCCAGTTGGGGGGGATAACCAGGTGCCACAGTGTGATGGCTGTAAAATGTCAAACTGTTGTTGTGTCAGGCAAGACTCTTTTATCAAATTGTCCAGTCTGGTGTCTGTGTGTTTGAATGACTGATGTTTCCGGCAGTTTGCCGAAGGGCAACTGGAGCTACATGGGTTTACCAACATCAGGGAGTCTGTCATGTGCAGCACCTTTGAGAGCGCTATAAAACCATTATTCTTATCATTAACACCAAACAGTATTATCATTATAGCAATTACAGTATTATTAGAAAGTCATTTATTTGCCATGTAAGTTATACCGACCCTCTGACCGTTATTACCTTTTTTGTAGATTTACTGTAATCTTACTCTGTACATTTAAAAAAATATATATATGGAATGGAATTTGCATTGCAGTGCCTGAGCCCCCTAGGTTCAACACATTGACAAACACTGAAGTACAGTGATTTATTTGATTTAGTCACCTAATTTGATAATACATGGGAGGCAGCCCATAGGATCGTAAACATACCATGAAAAAATATTTTTTTAAATATATCCAAATAAGTATGGATTTCTTTTATGATAATTCACACTTTTCAACAAATAGATTGAATTGTCATTTTCATTGTCTTTCCTCAAAAACACATGCAAAAAATTTGCAAATATACTCAATGTACGCCAGAGACAACCGTGTGAAAACAGACAAAAATATAAACACAACACATTGGGTCAAGGGGTATATTTATCAAGCTTTATTGTGGTAAAAGTTTAGCATCCTGCAGCAATTTGGATCAAACTGAAATATAACGCCAGAGCAGTCTATATTTACTTCTAACAAATACATTTTCCCAAGTTTTTTACTTTGCACATAGTTTAACACCTGAATTGATATATAGTATGTAATAAAAAAGACAATTTAAAAAATCATTGGACACTGTGAAACTAGGAGCAAAAGACGACTCAGTACATTTTGTAACTTATTGGCCTATGATTCTGTAATCTCCACACCCGTTTCATATTCATTGACAGCATGTAGATCGTCATCAATGCCTGGAGTGGGCCTGTTATGGTCACGAGTGAACCAGGGAGATTCACTGGTTTGAAAATGGTCAAGAGATGAAGTGATAGACTCAGTGTCCATGGGCCAGCTGAGACTTGAGTATGCAGGAGGAAGAATCCAAGATGGAGGAGGAGCTATAAACAGACTTTCAGACAGGGCATTGTCAATGCTGCGCCTCAAATTGATTGGAGAAGGAGCCCCTATGTCGAACTCTATTAAGGACAGAACACATTCCCGTTCACTAACTTTCTGCCATAACCCTGCTGCCTGAGAGCCACAGCTGGTGGTGCTAACTGGATCCGAGAGGTCTGGCTTGTATGGCTGGTCATCAAGTGAGGCCATTTTATTGCTGATGCCAGGTCGTGACAGCTTATACTTTTCCCAGTTATTTGGCATTAGTTCTTCCCAAGATTTCTCACATTTTGATCCTTGTTTAAAATGTGAAAGCACATTGTTGAGAATTCTCACATATTTACTGGAGTTAGATTTCTGTCTTAGTCTTTGACGTTTTGATAATGCACAGGAAATCCAAAAACCTAAGACGAGGAGTGAAAACCCCCAAAACAACTCTAAAATGCGTCCCCAAAACTGACAGAGCCACCAAGGCCAGCTGAAGCGTTTCCAGTTTCCAATTAGTCCATAGAGCCAGAGGAGGCTGTACATGTGGAGAGCGCTGCTCATGACGCCAAGAATTGCACAGGCTGCAGTCACCCGTTTTGCACATATCTCCCTACAAGAGGGTTTCCATTGTGGAACAAAGGATTTTAAAAACGGTGGCAAATTATAAAGGGCCTTTGTGGCAATGCCTAATCCCAAGGGGATGCCCCATAAAAGGGATAATGTTTGTAGTAAAAGTGGAAATCCATGGGTTACAGCGGAAGGGTAAAGATCTGCCACTACTAATGTAATGCAATGTACAAGACCAAGTGCGCCGATCACCCACCAATGCTGCTCATCTAACTGAAAAAAGATTAAAGTCAATCCTTGCAGAGTGAGCAGGGCCATTGAGCTCTGTGCCCACAGCAGAAGATGCAGAGACACATTGTGCAGAGCTGTAAATGAAGCTTGAGACAGAATCTCTCGGGTCCCATATGGATCTAAGAGAAGCAGGACTCCACGGAGTGAAGCACTGAAAATCACAAAACTGTTGGTCATAGTCAGGACATCACACAGTGGATGAGGAAGAGTACATGTGTGAACCATTCCTAAAACTCCCATCAGCACCAGTAATAAGGACAAACTGGCAGATCCATAAACATGGAGTTCCCAAGCAAACGCCAGAGTGCGCTGCATATCGTCCCAGACCAGACGGGTGCCGTTCAAAGTGTCGGGAGTAAGACAAGGACTAACTTCTAACACACAGTTCTCTGTGGGCTCCGAATTCTGGTAGTTTGTTGAAGTAACAACAATAATCCTGACAGTGTCTTCTTCTGGAAAAAAAAAAATATATATATGTCAAATTTAGTTATTGAAATAACTTTGTAACTTTGTATGAAATGTCTTATAAAATGTATCTGACCAAAACACCTACCATTGTCCTCCATTGTCCCCTGACCCTTTTCAGTGGATGTTTTTTCCAATGTCACAGGTATTCCTCTGGATATGACTGCAGACTTTGTTTTGTGCCGATCCGATAACAGCAAGTCCAACTCCTTAAAAATAGAGATTTGTTGTCCACTGCCTTCGGTTGAGCCGCTTCTGTCGCCGTGCATTACTTCAGCAGCCAAAACATGCCTCTTCTGAGTACTTGTGCTCCATGTTAGCTCAGACTGCCCCATAGGTTGTATGATATGAACAAGGTTTCCCAGAGACATAAGGAACAAAAGACACTTTTCATATATTGCCATTCTTGTTCTTTTCAAGCCCTGTAAAAGAAACATGTAATAATCATTGATTTTTGGATACACTGGAACGATTATAACCTCAATTCCTAATTATATGCATATCAGTTGGATAATGTATCATCTTTTTTGCATATTGTACATAGAATACGACTGAATTTGACAGTACAAAGACAGTACAAAGATTATTAATTGTTAGTTTTCTTAATGACCAATGCTGACTTTGCAAATACGCATTCTAAAACACTGGATTTTAACAAATCAAAGTTCTCACCTGGAGTGTATCCTCCTTAGTCACAGCCTGCACCTCATCTGTTGGTGTATTCCACTTATCACTGCCATCCCTTTAGGTGACATCAGACACATTACTGCACCAGCTGCTTTCTTGGCACCTTCACATTATAAGACGACAAACATTTGATTTGGGTGCAAACATGGTGCAAACATGAGGGCGAAAGTATAGAGACGAATATGTATATAAAAGATTAGAAAACACAAAGTGTTTATCAAAAAGGCTTTAAGTATTTGCGATAACTGTAAGTGAGTATTTTAACAGTTGTGCAGTGCCACTGTGTTAATCCCTCTCTAAAGGATTACATTAAGCAGCACATGAAGTCACATTAAGTGATAAAGCAGAGTCAAGAGGACAAGTAGGTTATGTGTGGTTGTATTCAAAATTATATATTTTGAAAAGATATATAAATGGAAGAGAAGGTGTGATTCCTGTGGATAATAAACTGAAAACCATCTCACATTTAGTGTTGAATAATTACTTCAGTTCTCTCATCAGTTGTTGGGTAGGCTGGGCAGTTGGTAAAGTAGTTGTTAATTATTAGAGACAGTAACACACTGACAGAGTCAAATACTCAATCAATGCTCAAAAAAAACAATATTGCAAGGCGATAAGAGTACGGAGTGTGGGAATTAACTCATTCATGCCCAGTACCGATAAGTGCTGCCCGTTGGTGAAGCTCATCTCTAACAGTCCACCTTAAGAAGGCTGAGAGGCAGTTTGTTGTGGGGGAATCTGGGGAGGCACTCACTGGCACATGCCTGGCTCTTTAAGGCAGACTGGGGGAGTTAAAGGTACATGCATTCAGTGCATTCTAACAGTGATCATTACATCATAAACAAGTCCTTCAAACGCTACATCTTTTGTTCATGGATCAAACGTGACTTCTCAACATGACCTAATCCACAGTAAATATTAGAGTGGAATTTTGATCGAACACATTGTAGATACAACTATGTTATGGGGCTGTAGCGAATAAATTAATGCAGTGCATTAAAAAATACCTCTACATTGCATAGTAGGATTATTTCAATTCGTGTACCTTGGAACGTGCTGTGACAAGCCATTCAGAATACGAAGCAAATGGACAAACGTGTTTTTGAAACTTATTGGCTTTATTTAAGTTTTTACATATATTTCTATTCAAAGGTGTATATGATATCTGCGTGTTTATCTGTAGAAACACACATTTTTTCCGTGGCAGCAGAGAACCTGTTTAGACGAGGACTGCCTCGTTGTCTTGGCTGTCGTCAGAGACCTCGCCTGCTGCAGCTCCAACATTTTATTGAAAACCTCATTCATATTTGCTGATTTTAGCTACTCGATTATCGGCTATGTAGAGAAGGGACGAACGTCCTGGTGAGATCTGCCGCAGGTTCAACCGTTTTTACTTTTAAACATCGTGGCTTCGCGGAAAGAAGAGGATTTCGTTTTATTTAAGGTAGCATGACCAGATCAACAGCTAACAGGCTAACATTAGCAAACTGGTTGGCTAGTACCTATGCATGCCAGCAATTCATTATTTGTTGTTGGTCTTTACAACAGTATAATCCTACACATTTAGCTACTGAACCATGCATTAAGATATGCGGTCCGTGTGTTCCTTGTAGTTGGAGTTTTGTTGTTAAACTTATTGTTTGCAAGCAAATATTGAATAGCTAACGTAGCATAGCTACGGCTAACTACCAATTCTAGCCTTTCCCATTTGCTCAGGTTACATTTTCCCAATAGCCAGTGTGCATTATTCTTTTTAACTTGCATTAAATGTAGTTTTTGGTGGTAGCACCCGTTTGCTTTTGTCAAGATTACTTGTGATCGCACAAAGCATGGACTTTGTACTAAAATGCATTCGCCTGTGTTGTACAGTATACATAACATGATTCACATCTTATTGTCACGCTTTAGATATATACAAATAGGTTCACGTTCTAAATAAGACTTATTGTATGTGTCAATATTTTGGGGTTTCTTAGGTGAAGCAGAGATGAATGAGCAGGAGAGTGGAGTGGTCTCCTTTGATGAATACGTGCGGCAAAAGGCCCGTACGGTGCCTCAGCACAAAATGAAGGAGTTTTTAGAGTCTCTTTCCAAAAACTCAGAGGTGCTTCAGGAATTCAGTGAGCAGGAGGAAGCTGTGACCACTACCTCCATGTACCAGCAGCAAGATGCCAATTGTGTCTACACTGACAGCACTGAGGTGGCAGGGTCTCTGCTTGAGCTGGCTTGCCCTGTAAGTCTATTTTATAACAGCATTTTTGTGGTGGATAGTACAATTAATTGAAAACCATTTGTGTTACAGGTTCAGGTAACCTCAGCTGAAATTTCTCCTCAACTTTCGGAACAGCCTCTGCAAGTGCAGGTAAATGCTTATAGCATCTATTCAACACCAGCAACTGACTTGCCTGGCCTGCCAAACGATATGCTTTTTCAAAGACATATAGTCTGGGAACGAGCTTGATCTCAGCGAATTCCCGGTGGGCGTGGTTGACAGACTGCATCAACCAATTAGATGCACACAGGATATGACGCAGCAACTAGCGGCACCCAAGCCGTTTCAGTAAACACAAAACAAGGGATGGCGGCATGTCAGCTAGTGCAAATGTAAACGACTGCTGTCGATTTTGTAACAAAAACTTAAAGATACGAGGAGTTATTAGCAACTCAAAGGTGAAAGGAAGTCCCGCCTCTCGGTGCGTGATTGGACCGATGTGGGTAAAATCGTGAAATGATAGGCTAGGAAGAGGTGTCCAGACGGTTCTTCTTTTGAACAGAAAGGAGGAGTGTCTGGCAGGCCAGGCAAGCAACTGACCAACTAACGTCTACATTTTCAGGTTCAAATCCAGGGGCCGCAGGGCCAAACAGTGAGCCATGTTCTTCAACTTGCCTCTGCACAACAGGACCTTCAAGCACTTGTTCAACAGGGAGAGATTACTGAAGAGCAGCAACATCAGGTACATTGCACATATAATTGTATAATATACTTTTCTGTGTTGTATACCCCTGAAATACTAAACAATGTATATATTCTGGTGTCACTTAATAAAAGAGCGATGTATGTCTTTACAGATTCAGGCACAGCTGGTTGCAGCTGTGTCAGGGGGGCAATCTCTCCACTTGACTGGTGGCCAACAGATTCAGTTACAAGGTGGCCAACAGATTCAGCTGGCAGGAGGGCAACACATCCAGCTACAACCAGGACAGGAAATTCAGCTACAGCCTGGCCAGCAAATACAGCTTTCAGATGGACAGCATATTCAATTATCAGATGGACAACAGATTCAGTTACAAAGTGGGAAGCAAATTCAAATACAGACTATAGAAGAGTCCTCCGGAGAGAGGAGGGCCAGCTCTGCGTCAACTGTACTTCAACCTGCCAAGAAGCGTAAAGTGGATGTTCCTGTGGCTGTGTCCTATGCCGTTCCACAGGGTCAGCAAGTCGCAACAGTTCTCGCCATTCCTCAAGGGCAGCAGCAAGGTTATGTGTCCTTACGACCAGATCTTCTTACTGTAGACAGTGCCCAGCTGTATAGTACAACAGGTACAATCACGGGTCCGACAGGAGAAACCTGGACTATCCCAGTGTATTCAACACCTCAACAGCAGGGTGTTACACATATCACTATCCCTCAAGATGCATACAATACAGTGCAGGTTACCACAACCAATGGAAAGGACAATATGTCTCCAAATCCTGCCTCTTCTGGGGATGTACAGGCCACCTCTGCCGGAACGCAGGAAGAAATGGTTCAGACCCTGTTTCCAGCACAGTTTATGAATGGAAATATTCACATCCCTGTGGCAGTGCAGACTGTGGCCGGTGCATACAGCACTGGACAGCCAGTGCACATCTGGGATCCAAATCAACCACAGAATCAAGGACAACAGGAGCAGCAGCTCCATCTACAGGTTGGAAAAGTTTGTATTATTATTATTATTATTATTATTGTGAATGTTTTACTAAAATGACCGTTTCAATATTGCGATGAAGGCTCAAGTAGAGACTGAGGGCCAAGGGGAGTCCTCAACTGAGATCTTGGTTCCCATCTGCTTAAAGCCTGAAGAGGGTCTAGAGGTCTGGAAGTTATGGGCAAAACGTAAGAATGCAGAACTTATCAAGCAGGAAAAGACCAAGTTGGCACCAATTGGACGTAAGTTATTGAAGTTTTACAATTGTGTATAGTGTAAAATTCTTGTGACCAAAATTTCTTGATTAATTTGACAGATAGTTTTATTATACTTACACATTATATTGAAGGCATTGATTGGTTCAAAAGTTTACATCTGAAATGTATTGTGGGAAAACAGGACGCCAGCCCCTGCGTTTTCAGGAGGACCTTGTTTCTAGTGCAGTGGCAGAGTTGAACCTCGCTCTCTCTCTGATGACTAAAGAGGCTCGTGGATTGGACGAAGAAGAGTTTTCACCTGATGTTCTTTACTATGTGTTCCTATGTATACAAAAGGTAAAATGGCAGCCTGTCTCAAGTTTGCACAATTTTCTGAGTGTATTTCTTTTGCAGTATCTGTCGGAAAATGGGCGTGTTGATGACATTTTCTCGGATCCATATTACAAACGTTTCTCTGAATCGTTACACAATATCTTGGATGGTTGGAAACCTACTGTTCATCCTCTTGGTAATACTGCCTTAACATAATGCCTGTATAAGGCCTATACAAGTATAAACATTGTGCCTTTGTAGGTTATGTTATTCCAAGTCATGTGACAGAGGAGATGCTCTGGGAGTGCAAGCAGCTAGGTGCACATTCTCCAACAACCCTGCTGACAACGTTAATGTACTTCAACACAAAGTGAGTGTCAGAAATTTGGATTGTTTTTGAAACAGCTGTATTCTGTTGTGTAACTTGTGGATCCAACTCATATGATAGATACTTCCGTCTCATAACACCTGAACAGCATATGAAAGTTGCTTTCTCCAAAGTATTGAGACATGCAAGAAAAAACCCAGGAAATTCTAAAGACAAAACAACAAGTGTCCGCCTTCTGAAGGGACCTGGCCTAATAACTCCTGGGGCAAAAGGTGCCTATATGAATTATGCCATTTCATTCTAATTACTTTGTAATCACAATATTCTTCTTCTAGGGAGTGACGAAATGTATGAAGAACAGGTTGAGGAACCAGATAATCCACTTCGCTGCCCAATTAAGTTGTATGATTTTTATCTGTTTAAATGGTGAGTACCGAAGCATCCATCTCATTCAGTGTGTATGTTTGTCATTTAGCCTAATGTTTTCTTCTTTTCTAGTCCACAAAGTGTCAAAGGTCGTAATGATGCATATTACATGACTCCAGAGCCTGTTGTGGCGCCGAATAGCCCAATGTGGTATTCATCTCAGCCACTCAACATTCAACAAGTGGGACACATGCTGTCACGAATCATTGTGGTTCAAGAAATCCAGGAATTATTCTTCAGTGCTACAGTGGCCATGAGTTAAATGGCGAGAGCTAATTGGGTTAAGTTGAATGTGGACTGCAAAAGCCTGACCCTGGAAACTGACTAAATCAGAGATTGAAGAAACATTTCACCCGGTCACTGACCAGGAAAGCCTTCAGTGTATTCTGGATAAATTTCAGTTTACATATGGTTTTTAGTTGTCTTTGCATCAGCAGTTGGACAAAGCTGGATCTTGATGGATCTCAGATGTTATAACAGAATATAACTTAACTTCCTGAAGTCTTTAGTGAATACTTAATCTCATTGTTCTGAATCAATTCATTCATGAGTACTATATCTCAGACCAGCATTAATTTAGTTTGTCAAAGCTCAAAGCTAAAAATGTGCCTGTTCTCTAATGAGATAATGTATGCTTTCTTGAAATCCATGTCTCTTCATCTGAAATCAAATTGTTTTTATTTTCTAAAACAGTCAAGTTACATTGGTCATATGGGTTGTATATATGTCCGATTAATTGTCTACATTATGCCATGTTCGCACTATAAAATAGAAGTAAACCTAAGACAAGTTTGTGTCCTTGAAATAAAATTGGTTAGTGCATTAGGTGGGTGGCTGATCCAGAGGAAGTGTAGATAATTTGATCACTTAGTTGCCTGTAAAACTGAAATGTGCTGCTGTACATGGTTCATTCTGTCACACACCACTTCAGACCAGTTATGTTTATGTGAGCATTGGGCGACCCTTCTGTAGTGTAGTATTCTATAAAAGTTCTTTTATAGCATTGGCTCTATTTTCAGAAGTCAAATAACAGACAGAAAAAAAGACAGCCCCAGAATTAACGTTTTAATTAAACCAATTCTGGTTCAAATTATCAGGATGGAGAAAAAAAGTGACTTAAATCAGTTCACTTTTGACACAGATACATTTTGGGTATATGCACATGTTCATAATAATTCTTTACACAATTAGAAATACTCTTACTCGTCTTTAAAAGTAAGATGAAGAAGACTCAAAGTCTGGAAAAAGTATTTGGGCAAAAAACAAGTCAGAAATATCTCTGCAGTTTGTCGAACTTTCAACTCTCTAGCATGTAAGTGTAGAGGAAGATTACGAATCTTGCTTTGCTCCAATTTCAAACTTTTTAGTAACCGCTCTGGCAATTTCTGTAGGAATAACCAAAGAAAATTGTAAAATGCAACAGAAATATGCTTTGAGAAAATATATATCTCATTTATACCATAACTTAATCCTACCTGAGGTGCAAGCTTGATCCAATGGGAATATTTATGATCTCCAAGAATAGGACAAGCCAAGGCAAATGCCATGTGAACTCTCAACTGATGCTTCACATCTGAAAAAATAATGGTTCTTAAATTCTCATTCCTGTCCAGATAAAAATTACAGTATTTCTTTACCAGTCAACGGTTCTAGTTCCACAAGGCTGCAACCACTGCTGCTATCCAAAACCTTGTATTTGGTCACAGCAGGTTGAGCATGCCGATGTGCACGCATTTTAGTTAATCCATCTCCACCATCGTTCATTCTGAAAAGAGGACTAAGAGACATCTGAAAGAAAATGAATATCACTTGTCAGAATGTGTTTGTTTCTAAAAATAGTGAGGCTCTTGTCAAACCTTATAATGGGGCCGATCTCCAGTGACTTCACGTTCAATAATTGGGATATCTATAACTCCCTCTGATGGAACAGGCACCCCAACAATCACTGCCCTACAGTAGAGAGTAAATTACAAAACAAATGAAGATGGAGCCCACAACAGTCGCATTTTACCTAAAAATCCTACCAGTATTTTCTTATCACTTGATTGTTTTTATGTAGAGCAGATATGTAGTCTGCTGCCTTTACACTTCGAGCTAACAAAACAGTCCCAGTGACCTCTTTCTCCAGACCCAAACAAGGCAGAAGGACAGAATCAGTCTTCACTTTACTGCCATCAATCATTTTCGAGAGTACAGGGAGCACGCTGGCAATGGAGATGGCACTAGTTGCAGCATCATCTGGAAAAGAAGAACGTATTTCATTTGTATTACCTTTTACCATAAGCGGAAATCGTGTACAATAAATAAAAAACAAATGTATTTTAAAGCTCAATTAGTTTGAAAATATACTTCACACCCGTAATAAAAGCTAAACACTAGTAATCAAAGACAATAAAAAATAACAAAAACAGTTCCAGATTCCCAATGTTTAGTTCGGTTTCTGGGCACCAGCATTCCATACAATCAATTTCCATCCATTTTATACCCCTTAATCCATTAAGGGACATGACAATCAGATCCTCCTGCAGGTGGTGAGTCTGTGATGGTACAGCCTTGATCTTTCAGCGGGGGCTTCATTCTATACAGCAGCCATTCCCAAAGTCAGTAACACAGCCCCCTTAAAAATCTGACACGTCTGTGCGGCCCCCCAAAAAAATAACCAAGAAGACAACGTAAAAAATAGGCTCTTCTCGTTATTTTATGTGGGGGAAATAGACTCTGTTACAAACATGTAAATGACACACCCTATTTTGTAATACAAAAATGATTACAATATGATTATTCACGTCAAATAATTAACACAAATATCTTAATATTACAAACATATTATTAATTTAACATTCAATAATTATATAAAACCTTTTTTTTTTATGACCTCTCCGCCCCCCCCCCCCCCCCCCCCCCCCCAACTTTGGTAGACACTGCAGGATTGTTTTAAACATGAATGGTATGTTTCTCCGCCCTATAATTGTTATGTTGTTTATGAGAAAGAGTCGGTCCTTTGAGTTGCTCTTGTTTTATCCTCACTACCTAAAAACTAGCACCTGCAGCTCTGGTTTTCACCGATTCAACTTCTTCATGTTAAAATCTTGATACTTTGGCTTTTAACATTTATCAATACACGACATGAATCAATACCAGTGAAGGGAATGAAAATGGCGATTACGTCACTGCTAACTTCAAATACGAGTAACTGAAGAACAACTGATTGGCACTCATATTCAGATACAAAGATTGATGCATTAGTGATCAATAATAGCCAGCTAGGATTAGATGCATTTGAAAGAAGAGATCGTACAAGGGTCCCACTTGAAAGGGTTTTTCAAGGCGGGCCGATATTGAGAATTAGTTTTAAAAGAGGCAGATGGCCAATATTAAGATTGTATTAATTTGCAGTTAAGCGAAACAATGAGTATTTTTAATACAAATTCCAACACTTGACTTTGTTTAAATACCTGAAGTATTTTTGTTTGACAAGACACATAGATAAATAGCTTCCACTAGAGACGAAGGAGAGAGAGTGCAGGAGACTCATCCCAGACACTACTTGTATTTGATGTGATTAAGTGTCCTGTTGTCTAATTTGATTTTAACATAACTTAACAAAACTTTATCAAAAATACAAAAGGTAATACAGTGACAAATGACCTTTACAAGTTGCCTGAGGATTGATGAACGATGAAATGTTGACCAAGCTATTATGTACAGTCCATCAGAGTGTAATCTTCAGAAGTTTGTTAGGAGAGTTAAAGTTAAAATCCTGTTTAGGTGTGTTATACAAAAAATCCCGAACTTTGAACATATCAAGCACTGTTCAGTCTATAACCTGATAATGGAGCAATTCAAACCACGGCTTGAAACTGATGGTTCCATTGGCTCAATATAGGTGGCAACGGTCCGGTTCATTCGGGAATACAGTCAGTTTCAGTTGTAAAACAATCACATCATTGATGGAGTTAATCTGATGTACGTTTGACTGACTGAGTGAGCATCAGAACAGATAGTGGCACATGTCTTCAGTATTTTTCCTCCGACTGCAGACTGAAACTTGACAAATACTGCTGAACTTACCGATAATTTTTTTCTAAAGTCAAATGAAAAAATATAATAGTAATAATTGCTAAATAGTTTAGTATCAGGAATTATGTTATTGTAACTGTAAGCTGGAGATGTGTGTGGATAGGGAAGTCTGGGTGACTCTGCTTAGACTGCTGCCCCCACAACCCGGCAACGGCATTGGCCTTTCAGCCTTAAGGTAGTGGGTTCAAGCCCACCACAAGACTTTCTCCACCAACTCCCACTGATGTCTGCTGTCATTGTGTCCTTGGCAAGACACTTAACCTCTGGAAACACCTGATGCCACAGTGGGGCTGTAAAGTGCCAAACTGCCGTTGTATTCTTAGGCAAGACACTTCACCCAAATTGCCTGAATGAGTCTGGTCTGAGTGTGAATGATTGGTGCTGGTCGGAGAGGCCGATGGCACATACTGGTTGCCTCGCTTCTGTCAGTGTGCCCCAAGGCAGCTGTGACTACAGTAGTAGTTTATCCCCACCGTGTATGGAGTGAATGAATGTCGTGACTCGTGTGAAGTGTCCAAATAAGCGCTGTGTAAAACCGATGAATTATTATTAACGGATAAAGCGGAAGAAAATGGATGGATGCTAGTGACCTATGACGTGTTACCCATCATATTGCCTGAAATGTCGTTGTTCTTAATTGTGTAAGTAATAATTATTGTATTGTTTAAACTATAAGTAGTGTTTTATAAGAAATGTCTTGGCTGTTGTATTGTAAATGAATCTGGACCAGGACACCTTTAAAAAAAAGAAATCTTTGAACTTCAAAGGAATTCTCAAGGTTATATTTATGCATATATAATTTTACCTTGCACGGTTATTCCATAGGGTTTGTTGATGACCACCAAATGTTTGTCTTGATACAGGACGCCTCGGTGTAAATGTTTAGCCAGCACATTCGGGTGCACCTTTTGGAGCTGTTTCGTGAGACTTCTGAGCTCAGTCACCCGCTGCTGGAGTGCAGACACGGGGCTCTGCTCGCTCTGCTGCAGGGTCTTTCTCTTCTCCCTCTGGACCTTTTGCGCCAAGTCCACTGCCCGAAGCGGAGGCTTCTCTCTCGAATCTGTGTCCTGTTTGACCGCTGTGCTTTGAGCTCGTACGGCCCATAGTTTACCACTGTATACCTGTGGCTGTGAATGATACAGAACTGAGCAAAACTCTCTGTTAACAATTCGTTTACAGCTCTTCATATTCACTTCATAGATCCATGCATAGACTTCATGGATCTAGGGTTCATAATCACATGCTCGTACTGTAAACTCACGTTCTTTCAAAGTAATTGAATCGGATGTTAAGATAAAATGCCATGACCTCGTTGCTACTATAATATAATATTAGGCCCCAGAAAAACTAGAAACATTGTTGCTAGAGTATATATTTGGAGGTTTAACATCGATTTTGAGTAGTTGATCATGCTTCGCACCTGCTATGAGAATAATTTTGAAGGGCTCTCAACTTTTCCGTATAACTTCCGGTGTGACTGTTGTTTGCTAAATTTGATCACCGTTACTGCCAGTCATGAGCAAAACGTGATTGTTCTTATTAAACACCGCCTTCTTGCGTTGCCTTGCACAACAAACACGAGCGCACTTGGTCATGGTGGAGGATGTGGTCGTGGAGCGTGGTTCAAAACATACATTTTTCAAAATGAGAATATCTTTTAATGTTATTCGAGTGGATCTTCAACCATTGTAAAGGTAGATCGGAACTTCCAAAACCGAGAATGAGCCTTGGATAATGTACAGAAGCGCCAATAACTATTGATTACTTTCACACATTTACACGGTAGCGTACCATTACCTCATATAATGAAAATCACAGATGGCGTTTTGCGAAGTTTTCGAGTCGCAAGGACGTACCAAGAGCATTCAGAGAAAGTTAATTGTGTGGATTTTAGTCCATACGGCGACAATGCGGTATCAAGCAGTGATGACGACTCTATTATATTGTATGACATGAGAGATGAGGGAAGGTAAACAATTAACTCCAATACTCTTTAGTAAAATATAGACATGCAATTGATATGTGTTCCTCTTTACTCAGACCTGCAGGAACTCTGAACAGCAAGAAGTATGGTGTGGATCTGATCCGATACACACACGACGCAGAAACTGTGGTCTTCAGCTCTAACAAACTAGATGGTGCCTATTATTTCATTGTATTTATTGAATTTACATAATATACAGTAACACAATCAAAACTGCTCTAAACATTTTTTTTTCTTGAGTACAGATACAATTAGATATTTGTCCTTAACGGACAACAAGTTCATCAGATATTTCCCAGGCCACACAGCAAGGTATATCGACATGTACTGCACTACAATGTTATTACTACTGTCATCAGATACAATTTATTTTGAGCAATTTCCTTTTTAGTGTAATTTCCCTGTCAATGTCACCTGTGGATGACACATTTTTATCAAGTTCGCTGGATAAGACCATTCGTGTCTGGGATCTCCGTGCACCAAATTGTCAAGTGAGTGAAAACCCCTAAAACTACAATTTTATATTTGAAAAGAAAATATACTATTTGTGGATATGTTGTTTAAGGGCCTAACCAATTCTCTGGGGACGCCAGTGTGTTCTTTTGATCCTGATGGACTGATATTTGCTGCTGGTGTAGACTCACAGTTCATTAAATTATATGATCTACGAGCCTTTGACAAGGTAAAATAAAGTATATTACCGTATTATTTTTTTATGTATGTATGATTTAGGGTGTCACAAATAAAGGCTTTGATACGAATTCATACGAAAAATATTATCAAGTTCTCAATGAAACAACTATTGTTACTGGAGACATAGCTTTGTAAGGATTTTTCTCTGCATAACTAGTACAAGACCCTCACCATTTCACTCTTCATTTGTTTAAAGGGACCCTTTGCTTCATTTGAGACCATTTTTAATCGCGTGTGTGACTGGACTGGACTTAAATTCAGTTATGATGGCAAGCACATTCTAATCTCCACAAACGGAGGAATGATTCGTATATTGAATGCTTTTAGTGGAGCTGTCATGCACACCTTTTCTGTAAGCTTACTTTCAACTTTATTCAATCGTTGATAGAAATGTGATTATTAATTCAGTGGTCTGTTTCACAGGGTTACAACAACAGCAGAGGTATTCCATTAGAGGCTTGCTTCACTCCTGACTCGCAGTTAGTCATGATTGGTGAGATCTGAAACTTTTGTTTAAAGTGATGACAGGATTATATAGTTAAGGAATAATCATCATTCAGGTCATGGGACTCACACAATGACATGCGTTGATGTATTACACTTACTGAGAAATATTGTTATAGAAGGTATTATTAAATCAACTTTATGCCAACCCTAACCCTGAAATAATCACTCTAAAGCAGGATAATCTCAGTAATTTTTTTTTGATTGGGTCTGTTACTATGGAGATGTTATTGCTTTTCTTGAAATACTCCGTATGGTATAAAACATGTATATTATTTAGTTGCAAATGTATTTTACTCAAGATTTTGACTTAGTGTATTGTTACTGACAATAATTCACATGTAACCAGTATCATTTTTTGTTATCTTGCCGTAGCCTAAATATGTTTTGGCTTGTTATATTGGTTTTAGACCGTAGTGTCTACTCCATTATATTTGCAACATTTACCTGATTTTTCTTACTTTTTCTCTAAACACTTGTGCTACAGGATCAGAGGATGGGAGAGTCCATGTCTGGAGCACTGAAAGTGGGATGAAGGTGGCTGTGCTGGACGGCAAGCACCCAGGACCCATCAACACTCTGCAGTTCAACCCCAGATACATGACATTTGCTAGTGCCTGCTCCAACATGGTAAAACGCTCAATTAAGTATCTAACATTTAATCTTATCGCAATAGCATGAACAAATATATTTTTTCTATCAACAGAAATTTTGGCTTCCCTGTGTTGATGATCTTTAAAGAACTCATCAATAGAGCAATAGTTATTGTAATTATTTTAGAACTACACTACACTTTTAATCATGCCAAGCATTCCCTACATTTTAATTATTTAATCATACTTCATTTAACTCATGTAACTTTTATACTTTTTAACTAAGTCATATACATAATATCTATTCTGGATTCTTTTCCTAAAAAATGAGTAACTAGATCTTAGGTAAATTCTATGTAGATCGCACGGAAAATAAAAACTTGTTTCTACATCTACAGAATCTATTTTATTGCCCTTCAGTGAAAAAAAATTCAGGAATTTGCTTGGTCTTACAGTGAAATTGAGCAATAATATAATTTATGTTAATACCTAACAGTACCTTCTTTTGGACGTAATGGAATGATGGGCTCCCTCATGACCTCCTTTACTGGGAGCAGATAAAAGTTTGCGTTTGGATTCTGTTACTGTCAGTAAAGGAAGCTATCATTAGCTCTGAAAATCAAAGAAATGAATCAGAGGGATGACAAATTAACATATTCCAGAAGTTACTCACAAAGAAAGCGATTATCTAAAGTCAATGTCATGAATGAGAGTCTTTTTGGTGGAGTCTGTGGACACTAAAGTGTGTCTTCCTGGTACAGAAAGGTGGAGGCTCTGTTGAATAATGCAGCAGCACCTGGACTGTGTACTCACCACTGAGTGAATTATACATGACCCATCAGAGGTAACCTCACAGGTACACACTTATCACCCGCCTGTGCCGGTCGCTGTCCATACACCTATAATTAAGTGGCAGGGGGGATAGTTGGTACAAATGTTGGCAACTCTTCAGAGCTCTTGGTTTTGGTTGGGGTCTGCACCGTTTTTCCCTTTGTTTTTGTTTTTATTTACAATTTGAAGTAGCTAATACTTGTATTACAAGAAGTATATTTACTTGCATCATTCATATGCATTTAGGCGACAATAGCTCAGTTAGTAGAGCGTTGACCTTTGAGCCAGAAGGTCGTGGGTATGAGCCCAACTCAAGACTTTCACCATCGACTCCCAATGACTACTGTCGTTGTGTCCTTGGCAAGACACTTAACCTCTGGGAACACCTGATGCCACAGTGGGGCGGCTGCGGCTGTAAAATGCCAAACTGCCGTTGTGTCCTTAGGCAAGACACTTCACCCCCATTACCTAGAATGTGTCTGGTGTACGTGTGTGTGTGTGTGTGTGAATGGTTGGTGGTGGTCAGAGGGGCCGATGGCACTTACTGGTTGCCTCATTTCTGTCAGTGTGCCCCAGGGCAGCTGTGGCTACAGTAGTAGTTTATCACCACTGTGTATGGAGTGAATGAATAATGACATGTAAAGTGTCTTTGAGTGTCCAAAAAAGCCCTATATAAAACTGATGCATTATTATTATTATTATATATTTTTTAGCCATAGTTTATTCATGCGTATGTCTGGTATATTAGTTACTGAGGTTTACTATTTTCGTTCATGTTACTGTATTTCATCTTTTGTTGAGGGTTTTTGGTCCAAGTTCAGTTTTTGGCCTGGTGTCAGATTTCTTTGACCAGGTGGCCGGATATTTGAGCTTGTGCAGTTCTGTCTGCAGAAGCTAAGCTCTTTATGAATGAGTGATCAAATATAATCAACATGAGCTGCAGTGACATATCTGTAACCTCGATTTCACGATTGATAGTTTATTCTTACTGCGCAGCCTCGAGTTGCTCTGTGCTGTTGTGCTCACAGTGCATTGTATGTGACTGAGGCTGCGCTCCCGTACAAAGCTTTAACGTTTGTGGTCATCGATACGTTAAGAGTTTTACATCAGTGGTTAAGGTGGCAGCTCCACTGACAGGCGCGTTATTACTCATCAGCCACAGTTCCGCAGATTATATTTCAGTTGTTAGGAGTCTCCTCAGCGTCCCGCGGGGTAGGTCAGTGTCAGTGGTGCGCGTGGGTCCCTCTGTCTGGCAGCGCACAGGTGAAACAGTCGACCTGAGGACACACAGCTCTGGACACAAACATCTGTGTGTAAGAGGAGAGTGAAGAGGTGCAACGACCTGCCAAAAGATGTCACACCAAACGGGAATAATCGGTAGGTCATCTTTGTTCTATCAGGGATTTATTTCTAATTGAAAAAATTATTATCCATTTTATTTATGAATATTTCTGCTTTACCAGCTTCAAAAAGAAAAGTATATTCCCTGCTATCTATTCTACTTTGTTTTAAGCTTCAATTAAAAAACATGTTTCCATTTTTTTACAGTTTATTACTTGTTATACATATGTTTAAATCTTGACCGGTTAAATATGAATACAAACTTTACCAACTTCAAAGCCTGTGTTTAATACATGTTGTGACATTTTGTAATTGGAGCGCTTGAGGACAGTTTTGCGGAAGCATACCTCTCTCACCTTTCTCACATGATCTTTCATCATTTATGAGACACACTGTTGGGTATCCATGGTGAGGGACACGGTGACATATCCATAAGCCAAGCTCATTTAAATGGCATAATTCCTTACTCATCAGTGTGAAAATTCTTATTCTTGTGGGATAATTGTCCTGAATGTACTCCCCCTGTCAGAAGTACTTCAGGTGATAGTGTGACAGTCTGGCAGTGGATCAAATGTGCCGTACAGGCTCAAGTTCTTACTTACCTAACTCTGTCTCAGGTGCTTTCAACCCCCATCTTCAGTTTTAACTTGTCTGCTGTATCTCTGGTTACTTCAGCTACACCTGACCTGAAAGACTTTCTGGCCCGAGCGAGGGGGGGTGCCATTAGAATTGTCAAGATTGTCATCAGAAATGGTAAACACACTTGACTTCACTTAGAAATTAAAGCTAATAAATAATGAAATGATTATGCTTCTTCCACAGAGCAGTTGGTGCTTGATTTTTACAGAGAGCCAGCGCAAACTTGGGACAAAGACTATGACCACTTCCTGCTTCCTTTGCTGACGCCTCTGGAGCCATGCTACTTACTCTACAGACTGGACTCCAAAAACGCGCAGGGATATGAGTGGATCTTCATTGCCTGGTCGCCTGACCAATCCCCAGTATGTTTATAGTCACCACTTTTCATAAGAAGCACTGAAAGAAATGGTTAGGAATGTTTCATTCAAACTCAAATACTTTAACAGTATCTGGCTGTAAAAGGTCTATAGACTTCGTTTGTGAAATTACATCCATTGAATTGCTACTAAACAACTAAATATTATTATTATTAATGTAAAAAGAAAAACAATCTCTACAGAATGTTTCTCAAAGTTAAAACAGCAGAAGTGGAACAAAGATATAAGAAATACAAAAATAAACTAGAAACCGTTGCAATGGCTGAAGCCATTGCGATTGACTGCGGAACAGATCTAATGTGGAATTTAGCTGAAAAATCCTTGAAATCCTTGAAACTGTTAAAATACTTTAAACATCTTTGAAACTCCTGAAGTATTTGAAGCTCCTGATATCCTTTAAACTGTTATCCTTTATACTGGTTTTCATGTAAAAACCCCTATTAAGTTCCATTATACTGGTTTACATGTAAAAACCCCTATTAAGTTGCATTATACTGGTTTACATGTAAAAAACCCTATTAAGTTGCAATTATACTGGTTTACATGGAAAAATCCCTATTAAGTTGCATTATACTGGTTTACATGTAAAAAACCCTATTAAGTTGCATTATACTGGTTTACATGGAAAAATCCCTATTAAGTTGCATTATACTGGTTTACATGTAAAAATCCCTATTAAGTTGCATTATACTGGTTTACATGTAAAAACCCCTATTAAGTTCCATTATACTGGTTTACATGTAAAAACCCCTATTAAGTTGCATAATACTGGTTTACATGGAAAAATCCCCATTAAGTTGCATTATACTGGTTTACATGGAAAAATCCCTATTAAGTTGCATTATACTGGTTTACATGGAAAAATCCCTATTAAGTTGCATTATACTGGTTTACATGGAAAAATCCCCATTAAGTTGCATTATACTGGTTTACATGGAAAAATCCCTATTAAGTTGCATTGTACTGGTTTACATGGAAAAAACCCTATTAAGTTGCATTATACTGGTTTACATGGAAAAAACCCTATTAAGTTGCATTATACTGGTTTACATGTAAAAACCCCTATTAAGTTGCATTATACTGGTTTACATGGAAAAAACCCCTATTAAGTTGCATTATACTGGTTTACATGAAAAAACCCTATTAAGTTGCATTATACTGGTTTACATGGAAAAATCCCTATTAAGTTGCATTATACTGGTTTACATGGAAAAATCCCTATTAGGTTGCATGATTACACTGAAGTCCTTGAAACTGCTGAAGTCCTTGAAACTGCTGAAGTCCTTGAAACTGCTGAAGTCCTTGAAACTGTTGAAGTCCTTGAAACTCTTGAAATCTTGAAACTGCTGAAATCCTTGAAACTGTTGAATCATTGAAACTGTAGAAATGTCTGAAAGAGCTGAAGTCCTATTAAAATGCATGGGCCTATTAAAATGCATTGCAGAATTCTCAATGCAGATTTTTGTCCGATTGCGGAAAAACCGGAAATCGCTGAAGTCCCAAAAGTAATAGCAATAATCTCCCAAACATGTGGAACGTTTTGATGTATAACTTGTGGAAATTGTTGAAAATGTGAAAGCTGTGAAACGTGTCAAAAAAAATGACGGAATAAAGAAATACAAAACCAATGGTTGACTGCGGAAGGTTCCGCAGTCAATCAATTAACGGATATCATAAGAACAAGTAAACGGTTATACTATGAAAACAAACTGTATGAAAATAAAAACAATATGAAAGGAACTTGGGATACTTTGAATAGCCTAATCAAACAAGGACATTCAAAGTTAACATATCCTGATCATTTTGTTCTTGAAAATGGTGAAGATTATAATATTAGAAATATAGTAAATAAGTTTAATGATTACTTTGCAAATATTGGGTCTAAATTAGCTGCTGATATTCAAGACAATGAAGTTACAGAATCCCCTATTAAACAAAATTCTTGGTCGTTCTTCCTCTCAGCAACAAATGAGCAGGAAGTAACACAAATCGTACAGACATGTAAAAGTAAGTCGTCCACTGACTGTCATGATATTAATATGACCATGATTAAAAAAGTTATTCTGAATATTGTTAAACCCCTAACTTACATCTGTAATTTATCATTCCAGACCGGTTCTTTTCCAAATAAAATGAAAATTGCGAAAGTAATTCCACTGTTCAAAAATGGAAACAAACATGAATTTTCCAATTACAGACCCATCTCTCTATTGCCTCAGTTTTCAAAGATTCTCGAGAAGCTTTTCAATTCACGACTTGAAAAGTTTCTGGAGAAACATCATATAATAAATGAAGGTCAGTATGGTTTCAGATCCAAAAGAACAACATCAATGGCAGTAATTGAAGCAATTGAAGAAATCTCAAATGCATTAGAGCAGAAAAAGTATACAGTTGGTATTTTTGTTGATCTTCAAAAGGCTTTTGACACCATTAACCACTCAATACTACTAAAAAAGATGGAAAGATACGGAATTAGAGGACTGGCTGGGGAATGGATCAAAAGTTACTTAACAGGGAGGGTACAGTTTGTTAAAATGGGTCAGTATTTTTCAGACACGGTTGGCATTACTTGCGGTGTCCCCCAGGGGTCAGTATTGGGTCCTAAACTGTTTAACATATATATGAATGACATTTTTAATACATCTAAAGTACTAAAACTAATTCTATTTGCTGACGACACAACTATTCTATACAGTGGTGATGATTATAATGAGCTTGTAATCTCTGTAAACAAGGAACTACATCAAATAAAAAAGTGGATGGATGCAAATAAATTATCCTTGAATGTAAATAAAACTAAGATGATGATGTTTGGGAATCGCAACCTAACGTCTGAATCGAGAATAAGTATTAATGATATCCAAATTGAAATGGTAAGTGAAATTAAGTTTTTGGGAGTAAAAATTGATAGCAAGTTGTCATGGAAACCCCATGTCAGACACATAAAAACCAAAATTTCCAAAAGCCTCTCAATTATTAACAAAGCAAAACTATACCTAAATGGAAATGCACTCCGTACATTATACTGCAGCCTGGTTCTTCCATACCTGACGTATTGTGTTGAGGTCTGGGGTAACACTTACCACAACACACTACATCCTCTCATCATATCACAGAAAAGAGCAGTGCGGATCATCCATAAGGTTGGTTTTCTGGAACATACTCATAATCTTTTTACTCAGTCAAAGCTGCTAAAGTTTGATGATCTTGTTAAATATAATACATCAATAGTCTTGTGTAAAGCATTCAACAAATTATTACCGTCTAACCTGCAGCGTTTCTTTACGACTCCTGAGCGAGCTCATAACTTGAGGGGTTTTGGATATTTTTCACTGCCGAGATCAAAAACCACTCGTAAATGTTTTTGTCTGTCAGTATGTGGAGTAAAACTTTGGAATAAACTGGACTCACAACATAAGCAATGTAAAACTTTTCATCGATTTAAACTGTTCTATAAACATAAGGTCTGGTTACAATATAGAGATGAGGGTCTTTAATTTAATCAGATTTTCTCTGTCTCATAGTGTAACATGTGCTCAATGTTCCATTACCTTGTTAGTATATAGAATCTTGCTATTGTTGTTTTTTTCTTTTTTTGTTCATTACCATTGTTGGTATATTTTCTATTACCATTGTTGGTATATTTTCTATTACCATTATTGGTAACTGTTGTTACAATGTAAATGTACTTGTTGCCCGTGATAACGCCACTCTGGTATGATACTGGCTTGAACTGTAACAGTGAAGTTGATCGTTTAATCACTGAAATGGGGATATAGGGGTGGGATTAAATAAGTTTTTTCTTCCTCCCACTCCTTTTCAGGCAGAAATATATGGCCATGTTAAACCATAGTTTTTTGTTTATACATTTTTTGTTTACACTGTTTTTTTGTTTGTTTGTTTTTTATTGTGTTTGTCTGTTTTGTTTTTTGCTTTATATTATTTATATTACTTAATTGCTTTTAATTACCTCGTTTTCTCACTTTTGCCATTGCCTGAAATAAATTAATAAATAAATAAAAATAATAAATAATAAAATAATAGAATAAAAATTATTCACAGAAACATAATTTATGCTTTAGTCCAAGTCTAAACATCTTAATCTGTGATATTCTTTTCGCTGGTCTGCTCTAGGTGAGACCAAAGATGATGTATGCTGCAACGCGTGCCACACTAAAGAAGGAGTTTGGAGGAGGTCACATAAAAGATGAAGTGTTTGGCACAACAGAGGTTTGCTTATTTTCCTTATATTAAAACCTAACCTCTTTTTAACCATATTTTTATTATTTTTCATAGGATGATGTGTGCCTCCAAGGCTACTTGAAGCATATTTCCTCACAATCATCTCCAGCTCCACTAACAACAGCAGAGCAGGAGCTACAGCAAATTAAAGTCACAGAGGTAATAAGCAAGTCTAATAATCCCTTGCTTTGCCATTTTCAATCTTTAATTATGTACTAACATAATTTCTAATTATGTGCTTCTCACCAGGATAAAGTTGTTTGGGTAAGACCACATTTTTAAACAAGTTCATATGTATTATATGCATTCATATGTATTATATGCATTCATATGTATTATATGCATGCTCTTATTCTCTCTTTGAAACAGGATGAGCGGAGACGAATTGCGACGCCTACTGCACGGGCAAAGGTATGGGCACACAATAAGCAAAGTAACCAAAATTAATTACTTTTGAGCTCCAAGAAGAATAGAAAGAACACATATGGCTTCCTGGGTTGGTTTATTAAAAGCAATACTTTGTTTTAAAATATTGTCCTCCTGTCTTTTCTTAATTGTGACTCTAGGTCACAATGGAGTTTGGTTTAGATAAGAGAGCCCAGACATTGCAGGGTCTTGCTTTCCCATTACAAGAAGAGGCCAAACGCGCTCTGCTACAGCTCAAGCAGAAGCGCATCAACTACATTCAGCTGGTAAGTGTAAAATATCACTGACTGATTGGTAGATCTGGTGAAAATGATTTGTGTATAAACAGAGAATGTTGTGTATGTTGCAACAGAGACTGGACGTAGATAAAGAAACCATTGAGCTTGTCCACACCAAACCAACAGAAACCCATGAGCTGCCCTACAGGATTCCCTCAGACTCGCCCAGATACCACTTTTTTGTCTTCAAACACTCACACCAAGGACAGCAGCAGGAGGCTTTGGGTCAGTGTGCTGCTCTGTTACTACACTATAAATATAAAACCTAATGTCTTTACAAAAAAGGAAAAGGCCTTTCTCATGGCAAGAGCTCTGGAAAAATCTCCAACTTGTTCTGATGAGAATCTAAAGTTTTAATATATGCCATGATCGTTCTGTAATGGTTGGTGCATGAACAGAAGGCTATCTAAGTAAATACTTCAAATGAATTGTACTCCCACTTCATCAGTATGTGATATCCAAAGCAACAATTGTGTTACAACTCATTGACAAGAGTGATAATAATAATAATAATAAATAAAATGTCCATAATAATAATGTTATGGAAGTATCAGTGTATTTTAAAAGACTAGTATAACCCTTGCAAAGTGAGCATTGGGACGTTTTCTCGATGGTAGGGCTCATTTGGGGGATAGAAAGTTATCATATGAGATAAAATTGAGATAGAAAAGAGAACATTGCACATTTGACGGGTGCTCTTCAAAGACAGGGCAATCAAAGCAGATTCAGGATGTCAAAAAAAGGAAGTCTGAGGCACTCTGTTGAAGTGAAAAACTGTAAAAGTCCTTTAAAGTATTAAAATGGACTTGCTATGCGTTTTGACCAAATCTCAATCAGGTGTGTTGTTTTCACATTACACATAAAAAAAAAACTGGAGAAATTTTACAAAAAATATCCAATGTGACTTGTGTCAAATGAGTTTACAATGTAAACATTTAGTCAGTGTCAAATGTGCAATTGCACATTTCACACTGACTAAATGTTCCTAATCAAACACCTCCAGTACATCCAGATCACATCCACTGAGGTGTGCCACAGTTTGGATGCTTTTACCCAGTCAGGTTTTGGTTTTTTATAAGATTTTTTGTATTCTTTAAGTTACAATTTGACCTATACATTCATAAAATTAGATATGAAAAACGTATTGAGAGGAGTTTTTTCCAAAATGTTGAAATGTTAATTTGCTCATTTGCTACGTTTTGTGTCCATGGTACAAAAAAATGACAAATCCTTTTATCAAGGATCCTCCATTAAAGGGACGGTAGACGGTAGAGTAATTTTAAATTAATTTTGTCCTCAGACACAAGGTCAACGTGGATTTACAGTGCCTTGCGAAAGTACCCCCTTGAACCTTTCAACATTTCAGGCTTCAAACATAGATATAAAATTTTAATTTTTTGTCATGAATCAACAACAAGTGGGACACAATCGTGAAGTGGAACAAAATTAATTGGATAATTTAAACTTTTTTAACAAATAAAAAACTGAAAAGTGGGGCGTGCAATATTATTCGGCCCCTTTACTTTCAGTGCAGCAAACTCACTCCAGAAGTTCAGTGAGGATCTTTGAATGATCCAATGTTGTCCTAAATGACTGATGATGATAAATAGAATGCACCTGTGTGTAATCAAGTCTCCGTAAGGCTCAGGGTTCTGTTTAAAGCGCAGAGAGAACCATGAAGACAAAGGAACACACCAGGCAGGTCCGAGATACTGTTGTGGAGAAGTTTAAAGCCGGATTTGGATACAAAAAGATTTCCCAAGCTTTAAACATCGCAAGGAGCACTGTGCAAGCAATTATATTGAAATGGAAGGAGTATCAGACCACTGCAAATCTACCAAGACCCGGCCGTCCCTCCAAACTTTCATCTCAAACAAGGAGAAGACTGATCAGAGATGCAGCCGAGAGGCCCATGATCGCTCTGGATGAACTGCAGATAACTACAGCTGAGGTGGGAGAGTCTGTCCATAGGACAACAATCAGTCGTGCACTGCACAAATCTGGCCTTTATGGAAGAGTGGCAAGAAGAAAGCCATTTCTCACAGATATCCATAAAAAGTCTCGTTTAAAGTTTGCCACAAGCCACCTGGGAGACACACCAAACATGTGGAAGAAGGTGCTCTGGTCAGATGAAACCAAAATCGAACTTTTTGGCCACAATGCAAAACGATATGTTTGGCGTAAAAGCAACACAGCTCATCACCCTGAACACACCATCCCCACTGTCAAACATGGTGGTGGCAGCATCATAGTTTGGGCCTGCTTTTCTTCAGCAGGGACAGGGAAGATGGCTAAAATTGATGGGAAGATGGATGGAGCCAAATACAGGACCATTCTGGAAGAAAACCTGTTGGAGTCTGAAAAAGACCTGAGACTGGGACGGAGATTTATCTTCCAACAGGACAATGATCCAAAACATAAAGCCAAATCTACAATGGAGGTGTTAGAATGGCCAAGTCAAAGTCCAGACCTGAATCCAATCGAGAATCCGTGGAAAGAGCTGAAGACTGCTGTTCACAAACGCTCTCCATTCAACCTCATTGAGCTCGAGCTGTTTTGCAAGGAAGAATGGGAAAGAATTCCAGTCGCTCGATGTGCAAAACTGATAGACATACCCCAAGCGACTTGCAGCTGTAATTGCAGCAAAAGGTGGCGCTACAAAGTATTAGCGCAAGGGGGCCGAATAATATTGCACGCCCCACTTTTCAAGTTTCTATTTGTTAAAAAAGTTTAAATTATCCAATAAATTTCGTTCCTCTTCACGATGGTGTCCCACTTGTTGTTGATTCTTTTTTATATCTTTATGTTTGAAGCCTGAAATGTGGCGAAATGTTGAAAGGTTCAAGGGGGGCGAATACTTTCGCAAGGCACTATAGTTTCACACTGTAGAATTGTGTCATTTCCCTGCCCCTAAAAGCGCAAACTACAGACTGTTCATTGCATTGCTTATTATGGCCATATCTTCATCTAACCATCCCTGTAGCAAAGCAAGGCAGGACCTGGTTAGAACTGTGGTGAGAGACACTAGGTGTCTGGTGTGTGAGTACATGTGGTGTACTCAGTGGTGGAGGTCGGATCTTATTGGTTATGTACCAATGGTATGTATCAGAGACTTAATTATTGGAGAATGCTTTACCGCTGAACAAGTTGCTTTAATAACTGTATTATACCCGATTCTGCGCAAACACAAGTCCTTTGGTTTGGTCTAGCGAGTTGATAAGAATGTATTTATCCTTATTGTAATAAACAGTTCTTGGTCCTCTTAACAATCATCAGCGGCCCAGTGTTGATAATAATTTGTTTCTGTTTCAGTGTTCATATACTCAATGCCAGGGTATACCTGTAGTATCAAGGAGAGGATGCTGTACTCGAGTTGTAAGAACAGGCTATTGGACGAAGTGGAGAAGGACTATCAGCTTGAGGTTTTGAAGAAGGTACATGCCCCACAAATCACAAATGTTCTCAAATGTAAGACTATTTAAGTGTATGTTTTTGCAGATGGAAATAGACAGTGGAGATGGGCTGACAGAGGATTTCCTGTATGAGGAGGTTCATCCGATGGAGCACACACTAAAGCAAGCTTTTGCAAAACCCAGGGGGCCAGGAGGAAAGAGGGGTAACAAACGGATTATCAAAGGAGAATATGGAGAGGAAAATTAACGCACTCGAGACACCCACAAAAAAACCAAAATACTTTTGTAAAATACAGAACAACTACAATCCATCAACTTATTTTTTATCGTAATAATTTCTGATTAACCTTAACACAGTCCATTCTTTTCTTAATCTCTTTATTTTCTTCCAAAGTGCTGCCAAACTTTGTTCAGACAAATCCTCAACTCTAAATGTTGTAATTTTGTCGAATGGTGCAGTCATAAATAGCCTACATGGATGACCGAGTGGTAACTATATCACAGATAAATTATTAGTTAAAGGAGCAATATGTAATATTTTCATGTCAAGTCATCATTAAATGACCCGAATATTTCAAAAGGCGTTATTAAATCATACTCTTTTCGAATTCATCTTTAACTGATAACAGTAGTTCAGCCGAGATATTTGATCATCAAAATTAGTTTTACGACCCGTAAAAGTTGTTATTGTTTTGATTTTGATGTCCTACCCTCCGCCGTTTCGCCAATCAGGAAGTGTCATGTAAGTCCGTGATCGGGTTGCCAGAACTCCGCGCGGCTCATTAATCTCAGAGGTAAAATAACATGTGGCGCAAAACTAAAAAAGGTCTTGTTATGACTCTCAAATCATTAATGACAAAACAAAGACTAAAACGAGGATTTATATCGGGATGCCTTTGAACAATTGAGACAGCTGATAAAAGTTCACGTGTGATGTAGAATTTTCTAGTTTGTCTTCGTTCTTCACAGTGTCTCTATTTGTGTGAATCGGTGGTCTAGTGGTCTAAACTGTGTACTTACGATGCAGGAACCCGGGTTCGATCCCGGGCTATGTCTTTTTGTATTTATTGCATGTTATCACATTCTATGACAGATTACTCTAAAAACGGTAAAAGATTAAGGTCAAGACATTTTTTTTGCAGATTATAGCCTAATTGTAAAAATAATCATTTAAGACCACATGTACCCCAATTAAAATAATGTTAGTCTCTTTTTGATGTGGGACTTTTACATGTTTGTCTAAAAAATAGGGAATAAATAAAATTGAAAGGTGATATCCTCTTGAGCAAACCCTGATGTTGATACGCTGAAGAAATACGTTCCAACATCCATTCTTCCCACTCCTATTTTGGACATCAATTGCTTATTTATTTTGCATAAACTATGTATAATTACATTGCTTTTATTTTGTTTTTGTTTTTTATCTCAAATGTCCAAATAATAATAATAAAAAAACATTAATCAAAACATTCATTCAGCATTAGCACGGCTGTCATGGCAATGTGAATGGAGACGGACAAACAACTGATAAAATAATTCCCTGTGTTTGCTGCTGGATTTGGTGTGAATCTGGCAACCTGAGTCAGGGAGAGTGGGAGAGGACTACAAAATATTGACTGTGACTGCAGTACCACTTTTGGCCAGATTTTTACATATTGCTCCTTTAAAGAGAATTGGTTTTAAACGGAGAGAAGTTGTTTATTTGTATTTGCATCGCATTAGAAGGCAAATTTTGTTCTCTTTTCATTGTTGTACTCTTTACACCTCTCTTTCTCCACTATTTCTAGTTATTCGTATTATTACCTTCTTCCTGTTTTTTTTTTTTTTTACTTTATTTAAATCAATCAGGTCATATATGACCATAAATGCCTTCCTCATAGCCTTGAAAGTACGGCTTCAAAAACGGAGTGTATTTTCATTGTCCAATAATAAATACGTTTCCTAATTGTAACGTGTGTGTGGCCTTGTCAGTTCAATGGGACCAGGGCTGGGGCTCAACAGCAAAGCATTTCATAGGTGTCTTTCGATTACCAAAATGTCCCTCTTCTCCTCATTGCTGCATACTCACTGGAACTTCTTGGTTACTTAAAGCTGCACTAACTGACTTTATTTTTGTATTCATTACGAAAATGCAATCCATATCCATGCAGTGCATTGGAATATACGTCCTTTTGAAGAATAAGTAGCGCAGATTTGTGCTGGTGTGACATTATATTTTAGATCGAGTTTTGGTGAAACAAGGAAGAGAAAGTGTTTCGGGTCTCAGATTGTGACCAATCACAGCGGACCACTGGCCCCCACTTTCGTGAGAAAAGCCACAGGTCTCTGGTTAGCACCGACAGCTGAGTTAGCACAACAAGCGGCAGAGGCTAACCTGAAGCTTCCTGTGTCTTCGCTAGTTTAGCTAGTTCTAGGATAACGATCTGTTTCAAATTGATTCATATTGTGTTGTTGCTGTAGTTAATTTGTTTTTTTTTGCATGTAGAAATAAGGGCCCATACAAATTTGCATCGCTTTAACATTTTCAATGACAAAATAACAAAAATACAATTTATTCTTGGATATCCCTAAATCCAAACAGCAGTCATCTCAGTGGACTTAAAGTGGTTCTCACCCCCGCTCCTCGGAGCTTACGTCGTCTTCTTCTTCTTCTCGTGTTGTTTTATGGCAGTTGGCAAACAACTTTTGGTGCATTACTGCCACCTTCCGGAGTGGAGTGTGGGCCAGGATTGCCCCCACAGACAACAACTAGATCCTAGCCTTAAATCCTACCCTCCAACCCAGATTTCTTCAGAAACTTAAACAATTCTTTTCTAACAACCTCTTTATCACAAACTTTCAATATATCCTTTACACAAAATCCAATTTTATGACTTCTCTATGGGGTGCCAATTGTAAAAATTCTGTTAAATTTTTTTAGCTGAACATTTTTCTACATTTAGCTCACTTTCCTCACATTTAGCACATTTTCCTCACATTTAAGACATATCTATATCTAAATATTATATCTATATCTAAATGTTAAATGTTATATCTAAATATTATATCTATATCTAAATGTTATATCTATATCTAAATGTTAAATCTAAATGTTAAATCTAAATGTTAAATCTAAATGTTAAATCTAAATGTTATATCTATATCTAAATGTTATATCTATATCTAAATGTTATATCTATATCTAAATATTATATCTATATCTAAATGTTAAATGTTATATCTAAATATTAAATGTTATATCTAAATATTATATCTATATTCTAAATGTTATATCTAAATGTTAAATCTAAATGTTAAATCTAAATGTTAAATCTAAATGTGTCGCCAAGTGTAAAGCTCACATCTAGGGGTGGGCGATATGGACAAAAATAAATATCTTGATACTTTATACCAACTCCCGATAACGACATTGTCACGATATCTTTAAAATCAAAAATGGTTACACAAAATGATCTGCAATGTTTTGCTTGCCATGGCATCTATAGATAAGAGACAGTGTAGATAAAAAATGAAGCTTTTTATTTTCTGAAGTGCTACACACATCTTTGCAAAACATGCACTAACATATATTAACATTAAAAATCAGATTCAAGAAAACACAGAAAAAACACATCCAAAAAGGCTCAATATTTACTGAAATGTACAAATAAAGCAGTGATTGGCTTTTTAGGCACACATTAGACCAATGGGCATCTTTCCTTCTCTAATTGTAATATGTATTGGAAAATAACAAAGATAATACAATAAAGCATATCTTCAAATTGGCTTTCACAATATTATTATCTACAATATATTTTGCCCACTCCTAATCACTTCCCCACCAGGTGTGTCACTGGTCTAAGGCGTGTCCAGGTGTGTCACTGGTCTAAGGCGTGTCCAGGTGTGACACTGGTCTAAGGCGTGTCCAGGTGTGACACTGATCTAAGGCGTGTCCAGGTGTGTCACTGGTCCATGGCGTGTCACTGGTCCATAACGTGTCAATGGTCCATGGCGTGTCACTGGTCCATGACGTGTCACTGGTCCATGACGTGTCCAGGCGTGTCACTGGTCCATGGCGTGTTTACGGCGTGTCACTGGTCCATGGCGTGTCATGGACCAGTGACATGCCTGGACACGCCATGGACCAGTGACACGCCTGGACACGTCATGGACCAGTGACACGCCTGGACACGCCATGGACACGTCATGGACCAGTGACACGCCTGGACATGCCATGGACCAGTGACACGCCTGGACACGCCATGGACCAGTGACACGCCTGGACAAGCCATGGACCAGTGACACGCCATGGACCAGTGACATGCCCGGACACGTCATGGACCAGTGACACGCCTGGACACGCCATGGACCAGTGACATGCCCGGACACGTCATGGACCAGTGACACGCCCGGACACGTCATGGACCAGTGACACGCCATGTCGTGTACGGGCGTGTCACTGGTCCATGACGTGTCCGGGCATGTCACTGGTCCATGGCGTGTCACTGGTCCATGGCTTGTCCAGGCGTGTCACTGGTCCATGGCGTGTCCAGGCGTGTCACTGGTCCATGGCATGTCCAGGCGTGTCACTGGTCCATGACGTGTCCATGGCGTGTCCAGGCGTGTCACTGGTCCATGACGTGTCCAGGCGTGTCACTGGTCCATGGCGTGTCCAGGCGTGGCGTGTCCAGGCGTGTCACTGGTCCATGGCGTGTCCAGGCGTGTAACTGGTCCATGGCGTGTCCAGGCGTGTCACTGGGTCCATGGCGTGTCCGGGCGTGTCACTGGTCCATGACGTGTCCATGGCGTGTCACTGGTCCATGACGTGTCCAGGCGTGTCACTGGTCCATGACGTATCCAGGCGTGTCACTGGTCCATGGCGTGTCCAGGCGTGTCACTGGTCCATGGCGTGTCCAGGCGTCTCACTGGTCCATGACGTGTCCGGGCTGCTCACACCTGGACACGCCATGGACCAGTGACACGCCATGGTCCAGTGACACGCCTGGACACGCCATGGACCAGTGACACGCCTGGAAAACATCATGGACCAGTGACACGCCGGACACGCCATGGACCAGTGACACGCCATGCACCAGTGACACGCCGTGGACACGTCATGGACCTGTGACACACCGTGGACACATCATGGACCAGTGACACGCCTGGACACGCCATGGACCAGTGACGCGCCTGCACACGTCATGGACCAGTGACCACGCCCGGACACGCCATGGACCAGTGACACGTCGTGGACCTGTGACACACCGTGGACACGTCATGGACCAGTGACACGCCTGGACACGCCATGGACCAGTAAACACGCCATGGGCCAGTGACACGCCGTGGACCAGTGACACACCGTGGACACGTCATGGACCTGTGACACACCGTGGACACGTCATGGACCAGTGACACGCCTGGACACGCCTGGACACGCCATGGACCGGTGACACGCCTGGACACGCCATGGACCAGTGACACGCTCTGGACACGCCATGGACCAGTGACACGCCATGGACCAGTGACACGCCTGGACATGCCATGGACCAGTGACACGCCTGGACACGCCATGGACCAGTGACACGCCTGGACACGTCATGGACCAGTGACACGCCACGCCATGGACCAGTGACACGCCATGACGTGTACGGTCGTGTTACTGGTCCATGACGTGTCCGGGCGTGTCACTGGTCCATGGCGTGTCCAGGCGTGTCACTGGTCCGTGGCGTGTCCACGGTGTGTGTCACAGGTCCATGACGTGTCCACGGCGTGTCACTGGTCCACGGCGTGTCACTGGTCCATGGCGTGTCCGGGCGTGTCACTGGTCCATGGCGTGTCCAGGCGTGTCACTGGTCCATGACGTGTCCATGGTGTGTCACAGGTCCATGACGTGTCCACGACGTGTCACTGGTCCATGGCGTGTCTAGGCGTGTCACTGGTCCATGACGTGTCCATGGTGTGTCACAGGTCCATGACGTGTCCACGGCGTGTCACTGGTCCATAGCGTGTTACTGGTCCATGGCGTGTCCCGGCGTGTCACTGGTCCATGACGTGTCCACGGTGTGTCACAGGTCCACGACGTGTCACTGGTCCATGGCGTGTCCGGGCGTGTCACTGGTCCATGACGTGTCCAGGCGTGTCACTGGTCCATGGCGTGTCCAGGCGTGTCACTGGTCCATGATGTGTCCACGGTGTGTCACAGGTCCATGACGTGTCCACGGCGTGTTACTGGTGCATGGCGTGTCACTGGTCCATGGCGTGTCCAGGCGTGTCACTGGTCCGTGGCGTGTCCACGGTGTGTGTCACAGGTCCATGACGTGTCTACGGCGTGTCACTGGTCCACGGCGTGTCACAGGTCCATGGCGTGTCCGGGCGTGTCACTGGTCCATGGCGTGTCCAGGCGTGTCACTGGTCCATGACGTGTCCACGGTGTGTGTCACAGGTCCATGACGTGTCCACGGTGTGTCACAGGTCCATAACGTGTCCACGGCGTGTCACTGGTCCACAGCGTGTCACTGGTCCATGGCGTGTTACTGGTCCATGGCGTGTCCAGGCGTGTCACTGGTCCATGACGTGTCCACGGTGTGTCACAGGTCCACGACGTGTCACTGGTCCATGGCGTGTCCGGGCGTGTCACTGGTCCATGACGTGTCCAGGCGTGTCACTGGGTCCATGGCGTGTCCAGGCGTGTCACTGGTCCATGATGTGTCCACGGTGTGTCACAGGTCCATGACGTGTCCACGGCGTGTCACTGGTTTATGGCGTGTCACTGGTCCATGGCGTGTCCAGGCGTCTCACTGGTCCATGACGTGTCCGGGCTGCTCACACCTGGACACGCCGTGGACACGCCATGGACCAGTGACACGCCTGGACACGTCATGGACCAGTGACACGCCCGGACACGCCATGGACCAGTGACACGTCGTGGACACGTCATGGACCTGTGACACACCGTGGACACATCATGGACCAGTGACACGCCTGGACACGCCATGGACCAGTGACACGCCTGGACACGTCATGGACCAGTGACACGCCTGGACACGTCATGGACCAGTGACACGCCCGGACACGCCATGGACCAGTGACACGTTGTGGACACGTCATGGACCTGTGACACACCGTGGACACGTCATGGACCAGTGACACGCCTGGACACGCCATGGACCAGTGACACGCCAGGACACGCCATGGACCAGTGACACGCCGTGGACCAGTGACATGCCGTGGACACGCCATGGACCAGTGACACGCCGTGGACCAGTGACATGCCGTGGACACGTCATGGACCTGTGACACGCCCTGGACACGCCATGGACCAGTGACACGCCAGGACACGCCATGGACCAGTGACACGCCGTGGACCAGTGACATGCCGTGGACACGCCATGGACCAGTGACACGCCGTGGACCAGTGACATGCCGTGGACACGCCATGGACCAGTGACACGCCGTGGACCAGTGACACACCGTGGACACGTCATGTACCAGTGACACGCCTGGACACGCCATGGACCAGTGACACGCCAGGACACGCCATGGACCAGTGACACGCCGTGGACCAGTGACATGCCGTGGACACGCCATGGACCAGTGACACGCCGTGGACCAGTGACATGCCGTGGACACGTCATGGACCAGTGACACGCCGTGGACCAGTTACATGCCGTGGACACGTCATGGACCTGTGACACACCGTGGACACGCCATGGACCAGTGACACGCCAGGACACGCCATGGACCAGTGACACGCCGTGGACCAGTGACATGCCGTGGACACGCCATGGACCAGTGACACGCCGTGGACCAGTGACATGCCGTGGACACGCCATGGACCAGTGACACGCCGTGGACCAGTGACATGCCGTGGACACGCCATGGACCAGTGACACGCCGTGGACCAGTGACATGCCGTGGACACGCCATGGACCAGTGACACGCCGTGGACCAGTGACACACCGTGGACACGTCATGGACCAGTGACACGCCTGGACACGCCATGGACCAGTGACACGCCAGGACACGCCATGGACCAATGACACGCCGTGGACCAGTGACATGCCGTGGACCAGTGACATGCCGTGGACACGTCATGGACCTGTGACACACCGTGGACACGTCATGGACCAGTGACACGCCTGGACACGCCATGGACCAGTGACACGCCATGGACACGTCATGGACCAGTGACACGCCGTGGACACATCACGGAGCAGTGACACGCCATGGACCAGTGACACGCCTGAACATGCCATGGACCAGTTACACGCCCGGACACGTCATGGACCAGTGACACGCCCGGACACGCCATGGACCAGTGACACGCCGTGGACACGTCATGGACCAATGACACGCCTGGACACGCCATGGACCAGTGACACGCCATGGACCAGTGACACGCCGGACACGTCATGGACCAGTGACACGCCCGGACACGTCATGGACCAGTGACACGCCTGGAGACGTCATGGACCAGTGACACGCCCGGACACGCCATGGACCAGTGACACGTTGTGGACACGTCATGGACCTGTGACACACCGTGGACACGTCATGGACCAGTGACACGCCTGGACACGCCATGGACCAGTGACACGCCCGGACACGCCATGGACCAGTGACACGTTGTGGACACGTCATGGACCTGTGACACACCGTGGACACGCCATGGACCAGTGACACGCCAGGACACGCCATGGACCAGTGACACGCCGTGGACCAGTGACATGCCGTGGACACGCCATGGACCAGTGACACGCCGTGGACCAGTGACATGCCGTGGACACGTCATGGACCTGTGACACGCCTGGACACGCCATGGACCAGTGACACGCCAGGACACGCCATGGACCAGTGACACGCCGTGGACCAGCGACATGCCGTGGACACGCCATGGACCAGTGACACGCCGTGGACCAGTGACATGCCGTGGACACGCCATGGACCAGTGACACGCCGTGGACCAGTGACACACCGTGGACACGTCATGGACCAGTGACACGCCTGGACACGCCATGGACCAGTGACACGCCAGGACACGCCATGGACCAATGACACGCCGTGGACCAGTGACATGCCGTGGACACGCCATGGACCAGTGACACGCCGTGGACCAGTGACATGCCGTGGACACGTCATAGACCTGTGACACACCGTGGACACGTCATGGACCAGTGACACGCTGGACACGCCATGGACCAGTGACACGCCATGGACACGTCATGGACCAGTGACACGCCGTGGACACATCACGGAGCAGTGACACGCCTGGACACGCCATGGACCAGTGACACGCCTGGACATGCCATGGACCAGTGACACGCCCGGACACGTCATGGACCAGTGACACGCCCGGACACGCCATGGACCAGTGACACGCCGTGGACACGTCATGGACCAATGACACGCCTGGACACGCCATGGACCAGTGACACGCCATGGACCAGTGACACGCCCGGACACGTCATGGACCAGTGACACGCCCGGACACGTCATGGACCAGTGACACGCCTGGACACGTCATGGACCAGTGACACGCCCGGACACGCCATGGACCAGTGACACGTTGTGGACACGTCATGGACCTGTGACACACCGTGGACACGTCATGGACCAGTGACACGCCTGGACACGCCATGGACCAGTGACACGCCCGGACACGCCATGGACCAGTGACACGCCATGGACCAGTGACATGCCGTGGACACGCCATGGACCAGTGACACGCCGTGGACCAGTGACATGCCGTGGACACGTCATGGACCTGTGACACACCGTGGACACGTCATGGACCAGTGACACGCCTGGACACGCCATGGACCAGTGACACGCCATGGACACGTCATGGACCAGTGACACGCCGTGGACACGTCACGGAGCAGTGACACGCCTGGACACGCCATGGACCAGTGACACGCCTGGACACGTCATGGACCAATGACACACCTGGACACGCCATGGACCAGTGACACGCCATGGACCAGTGACACGCCTGGACACGCCATGGACCAGTGACACGCCATGGACACGTTATGAACCAGTGACACGCCTGGACACATCATGGACCAATGACACGCCCGGACACGCCATGGACCAGTGACACGCCGTGGACACGTCATGGACCTGTGACACACCGTGGACACGTCATGGACCAGTGACACGCCTGGACACGCCATGGACCAGTGACACGCCATGGACCAGTGACACGCCCGGACACGCCATGGACCAGTGACACGCCGTGGACACGTCATGGACCTGTGACACACCGTGGACACGTCATGGACCAGTGACACGCCTGGACGCGCCATGGACCAGTGACACGCCTGGACACGCCATGGACCAGTGACACCCCCAGACACGCCATGGACCAGTGACACGCCATGGACCAGTGACACGCCGTGGACACGCCATGGACCAGTGACACGCCGTGGACACGTCATGGACCAGTGACACGCCGTGGACACGTCATGGACCTGTGACACACCGTGGACACATCATGGACCAGTGACACGCCTGGACACGCCATGGACCAGTGACACGCCATGGACCAGTGACACGCCTGGACACGTCATGGACCTGTGACACACTTGGACACGCCATGGACCAGTGACACACCTGGACACGCCATGGACCAGTGACACACCTGGACACGCCATGGACCAGTGACCGCCACCACCTGAGATAGAAAAGCCATAATATCAAACACAAAGAACAATGTTAGCTTTATCACTGAGCTGTATTTGTTCACCTCATTAATCTGGTCATGAACAGAACAGCATTGTGAAAGTTACACGGAAAATAAAGGTGAAACCAAACATTTAAATGTCCATATAGAATTCAGTCTTATAATACCTCTTTAAGGCCAAACCTCAAAATCTGTAATATCTTGAATGGATCTACTCTCCAAGACGGTGTGTTCCATTTCCTGGGCTTTATGTCTCACTAGAGACGAACGGACTGCTCAGTAGAGACACACGGACTGCTCACTAGAGACACACGGACTGCTCACTAGAGACACACGGACTGCTCACTAGAGACGCACGGACTGCTCAGTAGAGACGCACGGACTGTTCAGTAGAGACGCACGGACTGCTCTGTAGAGACGCACGGACTGCTCAGTAGAGACGCACGGACTGCTCTGTAGAGACGCACGGACTCTTCAGTGGAGACGCACGGACTGCTCACTAGAGACACACGGACTGCTCAGTAGAGACACACGGACTGCTCACTAGAGACGAACGGACTGCTCAGTAGAGACACACGGACTGCTCAGTAGAGACACACGGACTGCTCACTAGAGACACACGGACTGCTCACTAGAGACACACGGACTGCTCACTAGAGACACACGGACTGCTCACTAGAGACTCAGACTGCGCGGCAAAGTCAAAGGGGAGGAGCAGGAGCGGAAAATGTATGCACGCAGGAGATAAATATTGCTGAACGTTTCCTCGGACTTACGTGCAGCAACCAATCCGCAGAGAGAGAGAGCCGCAAAGTGGTCACGGGGACATTAGCGGACTGAGCAAGCAGACTGAACATACTGTCAACGGCTAAAACAGGAGCCACACCAGGACTAAAACCGGGTTGACAATGGGGGACATAGTGCTTGTGAACATATGCGTTTTCATGCTCCCATGACTTTACGCAACTGCTTTGAGTGTTTGCCGATGCGGAAACTGAAAATGAGACATTTAACTACTCAGAGTAAGATATTCACATGTCTTAAAGGGACACGCTCACTCAAACCTAAGTTTATGACACTCTAAATGATGCAGCCAAGTGTTTAAAGTAAATATGTCCCTTACAAACCATAGTTTCTAAACATCATGCATCCAAAATTAAGCAGCAGAACTAACCTGTTGCGCAGGGCTGTCTGACTCTTAACGTATTAAAAAATGACGTGTTCAAAATCCCTTATAAAGATGACCATGATTCAGAAAGTTAAATTCAAAAAGGTTTATTTCCCTAATACAAAAAGAATCTAAAACAGCTGTTCGGACCAAAAGTAACTATCCCTTATTCTCTATATAAAATATAAAAGTATGACTTTGGTGGGGCGCTCCACGCAAATCACACACTGCCCCTGGTCCAGAAAAAACTAACTAAAACACATTCAAGCTATTCATTAAGTAATGTGCAAGAAGAAGGGGGCGTGTCGTATCAGTCAGCTCTCGGTCCCGTGATCCGGCCTCCATCAGGTTTCCTCGTCTCTTCCAGACCTAAACAGAATCATTTACACACTCCCCTCCCCCACCTATAGATTTATTAGTTCCTTTGAGATAAGGCAGAGGGCTCAAGGCTTCTCCTCCAGATTCTGGGCTCCATCTCCTTCTTTCACAACTTGAAAGGATTAGCAGAATCCCCCAGATTAACTATCATTAACTCACCCATGCACTTTGGACAAAATGGGACCAGAGGAGTGGGGCAATACAAGGTCTTTCTTTTTGCTTGGAAACAGACAGAGTTCAATTTCAGGTCAATCTAATTCACATCGCCTTTTAGTCTATATTTAATACAACACTCTTCACTTTCAGTTCAGCGTCTGTTGAGGAGAACACATGATATGAAGGCACAATGCTTAGCAAGACCAGGTGTTTTTACCAGGAGTAGCTAAGGTTTTATCTAAAATGCTCGATTTTTTTATCTTATTTTTAAAATGCTATAACTTAAAAGTGATAAGAGATTGAGGATTTCTGTAAATTATAACAATTAAGGATGGTCCAAACCCTGCTCTCTCTATCTCGTCCAACGTTACTGCCGCCCCGTGAATATGACACTATTAGCGGAGGCTGGACGTCAGGGCACTGACTTCTAATCTTCCATCCATCTTCTTCCCCTTAATCCATTTCTGGGTCGGGGGGGTGGCAGTCAGAGCTACACCCAGTTCACAGAGCACCAGCCCCTCCCTGATCCTCCTGCAGGTAGTGAGTCCATAGGAGCCTTGATTTTTGAGTGGGGGCTTTAGGCAAAGTGGGGTTATGTGTCTTGCCCAAGGACAAAATGACAGCAATCACCAGTGGGAGTCGTGAAGTAGGTCTCGTGGTGGGCTCGAACCCACGAGCTTCAGCCTTAAAGACCAATGCTCTACTAAGTGAGCCACTGTCGCCCAGTCTAGACTCCTAGTCTTGTTCTCCGCAAATCTAACCTTTCTTCAAACTTCCAAATGACCGCCCTGACCCTGAGAAACACTGTTCCAACTGACACTGAGCGTCTGAAGTGTTTAAAGTGTCTAAAGTTTGTGTTTGTTGCGGTACAGCACTGGCAGGCTGCTGCAGCTGCACTCGCTTCGCTATGATTTCGGCACTGGTTCAATACGGTCTTGCTCAATTATTTTGTATATGAGCATGGCCATTTTAAATAGTACTGCATCTTGTGGACAAGAGGGTTAAGTAAGGTATTACCTCTGGATAAGTCTGCAGAGAGAACATCAGGGTCCAAGTCACTGTGTGGTCACCAAACTCTGCAACATGTTGTCCAGCAATGATGCTTATACCACTGAGCTGTGTCTAAACAAGAGGAACAGAAAAAATACACATCATCTTCACCAGCCATACCCAATGTGAGGTCTGGGGCTATTGGGGCCCTCTCTGTCTTGATATGTAACAATATACACATTTTCAATGTCATCTAGCCAACATCAGCTCTGCCAACATAGGTTATAAATCATTGTAATGCTCAGGATCTCTGTAATCATGTTGTTTCTGTGATGGAAGAGATGGCTATAATCTCACAAGTCAAATCATTATCACACATGTGCATAGGATGGACTGTGAAATATGAAGAAAAGGTGTAATATGGAACCTTTAAAACTATGCCTTTGGACTGTGATGATGCTTTGACCTACTTAAGATAATATAAGAATTCCTTTATTTGTCCCACAGTGGGACAAATACTTTTATTAGCTATTGTAAAACAATGGGACTTATTTCTTTAACAAACAGCCATAAATAAGCTAACCTCAAAAGAGGACTTCCTGATGTCCCGCTGCAGGACTCGACTCTGTGGTTCCTCTCATAGGCCTCTCATAGTTTTTCAAACAGTAAATTACTTCTGTCCTCTTAAAGGAATAGTTCACCGTTTTTACATACTGACATATGTTCTTACCTTACCTTAGACTAGTTAGAAGAAGAAGGTCCTTTATTCGTCCCACAATGGGGAAATTTCAGTTTGATGCATACACATATAGTACATACATATATACACATACACATCAAGGCATGCAGCGAACATCATATCCGCGCTCCTTATAGGCTAAGTGGGTTAAGTGTCTTGCCCAAGGACACAACAACAGCAGGCATCAGTGGGAGTCGGTGGAGAGAAGGTCCCGTGGTGGGCTCGAACCCACGACCTTTGGGCCCAAAGGCCAATGCTCTACCAACTGAGCTACTGTCGCCTAATATGTACCTGTCTGGTCTTAGTCCGTGCGCTCTGTCATGCAAACGGGAGCACAAACGCAGCCTCCTCTGTATAC